GCGGCCAGGAGCATACTAGGGCTCCCGAGGACAACGAACGGCGACTGTGCATTGCATGAGGCAGGTCTCCAACCACTCGAAAACCTGGCAAAAGAAGAAGCAGCTGCTTCGCTAGCGCGTGGCATGTCGAGGGAGAAAACGGACCCGCTGCGCGAGCAGGTCGAAGCAGCAGCGGGACAGGTCGACTGGGTGACGGCGGCAGCCGACGCGCTACGGGCTTCGGCGCTACCGGAGGGGTGTGAGGTTCTAGCGGAACCCGGGGCATCAGGCTGCCGGCCCCGGGCAAGCTGCCCGGTTTTCAATTGGTTTGAAAGAGCATTAATGTAAAAGCGGAAGGGGGGCCAAACAAATGCGCCAAAATGCCGGCGCGAATGGCCAGGGGGAAGGCGTGACACATTGCCCAAACAGACAGGGGGCGAACGCAGCCGGTGGCTGCGGCCGCGCGAGGGCAACCGGGGCCGACTGCCTGCGGGCCCATCGCGCCCAAGGCTTCTGCGCCCGGTCACGAAACGGAAACAGGACCCGGCAACAAAATGTGGCAAACCAAGACCCCCAAGGGGTCTGCGAAACATATGCAACACAGCGGGGCGACGCTGGCAAAGCACCAAACGGAAGCCCCCGGCAAAAAAATCCCACAAAGAATCAGGACAAGACACGGCAGGGGCCGCAAGGGCTGCGCCGCAAAAACCCACCCAACAAAAACGGCGCCCAAAAACAAAAGCCCCGGGCCGCCCCGGTTTTTGTGCAGCCCACGCCCAAAACACTGCGAGTTTTCTGGCTTCTCCAGTTTGGGTTTCCACTGTGATTATTGTGTTAATTTGTGGTTTAAATTTTGTTTATTTTGTGTTTTAATTTTGCATTAAAATTTGCATTAATTTGTTGGGGGTGCGAAATCCCTAAGGATTCGCCTAGTTTTCAAATTAGTGCAACTTTTATTGCAAATTTTATTGCAAAGATTATTGCAAAAATTATTGCAGAGGTCGGGCCGCGGGATTTTGCGAAAAACGTTGCAAGTCCTGCCGCCTCCTCTGCAAAAACCCTCGACCCCTTCTGACCCACAAGAGCCCCGCTACCAAGCAAGGGCCGCAGGTTGGGCCGGGGTCGGCTTCCCGGTACCGGCGGGCGACACCCTGCCCCCCTTGGGGCCCCTTAGGAAAAAACAAGGCAAAACCCAGGCCCCGGGCCGAGAAACACGACCACGAAAGCGCCACCCGAGAAGCAACCCGGCGAAACCCGTCCCCGGCGGCAAGCCGGGCGATTTCGGCAAGGCAAATGGCAGGCCTGCGCCCTCGCGGCGGACCCAGAAGCCAAATGCGGCACCCGTTGGCCTAGGGAACAAAAGGACAGGGCCTCCGGGCTCCATTAGTTTCCCCCCCGGGGGCAACGCGCGGCGCCCTTCGGGATTTCCGAAAAGCAAACCCCTTCCCAATCAATAAACAAAGCCAATGGGACGAAACCCGGCGCAACTTTTTTATTAGTGCTTTTTTACGCTGATTTTATTGGCCCGAATTTGCCCGGGGCTGGCTGGCTGAGGGGCACTCCCGCAGCACGGCCTGAGCACAGTACACGCCGCAAAAGAAGCCGGGAGGCTAACGGTCCGCACAACCGGAACGACGGACGAGGAGTTGCGACAACTCACCACAGCGGCAGACGTCTCGCTGTACACGGACGGTTCAGTCAAGGACTTCCAATGTGCCGCGGCCGTAGTCGAAGACGCGTGGGACAGGTACAGAGAATACGGCTGGGCAACAACGTCCTACGGGGACTCGTTCGACGCGGAGCGAGCAGCTCTGCTGGGGGCCCTGGCCACCATAGCAGAGAGACCGGCAGGGGAAGTCCGCACAGCGGTCGTGGTCACAGACTCGCAGTCCAATCTCGAGGCGCTCCAAAACCCAAGAATTCGGGACGGCAGTGACCTGCTGCTCTACGAAACGCTACGGGATGCCCTGGAGAAACTAGGACCCGCGGGACACCTGTCGCTGGTGTTCACAAAGTCGCACAGGAAGGTCGTAGACGGCAACGAGGTCGCGGACAAGCTCGCGACCATGGCCAGGGAGCAAACCGACTACACCGAAGTCGGTGCGAGGGTCACGCACAGACAAGCCAAGCGGGAGGTCGCGAGGTCCCTGCGGCAGCAAAAAAAGAAGGAGCTGCAGGACAAGGGAAAACAGACAGGAGGGTCCAAGACCCACCTGCATGACACTCCGCCAGGTGTCCAACTTCGCAGCCAACCCGGTCGACAGCGTGGCACACGCGACGAGGGCGGACGAAGTCGCCTACAACGCGGCAAGGATGGGCCTGCTGGTTTCGGACATAACCGGCAGAGACTACGCCTGCCCGTTTTGTCAAGGGCGGACACAGAACCCACCGGCAGCAACGACGGCGCACTTGGTACAGGAGTGCCCGGCCCTGCAACACCTCCGGGCGGTAGACCCGTCCAACCCGGGCGAATTCCGGTCCGCGGCGCTGCAGGAGGACCCGTTTTGGGGCATCGAGTTCATCAGGTTGTTGCGGCGCGCGCTACAGCCGGGTGGGGAGCTCGATGACGATGCAGACTGGGACAGCGACACCGAGGACGAGACGCAGCAACACAATGCCGGGGCCGAACTTTTCAGCGCAAACAAAGCGCCACCAGGACTCCACCCACCGCTTTCTCCCCCCCAAACACACTACCACGGGCGCGGGGTTGTGGAGGGGGCGTGGGGGGGTCCTGACCGGTATTCTTATTGTTATTCTTGCTTGCCAACCGATAGTAGGAATGAAAACTGCTGGAATTTTCTGCACGCCTCACAAGACCCCGCCTTCCCCGCTCATTATCTCTCTGTACAGAAGCCGCCGCCACACGACTTCCCCTCGGGAACCTACGACGCCCACCTACAATCAGCCAGAGCCTCGTGGTCCAGGTCCTATGCCCAGTCGCAGTCACATGTTCATCCACACCAAGCGGAGCACCCTAGCAGCTGGACATGCTCCACAACGCCGGAGCAATCGAACCCTACGAACCCAGGCGAGAAACCGACCAGGGCACCTCCAGGCGGGGGGTGCCCGAACAGGTATAATCATAGTTTCACTGCTGCTCTTCGATCGCTGGTGACTGAGATGCCCAACTGTCCCCCCTTTGCTGTTGCTGCTCCCCCATCGACCACACAGGTCACTCGCCGGCCGTCACAGAACTTGTTCCTCCTGCACCACCCTCCCGAAAGCCACGTCGACCTGGGCGCCGGGCTCTCCACTACACACGGCAAGATCCGAAACCGATCACAACACACGCGCGGTCGGCTCGGTCCCACCCAACCACGATCTGCTGCAGACGGCCTCTGCGGGACACCCACCAGAGCACGCCGGCCGCACGCTACGGCGGGGCGAAACGGCACACACCTACGCGAAGCACGATCGGGGGCGCCCCATGGTGGGGGCCCCCCGAACAGGTATAATCATTGTTCCGATGTTGCGCTCGGTGGATGTTTTGGCTCTTATGCATCTCAATGGACCACTTCGCTTGTCGCCGCCCCTCCACCAAACACACAGGTTTGGGGCCCGACTTCCTGCAACCCGTGGGTGCAACAACCAGACTTGCCAGGACATCGAGGACTAGCCCCACAATGCCGCGATGACTTCTACACACGAGGCGCCACTGCCGATTACCACTGGCCGGAGACCCGAGGTAACCGACTGCACGCGATAGCGGGGCAAAACGGTCCACACCTACGCGGGACGGGGCGGGGGGCTCCCGGGCGCGGGGGCTCCCAGAACAGGTATAGTTCTACTCTTTATCCTTGTGGAGTCGCATGGCATGGAATGCAACAATATCGTGCTGGTCCCGGTGCTCGTCTTTCTCACAACTCCCAGGTCCACCGAGACTACACGACCAGCAGGCGGACCGGGTGGCTTTGGCTTGGGACGACCGAGATGGCGATGTGAAATTCGATGGTGCGGCAGGTTGGCAAAACGGAAATACGGAAGATGAAGAAAAAATCGAGATCAGAAATTGAAGGTGAACATCAGAAACAGGAACATAGAATAACAAATGGTCAGACAAAGAGCTGATGCTGAAATCAAGAAGGATAAAATTTGTCTTTTTTTCAGATTTATCCTGCTGACAAAGAGTCTTTTGATGTAGATTGACACAGATCGAGTTTTTCAAGTAGGTTCACGACAGGTTTGAGTTTATATTTGGATTGCGGAGGAGAAAGATAGTTTGTTTATTTTCGGTAGAGCAAGATCAAGATTTTTGTTCATTTTCATTTTTAGATTTCAGAAATAGATGTTTATGAAGTTTTTCACTTTGAGCTGGTTCTGACAGGAGAGATCACTACAGAGAAAAAAAAAGGGATTGCAACGGGAATTTTAGGGCCTTGAACATTTGACGCCATGCCCGGGCATGGAAAGAAAGAAAGAAAGAAAGAGGTTATATCGATATGAGATTATCAATCTGGATGGATACAGGATTGATAAGATCAAATTAAATTCGATTTTGTTGAATCCTAAAATCCTCTATCGATATTGATGATGGAACCGATAGAGAGGAAGATACAATGGACATGAAATATTGAAACCATGATTGTGATTGATCAACAAGAGAATATACACACACCACATGAAGATAATACCTAAAGATTATCAATCTGGATGGATACAAGATAAGAATTTCTTGTGAAAAAAAATGAATCGATCGACAATCAGAACGAAGATTATCAACCTCAATCTGACAGATGGATACAGGATCCTATGGAGGTGGATCTCTAGAACTATTTCCAATTCCAACGTCTTTATTTTTTTATAGGATCAAATGGCTATTAGATTTTTTTTTAAGGTTTTACTACAGGAAAGAGCACTCGAGATAGAAAAAATTGCGATCACGATGGAGTTTTAGGGCCTTGAATTTTTGACGCCAGAAAGAAAAAGATAGACATGACAATTTCGGTGGTGTCTTCTATATGTTTGGTGTTCATTCTCTCATTCCCGATTCGAAGGATGTCGATGTGTAGCATCAATTAGGTCTCCATCGAAAAGATAACAGGTTGCAAACTGTCCCGTTTTCATTTATCGTCTTTTCTTTTGTTCTCCTGTTGTCAGTGTCATCTTGCAGTTGGCCGTCCCGTTGTTGCATCTCGATTTCAATTTCATTTCCATCAATCATCATACAGATACTTAGATACCTGCTCTAACGTTTACATCTTCCAACTTTTGTCCGATGTCCCGCCCTCGCGTTTTTCGCACTTCTTTTTGCTCGTTGGATTTTCTTTTCATCAAATCTACATCTAGTTTGCGTTTACAACATTTTGATTTTGGGATATCAGATCATCTTTACAGTCTACTGTCGTCACTGCTCGTGACGGCGCCCTGTCCTGTATCACTTTCTTCTTTGTTTTTCTCCCTGCTTCCGCCAGATTGTGTTTTCTGGCCCGCGTCGGTACTATTCGCCGCAGCAGGTTTTTTTGCGGTTGCAACCGGCATATCCAATCCGAGCTCGTCACTACTTGAGGAAGATGATGACGGCTCGAGATATTTCTCTTCGTCGCCTTCTTTTTTCTTCTCTGCCGCGTCCTCTGTTTTCGCTTTTTTAGCGGCAGGCACTGCAGTCTTTTTGGGTGCAGGCATGTCGAGGCCGAAGTCGTCGCTACTACTTCCAGATGAAGAGGACGCAACCGCAGTGGCTTTTGCGGCATCTGCTCCCTGTTCACTTGGTCGCTTCATTTCGGCAGAAGATGAAGTAGTGACCGCCGCGCTGGGTTTCGCGACGGCAGCCGCAGCAGTTGGTGGAGCAGAAGCAGAGATGGCTGCAGTATCGGGGGATGAAGCAACTTTCGCCTTTGGTGCTATTGCGCCTGCAGTTGTTTTTTTTGCCGTCACAGCGGCGGCAGTTTTGGCTCCTCCTCCCGCCGGAGCGGCGGCTTTCTTCGCTGCGACTGCAGGAGGCGACGTCTTGGCGGCTTGTGGTGCAGTGGAGCTGGCTGGTGCTGGTTTTGCAGTTGCGGCTTTTGGTTTCGCTTTCCCTGACGGAACGCCTGCGTCTTTCGGAACTGTTGATGTTGTCGCGAGGCCAGCGGCAGCTGTCGTTCCGGGAACTACGGTGACAGCAGCTTTTTTAGCAGCTACAGAGCTTTTCGTGCCAGCAGATGTCGCTACCTTCGGTTTTGCAGCCACTGCTTTTCCACTTGGTTTTATCGGAGAAGTTTCGCCTTCGCCGGTTGCAGCAGGCTTCGCCAAAGCAGGACTCGTCGCTGGAGAGCCACCTATGGAAGATGGCGCACCAGCGGGCGACTGCGGACTCGCGAGCAAGGAAGAGCCGCTGCCACGGCGACTCAAAGATCGCTTGATGAATTTCAGGTCTCTGATTTCCTTCTGCTCCTTCGTTTCGGGCGGTTTCGTTTGGTCCGCACCCAGGGTCAGCCCCTTCTGCCCTACTGTTCGCAGCGTCGGAACGATCAGCTGCAGTAGGAAGAAAGGCGGAATAAGACCAATTAGCGTCAGCAGCATTCCGAAAAGTGAGACGAAGCAGACAAAGGTAAACAGCTTGCGAATAATCGCCCAGACGCTGTAAACACAGTTGAGATCGCCACTGCGCCACAACCCAAGGCGGACTTCCTCGTCGATAAAGCACACAAAGGGCCTAGGCGCAACGGTCGACTCGTAGTCCTTGTCACCTCAGATATGTTTATGTTGATGCCATCCATGATTTTTCGGCTCTTTTTCTGCCTTCCTCACGGAACGAACATGTAAACGTGCGCGTGCTGGGTATGAAAGACGTGTCATTTTTGGAAGCAAGAAAGCAGCTTCGTTTTTTTACTGCCTCAAACATCTTCAAAACTACCACCGCGGCATTATGGTTCCACCCATGGCCATGATGAAAAAACACAAAACAAATAGCTTTAATTCGCTTACATTGTGCTCGACACAGCGACCCGTTCAGGCTCTGATGCACACAGCCCCACAGATGGGAATGCTGCGGCAAGACGATGTCGTTTGGGTCGCAGTAGTTTTGGTAGCAGTCGCCCAGCCGGAAGTCCACCAGCTTGTCGCACTGCAGCATCTGTTCGGTGGACTTCGAGGAGCCGGCCGCGTGCCCGGGGTTGCACAGGTGCATGCAGGAAGCGTGCAGCGGGATCCACGCGTAGAAATCCGTTTGGTTCTCGCTCACCACGAGTTCGTTGTTGAAATCCGAGGAGGCCGCAATGGGGCAAGAGGTGGGGATGCTCGTCCCCGCAGCGTCCAGCGTTGTCGACTGCGTCACCGTGGTGGCTTCCTCGGATACCGGAACCTCCAGCGGATTCGAGAAGTAGTTGGCGAAGCCGTTCGGGGGGGCAAACACCCGACAGTGCGTGAGCGCAAGTTTCGCGTTTCGCACTGCGGGACTGTTCGGGTCGTCCGCAGCTTGGGTTTGGGAGGTGGCATTGGACAGGTTTGTCCCCGTAGCATTCATCTGCGTGCCCGCCTTGGCACCAACCTGTGAAATGACAGAAATCGTTGCGCCGGTATTATTCGCCGTCAAGTTCACTGTCACGTTCGCACCCACCCGTTGTTGCTGGGAGGCTATCAAGTGCAAATATGTGTGAGTGTGGATCTGCAAAGTCAAAACTTGATGACACACGGGAATTTACACTCATGTGAACATCAATACGAAATCTATATACTTTTGGATGACCACCATCACAAGGTCAAGGGCAGCCACGATCTCTCTACTTATCATACAAAAACGTAGTAGAACTCTGTGCGGGCCACGCATTACGAGAAAGCAAAGTCCTCCACAAACTTCAACTTGTCACACGACTCGGCTGCATTCGGATGTGTTATTGTTTTACTCATCCACATTTCTGCACGGCAAGTTTCCAGATTCGAACACATTTGCATTCCATAGCGGCTGCCGCGGCCTGATGAAGATGATGATGATGTGCTTTCGACACGAAAGAAGAAGACGCAACGCGATGACTTGCACTGTTTCTGTGTCTGCGTTGCGCGTTCTTCGTCCCTCTTTCCGCGTTTTGAAGAAGATGATCCGCGGACTTTATCCTGTCTCCAGCGTCGCCGTCGCCCCACCCGTCCCGTCTGTGCCCAGACCGGGTTTGTTGATGACGCATATTATGCTTATGTTGCAGGTCCAGATCATTGTGAAGACGCTGGTGGTGGCGGTCGCGGGAATAATCATTTTCACTGTGATCATGCGGGTCAAACGGGGGACCATGTTCTCGATGGTCGCCGCTGCGGAGGTTCAGAGCCGAGTCCGAGTCGTGCGATATCACTGCCATGTCGTTTGGCTCAACATGAGTTCTTGGAACGTGCTTAGTAGCGCACCCTCGTTGCGCTGACAGCAAAATCTGGCATGCAATGCCGAGCAGGATAATCGCGCATGGACGAGGCCATGGCGACCGCACCAGAAGTAGGACCGCATCCATCATAATTCGCCTCGTAGCTGCTCCCACTCCTCTGTGCATTCGTTTCTGCGCCGCAGTGTCGTGTGATGTATTATACGAATGCAAGAAGCATTATACGGCATAAGACATCAGCTACTGAGGCAAGGGCGGCCCGAGGCCTGCTGAGCCGTGGAAAGATTAAGATGAAATGAGCGAAGACCAGCTTGCTTGCTTCCTTGACGCAAAGATTGACATTCACTTTTTCACTATTGGACTCGTTTGGATCTTCCTTTGAGAAGCTATCAGACGAGTGACGCCATTCTTTTCAACTAGTAGAGGTACGTCAGCAATCTCATCTAGTTGTAGCCTTCCGTGTGGCACTTCGTTTACGTTTCTCCTATGTTTTCCTCTTTCGAGCAGATCGATAAAAATTCGAGGCAAAACACAAAACAGGTGCAATCTATGTATCACGCTCCTGGTGCTCTCTTTCAGTCTCGGTCTGGCACTTTTTCTCGCAGCCTGTAATTTCATATATCATTTGTTGCCACATGCGTTGTTGCTGCATCCAGGCAACACCAACAGCACTCCGATCTGCTCAACACGTAGCTCGAGTTCCCTCGATCTGGTGTATTTTTCGCTCGTGTAACTCGAGTTGCCTTTCCTTTTGATGGCGAGGTATTGTTCGACGAAACGATTTGCGGCTGCGTAAGCGTATGCCTGATGAAAAATGAAGCCTGCTCACAGGAGCAGGTGCGCTTTCCTTGCGCTTGTACCTTTAGGTTCCTATTCATTGATTCTTCTACAGCATGATGCGATACAACAGTACAAGACCATGACAAAGCCCACGTAGCACGTAAATTTTTAGTCCGCGCCGAATCTTTACGAATAGCAGTTCAAGTTCTAGCTTTGTATGTACAGGTAGATTATTAGCCTCTCTGGATTTTTCTGCTAGTGTGTGTGCTATTTCTTGGTCGCAATCTTTCTGCATCAGGATTCTCAATGTCTTTACCTCCTCTATAAGCAAATACTCAGATACACATACAACCGTTAGTGTACTTACTGGTATACAGGATTGATGATAAGTATTTTCGAAGTTCTTGCAGAGACCGGAGTGCTTGCTGAAACTGAAACTCCAGCACTAGAAGACAACTTCTCATAGTCATTCAATCATTTTCGATTTTGCATTTGAGTTTGAAGTTTGCTAACATTGCTAATAACAACATATGACAGGGGTAAACAAATGTATTGGTGGTAGCGGATTTTCTGGTATATCTGAAGTGGAACATCTCGGGCAATTCGGTTGAAATTACCTAAAACGTTTGGGTAACTAAGCAAGTGCTCTTGTGTGTCTGTCAAGCCGAAGTCACAGGAAATAAAATAGCTAAAGAGCCAGCAGTACAGCTGCAAGGGCAAGCCCGCGTGGTATACTAGCTCTCGGATTGTCAAGTGAACGTCAAATCATATTCTGCAAGCATTGAAAATTCGTATTATTCAACAAGTAAAAACTGCATTTTTCGTCGAAAGTCGGAAGTTTAGCTATCTTAACGTTGGGAGAGTTTTCCATCTTCTGCAAATTCAAATCTGAACCTCAAAGACAAACACGGAGGTCGAGGAACTCCACATTTTCTTACTTCACGAAGCTTTTGCCGTCTAATATCACCTCAACAAATAAATACAGCGACAGCAGCAAAATGAATTTCGGTCCATGAAGAAGTAGTACTTCACCTCGCACCACTTAGTCCTTAGTACCCGAACCCGCTCGTGTGGACGTTGTACTGCCCTGGTCCCGGGGTCAGGAAGGTCTCGATGTTGTGACTGACCGGGCGGCCCGTCACGGTCACTTTCGGCGTAGCGAGGGCTATGGGATTCCCAAGCGTTCTTACACTCTCAACTATCCCATGAATTTTTGACGCTCGGCGTGAAGGGGGACAGTCCAAAAGCAATACCCATGCATTGGAGGACGGGACCCCAACACCCAATGGGGGTGAGTAGAATCGATGCAAGAAAAGCAAAAGCAAAAGGGGTGGGGGAACCTTGCGCGTCTTGCGTTACAGATTTGAACAGATTCTAATGCTATTTAGCGCGCCGCGAACTTGTCATGCGAAGCGTAGTTATAGATATAGTGATTCTGCATCGTGACAAATGGCTCATGTGACAGCTGAGAGTGTAACTACGTTTGAGAACGCCATAGAGGTTCCGGGCAGGTTGTAGGCGCCGGGTCCGGGATAGCCCTGTCGACCCTGGCCGGCAATCCGACCCGCGACGTCGCGGGTGGAAGTTCCGAACCCACACTTGATGCTACTGAAAGCCTGCGGAATGCTGTACGCGCCCGGTCCGGGAATGGAGGAATCGGACACGGACTTCTGCAATGCCTTCCGACCACGGGCAGTGAAGCGGGGACCATGGCCTAACGTTTTCGTTTGGAAGGTCGAGGCGGCAATTAAAAAGTTGCTACGAAAAAAAAAAAATGTTGCAAATAATATAGTGCGTTTTTCACTTTTTCTCGAACGAGTCTACCGAGGATAACAATTTCAATTTGTATTTGACTCAAGATGAAACGCATTCAGTATAACAAAAGTAAGTACTAGAATTATCTCAATTACCAACGGTGGACCGGAATTCGTATGTTCCTGGACCTGGCTCCCGATGCTTGTGATCCTTCTTGTCGCGTGGTGCGTTTCCGAAGGTCACACGGTAACTAGAGCTCAGCTGACCTGGTTCGTACTCACCTGGGGCGGGTGTGTCGCCCAACCTCTTCGGAAACCGCCGGCCTTTTCCGAAGGAAATGTGCGGAAAGCCCTTCACCCTGATTTCCCAAAAAAATCAGTATCAGAAGATCCAAGCTCGATAATTACGATTATTTTATAGCACAATAAACCATTTTTCTTTTCTACTTGCTCGAACAAATCCAGAGCAAAGTGAAACAAGTCTTTTTTTTTTCAATAGATTTAGAAAGGATCGCAAAATAATAGTAGGCACTTGCTGTTTGCCGTGTCCTTGACGTTGTAGGTTCCTGGTGCTGGCCCCTTGTATTCATCGACGGCCATGGGATCACCAAACTTGATCTTGACGCCCATGGTGAACTTCGGCCCCCGCTTAAATTGTGACAGCGTTTGGATGTGCCTGTAGTGGTGTGGGTGGATTCTTTGAAATGACAATCCCATTGGCATTTGGGTCCTCGTTTTGATGCTGTTGACTTTATCGTATGCAGCTGCGGGGAAGACGACGAGAAAGACAAAGAAACAAGGCGAAACTCTAAAAACAGAAATCAAGCCTCACAAATTGATGTTGATCATCGTCATCTAGTATGAAAGTGAATCAAAACTAAAAGCACATCTTCCTTCATGTACGTTGGTCCCGCTTTCATTTTTCGGACTACGTCCGCTTCTGGCATTTCATACACTGGTCGCTTGAGTCTTCTGTCGATATGTCCTGTGGCATACAGTTGCACTTCTCGATCATCATGCTCGTGCGCAGCCTTCCCTGGCACCATCCAGCTCTGTTATTTTTGTGTTCTTGGCGCTCAAAAATGCGTTGCTTTATTTGTTTCAGTTCTTCACAACAAATGGAGAGCGAGAAGCGTAACGATGGCGATAGCTTAGGTTAAAGATCATGCTTTATTCGCGGTCGAGGAGCATATTAGGCAAGATTACCTGACTCATGCTGTGCTCGCCCTCTAACCGTGCATGGGCCGCTGGTGAAGTCGGTTCTGCGGGTGTGCCGGTTTCGACGTCCTCTTTTGCTTGATCCATTGCTTGGTCCGTAATTACCTTCGTTTTGGAGCGACTGCATGTGAAGCTGGAGAAGTGCCAGTACGTAAGTACTTACTTTAATACTAGCAGACCAAGTGGTGCGGATTCAACCATACATGCAGTGTTGAAGAGCAGAATTGACTTCTTCGGTGTACGAGGACATACAGGCTACTTACTTCTAGTCACACCCGCTTCGACCGCCTCGAGACAAGTAGCATGATGACTGACGTCGAGACTCACTTTCGTCCCTTTCTTTGACTGTCAAGATGTGAGTGTGCGCTTTATTTGTTCATGGATTCAGACATGATCTTTTTTAGAGCATATACATACAACTGCATCTCCTGGAATCGAGCTAGTTGCCGAAAACAAAATGAATCTTCAGGCTCAGCCTCGTCAGATTCAGCCTAAGAAAGTGCAACATATTACATAGTAACAAGTACCCCCAACAAATTGAGTTTCAGTGAGGACTCCAGTTCCTCCGTTGTTTTATCCACATTGGGTGAGACGATGACGGTCTCTTCGCCCTCCTGCGCGACGGTGGTTTCCACCGTCACCGTGTGCTCCTCCACTTCCTTCTTCGTCGTGCTGGAAGCTACCACCGGCTCCTCCACTGGAGCTGCAGCGGAGGAGGATGTTGACATGATGATCACTCGCGCCTACTAGGGTGTCAGTAGGTAGTAAAAAAATATGTCAACGGAAGTGAAACAGGCAATGCAAATCCGTACGTGAACCGTTGTAGCGGCAAGAATCAAGGCTCGCTTACATGTATTGTGATGGGTCGTGTATACGGAATCAGGACTCCGACTCGTCGTCACGAGTATAATAGAGAATTATCAGAGCCCCAATGGCAATGAGCAGTGGTGAAAAACTACGTTTTATCACATGCAGTTGTAATTGTACACAGGAGAAAATTAACTTGCGATATCGGCGTGGCAACCTATGCGGCAAGTAGGCAAGTGATAGCAACTAGGTTGATAAACGTGGAGATGTGGCCCGCTGGCAAATCCACAAGAGCCACCACTACTTCGTAGAATAAATAGTACCTTTGACAATTAAAGTAGAGGCAAGTTCTTTTTCTTAACAGCTTTCTTTATCAAAAAAAGCACCACGCACTATAGTATTTTAGAGAAGAATGATCGACGGCCAACAACATGCAATGACTCATGTCGCATAGACGAGTGCGACCACGAATGCGATGATGATTTACTTCGAAACGAAAAATGAAACCACGAAACGAATACCCCACCCGCCCACAAATTTGCAGCTGATCGGAATTTCACGTAATGCCGTTTGCTTTTTTTTTGCTTTATTTGACGAGCGTCTCGAGTTCGACATCCAGGCTAGTGGTAGGTGCAGATTATGAGGTTCTTGCGAACGAGAAAAATACGAAATAATGCGCTTGTTATAGTTGCTGACCACGACCGTACGAAATCGATTGGTGTATTTCTTCGTGGGCGTTTTAGCTTGATTTGCGCCCCTATGATACATAACCTGAATCACTCGAAGGACCAAACACAACCACAAGTAGTTGAAACACACGCCGCTCATGCGAATGTCGAGAAACATACATACACACATACACGCTCCACGCGGCTCTGCGAGAGGTTTGTGGTGCTCTAAATTTGACCCTGTCTCCCGGAAAGCGATCCACCCAACGTAGTACGGGCGAGCAAGGGTGTGAAGGAACCCTCTGCGTTCGTGATGTGGACGAACGCCGCAAGAGGTGAACAAGGATCCTGGAGGTGCCTGGGCCGCCCTTTGCTGGGGGGGGCGACTTAGAGCGCACCGGCGGGCTCTATATCCATGCTCCTGATGGCCGCGTCAATGCGTCTTCGCTACGAGCGTCGTGTTGATTGATTTTGCCACGATCTTTCAATGTCGGCGGCGGGCTACGATCCTTGTGCCGCGTGCATCGTGCATCCTGCATTCTAGCGGATGCTACTGCTCCATCTCTCCACAGACAGAGAGAGGAGGGGGGGAATCTACTACGAGCAGGCCCCCCGATGCCAGGGGAGCCTCTACGGCAGCAACCCGGAGGGCAGACGCGGACGCACGGGAAAGGCGCAGGGCCCAGCCCTGCGAGGGCATTGCATGCGTCCACGCGTGTAAGTAAGAGCAATGTGGGGCGCAGCCCAATCCTCCGGACGCGGGCCCATGGCTTTCTGGTGCTTGCTAGGTGGCAGGGAGGCGCATGGCAGTCGCGGGCCTTCGTGTCTTGCACATCTTTGCGCGCTCGCTGCGTGGCCCTGTATTGGCGTCCCGTTGTCGTATGCTCCGGGGCTGCACACGCAACCGATCGGATGCGACGGGCATGCCACAGGGGAGGCTACAGGGGCGTGGGCAATGTTTTTAGACGCTGAAGGCGGCGCGCGATGGTCTAGCTGCGAGCTAGTCCTGCTGCGGCGAGCGTTCCACGGACGGAACTAGGCCAGATGCTCCACAGGCCTCGCGTAGCTGAGGCGGATACATTGTCTCACTCTGAGCGCGTTGCCGGTCGGTCCTGGCATCTGCTGGGTCCTAAAGACAGACCAAGCACTTTTGTGCTCCGAGCACATGGGCTCCCTTCCCTACAAGGGCGGGAGAATGTCGAGAAACGAAAAGTAGGCTCGTCTCCGATATGTATCTATGTTAATCATATTTTCGGAGCTACGACAAGATATTGTGTCATCTTTTTATCGAAACTCTTAGTCTTACACATACACCACAAAGAGGGCTACAAATTCAAATGTTCGACCACGAAGGGATTTTTGCGCAGGTTGCAACCGCTGTCGTGTTTGTCCTGCTGGTGCTGCTGCATTTCATTTGAAGATCGATGTAATAAATAAGTATGCCGCCTTGTCTTGGCGGCTTTCTTGGAAACCAAAAATCTTGATCTTTTTACTTGTCCCACTCCACCTAAGAAACGGTGGCAGAACTACCTGAGCCAATCAATATGAAGTAAAGTCAAACAGCTTTATACTTCTTCATTTTCCAGCGTACAAAGTAGATCGTCCGCGAAACTGTGTTCGGGTCCTTCAAATGTGACATTTACGCTTGTGTCGTACCAAAACGCCAGATACTTCGTAAACGATGCGGACGCGCGGCTCAACGGAAAGAGAGTGTTCGTCTCTGTGCTGCCCTTGACGTATTTGACTTCTTCCAGCTGCGCCAGCAATTGCCCAAGGTGGCGGGAGGCACATCGAAATCCGAATCCATGCAAGAACCACAGCAGGGACACTGGGTCCGTTCCGGCAGCCAACAGGGAGGTCGGCTGAAACTCGAGCCAGATGTGCTTGATCCTTCTTTTACGTAATAAGGTTTCGGCCCCCCGCAGTACAGAAAGCTCATATCCCTCGACGTCGATTTTCAGCAAAGAGATCTCGTCTACGTCTTGTAGTCGAGGGCGCAGCTCATCAATATCGCTTTCGATCTGATTCTGATATTCCGCTTGAGAAGATGAAAATGCTCCACGACGACCCGCCTCGTTGACAGAGTGGTTGGAAACAAATACCTCGTGGTGAGAAGCAGAAGCTGCTACATCAGAAAACGTAAAAAATGCATCGAGGGTCTCGACTTGCACGTCTTCGAAACTTGCACCCTCTGCGCGGCTCCCAAGGAAGTCTTGCTCGTGTAGGGAAGTGTAGTCGCCTCGGCGCTCGATGCGAACAGTTGTTTTCTCATCCCCAATAGCAAACGCAAAAAGGTGGTAGCGGTGTTTGTGCATGTTGCGTTTCTTTCCAACATCACACAGGTCCTCGTTTCCAACAAATTCGTTGACGAATTTCCGCCGCAAGTCTTCGCAGAAATTTCGACGCGGGCACTTGTTCCAGCGGTACCCATAAAAATATGTCTTCGCTTGATTGCGATTGCCAGAGTCTTCTTGCCGTTGCCCTTGTTCAACCGCATGCTCTGGCGCTGGCTTCGCGGATTGAGGTTCAAGATACCCAGCGGGAAACTCAACAGCAGCAGGCATGAATTCCATACGAAATACGTCATTTAAAATGTAATTTGCTCGGTCGTCGCGCTGCAACGGAAAAACTGAGGCGCTGCTCGCGGCGCTTTGAGCTTCCTTCGCCTGGACATCCTGGGCCGACGTTATCTCCTCTGTAAGATAACCTAGATCTGAATCTTCGTGACCGTCGTGCATTTTGACGTTACAGGTTCCATACACCCTCAAGGTTTTTTCAACGAACTGTCTACGATTTTCGGCCACCGGCTCAAAGCCAATAGTCTGAAAACCGGCCTCAATCGCCGCCGCAGCCCAGTCGCCACCGTCGAAAACGCCAACATCCACGATCAACGGCGGTGTCGTTGTACTAGCGCGCTTTTTGGCAGAATCCAGTGTCTTGAGACTACTTCTTCGTCGCTTCTCCTGTGCTCTCTGTTCATCGGGAAACAAAAACTGCAGCATCGAAAAGGCGTTGTCGCTGTGGGCCGGATCCAGCACTGCGATTTTGGGGTCTTCCTGCAACATACGGCTCTTGTTGTGTCTGTTTTCCTCCGTGTCTGGGACTGGGTCTGCGCTCGCGGATGACAATGACGAAACGGTGTACCGCGGTTGGGGTTTGAACTCTAGCGCGTGAATCTGGTCGTAGGCGAAAGTCGTAAGGTTCCAGCGCACTTGCTGCTCCTCCTGCTCGTCGCGGATCCGCCCCGGGCGAAACTTGCCCCACTTTATGAGTTCTTTTGCGAGCAGAAGGCCGATCTTCCCGAAAGGAAATTTGAAAAAGTGGAGTTGCAGTGGGTAGTCCGCAATTTCCGCCTGAATCCAGCCTAGTGGCGATTGGAGGCGGGTCACAGAGGACGCAACTAACCGAAAGACGGAAGGAATTATAGCAGCGCCATTGGTTCGCCGGATTGCATGGGTAACGTCGCTTGCATGTTGGCCTGGTAGTCCCAGAGATTTTGCGATGAGCTTCTGAATGTCGTCCTGGTCATATGGATTGTAAGTAAAAATGTCTGGGTCTGGAAGATTAGAACTTGTAATGCTAGCTTTCCATACCTAGAAAATCTGTATTGCATAACCAACAAAAGTCGCAGCCTCTTTTGTCATGCAAAAACGCAGTCTCTCATGCGGATTGCCTATGACAAAGCGTTTTGGGAAGTTGTCATGCCGGACTGCATTCGGAAGTGTTTTCATCATGCACATTTTAGCATCACAAGCTTCCAGACCCAGACATTTTTACATTTGATAGGTCATCTACCGGGACAAAAAGTCTGTGGTGCAGTTCGATCAGGAAAAAGATGAACGCGAGAAAGCCAGCCCAACACGTTTTCCGAAATCGAAAATACCACGAACGCAACAGAAACAGAGGCAGCCTTGAAGTTTCTGAAAAGAGACCAGGGATATCCACTGCAGGTTGTACACGGCTGGCTTCTGGATCTTCGCGAGTGATGTAGTAAGGCTCGTCAGCGGCGCTCCCACCCAAGACACCGCTTGCAATTTCGGCCGCATTTCTTGACCGCAGAGAAGCAGCCAAATTAGCTTGCGAATCCCTGTGTGCTTCATCTTGTTGTGCCATGTCGTCCTTTGCCCAGCTGTTTTTTCGCTCTTCAACATTTCCGGCTCCGGATGATGAAGCAGTTCGTCCTTCTCGCCCAACAACTTGTTCATCACGTTCCTGTTCTAGCTGCTGGCTCAGCCGGTGGTAGCCTTTGCTAAGAAGTCGGGGAAGCTTTTTCCACACCTCGTGTGCACACTGTGGTCGTGCGATTTCGGGATTCTCCATCGCCTCCCGGAGGGGCGCAGAGGGGGGAGCTGCGTAAAAGTTCTGCTTTTCATGATAGATACCGTGCTGGTACAACCAATAAACGTTCTTGCTGGTCAAGGCCGGAGCAGGCGCCTTCGGTAACGGTAACTCGGCGATGGCGAAAGTGACTCGCTGGATATTACCGCAGGACCAAAGAAATAGAAGCGAGATCATGAAACGGAGAGACGGCGAATATCTCGCTGACGAGTCAGCATGTATCCGCCGCATTTTTGGCGTTGTTCTCAACAACTGACAAAATACGCGCAATAGTGCAGCCTTGTAGCAGCTGTTTTCCATGTCGATGGCTTAGGTCTCAGATGATATTGCTGGGTCGGCCCATGCTTGTATAGTATTCCGGTGTAGTACGGGCGGTGGCATGACATGATGTTTTTGGTCGTGTTGCTTCATCAAATTAATACGTCGTCATCAACACAATGACGTAGCCTGCCGTGGAGTTTGAGCAAACCCACAAGGAAAAACGAGAAACGCATCAAAAGCAATCATCTCGTTTTCGAAAGACAAAGAAAACACCACGAATGATGAAATGATGATCACAGATGTGCACATTGCAACAACGTCAAAGCTGAACAGGTTGATCGCGGTCATCGACCGAACAGGGTCCAAGTTCCATCAGGACGATGTAGCCATAAGAACCAACTCGTCCGCATAGTGCTCGATGTGCTTCCTTTTGCTTTTCACTGTCGTTTTCTTTTATTTCACCTCATTCTTGCGTCGCTTTCTTAATCGTAGATACTCGGGGAGGTTCGTCGCTGAAAATAGTTAGATCTACATATGGAATCAGGTTCGCCGCTGCAGTTACGTGTAGGTACAACAGGTAGACTAGGCTAGGGAACCCCTAGAAAGAAATAAACGAACTAAATCAGTCACTTTTTACAACTTGTTGTCGGCGTTTTATATGTGCTTGTAAGAAGACTGGTCGACGGTCAACTTCTTGGAGGTACTTCGCTGATTTTGAACTGCAACAAAATCCAGGCGTCCAGAGCAGCGTAGGCTCTTTGCTTTTCTGTCAGAGGACGTCGGCACCAGTCGCTTCGCTGGTGCGTCTTATCGAGAAAAAGACCAAGTTCCTCCCGCGCTTTCCGGGCCAGGCCAGTGCGTCGATCCTGTCCTTGTAAGTCGATCGCCAACGAACGCGGGAACTGGGTGTCTGGCCTGCCATCTGCAAAGGCAGCTTGCTTCTCGAGTCGGCGAAGAACTTCGAGCGATTCGACCTCCTTGAAACAGTCAGTCGCTTCGCTGGCAAAAGGCCGGTCCGTCGAGCGGTCTTTGCTAGTAGTTCTTGCGATGGGAATAGAATTTTTTGCCTTGTTCATCTGCTCAATAAAAGTAGCTCGCAGTCGTCGGAAGTCTTGTTGAAACGAAAATCCCAAGATGATCAGCTTTTGACTTGCAAGATTTGCCAAAACTTGGGTTTGAAAGGCCTTGCAATGCTCGGGGTTCAGGAAGTCATACAGAAAGACTTTCTCTTGCGACACCGCGACCTGTGCGAGTGCGATTCCGTTTTCGACTTGAGGATGAAGACGCGTTTCTTGCTGGACCACGGTAACATCTTCTGCATCGTCTCCATCGTGCGTGCTTTTCTTGTTTTTCCTCCTCCGGGAGCTGCAGCTGCCTCCGCCTCCCCATTCGCAATCAAGCGCGATCACTTTTTGTGTTTGCAGCTGTTCTTTCTCGAGCGTCTGAGTCGCGGAGTCTGAAAAATTGCCAGTACCGACCAAGTTGAGGAAGTCTGCCGCAGTCAAATCTGGGTCGCAGTCGAGCACTTGCACAGTGTCCGGGAGTGCAAAATATGATCTCGGTGCCGATGCCGCATTTCCATTTTCGTAGTTGCGGGTGTGGTCACTGTTGTTCAGAGCACCGTCTTCACGAAAACCGTCAGGCTCGTCCCTGACGTGCTCGTCCGCACTGTCGAAAAGAAGCTCCGCTCCGCGTGCGCGGTCCCGGTCGCCACAAGCTGTCGCTTTTTTTCTTCGTTTCGCCCGCCTTCCCGTGCCCTTTTTTTGACCGATTCCCAGGTCCGGGCAGACTGCACCAAGAAACTCGCGAAGGCCCTCTGTTGCAATCTTCAACGCGTTGGTGTTATCGGTTGAAGGTGGTCGTGGAGAGGAGGAGTTGCAAGGAGCTTCTACGACGTGATCCTGTCCTCCTGCACTCAGAGCTTCAGCCGCTGTGGTGCGTGCTCCAGCGGCGTCCAAATTTTCAGCCTCGGCCTTCATCTTCGACGCAAGCAGCGCTGTGCTGCTGCGCCAGACCTCCAGTGCAGCATCGACGCCCACGGCGTTCTGAAATTGGAATTCGACCGGCATGTCGAATTCCAGCGCACGGCATGCCTTTACCAGCACTTTTAGCCCGAGGTGATTGGAAAATGCATGGCTCGGCGCGCTGAAAGGTGAAGCACTGCATCCGCCTGACAATGACGAAAGCCGCAAATCCGAAAGCACAAACTCACCGAGTCCTAAAGACAAAGGCTTTTTATTCATCTCCTTCTCGTCCACAGGTAAGTCATTTTCACATAATGTTGTTCCACCCACTGCTCTTGCCTTAGAACAAATGTCCGCCCAACTAGTGCCTGTTTCCACATTTTTCGGTGCAGGTGCAGTCAAATGCTTGCAGGCTTCGCCGGCAGTTATTTCTTCGTCCAGCATCTGCAAAAGCGTAGCAACCGTAGCGCTGTATGTTGCGATGACTAGCTGGATGAAATTTGCGTGCCACCCGGGCGCATGATTTTTTTCCTTTCTGTTTCTGTCACCAGTTGTTCGCTTTCGTAATTGTTCTAGATGCGCTTCCCATTCAGTGTGCTTTGTCTGAACCTGGCGCCATCGTGAAAAGCCATCGCACAAGAGGTGTCCTAATTCGATCTTTGCAAAACCGCGACTACCACTCGTGCCCACGACTCCGTCTGCAGCCGGTGGTGGTGCGCCTTCTTGCATACGATCGAGCTCCACGAGCAAAACCCCCAATGCTTCCGAAGCCATGCAGAAGCCAGCTTTCTCCAGACAAGCAAAGAAGTATGTGATAGCCGTGGCGCTGTTGAAGTTGGACAGATGCGGATGCGCAGAAAGCCGAGGCTTTGTCTTGCTAGTACAACCTTCGGATAATTGCGCTACTTGCCTCCCGTGCGGTTGAGAACCGTCGTGCTGGTCTGCGTCACAAGGATTCTGTCTCCGCTCAATCAAACTGTGCAGCGCAGCTTTCACCCAAGCTTGATGGTTTCCTGATGATGATGAATACAGCGAGCATTTATTCGGTTCTTGTGGCAGTCTGGTGCTCGCACAACTTGTATTAGCATGATCAGACGAAGAACAGGAGGAAGAAATATGAATATCGCCGTTGCCTTCGACTCTTTCCATTCCCTCGAGCACTTCTAACGGAACATCCAAAGGATGCGTAGGTCGTGGCGGCATATAAAGAAACGCAGCTGCTCGAGCCGTGACGCAATCGGATTGGGCAATTACTGCACTTCTGCAAGAGCGCAGGATATCGGTGACATTTTTCTGCTTAGCGCAAGAATTTGTATTTGACCTTGCGACGTTCTCCGAAATAAGCTTGTTTCTGCTTTGGGTCACATTGGCCTTGCTTGTTGTAGAACAAGTTGAGCTCGTATGGTCGGAAAGAATCAGGCTTCCCAGGTACTGCTGTATTGCGGCGAGGCTGTCGCAGTCTTCGAGTCGAGGTGTCGAATCGGCGGTCGCGTTGTTCTTCGAGGAAGTGCACGTTGTCTCCCACTTTTTTGGGAGGACGACGCCGCGAATCGTCTCTTGCCAGAACGTCGCAGGTGTGCTTCCCGTTCTTGTAGCTGCCGCATCGCGCCTGCTGTTTTCGTCTTGTGGGGCGCAGGAAACTACCTGCTGTTCTTCCATGCCGCTGATGAAGAGCGGGTTTCTCGGGTGAGTTTTCTGGTACTCCGCGATCGCCAGGATTGCGTTCGCCGTGCTTAGCAGAGGCAAGGGATCAAGCGAGATGCGCGAGTCGCCTTTTAGCTGCTGGCCGTCCGGAGAGTAGCACGGGCTCAGCCAATAGCGCTTGTGCAGAAGCAGCACCCATCGGTAGGGTTTATGATCTACTTCCTTGTCCTTAAGCTCGCGCAAATCCGTTTCGAAGTTCTTCGTCCAGAAACCACTACAAAAGGCTTTCGAGCCCTTTTGTGCTGCGGGGGCAAGAAACTCGTAGGATAGCGGATCCACATCTTGCTGCTCATCTCCTTCTTGCTCCTGTCGTGACAAAAACGCGGTTTGCTGCCAATCGCGAAAGGACCAAAATACCCAACCGCGCAGGAGTAGTGCACTTTCCAGGTGCGCTGTTGTAGCTACACTGTGACCGTCGGTTTTCAGCTTTATTTCTCTCCATTTCTCCTGCACCTCCTGGATTCGCTCGTGGTAGTCTAACAACCGCCACAGGAGGCTTTCGTACAGAAAGGCGCCGTTGGAGCGTGCGGCAAGCACGAAGCGCTCATCCTCTCGCCGAATTTTTAAGTTGGACGACGAGTCGGCCGCAGCCGGGATGTCGGTGTCCTCGCTCAAACGCGACATCTCTGGTGCAATACTGCAGTGGATAGCAGACTCGACATGCAGCGTAGTTGTTTCTTGGCTCGTCCGAGAAGAATGGTCAGCAGGTGGTTCCGCTCGTGGGATCATTTTTGTCGAGTCAGAAACATCGTTGCAGGCGCGCTGCTCTACAACTCGCTTTACCTCCTCACTTGACCTTGAAGCTTCAGGAACAAATAAATCCCAAGAACGACCGCCCGACGGACGCGGAAGACTCGTCTGCCGATTTTTGCATGCATCATCAAAAGCGTTTCTGCGCGTCCTCAACAGGAATCTCGGCACCACGTCGTCGCCGAGATCGCGTCTGGAGATACAGTTCTCGAAAAAAACGGGGCAGTTGGAAAAAAAATACTCGAGCAGCCGACTGAAGTAGTAACCCAAGCGTATGTGGTGCTTCTCCTGCAACAGAAAATTTACCAGGTCGGACGCTCCGCGACAATCGCAATTCGAATTGTCTGTTGTACTTGTAACTCCCTCTGCGCAATGGACCGTGATTTGCTTTGCAGCAGCCTCCGTGTCGCTTGTTTGGGCCATGAATAGCACTTCATGTTGACGCAGGGCTGCTTCTTCCTGAGAACCACTTCGACTTGTATTCAAGTCCACGGTCTGCCTTTTTCGAGTGCCGGTATCTTGCAGCTCCAGGATCACATAATTTAGGTCGGAAGTACAGCAGGTCGTCGATGTAGAAGAGGCCAGGTCCTGGTCCTCTGTTTTAGAAAATGACAATGAGGAATTCCGGCCATCCTCATCGTGCAACTGCAGGCGCAGGGACTCCTGTTGCTGCCCGAACGAGTTCACCACGGTCTCGTTCTCTTCTTCCTCCCGATGTTGAAGATCGTTGCAGTCTCCATCTTTATGTGAATGTGATATGATGTTGCCTCCTGCGCCTCGTGTTATTGAAAGCGAATTCGGATAGTTTGTCGCGCTGTCTGTATCTAGCCGATGCAGCCAGTCAAGCACTTCCTCATTTTGCACAATTTTTGCCGCCCACTTGTCTTCAAACAGCGGCAAGTAGTCTTGGTTTTCGGAGCTGAGCAGGTGCGGGCTGGCAATACAGGAGTACAGGTCGCGTACAACTTGTGTCTGGAAGAAAGGCGTGGCGGGAAGTTTTTGCTTCAAGTTTTTTGTGTAATTCCTCTCGTCCGGTGTCATGGTGTTTTTCTTTTTCTTTGCTTGATTGCGATTGCCCTATGGCATTTATTAAAACGAAAATCACAGGCAAAGATAGACTACAGACGAAAGAGAAAATAGCAATAGAACCAATCACTCGGCACAACAAGCCAAGCCAGCAACATCTTCAACACCAGAATGAGACACGTTTAGAGACGTAAAAAAACGCGAAAATTGAAATTCAAAAATTCGCAATAAGAATAACTTACTCCATCTTCAAGTTGTAGTCAGTTCCTGCGCTTCAGAACAAGACAAGGTACTGAGGTCCATCCTCATAATACAACAAGTCTTTCACTTCATACTTGTTACGAGTTCCGATCGCGATCAACTTTGTATGCTATAACTGAGCAGGTACTGGTGGGCGTGGGTTTCGCCGTCGATCTTCATGATCCATCGGTCGAGCACATATCTCATCTCACTGAAGTATGATCCCTGGGCCTGGACCTGTATTTTTTGTGCAACAAAGAACTGTTGGGGGAAGGGAACTGTCAGTCGCAACTCCGAACCTAAACATTAAAAATCCTCGCGATTGTATTTACAAATACATACTACACTGCATCGGCAGGGCAAATATTTCTTGTCCTCGGAGATGCGACCTGCGTGCGTATTTTTGTTCTTCAAACTTGTCCACATCCAGTTCAAAGCAGACATGAACGGCTGCAGGGTACACAGGACATATTTGGAAAGAACGGCTTAATATCATCGACTGGAGCAAACAATACTAGCATCCCGGTAAGTTGGTCGCCTTAATTTTCCGATGTGATGAATGTGAAAATCTTCACGTTGTACTTATTCGATTTCGGAAGTTGAACACGGGGTGACTATGATGAAGAGCCCGGGAGCAGGAAAAATCGTCGATGTAATCCTTGCCCGCCAGATTCTGTCTCACCGTCTGCCAAAGTAGAAGTGAATGATCTACAGCGGTAGCACTGTTTCGGTGTCGCTCAGCTGCACCCTTCATGTGTGCTGATCGGCTTTCTTATTGTCATTCTTTTCAATTTTCTAAAATCAATACCATGTTGCATTTCAGTCTCACAGATTCTGCAGCTCGGGCACTGACTGCATCAACCTACGCGGCCCCACTTTTTCACTCTAGGAACTTCAACTTCCTTTCTGGTTTGCAGTTGCACTTGCACAACAATATCGTAGTGGAAGTGAAAATAGACACCATCGCGATGATGTGTATCATAGCGGGTACGTAGAAGGTACGAATGCGAAAACAAGGTGGACGTCTGCTACTAGCAGGTCTATTGGGATATTGGATTTGGATGTTCATCCTTGGATTTGCAGCTTTTACCCAAAATAAATATACTTAGACCCAACTTCGCAGGGTACCCAGATGAGGATGGCACGCAGGAACAAAAAATAAAGTAACAGATTCAGATATTTTTGCAAGTAATCAGCTTTATTCTTTATTTGGTTTTCGTTTTTTGTTTGGATTCTGCTATTCCGAATGTAAAACAAAACGCAATAGCAGAGACAAATACTCCGAAGCATTTCTCGAATAAAATTTCTTCAATGCATCACGACAGAAACAGCTTAGCGTCTAGATGAACGTTAACCACGCTCTACTGAAAGAAAATAAGAGTAATATAACCACTTCTACGGAAAAATCAAAGGAACGTGGCACAGTGACGCAGATTCGGCGCATTATAATATCCTCGAGTCGTCCTCGTCCGACTCAACGGAAATTAGGGATGCATCCGATCCGTTCGTCCAACCACCTGCACATAACGAGAATGAATCTTGTGTGCAAGTGTAGAAAGTAGTAGAAGGCCGATAAATATGTACGTTTCCATTTGACTCCCCACCATTTTTAGAGAGAATGAAATCACTAGCTACCGGCCCAAAAAAGCGAAATACTTACATCAATATTCGCCTCACAACTAGAGAATGCCTTGGTGTTCTTCTTCACAGCAGACTGTCTCCACTTGTTGACATTCACTAGAAGATACACATCCGACATAAAGAAGCTTTCCGAACCGAACGACAAATGAAGCAGCGGATGATCCGGAAGATGAATTATATGCTCACGTTCATCAGCTTTTTATTTCTAGCTCTAATCCTGCTTGATTGACATAGTCATTTTGTGGGTTCATCTTCTTGCACTACAGTCGTGCGCGTGCCCCCACCCACGAAAATCGAGTACCGAATCCAACTCGAATTTTTGGTAGAGATAGGTGGTGGAGTAGACGAAAGATAAAAAGATATATACATTTGCATGCTTACCTGTACCCACTGGAAGATATCAGTACATTTGTTGATCCCGGTAGCTTTTATGCTACTTAAGTTCACTTCCGACACTGTGTAAAGTAGGTAGTTAGTCCAGAGGGAATTTTACGAGGTTGACAAGCTCGAGTTTGTACTGATGCGCCCTGTTTACAAACCAGTCGTCCTGAAAGTGCTGCAGCAGCCGAGTAAGTCGGGCTTGTTCGAACAGCCCCAGTACCGGGTTCATATCGTGGCAAGTGTTGAGCGTTCTGTGCAACAAGCTCCTCGCCTGGTCCCGGTCCATATCTAGATTCGCAGGGGTCGGCTCGTGCGCCGACCGCGCGCCGCCGTCGAGGCAAATGCGGAGCAGAACTTCGACAACCAGACCAAGACAGACTCGGAGCGTCGTTTGGTACCACTTGGCGGCCTTCCGCCCGTCGGACTGGAGCTGCGTCGTCCACAGATTGTTCACCAGAGCGTCTTCCTCTTCATCGCGATTTGCTGCAGCGCCTCCCGCTGCTGCGTCCGCCTGATGCTGCTCCGCGGCTTCCCGAACCAGATCGTAGCCCAATGCGACACTGACGCCGTCACTGCTCGCATGTGGGTCCTGGGAGCCCCACCGCACGTCAAGCAATGCGTTCAAAAATTGCCAATCTCGTTCCAGATCTGCAATGATGTCCCTCGTCGGGGCAGCCACATATATAAGGCGTCTCCACTACCAGGTAAAACACGTTGGAGTTTCCTCCCGCCTGTGGATCCTGAAGATCATGCAGCATTTGCTGATTCGGGACATCATCAATATCCCGCGCCCCCACGACTGCCGGGCGGGAAAGCGGCACGACCCGGCACCGGCGAAAACCGAAAAAAGTCTGCCCCTGCGGCCCCGCGAAAGCTGCAACAAGATCCTGGTGCTGGTTTGTATGGTACGGATACGCATACCCTTCACGCTGCACCATGCCGACGAGCTCTTGGTAGAAAGAAACAGGTCCGCGAACGTAGGACAGACGGACTTCCGGGAGTGTCAAAAAACCAAAGTGAATGAACGGGCGATCGTGCCCTGCATGGTGTCGCGGGTGTCGGTTCAGCAAGTCGAGGCCGGAGGCTGAGCGAGAGGCCACGGCCTGCCATTTTTCCATGGCTTGCTTCTGCGCAGAATGCACCGCCTCCACAAAATTCACCGCCGACCTGGAGATATTAGGTGAAAGCCGCATCACGTTTCGCAAACTTTTCCGATCGTCGTCCGCGGTGGAGGTAAAGTTTTGGATCCAGGCGCCGCCTGCTAGAACATCCGGAACTGCTGGGTACGGACGGGGATGCGTGGGCTTTACATATGCTGACTCAAACCAGTACTACCCCCCAGCATTGCTCATCCTAGGTTTATATGAAAGGAAAAACTCGTCGTGCGCATGCGCTACATACAGATTAGGTTAAGGTTTATCTTTAATACATCTATAATTTGATATCTTTTTCTTTTTATTCATTTTTTATTTTTCTCTCGGTGACATGCACTAAAAAGTTGTCACGAACTATATACGAATAACTGAGACTGAGGTGATGCTGGGGGAAGTGAAGGTTGTGCATGGGATACCAGGGGCTTAAGCATCACAAAGAAGGACTCTTTCGCGAGCTCATCGCGATCCGCAGGGGACGCCGGGCGGTTGTGTCTTTGCACGAAGTGAGAGAGGTCCCCGAAGGCAGGAGATAGTACGGTGATCGAGAAGCCGAAGTGGTGGTCTTCAATAAGCTTCTGCAAGAAGTACTGTGCTGAGTTGCCAGCAGCTACTGCGGGCGGAGAACTCGAGAGGCCCTGTGTTTTGGAACGAATGTTGTATGCCCTTTCACATCGCTGCAGCGCGTATTGCTTCAGTACCCTTGCCAGTTGTTGGGCGTCTTCTTGCATTTGCCGAACTCGGCCAGGGGAGGTCGCGGTCCTTGTTGCATCGTCGGGAAGTCGCTGCAAGTAAACCTGGATCCGAGTGGTGAACGCAGCGGTGTACAGAAACAGGTACGACAGCAATCCGAACTGCCTCAGTACAGTCTCCGACTGCTGGTGGGCGCTTAGCTGCCGAAGCCAAACGGAAAAAGTCGCTGCGTCACCGGACGCTCGCTGCAGGACCTCATTAAAACGATCGCGCTCCGGACCATATCTCTCCTTCAGAAGCATCGGCTGCGTTGGTAGTGCGATCGAAAACACTTGATGCTCCAAATCGATCTCGTTCTCCTCGTCGATGGCTGGCTGTGTACTTGTTGTACTACCAGGGGGAAACGTTAACGTGCTGCCGCGCGGCAGCCGTCCATGATGCAATTGCGCAACATGGACGAAACGGTCGTCCTGCTCCTGCTGCGCGACCGCGCTCCCAACCGCGCTCCCAAGCACGTCCTCGAGAAGAACCGGAAGATACGGAATGACGAAACTTTTCAACATCCAGCTCCAGACGGACGGCGAGAAGGTAAAGCCAAACGGGAAGCATGGATTTGCGCACGCCTTGTTGTTCCCGCGGCGTCAAAATCTGCTGCAAATATTGGTTATCCGTCGTCCATTCATTACTGTCGGTCAGCTGTTTCTTCGTGTTCGGAAAAGACTCTACCGGTGGCAACAGACGATGCAGTGCCTGTAGCTGTAGCTCCCGTGCTTGCGCGCTAGGGACGACGAGAACCTCTTCTGTCATATTGTTCTGGATGGTTTGTACAACATGTGGCGCTCCGCTGAGCGCTCCGGCCGGTCGTAGCTCGTCGTCTATCGGTACATCACTCTCTGCGACTCCGTGAGTTTGCGGTCGGTTTTCCGGGTCTGCAATCGATGCGACGGCCGCCAGAATACCCTGTCGATAGTTGTAGTAGGAGATCTCAGAAAATAGCTCTACTTCCTGGTTGCCGTGCGGCTCTGCTTCTGGTACTTTGGCAGTAGGAGACGGAACGGCAGTAGCAGAGGCAACATCTCGTCCGGCTGGCGACCTGCTCTTCGACACCAGCGTTTCGCGAAATGCGTCTTCATGGGTTGCCTTTAACAGGCTCAGGAGAAACTTGTCGTTAAATTTCAAATGAGCCGGCACAAACTCTTTACACAAATTGTATTTCAAGTCCGCAGGCAAAAAGGAGCTTTGGGGTGCAGGTTTTCTCGGGGTTCTACTTGCGGAAGTAGCGCCAAGCATTTTCGTGTCGCTATTGCGTTGCCCATCATCAAATGCACGCGGAAGCGAGAACACCGGAATTTGTACCTCCGATGGAAAATAAGCAGGACCGAGCACGTGCGGCGAGATGACGGGCCGCTCTTCGAAAAGCGCAGTAGCCGCAGCTCCCTGCGGCAGTCGTGTTGCAATGGGTTGCAGGCGCGGCGTCACTTGGCTCCCGTCAGCCTGAACAGCGTCTTCCACCGTAGGCGTGGGAATGCGCGACGGTAGGTCTCCTGCATAATAGGGAGGTGGTGTTGCGGCCGTCTCCGGGTGTAGGCTATAAGAGGACGATGGAGTATTTGCTAGAAGCATGATATCCCCGTGGTCCGAAGGCACCGCTGTAGAGGCTGGCGATTTATGTTTGCGCGTTGAAGATGATGCGCGACTTCCTCTTCTTGATGAGGACTTTGCTTTGCCCAACTTCGCTGTGCTGCGTCTGGGTGTTTCGCCAGCTGCTCGCGCTGCAGGTCCTTCTCCGGTGCCATCGTGGCGTCTCAAGTTCTCCTGGCTCAGACGCAGTGTCTCTGATGTTGCGAGTGCCTCTGAGTAGTCGAGGTTTGCACGCACCTGATCCTCTTTACGCTTCAAGAGCTGGTAGTAAAGCGCCTTTGATCGCTTAACTTCAGCGCGCAAATGCTTTTCTGATCGACTTTTCAACAGAGACACCGTACAGAGTCCACCTTCGGTTACGAGTTTCTTCAGTTTGTCCAGCTCAGATTTACTTCGCTCCGTCTCCAAGCGGAGGTATTCGTTACATCCGGAAACCTGCAGAAAGGCCGGGATCATCTCTTTCATTCCTTTTCCAAACACATACGGAGTCGTTGTTTTTTCCTCCTTGTTTTTCGTGGTGCCTTGTTCGCCAGCTGCACGACGAGGCCAATCTGTTTCGACATCTTCTCCGTAAATCTCCACGAAATATTTGCGGATCGGCAAGTAGGCGTTCTGATGCTGTTTCCGGGTTCTTTTCGCTCCCTTGTGATACATGCGACCGCGGCTCCCCGCAGACACAGCAATAGAAGCTTCGCGAGGATCCTCCTCCACCTCGTCCTCGTCCCTGTCGCGATAATGCTCGACCAATTCTGCATCGGCGCCGACTGTTCCGTCTCGTTCTGCCTCCGACACTTGTGTATCGATATCATCGTCCTCGTCGGTCATAGCAGAGGAGCGTCGACGTCTTCGCATAGTTGCGGTCTCTGCCCTGAAGCTTTCGCGTGCTGCCGCCATTTCTGTCATCAGCTCGATCCACCGTGGTTGTGCGGAATTTTCCATGTCGTGGTGGAGTTCGGACACGTATCTGAGGCACTTATCATACGCCTCCTTTTTCGTGCGGAACGCGAACCACGCGTGACCTCTATCAGCCGCGCTCGCCTGTGCCGCGGTGAGGAAATCGGTAGGCAGGCTGCTGAGAAGGGTCCGTCCGTGCGGATTTTTGCTGTTTGTCGCGGTGGTTGACCGGGACCGGTCCAGTTTCCCCACGAGCACTTGTCCGAACACACTTTGGGCAACCGCTGCGCTGGCCTTTGCCTCGGGCGACAGATTGGCATACTTTTCTGCTTCGAGGGCTCGCGCTTCCTCTTCTTTCTTTCGCTTTTCTTCTGGTGTGTCAACCCGTGCACTTTTGTTCACCAGTCTTGTTGGTTTCTTCCGAGCGGCCCCGCTTGTCTGACCCTGCGTGCCAGACATGACTCGAACGCCGTTGGCGAAAGAGGCGCCCGACTGAAAGAGAAGCCCTGGCGGACCGCACAACAGGAAGAGAACCGACGGCGCGACGCCCGCGACGATTACAACTGTGCTGGCGCAGGCGCCGATGAAGGCTGCAAAGCTTGTCCTAGAGAATTTTGTCATTTTTCCAAAAATTGCACGCTACCAAAACCGGATGTAATTAGTACAGTGAAAGATTGTAAAAAAAGTGTTGATGCAAGTGGTGAAATAAGTACAGTTGTTAAAAAGACAGCGAGAAAAGATCTATATCGTGTCGTTTTCGTAAGCGCACCACAGTGTCTGCTGCTCAAAAGATTCGAGTTCTGGTTGTAGATTAGATTTAGAAAATGCTATAATTGCACTGAGAGCTCGTTTTTTAAAAAGACTTAAAAAATGGCACTACAACGCGCTCTGTCTGAACGAGCGAAAGCGACCACAGACTTCTACTTTGTTTACCTTCCACTTGTTCGTCAACGCCGAATAGAAGTTAGTTGTCGTAAAATAATCATACAAACAAAGCAATAATACTGGTTGACATGCGCGAAAAATAAAAGAAAATGCCAGCTGGTAAATCTGAACCTAATATGTTGTTTTAATAAATTCGAACTGTAATCGTGTCTGGACCTAATAAATCGTGTCAAATAAGTACTTACGCGTCGAGACCGCTTCGTCCTTTTTGTTCTCTAAGTCGAGCACGAATAGGTTCTTGTATAATATGTCCTCAGGAGACAAAGAAACCTGAGACTGCGAAACGCATCATGGGCACAATAAAACATTCTCGAAGGCAAGACAAGGATCTCACACCAGTATTTGCAGTCAATCTGCACACCAGGGTGAATCGAAGTGCACACCGCATAATTGAAGAGATCTTGACACAGATTTAAATAAATTGAGCGACAATTCTCGATCATTGTGTTCAACCCAAGAATAGATCAACTCAGGATCTTTTCGGATTTCTCGCAATGTGCGGTAGGTTTGTTTATGTTTATCTATAAAGTAATTTCACTTGATCCACGTTCTCTTCAATTTATGCTGTCGATTGAGATCGAGGAAAGGGATCTATGTAGTAGGCACACGGCAGGTGGTGCGGATCTTCTGATTTTGTATTTTGCCTGCTTGTGCTTTTTCGTCGTCGATGTGATGTACATAGTCGTGATCATGTGAAGTGGATCCGGTACGACAGAGGCCTCGACCTTGTTAAGGTGGTGCTTCACTACGCTTTGCTGGAGTGTTTCGTTGACGCAAAGCTGCGGGTTCGGATTGAATTTACTTGACTCGAATAACAACGAAAGCACAAGGACAAGTATTGATGCATACTCGCGGAGCCTTTTAGGAACATGCGTGAAATAGAACTCCAGCCCCTGAGACAATCCATGAAAAAACGATGTTAATGTCCATCGCTGGGTCGGAACATGTGGGACTGCAAAGAGAACTGCATTTTTTCCGATATCGATGGGAGGTGATTTTGATTAGATTAGAACGGCAGCTAAAATTTTGATCACCAAATGCAAGTTAGTAATCATCACAGTTTGTAGAAGTAGGTGTAGGAGCAGGAGGTGCTACAGGTTGTTCAGGTGAAAGTGAAGGAGTGCGGGCACTTAACAAGACGAGTAGTGGATGCTGTAGAGTTGCCAGCGCAGGTTTTTCTGGCGGGGTTTCTACTGTTGCAGTAACCCTAAAGGCAAAGGTAAGCGAAGTCATGCGTTGTTGTTCTGATCATTCCTTTTTTCCATTTTTTATCTCGCAGCTGAGGAATTCTCGAGTAATCATCAGGTTGCGACGGATGTTCTTGAGTAAGAAAGCGAATATCGTGTATGTTGGGACACCTATTTATTTTTCGCTCAAGTAGAAGTAGTCACACATCACTACATGTGTGTCCACCGCTTTGTGCACCACTTCGCTTCATCGACTTCCATAGGTTGATGTTTGCGGAAGAAAACTACTACGGCTGCTGCGTGATTGCGAGCACGCGCTCCCAGGTGCGGCCCTTTGCGTTGAGCGTACGGGGAGACAGCTTTTCTAGCAGGGGGATCGGGATCAGGCAGCTGTGGTTGTTGACCATCCCGACCGAGAAGCCGGTGATGCCCGCCATGGCACCGTGCACCGCTCCTGAAGACAAAACCATACAGTCGTAGGAATCCAACACGTTGGGGCCCACAGAGCGAATCATGTAGGACGGGTCAATGTATTTGATCGTGACCTCTTTCGGGGGCACCGCGTTTCCAAGTGCGTCCGTGCTGCTTGTCGACGAAAAGTACTCCTTGATGCGCGCCGTCATAAATTCCCCAATTTTGGGAAGGACTTTGTTTCCCGACTTCTTTTGTACTGGGAAAGAGTGTCGCTTGTGCGCGCGTCCGCACCATCTCTTGTTGTGTGCACGAACGTGCAGTGCCAGTTCGATTTCGAAAGTCAAAATAATGAACCTCTGGCTCTATATGACATACATCATACTCTATCATACATAAATTTATGACACTGAGATTGTACTACACCCTTTTCGGAAGAAGTAGAACAAGATAGGTGTTGGAAACGCCATCTTTTTTTTGCGCCATGCTCGTGCACTAAAACCCACAATCACAGTCTAAGCGCCAATGCGAATGGCAGTCAAACTGCACGATGCAGGTTCTACACACAGGAAAGAGTTTGCAGATACTTGACACTACAAAGCGACTGATAGTGATGTCTTTGCTGCTCATGCAATTGTTCACTATTTGTAGTTCCACTTGCACGCAGTTCTTGACGCAGCATACTAATTTCTGAGACTCAGTACGATTTTTCTACAGAAGCGACACCCTTACGTCCGATATGTCGGTTGCTCCCGTGCACGTACTCTGCATGAGCTCCTCTCCGGCACCCTCGGCAACCACGACCACTGCGTGGCCCTTTTTTTCCAGAACGCGACGCAGGTGTGGTAGGCAGCCCCTCTCCCCGTCGAGCTGGACCGCTACCTCGGGGATGAGACACAGATCCACGCCACTTCCCATCGAAATGGTCGCAAACACGCTGATGAAGTTATCAGACAGAAAAAAGCTAGCATTCATATCATACACATAGATATCAAATTTGCAGTGCAAATACACAGGAACATAAAGCTGTCCTGCGTTCGCGTTGCTTAAACTAACACCATGTTATAGAAGCTAGGACGATTGTCATTTTTTTATTCTTTACTTTTTTTCTTTCATTGCATTACATACAAATATGCTATGGCTATGCTAACTTTTTTCCCTGGCATAGAATCCGGCACTGCGACCCATCAGCTTCACGATGCCAATCCCGTTCGGCATGTTGCTGCTGGCTTCCACCTTAGCGGCCTGGATCGCTTTCTTCGCCTCCTCGACCGCTGTCCAAAAGCCGAAGGAACGGTCGATCAGCCCGATGTCGTTGTCAATGGTCTTGGGAATGCCACACACGGCGCAGTTGACCCTCTGCTCGATACAAAACTTCGCGATCTTGTCAATGCCACGGTGCGTGCCGTCTCCGCCCGCGATGAAAAGCAGGTTGATTTTGTTTTTGCGGATGAACTTACTGATCGCGTCAATGTCGAACCCTCCACGGCTAGAGCCAAGAATGGTACCGCCCAGATGCTGGATATCGGCGATCGACTCCGGGGTTAACGCAATAGGGCGAAACTCGTTGCCGTGCATGGCGGCGCGCGTGGTGTTCACGCCCCGGGGGCTCAATTGTTGGCCTGTCGAGGTGGTTCGAGTGGTCATGAAAGTACGCCGGTTCGGAGAGGCCTCAGTTTCACGACCTTCCGGAGGGGTCGCCGCACCACCAGCACTGCTGGCGTTGCTTTTCCTCAAAAACGCCCCCTGGGACAACTCTTCAGGGAGCCTGCTTGACTTTTTCCTGGCGACTCTTTCCCGAATCTCTTCCTTTTTGGCGTTTGACTTTATCGAGTCCGTCGAATTTGATTTTGCTAGTGGAGCCTTCTTCTTCACCGACGCTGCTGATGGAGCAGAGTCGGTTGGAGCAGATTCATCCTGCTCGACAGTTTCTTCCTCCGCTTTCTTCGTTTCGCGCGCGCTGGCGAAGTCGCGGTCTTCGCAAGAGAAGAGTTCGGAGTAGAAATCATCGCTGTCACCGAACCGACTCATGCCATGATAGCCGCCGCGAACTCCCATGATCTGGCGCACACCGTAGTTGTGCCACAGAGTTTGGACAATATGGTGAATTACCGCGTTCAATCCTGGACACAGCCCACCGCAGGTCACGATTGCTGCAGTCACGTCAGTTGGCACAAAGTGCAGAGTGGCCCGAGGTCCGGCCCGATGCAGCGCACTGTAGTACGATCGCGCCGTCTATGAAAAATAAAAACCTCTCGGCCGCCAGTAGTGGTGTCTGTTCTTTGTGACAGATGGAATACCATGTTTACGAAAAAACAAATGGCAACGGCTTCAATCATCTCTTGCAGTATTATGGCGGCCGAACTTTTATTTCATATTTTCTCGTGCGTGGTCCCCGTCTCCTCTGTGACCTTGCTCTCGCTCAAGTCCACCATCGTCGGGAAACGGTTCACGACAGAAACAACACCATCAACGCCAATCGTCGAGTGGGACCCTTTGCTTTTATCGGTAGAGATCGACGTCTCGGACTCGCGCAGATTGACAGAGCTAGAAGCAGTTACCGGTGGAGACGCGGAGTCACGGACTTCGCTCCCTGCCAACAATTTTGCACGGGAGTCCATCGCTGCAACGCCGGGCGCTTTCTGCTTTTTCGTCAGATCTTGCACCACCTTTCGGTCTGCGACGTCCTCTTGGCGGGTTGCTGCGGCGTCCTTGTCCTGATGAGAACTGCTGTTCCGGTCGATGGCATGAGTCGGGGTCTCGGAGTTATCATGAGGAAAAGTCCCCCCGCCCTCGTAGCAACCAAAACAGAGAAAGAACTCGAGATGCTGTCGCTGATTTCTTGTAGCCACACCAGGCAAGAAGCCTTGGTCCTGCGCCCGGGGAACAAGGCATTGAAACCTAGCACAATGTGGACGTGGAGGAGCAGTAGCAGCCAACCGCGGGCCACCGTATTTCACGCGTTTCACTTTCATCTCGATCAGCGATAGGAATAGCCCGGAGCATCGACCACCTGGGTCATGATTTCGACTGCTGCACACATTGATAGACAAAGACCTAAGAAAACAAGTTTCAACATCCGAGCGAAAGACAAAACTGCTTTGCAGTTAGTGTGTACTACAGCTACACGAAGAAAGCCCGTATCACAGGAGATCTTCATTTGTTGATGTTGACTCACTACTAGTACGTAGAGGAAGTGGGGGGATTTTTCATTTCGATAAGAGGTCCAGGCCTCCATGGGCTTCGACGGCAATCGAGACCGCTCGTCCAGCACGATGTCCACCAAGATACAATCACCCGGCTTCACGATTTTGTTGTACTTCTGTCCGCTGGAGCCCATGATCAACTGTTCCGCGATGGGATCATTCGGCAAGTCGGAGGAAAATCTGCCGTCGAGTCCTGCCGCCGCCGCAGCGCGCTCCTGCGACTGCCGGATGGCGTGAACGCCTTCCGGCCCATGCCCGATGATGGAGTCATTCGGAATGTCGGCAGACGGAAAACCGAGGTCGCTCAACAAGGTCAGCGGATGCGTACGAATTTCCACCATGGTCAGTGCAATGCGTCTTAATTTTATGCCGTATTCCTCGACTTCTTTATTCCCGGATGAAGGAAACAAATCAGATAAAAATCGAGGTAGTACTGAAAAGCGCTACGCACCAGCGCTGCTCACCGGTAAGAAAGTTGTCAATTGTGGAGGTAAATCAATGGTTCAAGAGAAAGGTTTATGTTTATGAATAAAGGTAAACAAATTATACATGGAAATGGACTGGTCAGATGTCAATGTGATAGCGAAAGGAAGAAATGTCTCTGCGATCGGGTGGTCATGAAGAAAAACGTTTGCTTTTCAATTCAATACTAATACGTACACGCAAGCTGCGGCGGGGCACGCGTACGCGGCTCCGGTAGTGAAAAGTTGCATTTCCTCTTGCACTGCATCCACCGAGACCGACGTCTCAAACATATGACATATGTGATAGTGTTCGCTCTATGTGAGTATGAGGATCTTTGGTCAGTGCGAAGCGGAAACAAATGATCGCCTCATCGTCATCCTCTCGTCCTGGGAATTAATTATACTTAATCTGCGGTGCTAATCTCAATGAATATGGATTTTCATTTCCATTTGTCGCTCAAGCGTACTAGAGATCAACATCTTCATCTTTCGCTCAACTTCATGTGATGCGATTGGATTATTCTTGTCCGGTAGAGCAGTCGTGGCCCGATGAGGTTTCATACAGATGAACCGATTCGCGTGGAGCTCTCTCGCCTTGTTGTAGTAGTTGCAGAAACTGACGTTCGTCACACAGTGGTGCGATTCGATCCATCGTCCTTTTCTTGGTGGGCCGCATTCTTTTGTCATTTCTCTACTTCGTGTTTTTCGCAACTAAATTGAACTTCCATACTAATTCCTGAACGCCCCGTTCTTGGTCAGCTGGGTCTTAGTCTTACATGCCCACACAGAGAGTCATCAACATACGATCATGAGTAATTATGATCTTCTGAATCTTCCACGTATTCTACGTGGTTATTTCCGTTATTTTTTGCAAAGGAGCTAAGATCTTAGTATACCGCATAGGTAGCAAAGGCGAAGATGGCGTAAAGCAAGTGAAGCCCCGCAATCATCGCCGCGCCACGACCCCAGACCATCAGTATTTAATGGGCTCCACCTCGAGAATTGAAGACTCCACAACTCATTGCCGTTTTCATCGCTTGACGCGACTGCACCAAGATGCAGATGTTCCCGGAACCGACGTAGACGCAACCAACGTCTATTTCCGGAGAAATTGGCTCTCTCAATAACGAGTCGACCTTGTCAGATCAACGGCGGTGCTGCAGAGGTCGTGACGTTGTTGAGAGCCTTCCACAATATTCTTTTGCCGCCGTGTGCGACCAGGTTGCGCCAGCTCCAGCGCTGAGGGTTGAACGCAAATCGGTTCATCCACCCGTCGGTCTTCTTGTTCCCCAACACAAACTGCCGGTGCTCCATGGCAACCAATATGCCGGGCCGCGTTCCAAACTCTTGCACAAACGCCAGGCATGTCGCTGAGGGCTTTCTTGCAGCGCCGGGTGGAAGGCCAGGAGGCCGGTCCTGCGTACTTCTAGCTTGTTCATCTTTCAAACTCTCCCGGTCTCGACCACTGGGTTGATCTATCTCCTGTTGTCCGTTTCGACCTGGCGCCAGAGTGGGAGGACACAAAGCAGCACCAGTGAGAGCACCCTGTGTCAGTTCGTATCCCTCGCGGACGGATGCAAAGTCCGGAGTTTCAACTTGTGTACTGCTCCTGGCAGCTTCGACCGGTTTCCGAAACAGGAGTCCGCCATCGTCAATTGGTTCGTCGAAAAAGATCTGCCTAGCTTTATCGACAAGAGCATGAATCACCTCGTTCCCTCTCTCCCTCGTCGTGGCGTCTTTCGCAGAATAAAGCGACGTGCGTGTCGAAGGTGGCTGAGGATTTTCTACCGATCTGCCCGTAAAGTTCGCATCTTTTTCATCTCCAGCGCTGAGGGTGGACATCCGGTGTTTATTCTTTTCTTCCAGCGCTCCTCCTGCAAAAGGTAGCTCCTTGAGGCCCGGAAGTAGGACGTACTCGCCATAAGGGCCCAAACCAGTGTGCACGTCGATCCAAACCCTGTCGCGGTCTTCCATTTCTGCAAAAGTGTTCATGAGATACTGCAGGATTCGCACACTGGGTTCCCACTTCCCCGGAACGCCGCCGTACCAAAGTGCGGTTGGGCGATGATATTGCGCAGCGACCAAGGCACGCTTCAGCTTGGCGTATCCGCGACCGAAAAGCAACTCTTTGCCTGCGTTGAAAACGCATCGGAGGAAGACGGCAATTTCCTGAAGCGCCGGGAGGAGGTTCAGCTCGCTCGCTCGGCTATAATATGCTTGTTCGGGAGGTGCAGCTGCCCCTATTCCAGACGGCTGCTCGTGCTGCAGTGAGGCCGCTTTACCACTGCTTCCGCTACTAACGTGATCATCTTCGTCGAGGAGTATTTTTGACGTGGTGTCCGCCACTGCCGTTTTGTCGTAGGGATTCAGAATGTAGTCCAAGTCCTCGTATCCAGCAATGTTGGGGTCTCGGCTGCGTACTTGTACGGCCTCTTCGCGCGACAGTGCGTTCCGCATCAGATCAACGTTGTTTTCGTTAAAGCGGCGGTAGTGACGCATGCCAAAGGGGTTGATGCAGTGCACCAGAAGAATCTTGCGGATTTTCGCATTCGATCTTCTTGCTCGCGCCGAGCCTGTATCCGCATCGTCCAGAAGATCTTGTTGCACATCAGCGCCCTTTTCGTGCAAGTCAGGACTTTCTCCTTGTGGCACAAAACTACCTCTCGCGGATGAGGAGCCAACGACGATCTCGCGCAAGAGCTCCTGCAAAAATTGGACTTGAATGGCAGATCCGGCATAAGCCTCGGCGCCGTGCGTACCACTTGAATGGATTACGTCGTGGATTTCCTGGTCACGACGACCAGAAGGAGCGCCATTTAGATTTGCTTTCGATGGTGATGCGTCCGGTCCGTCGCTGTTGCTGGTGTGATTGTCTTTCGTTGCTCCATCACTGGATGCAGGATTCGACTCAACGACATCCACCGACCCCGTCGCTACCGTAAGCACCACTGCGTCCACCGTGTTCGCGGCAGCGCGCTCGCGGTCGTTGAAGCCATCAATCAGCTTGATCTTTTTCCCATCACCACTTCTTGCGTTATTCTCGTCATGGACGTCGACGCTTGCAAATTTGATACTTTCTACTCGAGATCCACCCAAAAGCTTCGCCAAGGCTCGGTTCCTTGCTTCTACTCTCTTCTGTCGGCTAATTTTGATTGAGGTGTTCTCTGCGCTTCTACTGGTTTGAGCGTGGTGGGCCCCAATGTCGCCCTGTGGAAGCACCTGATCGCGCAGCGTGACACCGAGAATGCGGAACTTTTCTCGCGCCTCTGTGTACGAGCGGCTCCAGTAGCAGGCTTCCGGCGTAGGCCAGGAAACGATGGAAGCTGCCGAGTGGAGCGGACAATGCCACGTGATGGTAAGTCCGAAAGCATCTTCGTCAATAACATAACAATAGAAAAAAATTGCCGCAATGGCCACAAAAACGTAATATTTGGCACCCAGCATGCTTGCCGCGGAGATCCTGTGCTCGGTCAACACCCTGCACCATCAACAAACTATTTCTATTGGGTGAAAGTGCACAAAAACCTGATGCTGATACTTCGCTGTGACACCAGGTTGCGCTAAAACAACAACATCAACATCACCGAGTGTCAAAAACACAATCAGAAAAACAAGCTGCATCGTACGGGCCGGTCGTCAAGCGAAATTCGTACAAATCCGAAACCGTACGAACTTTTTCTTTGTATTTAATCCGTACTTAGTGTGATCGCGTCGGTGCTGTAAAACATGTCTCGTTTGTTCTGATTTGTTGCAGCTGATTCATCTGACTGTTTTTTGACAGAATTTGAATTCTTGGGATGGTCCGATTCTGAACATCGATAACACTGTCAAGTAGAGTCTCCATACCACAAAACAAAGTCTGCATGTGACTCGACGGGGTCTCGGATTTCACTGCAAATTTTCTCCGTACGAGATGAGTTCCTCGAGCGAAGACTTTTGCTGCGCGCCAGCTGCACTTGCACCGTGACTCTGACCTCCGAAAGGGTCCTTGTAGGTTCTTTCTAGGGAGTCGCTATCAACGAGCTTCGAGTCTGCCGCCAGGGATTTTTCGAACATGCTGCGCCGGTTTAGCGTCTGCCGGTCTTCCACACGGGGCGAGCTTTGCAGCATTGGCGTGCCGCCATTCGCGGTCGTGGTAACCGGGAAGTTCATGAGATTTTGGAAATCCAAATTGTTTTGATTCACGCCGGCACCGTAGCGGCCAGGCGGTACGCCAAACTGATTGAAACCGCCTGCTGCACCATTGATGTTGTTGTGCAGGCGGGAGAACTGAAAGGACGACAAGTCGCCGGCGCTGCCGCTCGCGAAGGGATTCAAAGTCGGTCCCAGACCGCCGCTCGAACTGGCGTAGTGACTCGAAAAACTTCCGCCCGGTCGCCCCCCTGCAGCTCCCGCGTTGCTGCTCAGCAGGTTGAAGTTTGGCGGCGGCTTTCCGCGTTGCTGGATCAGGGCCTCCTTCAGACCCTTCAGCTCGTCCGCCTTCTCCTCCAGCTTTTGGTCGCGCAGCTCGTGCACCACTTTGCGCGCCTCATCCCGCTGCGCCCGAAGCTCCTGCACCTGAGTTTCCAGATGCTTCACGAAACTCTGCTGCTGCGCCATCATCTCGGTGATGATGTGCGAAGTTTCCTCCGTGTGGGTGTCCAAGATCGTGTTCAGCTTCGTGCCGGGCGTGCGTGCGCTCAAAGGTTCCACCACCTGCTGAAGACGTTCTGCTGGTTGTTGTACCCGCTGCTGATCAACATGTTGTACATTGTGGCTGTACCCGGACATCACCGGACTTCCTCGCTGTTCCAACACGACCCTTGGTGTCCTCGTGGCGCTCACTTCTGCCTGGCCTGGGGGCACGACGATCCGCGCGCTGTTCATCTGACTGCGTGGGGTTTTCTTCGTGCTGATCTCGGACCGGTCATTTTTCGACTCGGTGAGCAGCTGGAGGGAAGACTGTGGCTGTTGACTCACCATATTACCGGCTGAACGGTCCTCCGCCTCCGCGATGGCTGACTCGTCAAACATCGGCGGTCGCGCGCGCCGCACCTCCTCCTCGTACCGGAGACGTTCTGCCTCGATTTCGCGGCGCACGCGCTCCTCCTCGCGTCTCTCCGCTTCCAGCTCGCGCTGTCGTGCCTCCTCCCGGCTCCTCGTCTGCTCGGCCATTTGGGCCTCGAGATCGCGGCGCTGCTGGGCGATCCGCTCGCGCTTTCGGGCATTTTCCTCTTCCTTCGTGGTAGTTCCCTGGTAAAGCAGAGATCCGTTGTGGACTGCCGAGGTGTCTCGGTCTGGCGGACCAGCCGCAGCTGAATGTTGTTGAGTGAAGAAGCGTAAAAACGGTATTCCCCGTCGTAACCAACTACAGCATTTTTACAGTTGTTTACTTAGCTGCTAACTTTATTCGTAGACGTAGTCATCTAGGGCGCGCACTACCGACATTGATGATTACAATTGTCATCATCGTCATCATGTTAGTGCTTGTCCTGTGAAAGTTTCTGTCGTTCTGTTCTCTTTCATTTCTTCTTGGACGTGCACGCGAACATCGTGCTTTCGACATTTCGGTGTCATTCTACAGTCCAGGTTTCATCCTGGTTGCGATAGAAAGCCACCCCCGCGACGTACTTCACTTCTCTTCCACTGTTTTCACAGAAGTCGTCGCCGCACGCCTCGAACAGCACCTCTGGGTCACATTCTAGTTGCCACGCACCTTCCCGTGCGCCGGGCACTCTGCGCCAGCGCTTGCCGCTAATCTTCGATGAGATTTCCTGCCTTTTTTCCTCTTCTTCCGCTCGTTGTTGCTGGATTCTTTTTCTCTGTTCCGCGTTCCTTGCTTCCATTTTTGGCGTTACTGTTTTTACTTTCCTCTGCCGGTCTGCTCTCTCTGTGGCCACAATTGTGGTCAAAGATAATATAGTAAATGGTGGCAGGAAAAACAACGTGCGACATTGTAAATGTTCCAGTTTTATTGCATTGCGTCTCAGTTACAATTCGATTCTACTAGGTCGACATCATGAAAATGAATGTCAAGTCAATACAGAAAAAGCTGCTTTCTAGGTGCTGGATATTTTTCGCTCTGCCACCCGCGCCCGCACCCACTCTGTTGTTCATCCCACTGTCATAGTCACCTCTGAAAACACCCGAGTGGTCTGCGCCGTCAACCCCACGACCTTCGTCAAAACTTACCTTTGGCTGGCTTGCGCGCGCCGCTGGCCCGCGCGGATTGTCGCTGAGGCGGTTTTGATAGTTGCTGGCGTTCACGTCGAGCAGCTTTTGCCTGCGGTCGTCCTCCAATCTATCCAAGGCGGCCTTCTCCTCTGCCACGGCGCGCCGGATCTTTTCCTCCTCCGCAAGGTCTTCCGCCTGCTTCCGGCGGTTCTCCTCCTCCTTCCGCCGCCTCTTCTCCTCGATCTGTTTCGCCAGCTCAGCCTGGTACTGAACCGCCTTTAGCCGCTTCGCGTCCATCTGCTTTTCCTGGAGCGGGTCGACGAGCACCTGCTTGTTGTAGTTGGGCACAACTACATTGTTCTGGTGAAGGTCTGCTACCACCGGCCCGGCCATTGCCTCGTGGGTGGACGCAGACGTCGCAAAGGGCGGCGCGGACGCTTTGTGCGGGGAGCCGGAGTGTCGCCGCTGCCTCAGCAGGTCCTGTTCCGCGCGAGACGCGAAGGCCTTCACCTTTTCCGGCGACTCAAGCAGCGGGTTCTTGAACATGTGAAGACTTTTGTTGTTTTCCTTCGCGTCCTTCATTAACAGCAAAGCCCGGTTGTATTCCGCACACTCGTCCCGAAGTTCCTGCCGGCGGCGCTCTTCGGCGGATACTGTAGGCACCGTGCCGGCGGGAGCCATCGCGATCGGGTTCCGCCGCGCCTCTTGAAACCGCGAAGGGCTGCGGCCGTGGTCGCCGGCTGCATTTATGCTGGTATTCGTTGCAGTTGCAACTCTAATGTTGTTCTGCGCGCCGTAAACATCCTGCTCCACGCCTCGCTGTGGATCTTCAGCCCCTGGCTCGCCAGATCGGGGGAGCTGCTGCGGTGCGGTGCGCTGCAACTTGTCGCCGGGCTCGAAGCCGGGTGGTACGGCGTTTTGCGGCTGGGCCTGCGGCGAAATGGCGTTGTAAAAGGTGAGCAGGTCGCGGCCTCGCTGTGCGAATGACTCTTGCATCGCAGTGTTCAGATCTGGATGGCGCCGGTTGAAGGCGTCGTCCGCCCCCGCATGCTCATCCTGCATCCGATCGGAGAGAAGGAGGTGCTTCTTGTCGTAGAGGTCGTCAGCCATCTTTGCCGCGTCGGGACCTGGGCGACGTGTTGGGAGTTTATTGTGAACAACGCAATGGCACTCGAGATGAAAGCGGTCTCACTAAACTGATCATGGTCATGTTCATGGAAGAACCGCAGAACTACAACGATGGTCGTCAGACCCACCACCTACACGCACAGCGGAGCCTGCTGGATAATTATGCTGCAAAACCCGAACAAGAAAAATTTAAATTGCTACCACCTCCCCGCACGAGCGCCTTTTGATACAGCTCCTCCAGCTCCTGCATGCGCTTCTCTTGCACTTGAGGGTCGTACCGAGATCGGCTGCCTGTGGAAGCGGTTCTGCCGCGGAAGGACGGGTCTCCAGACAGGCCGTCGCCCCTACCACGTTCGACGGTCGTTACTCCCCCGATCGGTACCGCCGACGGAGCAGGTTGTGGCGGAGAGAGCGAAACTCCAGGTCGCGAAACGGCGTCGGTGGCATCCCTGCCAGGAGCCTGTACTACATCGCGATGTTCATCCGACGAGCGCACCATATTCAAAGCGTCTTGCAGCGGATGTCTCTGCGGCCCCGATCCCCCGAGCTGCCCCCGACGAGCAGCAGGGCTGTATTGTCCGTGGAGCGGGGAGAGTTTTGCATTGATCGTCGAAATGGTCTTCTGGTAGTCGTCGACGACCTGTTGGTCGGTGACGGTTGCGGGATTCGAGTTCATCGACGCCGTGCGTTGGTATTCCTCCTCCAGAAACTTATTCTGCGCGGCCACGTGCTTCTGCTCGATCATCCGTTTGTTGTACGCCGCCGCCGCAACTTCAGCCGCGTGCCGCTTGGCCTGAGCCTCGGCCGCGAGCGCGCCCGCAGTAGTAGTGGACGATCCCTTCGGGGGAGCTTGTGCGGAAGTGCCGTCGCAGTCGTTCGCTCCCGGGTGCTGTGGCGGACTCGAAGCTACCATCTCAGCGCTTTTCTGCAAAGCCATTCTGCGATTGAAATCCGCTGCCAGAATGGCTTGCTCGCGTTTACGAACGCGCTCTTCAGCTTCTCGATCCTTCAAGAGCAAGCCGTCCCCGCGTGCGGTGATATGCTCGACGTCGTAGTCCCTGCTCTTATCGACAACATCCGTTGTGATAGCCGCCGCGCTCTGGTCGGCAGCCCTCGGGGGCTTGTATGCGACTTTATCCGCGGGAACGAAGGGATTTGAGCTTTCCTGCATGGGACGAGGGCTACTTGCTGATGCCTCTTCCAGCATGGCGAGTTGCCGATTCAGCATCTCCATTTTGTTGTAGTTCGCGGTCAACTGCGCAAGCCGTTTCCGCTCCGCTGCAGTCTCTTCCGCACGATCGGGCAGAAAACTGCCTCCCGCAGCAGCAGCAGCAGCAGCATGTGGCAGACTCGAAGGCACAAGACCTACACCTGCTGACAGGTCCCCTCCACTGGTGTCGCCCGTTCTCCTCGGGTTAGCGGCGCTCGCAGGAGGCTGCAGCGGCTGCGCTTCGTGGTCCGCGAAGTACCCAAGCGATGCTGTTCCAATCTGCAGATCAGGCGGAGACGGAGTTGCTGCGTTGAAAGCACCAGGGTTCTCTTCAGCATCTACAGTAGCTTTCTTCAGTATTCCAGCAACATCCACGTGCGGATTCAGCTCGGGCACGACAGCTTCCTCATTAGCCTCAGGCTCAGCGGGTCCGTCATCTGCATTGATGTAGGAGCTCCGCCGGTCCAAATGTTCCACTATAGCTGCGGCGCTGCCTCCCGTCGCAATGCTTTTCGCTGCCGCCTGCTGAGGAGCGGCACTTTCAACTCCAGTGATGGGGTTCACGTCCTTCGACGGTAGCGGCTGGCCGCGCTGCGCCTTTTTCTGAAGTTGATTGAAGCTTGCTACCTCTTGAGCCATCTCCTTGCGGCGACGCGCGTAATCGTCGCTGGCTCCACCGATTCCGAAAGCGGTTTCTTCTTTCTGAATCCGGGCATCGCCGCTGCTGGATGAAGATGATCCTCCATTCGCGAATCTCTTGTTCGTCGTCGAGAGATCTGCTTCATCCCGCATTTTGTACTCCTGTGCTAGCTGCTCCTCGCGCTGCCGCGCAAGCTGGGCATTGTAGTCAGCAGTCATGCGAGCGCGCTTGCGCCGGTTCGCAACTTCCGTTGCCCCCTCGAGGCTCGCACTGGGGAACGCAAGACCGATGTTATTGCGCTCATCCACTGCTTCTGTCGTTTCAGAGGTACCTACTTCAGCACCTGTGCGACTGCCTCTCTCTCTGTTTTGGTTTGTCGCTTCCTTATTTTCGTCCGTGTGCTGTGCTGGAAATATCGGTGACGTCTTTACAATCTTTGCAGGACCTGGCGGCGCTACGCTTCCTGCGTTTCTGGCATCATGATCTCCACTATCGTACTCGTCCAGGCTGACTCGCTCCTTTCCATTTATTCGCCCCGAAGAGTTATGGCCCACCTCTGCTGAAATTGAAAACGATTCCAGGTTGGTCCGGTTTAGTGGGGAGCTCTGACTGCGCAAGTCCATCTTATTATCGACCGAATAGGAGTGATCCGAAGCAGTTACATTGAACTTTTGATCTTCCGACGCAGCCGCGTCCCCGTCCTGAAAGCGGACGCTGCGCTGAAACGGTTCGCTCTTCCTGCTTTTCTCATCCGACCGGGTGGCTTGTGCTTCTTTTTTCTCCGAAGAAGTGTCGTTTCCAGCACTGGGATTTGCGTCGTTAGTTGTAGTACCAGGAGCGCTCTCCTGGACAAACTTCTGCTTTTCCGTTTTCAAGCGCCATATATCAAAAGAAAAAACTGTTTCACTGTAAACTTGTAATGCAGAAACTGTATCTGAGAAGTGTTTGTCTTGCTACACATGCAAATCACTAGATTTTTAGCTGTGTTTTCCCTTAGGAATCTCGCATGGCAAATTTTCTCTGTGATGTAGAGCAAACTTGTGATGCAAAACTTGCAAAATCCTTACAGTGAAACACTTTTTTCGTACGATACCATACCTCCAGCAAGTATTCGTCCGGCAGCTTGGGATACTGGGAGCGAAAATTTTCGTAGTCTTTTATCAAAAGGAAAAATCCCCCCTCCCCATATTGAAAACGTATCCGTGTGAAAATTTGTGATGCGCATTTGTGACCTCAAATCATGTCTGTCTTGCAAGAAGGCAACTCCAGAGAGCGCCCCGCATTTTGCAGGCGGTTTGTGATGCTGTTGGGCTTAGAGCATACACGTTTGTCATGCTAGGCGCTTACGTCAAAACCTCTCGACTGAGGCTTGACATATGCCTGCAATCCTCTATTGCAAGACAAATCTGATTTGCGTACGGAAATCCAGCATCAGAAACTTCGTTTCGATATGGGGAGGGGGGATTTTTCCTCACAATATCTTTGCGCAGCCGCTCTTTCAACACCCTGTAGAAGTGCAGGTATACTTACATTTTTTCCGTTCTTGTTTGCTATATTGCAGCTATCATAAACTAAGAAGCTGCTCAGTACGACTACGAGTGCAGCTCCAACACTTCTCACAACGCCGTAGTAAGAGCACCAATTTTTTGAAAATGTCTACGCCTACGTGTACACATCCAAGAATTCCTTTTTGAGTTTTTACGCAGGAGGAGTTCACAACTGCGCTGCTCGTCTTTACCTTTGACTCATGGCGGAGCTGTCCGGGGGCTTCTGGGGAGAAAGCAAAGACATGTCGGTCTCGGATGGCGGTACGTTACCAGCGCCTGCCGTAGAAGTTCCACCCGAGGCGGTCGCTTTTGATGGCGATGCGGGCTTGGTTGTCTTCGGTGCCTTGATAAGAGACGGAACGAGTAGTCCGTTGCCTGCGGAAATGGGTTTTTCTGGCGGTACTTTCTCTCCGACCTCACCTCCATAGCCACCGGCCGCGCCGCTAAAGACTTCACCCCCACGGCGGGCTCGGCGTTCCTGGTCCCGCAGTGCGAGCCTCCTCGCACGCTCTTTCGCGGTCTCGTCCATAGTGCGAATGTCGTCGAGGTGACCGCAGTGGTAGAACGAAGTGATTACTTCTTGATATTACAGTACCTCATTTTTCCGCTACACCGATTTTTCATCTGCAAGTACTTGAACAGAACGCGCGGCGTCATCTAGATCTTGCGGAGACCACCGAAATAATCGATGCAGCAAGGGGTCTCGTCGTTCCACACCCACGCGACATTGATTGTTCCTTCGCGGTTCAAGTATGATCTTGGACTTGAGTCGATAGACTCGGCGTTTTTGTTCAAACTACTCAATCCCTAAACCAAAATTATAACTAAAGGAAAGTGAGGGAGCGCCTGCTGATTTGCTGTTCTCCTCTTGTTGCGACTGCTTGGTGTTTGACGCCAGACACTAAAGTAAATTCCTCGTCCTCCTTCTCAGCTTCAGTTGTTCGTTATTTGAAATGCTGTTTTTACCAGGACGACGGACACGGAGTTCAAGAGAGAGCAAGAGACCACCGACTCCGACGGAAATCGAAATTATAACAAGAACACCTCCGCAGAGGCGCCTGCATCAGGCATCCGAAAGACGCAAATCAAAAGAGTTGGGAGACGGAGGAACATCAACAGCAAGTTCGCCTTCGCTGCTCCAGCATTTTCGAGGCAATCATTCATGTTCGCAGAACCACAGCAGGGGCTACGAGTTCGACTTCGATGACACGTCGATACACTATAGGTTACCGGTGCTTGTTGGTAAAATAAAACTTCTTCACATACACACACAATTGCTGTCTTCCTCACTAGTTGCGGAATTCGGATTCGCACTGCCCGAACTCGAGCCTTGCGCAACCCCTCGATTTTGTTTGTACTGCTGTTTCCGCAACTCGCGCAACTCTGCAAGCTTGTCTGCTTCAGACATCGTCTTTGCGCCGGCTTTGACAGCGGGTGCAGCCGATCCTCCAGCTGGTTGCTGCATTCCCGCAACCGCAGCGGGAGTAGATTGATTTTGCTGATGCTGAGGACCTCGCCCAGCGAGCGGTCCTTGAAAAGTCGTCTCTGGAGGCGGCGCTGCTCTCGAACTTGCGGCGATATTGGAGGTGATTGCAGCTGCCACTGCGGACCCCCTTTCGTTTCTGTTCTGGCTCACTTGCGTTGCGGTCGCGGCCGCTGATACCGAATCTTCCGCAGCGCTCGCTTTGAGTCTTACCGGCGGCAAAAAGTCGTCACGAACATTCTCGGGAGTGGCGTCGCTACTGGTTGTTCCAACACTTCCTCGCGGTACTAGCGCACCATTGCTTGGTGCGCTCGCTCCGGTCGGCATAACTGCTCCTCCCTGAGGCCGCATAGTTTCCTTGGACGATGAAGCCACGAGTGTGGATTTGCTTGCGAGGAGCAGCGTGTCCTCGGCCTTTTCCCGAAACTCCGACAGCCGACTTTTCCATTGCTGAAACACGCGCGCTACCCGGGGAACTTTCTTCACCGGCAGGGTTAGCCCTACGGAGGGGTCCGCCACAAAGCCTAGGACGGTTAGGATTCGCATCATGGGAATCGAGGTGAAAATCAGTCGCTTCAGCGTCTCGTTGCTGCGCTTCAGAAACCGGTACTTGTCGTCCTGCTTTTTCACCACATTCGTGAACACCTTCTCTAGCAAGTCCCATTGCTCGTCGCTGATTTTCTGGGCCGTCTTCGTGGCGCCGTATTTGCTCGTGAGGTCGGTGAAAAACTCAAAGCACGGGTGCTCATCCTCGTAGCGGTGCTTGAAACACGTGGTCTGCTCGCAAATGTCACACTGCACAGCCTTCTCTGGAATCAGCTTCTGCTTGCATGCCACGCAGAACAGGCGCGGCGCCGAGGTGGACGAGCTGCTGCCTCCGTCTGTGAGTCTTTTTGGCGGCTGTTCTGTTGTAGTGTACAGGTCGTGCTGCTCCTCATCCATTCCTCCATTGGCTTCGTCTAGTATGGCGTGTCTTCGATTTCGGAAGCAACTTTCGCAAAACACCTTGTCGCCGCACTTCTGTGGCAGAAAATCCTGTTGGCCACAAATGCTACAGAATGCTCCAACGTCGGAAAATTCCGCCATTCTTTCTCTGGTGGGTTGGAAGTGCTCTCCACGTAGTTCTTCGCCGCGACCGTGATGCTGATGTTCTCAACAGCTCTTCGCGGCCAAGATCCTGGAGGTTTTGTTTTCCGGGGCGATTTCGGCCGCTACGTACAAGCTTTTCGAGTTCGGCGGCCACAAACACAGTCTCACCCTGCCCTCGAGCAAGCCGAGCGGAACTGGCCCGTAGTGGCGGCTGTCGTTCGATTTCCCCTTGTTGTCGCCTTCAACCCAGACGTGTCCCTGTGGCACTCGCTCGACCCGCGTCGAGGTCGACGAGAAAGGTCGCCGATAGTGATACGGGGCGAAAGAATTTGAATTACCTGCTGATGAAATGTCGCGAATTATACGATCTTCTATCGGAGGCACCTGGTGCCCGGTACCACGTGGTAAGTACTGGTCCTGGTTCCGTTCCCGTACAACAACCAAATCGCCAGCTAATGCGACAACTCGCTTGCAAACGCGGACACCCGGGTTCTCCGGGGAGTTCAAGACCACTACCTGGCCTAGGACGGGCACTGGGTACAAATATTTGGAAAATTTTTCATACAGCAAGACGTTGCCAGTCTCCGAGAACACGGGCTCCATGGAGGCTCCGACCGTCGTGCAGAAGTCAAATCCATACTCGTGCAGGCAATGGAGCAATCCGAAGAACTGCACAAATCGGCCGAGAAGGGTCAGCGCTTGCTTCGCTTTACTCGAGAATGAACCACCTCCACTGGCGTCGCCGTGGGAGTGGTCCCGCGCACCACTTGCACTACCGCTGCTGGGTGCCGCGTCTGCTGGTGCGGGGGGTACTATAGAAGAGCCGGCCTTCTGCTGCGTGTCAGTATGCTGACTATCGACGACGACGGACGACGGGCTGGCGACTCTGACTACATTGGAAAATTTTACTCTGGACAGGTGGATGAGGCCGCTGCCGGTCGTCGCAAAAGGAAAGGCACTGAAATGTCGCCGAGTCGCCCTTTGCGTTTGCAAGTGCAGACGAGGTACAAGAACGTCGATCACACCGGGCGACCTTGTAGCCGCGAAAGGGGTTGTCTGTTTGGCAATTCCACCCGCCAGGGTAACGCCAGCGTTCTGGTGTGCGCAGCCGATGTGTGCAAAAATTCGGTGACAGTCAGGAATTATGGTGGCGGAAAATCGCCGAGTTGTGCTTGAACCACACAGGAGCGGATTGAAGGTTTGCGTTCGCACCATCCATCGCTGGTCGACGACGCGGGCACGTGCTGTTCAACACAAGTTCTACTGCCGAATCTGCATCTGTACGAGTTTCGCGATGTATTGATTGCGGTCAGTAGAGCAGTGTCGGAGTTCGGAATTGCAATCCCGATCGAGTTTTGATCATGAAGATGTTATCGATTCTCTTCCCAACTATTTGAAAGCGAAACTGAAAAGGCAAGAAGCGTACTAGGCGATGAAAAATGTGCCGATCGCAACTGAATGATGCTGTACATACTTACATGATAGCGCAAGCTGCTTTGCACATCATATTAACTCTGTCGTGCTATATTTTTTGCATGATCATTTGCAGCTCTCTGACTAAATCAACTGGCTCAACACCCCTTAACCAAAACGAGACCTGCACAATACGATGAAAAAATGAAAAATGATCGTCAACATAAAATGTAAGAAATTTGTGGTCTGCCAAAACATATTTTTCTGACTCTGCTCTTGTTCTCTCGTAGAATTACTATGCGTGTTTTCATTTACATCACAAAATCAAAAATGAAACTGAAAGTGAAAGAACTGAAACTATGATACTTCTACAGATTGCACGTGCACCGGTGTCGCGAGGATGCTCCCTCCATGTTGTCTTTGTCGAGAGAACAAACGTACTGAAATGACGAAAAGTACTAGTAACAACTAGCACCAAGTATGACAGGGACAGGGTCACAAGATGATCGTGTAGATTATAGAGTTGTGAGCGGCCACATGTATTGATATTGTGCCTCTATGTCAGTATAACTTCTTTTCATGATGTCGTAGTCGAGATGATGATGCACACGGGATCTTAAAACTTCGTGTTTTGCGAATCTTCGCTCTACTCAGCGTGCTTCACTTTATTCAGAAGGGCTGTTTACAAAGCGGACAGGTGGACTTCCCACTGGACTGGAACCATTTGCTGAGACACGCCTTGTGGAACTTGTTTTTGCAGGTGGGGCACTGCGACCGCGGGAGCGTGTTAAATTGGACATGCACCACGGAGTAGCAGATCATGCAGTCTTCCCAGCCCTGGAAGTGCGACACAAAGTTGCCCCGCCATTGGATGATCAGATCTGGAAACGAGATGTTTTCGCAGGCTCGCGACGCGAGTTCCCACTTCCGGAACTTGGCCATCGGGACGCCCATGATTCCGCTCTCCGCCGCCATCGGCCCGCTGGCGCTCAACGCGCTTTCCGCAATCAGCTGCCACGCCGGCTGCGACGAGGCGGAGAGGTCTACTGCTGCTCCACCGCCAGATGTCGATGTTGTTCCGGATTTCGTGTTTTTCTGATGCTGGTTGCTAGCCGGCGATGGACTCGAAGCGCTGTTCCCGCCCTGCTGTACGACCAATGGGCCGAGCGGATAGTTATCGACGAGCTGGAAGGTAAGTTGTGCCGTCACGTCGTCCTCGTTAGACAGGTTCACGGTAATCGACTTCGCGGACTTGCGCAGCAGGAATTTCATGGAAATTTCTGATTCTTTCACTTCCTCATCCGAGTTGTCCGGTAGTTTCGGCTTACTCGCTTGCCAGTCGTCCTGGTGCTTCAGCAGAACTTTTGCCTTTTCTATCTGCTGCGGAAGGAACACCGTCGTGAAAAGGTGTTTTCCGTAGAAGCTGTCGATCACTTTCCAGCTCTGCTTCCACGCTCTTCGCTTCCGAAAGCGAATCAGCTCGGTCACAAAGAAGGCGCTCGGCAAAAGCTGCTGCAGGTAGTCGTCGAGAAGAAGCTTCAGTCGGATGTTCGACGTGATCGCTGTGAGCGACTCAAAAAGTGGATCGGCCACGGGGTCCGCTCCTTGCAGTGCTTGGTGCTTGGTTTGGTGGTCCAGGAAGCGCTTGACCAGCCCGAAGCGCTCTGCGAGGGCTTCCGCAAGGTCGTACACCAGCACCGGGGGGGCGGCGTCTGCGTCCTCATCGTCGTCTCCATTCCAACTTGTGCCGAGCGCGCGGTTGCCCAACTCGCAGATCACTTTCTCAAAGAACGCCTTCGACTGCTCAGGCGAAGGAACACGTGAGGGTCCGTTGCGGTCCGCAACTACGCTGCAGACTTTGTCTTGATGCCGCGCTAGTGTCTTCAGTAAGGCCAGTTGCGCTGCGGGTCTGGCAGCGTTTCTTGCTTTTGTGCTTGTTGCCAACCTTCCTGCTTGAGAAGTTATTCTTTGAGATGACTGGTGTAGTACTGAATCTCCGCCGGCCATCGTAACAAGGCTCCTTCGTTTACACTCGGCAACTACAGACGACATTGGACCCTGCATTTCGGACTGCAGGTAGAGAGCATTCACGAAGCTATTGACTTCCTGCTCATCCGAGTTGGCAGTTGCCTGAGAGAGTTCTGAACTCAACTCAGAGACGAAGGACACGAAAAAGGTATCCAGCATCCCTCTTGTGATCGAAATTCTTATCCCGGTCGCATCTTCAGAGAGGCACTTCTCGGTGCTCTGCCTTGTAGTGTTGACTTGTTTGCCGGGGCTGGGCTGCTCATTCGGGTTTTTGGTCCTCTCCCGAGCTGCAACCGCTCCACTTTTCTCATCCTGCTGATCCTCACTTTCATCCGGAGCACCTACAACCGGGCAAACGCTCGCATCCGGCTCTGTTTCGGAGGCCGCGCCCGATAAAGTCTCGTCGATGTGCTCGTGCACGCCGACGCTTTTCTCATGCGTTACGACTTCCCAAACAACCTTGAAGGGCTCTTCGTTTTTCCTCTTCGCATCTACGACCTTGCGCGTTTCTTCCAGCAGCTGAAACAGCAAATGCCACGTCGACACGATGAACCTTCGTTTTGCGTCTGCAGACACAGAAGGAGAGGACGGACAGCTTGATAGGGAAGTAGATGACACTTGTTCTATTGCAGCTGATGTTTTGTTCACCTCTGCCGTGACTTGATGCAGTAGCTTAACAAGTTTTTCCACCGAAACGGTCTGCGTTTCTTCAAGGAGACGTGACAGGGCTAAGAGTGCAAAGTTCTCCGCTGTGGCGTAGTACTGCTCTACGATCAGGGTGAGAATTCGCACACCCTGCGACCCAGCCGAAGAACGGGGGGAGGTCATCGTCACGCTACCCGCGGTGCCTGTCGGGTCGAAAAACAAAGCCGCAAGATCGTCGGGCGTTCTTGTTTTGGAGGCCGATGGCTTATTCATTTTCTCCACAGGAATGTTCTGGATCAACCTCTCAAGGATCCGTCTTCTCTGCTCTTTCGCAACGGGAGGGGCGACCGTCCAGTGTTCAACATGGAGCCCACGACCCCGTGTGGCTACTAGTGAAGACCTTTTGTTCCTGCAGGTGCCGGTCGGGATATCGGAATTAACCTTCGCGTCAACATCGCGGAGCATCGAGTTCGAACCTCGCACTATATCCACAAACTCCAGTTCTTCAGGCGAAAGCTTGAAGCCTGTCACTGACAAATTCTCTTCCAACGCGTCGCAAAAAATCTGCTTAGTCGTTTCGTCTTGCGCATCGTCATCCGAAGATGAGTCTTCGTCGCTGCCACAAGCTGTTGATGTGGGTGAAGCAAAGATATCTTCGCGACCACCATCACCCGCAGCGCTTTCTTGTGTCCTCGTAGTCGTTGGGACGCTACCTCGATCTAGGAACAACCCAGGTTTTTTTCGTAGGCAGTCCGCGATTGCTGTCCAGGTTTGAGAGCTAAGTTCCGCTCCCACAAGTCCGGCCGGGAAAGAAGTATCAAATGTAAAAATGTCTGGGTCTGGAAGGGTACCAGGTTTGTCGTGCATATTTTGCATGACTCAGGATGTCTGTAATGCATGATCTAGCATCACACGTTTCGAGAGGCCTTCCTGATGCCTATCCCGCATGACAAACGCCCTCCCCGCGTAGCACAAACTGGGCGCCTCTTGCTGGTCAACATGCAAAAATACAGATTTTTTTAGAATCCAAAGTTAGCATCACAAGTTGCATTCTTCCAGACCCAGACATTTTTACATTTGATAAGAAGCGAGCGAAGACAAGACATGCCAACTCCCCCAGCAATCGGCTAGGCTGGCTCGCGCGCGATATTACAATGAAAAATGCCCCCACCCCCGAACTTGAAAGCATTTGTATTGCAAACCTTTCCAAATGAAACATTCGCCCTCTTGCATGTATCAGCATCACAGATTTCCGAATGTGAATAGCAAAAATTTGTATTGCAAAGATCGCAACAAGAGCGGTGAATGTCATGGAAGCGATGCGAAACACGACTAGACTCTGCATCAGAAAGATTCATACTCCTTTCATGCATGACAAAAAGTTTTCATTTGGAAACTTCGCATCACAAATTTTTGCAACTTTGGGGGTGGGGGGCACTTTTCACTGTAGTACGCGACGCTCGAGATTCGCAAAAATAGTTTGTAGCTGCTGGGAAGGAGTTGCGCCAGAACTGGCAGCAGGAACTTTGGTGCTTGTCATCACACCACCAGCAGGACCACGAGTTCCTTTATTGGTGCTGCCACCCATCCTCCCACCAGCATCCAAAGCATCCAGGGAACTACCGGCGAATTCCAAATAAGCAGCATTCAGCTCTGCATCTTCCGGCTTCGTACTGGCAGTGGAGATATCAACTGTAAAAATGTCTGGGTCTGGAAGATTAAGACACTTGTCATGCACGTTTTGCATGAGCCATGATCATGTCTGTGATGCATACCCTAGCAATACAGATTTTTGAGGGCTTCTTGATCTTGATGCGTATTCCGAATGACAAATGCCTTCTCAGCGTAGCAAAAATTGCATTTCCCAGCTTTGGCACTCATGCAATACAGATTTTTTTGGAATCCACATGCAGCATCACAAGTTGCATTCTTCCAGACCCAGACATTTTTACATTTGATAGGAGATTTTTGCGGTCTCGAGAAAGCGCAGCACGCAGTTCCGCTCCACTGGTGGTCGTTGCCGGTCTGTGGGAAGAAAAGTCAGCTCCTTGTCTGCAGCCTGTGTCTTGGCGAGGTTAGCTTTCAAAGCTTCAATGGCAGTTTGAGTAGTTCCACCAGCTGCAGGTCCCGCTTCGCCGGGTGCCATGCCCAGATCCTCGTCATCCGCGGTTTCAAAGTCACCAGCAAGCAACCGCCTCAGGTATTGCCTAATCTTTCCTTGCGCAACCTGCTGCTCCGGAGCAGCTTTATTGTTGTTCTCTAGTACGTCAGCGCCGTCCAAGAGGATAGAATTTCCTTTCGTACCCGAAAATTCTAAGAGCAGAAGCTCGAGCCATCGCTCCACCGCGACTGCCGTAGTGCGACTGGTTTTTGTCGGTTTCTTGTTCGCGGATCCAGACGAGACGCTTGCACCCGTTTTTGCTTGAAGTAGACCAATTTCTTCCGGGATACTTGCTGCAGAAACAGCCTGGAGCACGGGTCCGTCTCCATCATCTTCGAATCCTGAGGGAGGAGATGAAGATGATCCGGTGCCGTTAACCGCTGCTGGCACACCACCCTCAAAATGACCCTCAGCAACTTCATCAATCGCGAGCGTTGTTTTCTGTGTTAAGTCTGCCATCGCAGCTACTGTCACCAGGTCAAGGTCCTTATGGCGATGCTGTGCAACCACGTAACCCAGAGCTGCGAGCAGGCGCAATACCGATGCGAATTTGGATTTGCTCTGAAAATTGTCCATCAACGAGGGGATGTGCTTCTCTGCAATCTCGTCAAAATCCTGGGAAGTCAAAGCTTTTTTCGCTCCAGTGTCTATCCTATCGCTGCTCCGTATCTGGTGCGCAAGAATCTGGAACCACGCCCAGAAAAGGAGTCGGTGTTCTTCAGTTCGTGATAGATCTGACACACCGGAGTTCTTGAGCACACTTCGTTCTTCGTTCCAAGAATACGCTGTACCGAAGTACCGCAGAAAGCTGGAATCGGATTGGGCTGAAATACCTCGCATCAGCTCCGCTGTACCCTCCGGAGGATTTTTACCTTGTTGTGCCACTGCTGTAAAAGCAGCGACGGTGTCTTCGATCCGTTTCTGGAATAAAGCTCTCTGGCCTTGATCAGCAACATCCTTGTTCGAAGAGTAAGTTTTGCTTCCACCCAATCCGTTGGTTCGTGTGAGGCAGCTCAACATTTCCATCTCACCATGCGTACGGCAGTAGTCAAGCAACGGAACAACTGCTTCTTCACTATCTTCATCTATGTTCTGTTTCATAGTTCCAAGCAGCGTCTTGATCACATTTCCCACCGCAGCATTGCCCTGTTGCTCGCGCTCCAATTTGCAGAGATACGGCAAGTTCGAGGAAGAAACGTTCACGCCTACTGGTTTATGGCTTGCGCCGCTCGGCGCACTTCTACTCGAAGACGTAGAATCTCGCGCATTTAAGAGTGGAATGACAGTACCTGTGGTAAGCGCATCCTTGATGTGCCCTCCTCCAGTACTGCCAGCGAGGACGAAGCACGCTGGTATCCGCAAGGACGCTGCTGAAAGCTTCGCAAAGACCGCTTGACCTCGTCCAGTAGACTTCACTGCGCTACTATTTGTCAAGTCGTTCACCACACGGCACATCTCAAGAAACGAGGCCCACCCGTCGTGAAAACTCGCCTCCGTCACCGGGTTCAGACAATTGCGAAAACAAGTCGAAGAGCAACCTTCCCGGAGTACAACAGCACTACCTGTGGACATGGGCGTGCGAGTGTGCTGGTCATGGTCGTCGAAGTGAGAGCCAGCAGTGCTATCTGCTTTGGATTCCGCCCGAGATCTACTGACGCTCTGACGTCGGGACGACGAACCATGTAGGAAGAACTTACTCTCACCGAATTCGGTGGAAACCGCTCCAAAATGAGAGTGCAACTGCTCCGGTGTCGACGTCGCGCTGCCGAGAAAAAGGTTGACGGGAACAAACGGCGCGTCGCCGAAGTACTCGATGTAGTCCGACAATGGCGCAGTATAATTTATTCCACTCGCGGCCGCCTCGCGTTGATGTTGCGCAGCATTCATTTCGGCTTCCAGTCGGATTTCCTGTATGTTCTCCCTACTGGTCCTCAGAAAGTTTTCCTGACGACTGCGGTCTGCGCGCGCACCGCAAGACGGGCAGGTCACCACTCTGCGACCATTATTTATTTCCGTGTAGTGTTTGCGATTGTTCGTCGCCACCATGCGTTTGCAATTGACGCACAGCAGGTGTCGGAAGCGGAAAAACGCGTTCACCAAGGCCGACACGTCACCGGCGTGCGTGAAGGCGTAGTTTCGCAGCCACTGCTTCCAGACAGCTTGTCTCTGTTGCTCGTCGATCATGTCATCGAAAAGAAAAAGATGAGAAAAAGTTGCAGGCATACTAGGACTTTCGGGCTCCGCGTTGATCGACGTTTTTGGCTGCTCGTCCCCCGCGAGCGTGTATGGTAGCAGCACTTCGGGATAGTCGTGAACGTACGAGTTTACTAACTGCGGAAGCTGCAACGGCGATGCTGCGCCGTCGGCGTCGCTGCTCCTTGATTTTTTATTCCCTGCAGCAGCTGTGATCTGTTCGCCGAACAGTCCGCGAATCACCCCCTCAATTTCGGTCGAACGAGCGACGGCGGTTGCCGATCCTGACGCGGAGGAGGTGGAAAAAGCCAGCTTTCTTTTTTTGTTTGGCGCCGAGCCTCCGGGAGAGGCTGCGTTTGCTGTCGGCTCAGCAGGTCCGTCAGAACCAGTAGTAGTCCCCCTTCCCGCGCCGGTATTAACATGCACCATATTGGACAGCAGCATGTGAAGCTTCTCCTTCTCAAACAGCTTGCCGCTGTACTTCTGCAAGAACTCAGCGTTCGTAGTGTAGTCGGCGGTCGGGGAAGACAGAAGTTCGTTTACTTTCTCCGGGGCAACGTCCCAGTTCTCGCAATGCGTGATAATGTCCGTATAGACCTGCGTCAAGAACTGTTCGTCTGCTGCGCGCTGCTGGGCGGTGGTGGAGGACGTAGGGGTTCTTTCCGCCGCACAGCTGATGCGGGTTGCCTCCGTAGCTGCTTCACAGAAAAATTCTGAGAAAATACCAGCGGCTGGTGTTCTTTGTGGTGGAGTTGACGTAGCGATGCCCTCTACTTCCCCGGACAACTTCTTCGGTGACGCGTCTTGCAACGCCTTTGACACAGCAGAGAGAACGACTCGTCGATCGGCGGCAGGAGTCGAAAACCCGGACACGAGGAACAAAGAGGAGATGAAAAGCCAAGAGCTCGCAACGGAATGATTGCTCACCTCGGCTAGAAGTACTTCTTGTGCTTTGCCATCGGGGTCGTGTAGAAGCGACACGAACTGCTGCTCAATGTTGATGCTCGTCGCGTTGTTCTCCTTGCAACAAAACCAGGAAAGTTCTAGATGGGAAAGCAGTTCAGGTATACTCAAGAATGCGGCCAAAACTTTCACACCCGATGCGCTCAGTGCCCGGTCGCCGTAGAAATTCTTCATCGCATGCACCAAGGCAAGCATTCTTCTTGTTCCCGAGAACGATTGTGTGCTTTCTTGTAGCTGTGCACCGTCTCCTTCCACCGCGGCTGCACCGGAAGTGATTATTATTTCCGGGAGAATTTTTCCCTCGCCGCACATTTTCCTCGCAACGTCGACGCAAAAGTCCTGGTAAAAAGGAATGAGATCCTTCAGAAGTCGAAGGACTGGTAGCTGCTGGGTGCAGTTCTGCATGTCGGTTCGCAGCTTTTCCTCGCAAGGTTTGATCTGCGGCAGAAACCCATCGTTTCTCCAAAACGAAACCGGCGTCTTTGCAGATTGGCCCCGGAGGGACGATTCACCACCAGTACTAGCCGACGCCAAGTAGTCAAAGACTGGCCTCCACATCCACTCCGAGCGTTTTTGTTGAACTGCTTCCTCGTCCTTTGCCGCACCTCCAAAGAGCTCGCTGATTGCGTCGTAATAGTTTCGAAGATCGTTCTCGGCCAGAAGGAGCGGCAAAACGACACCTTGTACCGTATTGTCCAAACGGTCGTCCAGCTCCTTCACTGCCAGAACCAGTTTCCCGCGCCATTCGGCATCGTCGAAAAACCTCTTTTGGAAAACTTCTTTCGCAAAGGCGCTGGCGCTCTTATTTTTCCCAGAACTTGAACTGCTGGTGGATGAAGAAAGAAGCAAACCGGCGATGCGTTCCTGCTTTAAAACAGCTTTCAACAGCTGCAAAAAGTAGGCGCGATCGTCCTGAAGCAGCATCTTCCGCAGCGTTTTGCGCTCCTCGTCCGCCGCCGGAAAGTCCGAATCCTCACCGGGCGGCGCGTAAGTTTGCTCCGGGAAGTTTGTCGCCAACACAAGCACCGCCAGCTTTACCGCTTCGCGGAGGCGCGGAAGCTTGTCCATCTTCGATAGCAAATTGCTTGTGAGAAACCAGTCGGAGGAGCTCCTCGCCGTTAGAAGTCGTTTATTTGTTGGGACAGGAGCGGACGGGGAACCGGCGCCAGCTTTCAAAGAAGACGAGGACGTTGCCGGAACTACAGAAGCCGCCGACTGTGAAGACTGTCCGGGCGGCGAAGGAGGGGCCACGTCCAGTACCTGGGCGAAGTTCGTGAAAGCCTTCACCGCATATGGATTGCAAAAGTGTCTGGGTCTGGAAGGTTGCAACTTGTGATGCTGCATTTGGAACCCAAAAAAATCTGTATTGCATGAGTAGCAAAGGGAATGCAATTTTTGCTACGCTGAGAAGGCATTTGTGTAATGCGGAATAGGCATCAAGAAGCCCCCAAAAAATCTGTATTGCTAGGGTATGCATCACAGACATCATGGCTCATGCAAAACGTGCATGACAAGTGTCAGAATCTTCCAGACCCAGACATTTTTGCATTTGATACCGCATTCGCCAAGACGAAGTCGATGCGCTCGAGGTGCAAGCTGTCGTCTTTCTTGCAGCTCAAGTATTCTGCAAGCTTGCCACTGTCGAAGTTCAGCACCATCCGGAGAAAATCGCCACCCTTCTTCCGACAGAGGTCAATGAACGCGCGGCGCTTCTCAACGGTCGTGAAACACTTGTTCAGGTTCTGCTTCGCGTTCAGCACGACTGCTTTGGTTTCGTCGAACAGAAGCAGGAACCAGACGATACCTTGTGGATGTTCAAGTTCAAATTCTCTTTTCGTATTGTTGGTGCCTGGGGGGCATACCATCATTCATCCTGCTGTTTTGTTTGGAGGAGCACGAGGAGAATCTATCTGATAGACTCTATCAGACTCGTAAACATAAACATCAACACAACTACGAACATGCCGTAGAAGAATAGATACGTAGTTCCACCAGCACTTCCGACTACATTGCACGTCTTTGGCATATTATTTTTGCACTAAACTGATTATACCCGCTCCGTTCTGAAACAAGCTTTTTGCGCCCTGCTTGCCCATTCCCTCGACGAAGACTGCGATTGCGTTGGTCATGCTCACCCGCACCCGCGAGTCTGCGGGGGCGACTTCCAGCCAGATTTTCTGGAAATTGATCTGCTCGAACAAGAGCGGTAGACTCTGCTTCGCACTGTCGTCGGCACACGTCTTCGTGAAGAATTCGCCCATCTTGGTCCAACCGGAAACCCGGGTGGCGTCATCCTTCTTCCCGATGGCTTTTAAACACAGTTCGAACTCATGCGAATTCGTGTTTGTCCCCTGGTTGTTCGCCGCGCGCGCCCCCGGGGCGAACGATCCGAGCAACGAGGCGGCGGACTGATAACCCGCCATATGTTGATGTTCCCTGAGCTACTAGTTTAGAGGATCAAACTAAAAGCCAAGAAGCCCCCCTAGTCTTATGGGTGTAGCCGGAGCGTCAGGAGGTGGGTCCCCAACATAAAAATGAGTAATCTCACTGGGATTGTTCAAATGGAGGGTATGGAACGTCAATGTTTCTAAGCTGCTGCCCGGCAACAATAAATGGCTGGAGGAAGAGAAAGTAAACAAGATAAATTCGAAAAGTGCGGGTAATTGTCGCTGCAGATGAAGATTTTCTACGTGGTCGCATCAACTAAATTAACAGTCTGAATCTGTGATCTTCATGAAAGCCGATCATGAACATGCAATTGCAAGGCTATCAGAAGCAGGATCTGAAGGCGTGTTTTGTAATTCTGTTTTCTTGATCTCCTCTCGCGGGGGGGGTGCAGCGGTTATATTATTTCTTTGTGCTCGGACATGAATACCGGGCACGAGAACGTACACCATGCTCGTAAAAGAAAAAAGTCCGGAGATCCTGAGCTTGTCCTACTTAGATTGTGATTTTTGAATATGAGCAGAACTACGACACAAAACATTGCGTCCCTTCCAAAACAAAAAGGAAAACGAAACCGCGACGTCGTGCTCCACATAAGAGAAAAACTTGTTGAGGTCGACGACTAAAAAGTAGCAACGTCGCGATCGACTACTCTGAATGAGAACGATACGTCAGTTTTTTCGAACAGGTTCGATTCTGCATCGTTGTTGGTCAACGAAGGTGGGAGTCGGAAGAGTTGTTGGCTCCCTTCAAGTTCGGAGTCAGTTCTCGTCTTCTAGAGCCTCATTGCATTCGATCCAGCTCGAGCTCGTCGTCGCCGGTTGTCCAAAGTGAGAGGACATGGACGACGTGGTGCCAAGTATTATAGAAGCACAAGCATTCGAAAATCCATAGAAGAAGCAAAAAGAACAAGAGAAAGTCGCACATAGTCGGTCGTTTTCGAGGTTTTACGTCAGCAGGTCAAGGTACTAAAGTGACTGATCCCGACGTAATGGCTTTCGTCTGAGATGCTGTAAACCGAGATTCATACGTCGGATGACGCAGCTGCTCGCGGCCTCAACAACCTGCCCATACTGATTCCTTAGCAGTACTACCGCGTGCTGCCGGTACGTGTTGAACTACCCCTCGATCATCTTCATCTCAAATGTCGCTAGTTTTCTTTTTTCAGCGTGTAGTTTTCTGCTCCTTCCGCCGTCGAGTAAGACAGTGCACAACTGTGCGGCACGACGTTGCTATTGAGTCTGCAGATTTTGGGCCATTTCGGTCGAGGCTTTGACGACAATCGAGTGTGCCTCGATCATCCGATCCATGCATTTTGCAAGGCAAATCTGGTCCGGTTTTCCGAGCGAATCCGGAAAGCTGGATTGCCCATTCGGAAAGCACTTCTCGAAGCAGGTCTTCTGGATCTGCTGCTGCAACATCTGCACAACCGCGAGATTCAGCTGGTTCTGCATCTCTGCCACCTGCCTTGTCTGATCCATCTTTTCGGTTTTTTGGGTGTCTCTGTCCTGCGAGCGGAACAACGAGTTATTTTGGCTACTACCAGAATCTAATTCTGATTGAAAAATTGAAATTCTCTGTAATGTTGTTCTTCTTCTTCCTACATGACCATGAGTACTTCTACGACTAAATGAAAATCAACGAGAAAGTGAGAGTTCTGTGGGTGACGGCGACGGCCTGCAGAAGTCTATGATTCGCATGCTAGTCGTTGTCGTTCTTGTTGATCATGTTGCATGTGCATCATCAGATAGCAGGATAAGATTACGACCTTGAATTCAGATAAGGATATATCTTCTTCTTGCAGTAGAAAGTACAGCGCTGCGGTGGAGTGAAGATCGTGGAAAAAAAAGCACCAGGAAGCTGCGTGATCTGTATGTTTTTTCCTGTACTCTTCGGAATGATGTCACACGAAGAAAAAGCAGTCGCCGGGCCGGCGCCTTCTTGCTAATCGTAACCTTGCCAAAAACTACAAGTTGAAATTTTTGCGCTTGACCCTCAAGGACGATGGATTGCAGCACAGCAGCTAGGAACGAGCGGAAAAAAAAAGAGCAGCTGCGACAGAACACACAACGTAAAAATCATGAATTATCTCGTCCTCGCACGGCCTGAGGAGCCGCTCCGTATCCCTGTCGCACAATCGTGCGGTCAGAGACTGAAATTTAAATGAAATGGCTGTCGATTGATATCTCAAGTACCAACGATAGTGCAAGTTCGAGGCCTCTCTACTTGTTCTGTTTCTCATATTCAGAGACTGGGCAACGGCAAACAAACGCTTCTTGCTTCAGCTATTCATTGATTGAGCGTAGTAGCTCAACTGAATGAAAGCGTGAAACAGCAACGAGGCAAAACTGCAGAAGAAACTACTAGCAAAACGTAGCCAAAATGAAACATGTCGTGGAAATCGAAATCATACAGTCAAATTACAAAAAACCTTTCACGGCGCTGTGCGCCCCAATTGGCTGCTCGCTACCATGTTTGGTTCCAGTTCTTGTCTTGGGAAGAAACAAGATCCGCCGAATACCACAAGCACCAGCTCGAGCACCACCACAAGTCGTGGTTGCAGTGGCATGAATGTCGAGTAAACCTGTTGAGACCATTCTGGAACCGGCGAACCTACCTACCTTGAGACCTATCTTCCCAGTTCCTACGAGTGCTTTTCCGGTGAGTCTACCTGCTCCCAAGGCGACTCGCCCCGCTTTGTACTGAGACATCGGATCCGTTACGTTGCGATGGAGAAGTATCGAAATGACATGTCGCTTCACATCTTGTCAAAATTGCGTTTGGTACAGCTTGGTTGGCCTTGTAGTAGTGCCAGCGCGCTACGTTTTTCAATGAATGGAAAGAAGCTCGACAAGTCTGCCGAACTGTACAACGACCGTGCTAGCCATTGCCTTTCGACGCCATAATTCGTCGTATTCGGATAAGCATGCACGACGCACACACATCAGAGACAATTCGAATAGATGCACGCAACACGAATAGAGAGAAGCGACATGCGCGCAGTTCGATAGCAGCGCCCGCGGTCGCATCGTAGGCTGCCGCCTTTATGTCACCGGCGGCGTTGTACGTGCGCTTGACTTTGGACCTTTCGTCAAACGCGTCGATGAGACTCTTTGGCTTGTACTCCCCCTCCTGCCGCGCTTCCCACTCCGAGGCACTGGAGGTTTTCATGCCCAACAAGGCGCCGGGTGTAAACCGGAACCGCGGATCCGCTCCCTCCGCCGTGACGCGGGCGATCTCGTCCTGCATGGCCTGCATCCGCTGCTGTCGCTGGTACTCCTCTTCCATGAGCTGCCGGTCGCTCTTGAGAACCGGATTCGTACTGATCTTCTCGGAATCCAGCGAGCCGCCTTCCGCCCCGGTTCCCTCTTGGATGGCCAAGGAATCGTCGTCCGCCTCGTCCAGTCCGTGATCTAGATCGTCTGTCTCCTCCTCGTCCATCGCGTGCGTTTCTGGCTCCCTGATGTCTTCGTAGTCAAAGAAACGCCGGAGCTCCCGCACGCAAGATAGCGGCTCCCCTTCGCGACACATTGCGTCCTGCTCTTCCGCGGTCTTCGCGTAATCGTCTTCCGGTTCTTTGGACAACTCGTACTTTTCGTCTTTCGGAGCCTCCGCCGCTTCCCGCTATGCTGTGCAAAAGTATCGTACTCCTACTCGTAGTATTGCAAACATGCATTACAAATCTTGTTCTTAAGCTAAATCCGCATTACAAATTTTATTTCTGATGCTGAGGAAATTTGTAATGCATTTATACGAGTACGATACTTTTGCAATGCATACCCGCACCGTGCCGTCGATCTCCAGTGGCGGCGCAATCCCCTTCGTCGCCGGGTCAATGTAGATCGTCCGCGCAGCGTAGTGCTTACTTTGGTCGCGGAAGTTCTGTCCCGGCCCCGGCCACCAGCGTTTTCGAAGTTCCGCCTGCTGTTGCTCGTCGTGATGATCGAGACCTTCTTTATTCATCTCAGCATCGGCACCATTCTCGGCCAGCTCGGGATTTTTCACGACATACGCGAAAGAGCCACTTTGTACTTTAGCGCAAATGAACGGCCGGGACTTCGGCATGGTCGTCCAAACCTTCGCGTACGCGTTTTTCAGGATTCTGTTGGCACCTTTCTGCTCCGTCGCAAACAGGTGCTGATCGAGGAAATGTGCAAGCTTCAACCGCTCCAGCGTAAGCTGTTCGCGAGTCATGGTCCGGTAATCGACGCCGGTAATTGGGATACAGGCGGACGCAGGGTTCCGTGGATCATCCATGACTGCGCTCTTGTTGGTGGAAGAGGACATAACACCGGAATCGCTGCGGGCTTGTGCTTGACCATCGGTCGCATGAGTTTGGCGATGGCTTGCCGCGCCATCGGTCGTCGTGGACGAGCCGGAATGGTCCGCTCCGGTATTATGATCGTCGGACTGCGGCATGACCTCCGCGTCGATGGAGTCATCGGTGCGCACGACCGGGCTGATATGGATCATCCGAATGTATTTCGCAATTTCTCGCGAGAGCTCTTGGAGTTTTTCCAGTTTCGGGAACTCTCGTTCCTCCACGGGTCGTGGGTGATCCAGGAGCGTCATTTTCTTCTTCTCCACCTTCTCCGCTTCAATGGGAGCTGATCCAGCATCTGGCTCAGCTTCATCCTCGTTAGCATCTGCAGCATCCCCCGTTTCCGGGGTCATATCAACATCCTCGCCCGTCGCTGTCGTGTCGCCGGTGCCAGCGTCCGGTGGGGGCACGATTTCTCCTGCATCTTCATCATCGCTTGCCGCAAAAGACGTCACGATGCTCTTCGTGCTCTTTCCTCTTGAAGATCTTCCTAGAGCTGCACTGTAGTTCTTGTTCTTTAGCGTGTGCATCTCAGCATAAGAACCCAGAGCGGGAACCCCTTCTACTCTATCACCCGTGCAAATGCCACCACCAGTGCGGACTCCCTGCCGCTCGAGCGAAACGTCCAGATGATTTTTCCCTGAGGGAATCCCTACAAACGCCGTGAGCACGTCGCCATTACGGGGGAAGTTCACTTTCGGAACGCTGTCCTCCAACTCATCCACGTGCTCAAGCATTCCTAATTTCACGAGACACTGCGCCACGAGCTTCTTGCTCTTTCGCAAACCAGTAAGCGCGGAATTCTCCAAACAGTGCGGAGCCGCACCGACGCAGCATGAATTGGTGGTTAGGTCGCCGCCACCACTTTCGTTAGCGCCTTTTGATACCGAATCAGCAGGAGAAGTAGAGCTCCCGCCCGATAGAGGCAAGCTTGACCGCTGCTGACAGGCGTTTTGCGGATACTTCACCATGCACTTGATGCGTGGTTTCTGGCCACTGGAAACCTTGGCTCCATCGTCAGGAACTCGCTCGCAGGCGAAGGGCTTGTCCGACAATCCGGTGCTGGCGCTGGCCTCATTCTCCACACCGCCACCACTGCTCGGCGTGCCGCCCTCCGGGAAGAGCCGCTCGCAGCCATCTCGGAGCAGGGTTTTCCAGTGCTGCCACTTCTTGCCGATCGCCGACTCAAGATTGGCGACGGACTTCGGATTCCACTCTAGTACGGAATGCGCAGTCAGCACGGTAGCCGCAGTATTGGGTTTTTTCCGAAAAACTAGGTCCCGAAGGTATTTCTTTTCCGCGGCGGAATATGGCTGCTGCAACACGAGCTCTTCCTGCTGGGCATACTTTGCGACGAGGGCGGTCAGACTCTGCGTGGCCTCCAGTTGCTGGGCGTGGTGCCCGTAGAACGCTGCAGGCTCGTACACGAAGGTCTCGGTGAGCTCGGTGTCCATGTCGTCCGTGATTACGATGGTGAAGATGATCTGCTCTTCCTTGTGGTCTTCTATGAGCAATCATGCAATGCCATGAACGAAGTAAGTACTTAACTCATCTGACTATCGGATAGGTATCGCCCGCCGGTCGTAATTTTCACACTTCTACTGACGGTTCAGCACCAACTACTCAGACACTCTCCCATTGCTCCTGGGAGCAATCAGGTCTCTCCTTGTGCAGTCATCATCTATCACACCGCATGGGAGGCGGAAGAGGTTGACGAAAACGAAAGAATCCGACCGTAGATACACGATTTCGAAGATAGCTCACCTTCCCACACACCCTCAACAACAAAAGTACAAAGTACATACCGCTCTCGTTTTCTCACGCGCAAGCAGGCAGCAGCGAGATTTGGGATCGAGATCGTCATGCAGTGACACAAGATCAATTTCATACGCGACGGCGAAGTAGACGAGGATAACCAACATCTGCACGACAACCGACCGAACACAAACTACTTACTTGCACTTACAGGAAAGCGACGGTCCATGTCTAGCAAAAGGAGAGACTCGGCTTTCATGACTTTTTTTCGCTCCATTGACTCTTCTACGGGAAGTCATCGGATATTCATGTTTCGTGAACTTCCAGAGTATGCAGTTCAACGAACCACCTATTGCCCATACCCCCGACTCCTGTGTAGTTTATGCGATCCTCTCTATGCTGCATGTTCATCGCGTCAGATACCATCCGAACTTCCTTGTCTTCCTGTCCTTACGTCCTCAGGCAGTACAGACTCTGCACTTGAGACGGGAGGACCATGTTGTGAAGATGACCCTGAAGCAACTACATCCAGCGTGGTGACGTCCTGATCGTGATCGTCTTTCGGCTGTTGATCTACTCCAACCGACCCTGGCATCTTGCCGACGGATGTTCCTTCTTTTGGTGCAGTACCAGTAGAAGACATGTCGTTGTCTACTGGAGGAGCAATTGCAACAGCAAGCCCGACATCACTTAGGCCTGGCTGCGTTGCCGTTGCCTCAAACGCGGCAAGAGCAGAGGCGTCCGCAGTATTCACCTGTCCTTCGGGCGAGACCAGTGCATGCTCCGTTGTTGGTGTGAATCCGCTTTTCTCCGGCGCGATGTTGAATTGCTCATCCGCCACACTCGGCGTTGTTTGCTCGGCATTGAAAAAGTGGTCGTCGAACGAAGCGAAATTTTGATCAGCGATTGCAGCAGAGTCCTGCGGCCCTTCTGCTCCTTCACCCGGAGGACCTTCCTCCGCCGTTGTCGTAAGATTTTTTTGCGTTTTCTTCTCGTGCTTTCTTCGCACTTCATCGTAGGCATGTTCCTGCGCGTCCATTTCCATCAGCACATGCTGATTGTACCGCAAGGAAAACGACCGCTTGGCATCGCTGATCACGTCCCGCGGGTGAAAAGCCGAACGCGCGTTCGCAAGCCAGGACGGGTTATTTTGGTCGTCCTTCTCCTTGTCCTCGTGCCTCTTCTTCTTTTTCTTCGCAGCAGTGCCAGTGCCAGCCCCGTTAATAGCACTCGGTGGCTGTAGTTCGACGGAAACTACCTGGTCTGTCCCGATGTCTTCTGACGCTATGGACGGTGGAACGGTGGTCGCGGTGTGACTCGGGGAGGATCGGGTGGACCCGTCTGGCGGCTCCTTCACTGCTGCACCCTGCGGACTCAGCTTTGGAATATTTTGAGTTGTTGTGGCAGATGAGCCTGATACTGCAAGAAGACCTTGCGGCGCTTTTTGATCTACGACAGCACCAGCTGCGGTTAACTGCTTTGTTCCACCGCCCGCTGCAACAGACGAAAGCGACGATGCCAGAGACGTCGAAGTTGTCCCGCCGATGGAAATCTCGTCGTAGTTGTTTCCAGATGAGGAACTCGACGAGGACCCTGTGCCGTCCTGGTCGATTTCTCCGACTTGGTCCATTTCATACGTGTCTAGCTGCACCAGATTTCCGATCTTACTCGGCGACACGACACTGCTCAGCTGTGTGGTCTGCTGGAGTCCACGACCACCCGTTGTGCCCTCCTTTGTTCCGCCAAACGCGTTCAGTAAAGACTTCTGTTTTTCCACAGGATGCACCGGCCTGCTGGTGGACGCCGTGGCGGCCGTAGTGCCTATTTGAAGCCCGTGGCTGATTGCGTGGTTGGTTGCGAGTTGGTTCCTGACCGGGATGCCGACGACACGGCTGGCGTCGCCAACGCCGGTGTTAAAACTCTTGCCGGTGCCAGGTTTCTGTGCAACTCCTTCCTGTGTACTAGCCACTGCGGAGCCATTGCTCAACGCAAATCCCGGCTCAACGGAGCCGACGTTTGGGTGCATTGTTCCAGTTTGGTACTGCGGATCCGCTTGCAAGAAATTTTGTGGGTGCAGCTGCGCTGCGCCTGTGTGTGCATGCAGTTCCTTCGGCGAGTTGTACTCCTTCACTGGTTGGGTTACGTCTTGAAACTCTTTCCAATTAAACGCCAAAATCATATCATGTGACACAATCTCCCCTGCCCGGAAACTCATTTCCGATCCGAGTTCCTTCTTGGCAAACACATTTTCTGATCATGACTGAAAAAAGTAGTTGCACACCGTGTGGCAGGAAGTTGTAAACTTCTCTAATCCTTGATACGGTGTTGCAACACGGTTTGAACGAGCTCAAACAGCATACCGTGGCAGTGTGGTCTCTCTGCGCTCTCCCTATCCATGCAAAAGCTGAGCTTTGTATAATCATTTGACTGTGTGTATGCCTGCAATTACAATTACTGAAGATGTGAAACAGAAACGAGGACAATGGGGGGGCGTGATCATGTGTCACAGTTGGTAGGTCATGCACGCAGTGAAAAACGCGCACTCGACGATGAGAATGAAATCCTGCCACGCCTCCTGGTTTTTCGAGATGAACAGCGGAAACATGTAGCCCTGCCAAAACGTCAGAAAGACCACCATTTTCACGGCGGCGAACTTGAGGATGCACTTTTTGTCCTGCATGGCCACGTGGTTCTTGCACGCCGTGTACATGAGGTACCTGAAGTGGTGTGGGTGAAAAAAGGTAGAAAGATGCTAGCGCCCGCCACCCAAGTTGAGAGGTCTTGTGCTTAGTAGTTACTTACTATCACGGCACTGCTTAGAAGTCACTCTGGTGCCGGTTTTCTTCTTTCGGCGCATTGACAACAAGCAAAGCGTCAACTTTAACTTTATCAGGAGCCGCAAAACGAAAATAACATCACAGTCAGAGGCAAGAAAAATAAACTCTTATTGATACAGTCCGAACAGCGCCAGGGTGTAGCTAACGTTGTAGACAAAGTTCGTGAACAAAATCGCCAAGATGTTTCTCTCCGACCCCTGCGCCCATAGAAACAGCTCGATCACGCACATGACTGGTTTCATGATGACGAACTGCAGCGCGCACCGCTTCGGAAAGCGGATCATCTGCTCCGGGGGGATGGCACCGAAGCAGATGCTGAACGGCCACGGGTAGTGAAATTCTTTCACCGGCTTGGAAAAATCCGCAGAGTGCTCCTCGGCAATGCTGGTCAGGCACATGTGCTCCCCACCCATGTACTCCAGGATCAGCATCAGAAAGCTGTAAATCACCACCGCCTCCCAGAAATCCCGCATCACGTTGATGGGAAAAGGGTATCCAAGAGAAGCAAATACTGGATACTGACAAGCTTTTCTTGTTGTCCTGTGCAAGAATCAAGAGACAGTTGCTGGTGCAATGTCGATTTATGTGTTTAATCTCGTAGTGGCAAATAATGGCATCAATAGGTGCATCTGCCGCTTTTGCCTTATCTTTGTCAACGAACTAGTATGGCACCATAGACCATGGCATCATAGTCAACATGCATGATTCACGTATACGATGCAAAACGAGAAAACTTGTAAGTATGTGCTACAAAATTATGTTGCTTGGATATTCTCCCTTCGGGCACCAAAAGCGCCAAGAAGCTGAAGAAGACCTAATTGTAATTTCAGTTTGATGACTGATGGCATGAAATTTTCAAAGAGCAAAAGAATGGAAGCAGGTGAAGGAGCAGGAGCACATGCATGCTTACCGTTCCAAAAATGCGAGCGGTAATGCTCGTGGTAGTCATCCTTGAGTTCATCAGATGTTGCAGAGAACCAGAATGCGGCTTTCTTGCATGTACTGGCTTACTTCGCATGTATGTTCGAAAAATCAACGAGAACTATCCTTACCACAATCGGGGTGATCAGCAGGATGCGTAGAATGTGCGTCTGCAGGTGCGGTTTGGCATAGTGTGACAAATGCTTGTACATGTTGTACGCCGTCAGTCCCCAGACGAACACGATACAACCGACCGCGAACACCACTGCCCACCCGCTCACCACGAACTGGCCTCCAGACTGCATCGTGCGAAGAAGAGGTGGATCCAAGAATACACAAATGCTCAAGCAAGTCGCGCCCAGGTTCCACGGCAGGTCTGCTTCGGTCCTTGTTTTCCAAATTTTTGGCCAACGATTTGAAACAAAGATAGAGAACAAGATATCAGGATAAACGCATCGTGTGGTAAGAGTCACTGGCGTGATTGGACATGGTGACATCAAAAGTAGTTGAACGTCGAAGTCGCATCCTGGTTTTCAGCCATGAAGCTGCGTGCGATAGCAATTTCGACGCCTGTTCTAGCTTAATTAGTTAGCCACAGCTACAGCATTGCTAGTTGTAATATTTTCTGCTTCACTCATCGTCATCATCTGCTGGAACGATTACAACTTTGTTTGCAACGGTGGTCATTTCGAGCAGTCCATACTTGTTAGTTACAGCATACAGTTCTCTCTATGGTTGGCATCGAGAAGAGGTGTTTATCGCGAGGCAGGGTAGAAGTCCGGATATTCATGTTCATGAGGCGCGCGTAAAGCTGAGGTCCTGTGGAGACGATGAGTACCAAACCAATACCACACAGAATCGTGATATGCAGTAGCACACGACACTGAACCTTTTCAGGCGATCATTCCTGCTCGTAAAGGACCCAAGCACAGGCATCTCGTAGCAAGAAAAACTGAAGGACAATACGAAGATGCAGCCATGCCTGAGCATTTTCCTCTTCCTTGTGTTGCATGCGTGAGAGCGTTCTTGTACCGGTAAAACTTCACTTCGCAGTACTACTCTGTATGTACTTACATTTTCTCTCAAAATCGGCAAGATGCACTCTTCTTGCTTTTTCCATCGAACACATAGCCGTCCTCTAAGTGAGGAGAACTACAACTAGAAGCCCTTAGGCGGTGGATAAAAATGGCCAACCTGCCGGTGTATGCAAAAGCAAAAGCTCATGTAAGTTTATGGGATTTCGCGTTCTTCCACGTGCTGCTGTCAAGCAAGATTGCGTCGACCATTTCGATTTCGTGTTGAGAGCAGCTTGCCTCCGGCTCAGATTGACCAAATACATGGGAGTGAACGTGAAAGGGATAGCGCATCATGTAATAAGTGATCGCTCTTCGGTCTATCACTATCGTCTCTGTCCCGTGGCCGAGGCCGTGCATCCGAATCATAAGGCCGAACTGACTTTTTCTTTGTTCTTGACAAAACTGAAAATGTGCCCAGAGTAAACACCATTCGTGGTCAAGTCAAAGGCTGCAGTAAGGCTGCCTGTTCAATCCAGAACCCACGCCGTCGCGACCCATTTCACTCCTTCCTCCACTGGACAGCCCGCATGCCAGCTGTATTCGTCCGGTGTCCCGTCGGATAACAGATTGTAAAACAACACGCCAAGAGACTGCAGACGACCATCTGCACCTTCGGTAGTTGGTTTCCCTACTTCTTGTCCTGTCGCCGTCACTGGCCGCGAGGATAACTTTGGTCCAACAATACGATGTCCGGCTTCATTTGTGGCCTGATCAACATGATCTTCTGCCTTGAAGACTTTCAGGCCTGTGCTACCTGTCGGTGTCACGCTCGTACCACTATGAGTCTCGTTTTTACAGACAAAAGGTCGAACGTCGTGTGTGAAGCTGATCCTTCCATGAGCAGGAGTCGTATCTTCTGTAGCATCAGAGCCCCTATTGGTAACATTGAGACCAAAAGAAGTTTCATTTTTCCGGAAAAACCACGTCTCGCCACCCCTGCGCGCAGTGTGCAGCCAGTACAGGACAGTTGCTAGTCGCTCGGGCGGTCTGGGGGCCTGCTTGCGATGAAACAGCTCTTCCTGTCCCTCTATCTCTATGCCGGGTAGTGTTTGCGCTGCCTGTGAGGGATCATGTTCAGCAGGCTTCGATAGTATTCTCGACGCCCCCATCACTTGTCGTCCGCTTCTTGCACCTTCAACCAAGTTGTCCCGCCGTCGCAGTAGATCTTGGTGTGCGTCATATCGTTGACCCACTGCGTACCGCAAAACTTGCAGCGCCGGCTCTAGCGGAGAATCTTCCAACACCAACCCGGTTGTGTCTCGAGGACTCTCTTGCATCGGTTCTTGTCGCGGGTCGCGCCCGCACGTGTTGTTCGCAACCGCAGGCACGCAGTCGCTTCTTCTAGAACCCGCGCTGCTGATCCGTCTTTTTCCGCGTCGTGCTATGCGAAGGGTAAAATCCGCAATGCGCCAATTCTGCGCCGTCTCCTCGTAGTACTCCCAATAGGTCGTGCTGCTCCGCTTGCTGTTGGTCTTATTTTTCGCAATCGACAATTCATCGGCGGTCCTTGTTTGCAATGAATCCTCCAGCTCACCAGCGTGCTCCTTATCCGACCACAGCAAGTATTTCTCCTTCACGTGGCTGAAAAGATCAATCGCTGACGAGTCCTTTTCGATTAAAACCTCAAACACAGCTGGTCTACTCGAAAGCGTTCTCAGAATGAAACTGTCTCTCGAGAAATCTCCCGACAATTCGGCAGCCGGGCCGCCCCTTTCATCCTCATCTGCAGCATTCACAACGTGCTTCGTCTCGTCGTTCCGACGCAAGAACTCCGAACCCGATGGAAGTTGCACGACGCGCAGAAAGCCTTCGCGCACCGGTGGCCACCGCCAGTTTCCATCTTCGAACAGCAAAAAGACGAGAGACGGTCGTCCGTAAGTATCACGAACAGGATCATCCGTAGAGCCGCCTGAGCAAGCTGCTGCAGCAGGAGACTGGAGTTCTATTCCAAGCTCGGTCTCTGTTTTTTTTGCCTCCTCCTCATCTCGTAGTGACTTTATTCCGCGACGACCACCAACGCGAAGACCATGATCAACACCTCCCGCGTTCAGCACTTCCTCTCCGCTGTTCGCGTCAAAAAGGGCCCACGAACGGTTCTTCTCGGCGGAGAGGTACCACTCCCGGGGGGTCGTCCTTTCGCGAGAGGACAACAGACGACGCACGTCTTCGCCCGTTAGTCTTGCAACAAGTGTTGATGAACCTGGCAGAGCTTCACGAGAGCCCGTTTGTGCGCCGCGTGCCGATGTTGATGTGCGTGTCGTAGAGGCGACCGGTACTACGGATGGCAATACAACTGGGAGCCTCGTGGTCGCTTTCGGCTGGAGTGTAGTGCCACCCCGGTAGAAATCTAAGTGAAGAAAATCTTCAAACTCGATCGAGGGGGATGGAGTGGAGAGCGTACTACTGTGCGGCGATCTTGCATTTGTGGTTTGTTCATCTTGATCGACGCTGGAGGCGCTAATAACAGGCTGACGGACTTCTGCACATCGTCGAACACAGAGGACGTGATATCCTTGGTCCACATCACCCCTCTCGTTCAACCAAGGTTCCACGTCTGCAAAGGCGCATCCGGCACCATCTCGTGAATCTTCATGGGCAGTCTCCTTTTCTGCGCCACCGCTGGTGGAAGCAACACCAGCAGTACTGTTAGTGCGACTACGGTTAGTTGCATGGATCTTGGTGATGTGGTTTACAGAAGCCCCGAGTGGTGCGCCTCCGAGACCGAGAGCAAGTGAATCACCTGGATGAAAAACCGAGTCTGGCGTGGTGCCAACGCTGTGAAGATCTTGGAACGCCGCAGACGTGCCATTGCCATCAGTCACGACTGCAGATGAAGGAACGGCCTTGCACAACAAAAAATGGAAAATCCAGCCACCAGCACTCCAAGAAAGGAGATCAAATGGCGTGTGTGCTTGCGGCTTACGCTTATATGTACAAGACATATTATTGTTCGTTGGTTAGATTCACCACGACACCACACATAGGGAGCAACCCCACAAACAGACGTTGGAGATGAAAGAAGGAAAACACTACGAGTAATTCTAATCAATAGACTGCCTTGGTCATCTTTTCGTCCAACTCCAATACCGATGCGATAGCGGTCGACATAGATCTGAGGAGATACATTGAACTGTCGCGCAACCACAAACCACCTAGAAAGCGAGCTGCGACATACGACGGGAATTCGACAGGGCCATTGCATCACGATTTTTCAACTTCAAAAAGGCGATGCATGATACCACGAGCACGACGACGGCGATCATGATTTATTACGACGAGCGAAAGCGATTGCGAAATAGATCATTAAGAACTGGTCGATTTATGATGTTCGATGTTGCAAGTACGATAGGAGGACAAATCACGAAATACTTCTAAAATTCCTTCGGTGCGTCGAGCCACGAAGTTCTTGAATGGAATCACGACCGGAATTCCCGGGAAACAAGGACACTCCCAAATCGGAAAAAAGTTTGCAGAGTTGTCGCACAACTGCTTGTTTATCCGAGTTTGAGTTTCCTTTTTTTGTTTAGGCGTCGCGCTGTCGAGAAGAAAAAGAATAAAAGTACATCCACGCACAGTTGTTCAGGTGTGCAGCATGCGGAGTTGGTGCACTGACACGCCGATCTCCGTCAATACTTTCCCGACTGTTTTTTTGTCGTCGTACAGGAAAGCCTGTTCCAGCAAAACTTCTTGCTGGTACCACTTTTGCAGCTTTCCCGCAACGATTTTATCCAAAATCTGGTCGCTCGGAGCCATTGCTGCGTCCGCATTGGCGCTCGCCTGGGCTCGGTAAATTTGCCGCTCTGAGCTGAGGATATCCTCCGGTACATCCGTTTTGGCGACATATTTCGGTCGCATCGCTGCGATGTGTCTGCAAAGTTTGTTGCCTATGTCGGTCAGGTTGCAGCTCTTGTCTTGTTCGTTCTGTACTTTCCTAGCTTCAGCCTCATCGCCTTCTTTCTCGACAAGCGAAACCAAGGCTCCTACTTTTCCGCAGTTTGGCAAGTCAGATTCCACGTTACCTGGATGCACGTACCCGAAAACGTGCCTTCCTCGCAAAGAAACGGCCTGCAGCAGTGAGCAAGACTCGCCTACCCGGCCGGAGAGCTGGTGCAAAATCCCTTGGCACTTCATTTTCCAAATTTTCCGCGTCGCCCGCTCTCGTTTTTCCGCCGGACTGCAATTCGCTTTTTCTTCTTCGCCCTTCGCCTCTTCACGCAGGAGATTCTCGAAATGTTCTTCGGTGGTGCGTGCGGGGGTACTACGGGAACTAGTTGTAAGAACATCAGGGTCATCTTCATCTTCCTTCGAGTGCGCTTGATGTGCACCTCCTATGCTAGGGGATGATGGCACTGATCCGCTGCTCCCATCTTCTATCGCTGCTCCTGCACCATTCGCAGCCCCTTCGTCCTGCTGGAGGTTGCACAACGTTTCCGCACAGGTCACGCAAACCTTCTGAAAATCCTGATTGCGGACCACAAAGTCCGTCTCGGCGCCAATCTTCACGAGCGAAAGCGTCTTGCTGTTCGACCCAGCACCCGAGTCGTCATCTGGTGGAAGCGAAACAAGCTCGGCCATGGCCACCAGGCTTTCCGGCAGCGACTTTCCATCCTCGCCCGAAACAGCGTCTCTTTTCTCCCAGCGGGACTTGGCGGCGACGACGTTTCGCCTCTTCAGCCACTCCAGCGCCCCGTCGAGATCGTCCTGGCTCTCGACCAAGGCCCGACGGCAGTCCCCCATCGAAGAACCTGTGATTTCCCGCAGTTTCTTGACTGAAGACGCAGTAATTTTGATTGCGCCGGCCGCCGTGGGGGCGGTTGGTGCAGAAGCGGAAGCGCCGGCGCTCGTCGCCGCAGAGGAGGAGGAAAGCAGGCGGCATCTGCTGTTGGCTCCACCTACACCACGTGTGCTTTTTCGAGATGGATGAATCTGTGGTCGGCCGGCCAGAGCCACCACCCGGGTACATGGCAATCGAAACGAAGAAGGAAAACAACACGCACGTGGAGCGACCAAGGCCATCTTGTTGCAAGAACTACGTCTTTGCTTATTTTGTCGCGAGCCACGTTCGATAGTTTGCCTGCGTCCCTGAGCTGAACATCAAAGTCATTCGTTTTGTACTTTGCTCAGATGTGACGAGACAGTTTTGCGTGGGAGATGGCGTCATAAGAACAGATAGCGCCAGCAAACTTCGACTTTTCGGGTTTGTTCAGAAAAAAACAACAAATGGCCTGCATTTGGTGTACGGATATGCTCGATCAAAAGCAATGTAACGAACAGCGCCAGCTCCTTAGCTGTAGAACGTGAAACTACGTAGTTGCTTGGACTAGCATGCCTCTTCCGTTGTTCTTATTTTCCATATCTTTATGATGTGTGCTTATAGTGTGGAAGCGGTCGCTTGAAACATCCTAACCTATTCGCTATGATATGTAGTTGTAGTTCGAGTTATGTGCATTCGGATACATTTACATGCAAAAGAAAAACGAAGTTATGATGCTATCGTGTGCGAAGCAGAGCTGTGCTGTCGCTACAGGCACAGGGACGGGAAATCGTGAGGATGTTCTTTGCGCAATCTTCCACCCTGGATGTTTCTGTCTATCGACTTCTTGACAAGGTGGAAGCAAGCAGAAGTTGCTAGCCTAAATGAAGGTGCGCGATCAAGATCATCATGCTGATGCGTAATTACTAGACACACTGCAATAAATCCACGCTCATCGGCCCACCGTGTTCGTCCACGCCCCTTCTTCGCCACTTTACGCGCACTGGCTGCCGCGCCACGAAAAACCCTCCGTGGTCTGTGTCGCGGTCGCTGCTTGTGTCGTGGTGATACCCGAACCAGACATCTCGGCTGCTCAGCAATGGCTTCATTGGATCCAGAGCGGTGATGCCTGTCATCCTATTTAACTGGTCGTCCGCATCTCCTTCCGGTGCAGCGCCTTCTTTCTTGTTCCCGGATGAACTTAATACTCTTCTTGAGAACGACGCTGGCGAGAAATCAAACTCGATGCGTATGAGTTTGTAGACGACAGACGTGGTTGTGAGCAGTAGGGTCTTTAAACTCGTCAACAAGCTCACCAGAATCTGCAGGTCGTTTGGTGGGATTCGGGGACGCGAGAAGGATTTTACGTCCAGCTCGATCTTCTCCTGCTGGAACCCGTTGTAGTACTTCTTGAACACCCGACGAAGCACGGCAACTGAGATTTTTATTTTCTCCGAGGGAGCGACAGCCGGAGTAACTCCAGCTGATGTCGTGGTAAGCGGCATCACCCGCAGTGAAGAGACCCTCGACAAATCTCGGCCCGCTATGTCGTTTTCCGTGCTTGTTATTTGCGCAGCTGTTTCTATCGACGTTACGTTTTCTTCCTTCTTCGCACGCTGGCTTCTGTTGTTAAAAAAGTCAGTGACTGCAGGAAAAAACGAGAAACAAGAAGCCAAATAACTTCTTGCGGCAGGAAGTGTTTCATCCGAAATATTAGCTCTGTGCTCCAGCTCAGCGGTGGTGAACCCGTCTTGTTGTGTGACCCCATCTACTACTAGCGGTAGCGCGAGCGCCGGAGCGGGTGGTGCTACTGGTAGTGTTTCGGGGAATACATCTGAAATTTCAATTTTGTCTCCTAGGATACCGGCAGCCTTGAGTACGTAGTCGAGCGATTGGGAGCGAATTTGCTCGAACTCAGGCAAGCCTCGGAATAGCCGCAGCAAGACCCGTCGAGCATTGGCTTCATCTTCGGTAGCAGACTCGTCAGCACGACCAGGCGGGCGCTCACCTGCATGTTCTTGAGAAATGCTTTCCGCTGCGGCTTGCGCTTCCTGACCTACTACTTCTCCAGTAGTTGGTTGATCTTCCGATGCTGCATTTTCTCTCGTCAGCTGTGACAGCTTCTCGTGCTGCACTCGTTTTCGTTCTGTAGCTATTAAGTAGGTCAAAAAATTTCCGACAGTGCCGATTTTCGTCACACGATCCTGGTGCGCCGCTCTTGCAGATTCAAATGCAGCCAGGTCCTTGTGGTATCGCGTCCATACTTCGGCATGGCGGTGGAGGGTCGCAGCCAGATGGGGGTCTGCTGCAGCTAATGATGGCACCGTAGCTGTAGCTTCATCTTCGGAGGAGCTTCGATTTCCGGTGCTTGCTGGCAGAACCACCAAGCGATCTACGTGCACGCGCACATGCCTGGCGAACAAAACACGAGCTTCGTCGCCCGAGAGACACTTGCGTTCCATCGTTGCGTGCTCTTCAATATTCAGGTGTGCGCAAGTAGTGCAGCGGGACCTCACTTTATTACTTTGATGACCCTCCTCTCCATTTCGACGTAACTTTTCCTTTTGTTTTCTTCTTTGTGTTGAAGAGGACCGCGACCGTCTCCTTTTCCCGGAGCGCCCGAAGCGACCACGATGCTGTTGCTGACCCGGCTCGCGCACTGGAAGCTCGAGGTACGCTATCTCGTCAGCAGTTCCAGCCTCCCCTACGTCAGACTGCTCTACTTCGTCCTTGTCTCCTACTTGCTGGTCCTCCGCAGCGCTTATTTCGACGTCGCTTTCCTCGGTACAAGACGTCACATCAGACGAGAGCGAGTCTTGTTCAACTCCGTCAGAAGTTGGTGCTGATGAAGCAGTAGAAGTGGTGTTGGATTTCATTTCCGCTACCACGACGTACTTTTCGATCGCGTCTACGACCCACTGCTCGATTTTGTCCTTTCGGAGTTGCTCCCCCGTGAAATCGGGAACGCCAATGATCTCGCCAGTGTCGTCTACACCGAGAAAGAGCGTTCCCTTGGCCAGCCGCGCATTTGCAAAAGTACTGAAATACTTCGGGACGTAGGCCTGAATGTTTTGCCGCAGCTCCGTGGTAATAAACGGCGAGAGGAAGGCTTCCAGCGGCGTCGTCGCGCTGAGCGAAGAGTTCTCGTGTGAAGATGGTGCAAGAACTACTTGTTCATCTCCATGTGGTCTTATTTGCGGAGCACTGTCAAAAGCGGCCGAGCCAACTTTTAATTGGTTCTGGTCCAGCAGTAAGTGGTACAGAAAGTCCTCCCTTCTGCAGTTTTTCTCGAAGCTCTGGTGCCGCAGGGGCGTCACCCCATCGCGAAAATGATCTTTGCCCTCCTCATTCATCCGTTCAGGCGGTGGAGAGGTAATATCAAATCCAGGCGAAGCAGGCGTTCCCGTTCCCGTTCGGGCGATACTGCTTGCGGGCGTGTCGAGATCTTCCTCTTCGTCTTCGGAAGCACCGCTGCTCGCAGCACTTGACAATGACAAAGTGGTCGAAGGAGTCGGACTCCGGCTCAAGGCTGTACTCGTGGAAATTACACTTGCTGGAGTGCTGGACGAAGAATCTGGAGACGCCGCACTTCTGGCGGGTGCTGGAGCTCGCTTCGAGTGAAGTTCCCTACTAGCTGCGACAACTGGGTTCATCTGTAATTTGTCTCTTCCAATCTTTACGAAGCGGGCACAAGAAGAGCTCGTCCTCTTTGGGGCTGACGCTGGTGGTGGAAAGTCCGGAGCGCTAGACGAGGTCGTCGTGATCTGACGCAACACAAACTGTTTGTATTCGCGCTCCAGAGTTTCTGGACCAAGATCTTGTCCCAAAAAGAACACAGGTTGTTCTTGATGGGCCACTACGTCCGCGTCGTCAGAACTGAATGCTCCGGCCTGAGATTCCACCGCGCCGTGGTCCACTACATCTTCTACGACTGCCTCTCTTCCTGCCGCGTGGTCAAAGTTTTCCGGCGTCGCGGCAACGCTTCTTGCAGTGTGGGCCAAATTTTCCTTCGCCGCAGAAGACAGGAATTGGACGGCTGCGACAAGGGTCGCACGGTCAGGTGAACAAAAGCCGGATTCGGCGACAAGCCAAAAAATTGCCGGAAAAACACCGAGAAGAATCTTGCCGATCATGTCGGAGGAGAAGGGGCCCCGGCGACGGGTACCGTTTTTCCTGCTTCTGGTTCTGGTGCATTCCATGGCGACGGTCGGAGCAAATGGCTATTGTTGCGAACAATGGGGGTGAAGTTCTAAGAGCTGCATGACTCAGTCTCGTTACTCATCCTCTTTCGTGAAGTTCTGCGCATTGTCGTACTAGTGCATAAGATAGAACTGATGGGGGGGTTGAAGACAAAAACTTGCTCTGAATGCACTACAGCTTATCGTGTTTATACAACGACAGCACTTCCTGAGGAGCAAAAAACCCTGGCCTGTCAATACCAGCATTGACGTCGAGGTGGCTTTGTTCCGTCACCTTTTCCTCTGTTAAGGGCTTCTACTTTCTGGTCTACTGACTGCAGGGCACGACGTGCAAAGCCACGACGCAGCCTTCAAGCTGCGTTGCAATGAACATACCGATACTAAATCGCGCAAGAGCAACTGCTACTGCCACTGCGGCTTAAATTTGCAATACATGCACCTCCACAGACAAACTTTGCGAGCGTTAAGTTGAAACAGAGCAGAGTCATCAATTCGGAGAGCGTGGGATTAATTGTGCTGACCACAACCGAAACAAAATTTCAACTACTTATTCTTTTCTTTGCATTTGACAGACAAGAGCTGAGCTAAAAAAAATCCACTGAATGTACTTTCCGATTGTGCAACCAGACAGAAATATAATGTATGATGTATGCACGCAACAATTGTGAACTCAGCTTGTTCTCGTTCGAGGATCGTTGAATCAAAATCGTTAATGAATCGTGCACGACGTACACCGCGATCCTCTACTAAAGTACTAAAGACGCACGCAAAAGAAACAAAGCTGAAGAAGGCGCTTCACCAAGCGCACTCGTAGCTGCAGCAAAGGCAAACAGAAACACCGATGACAATAATTCTCTTGCTTCTGTGTCTGCTTTGTTGAACAGAACGTGTCAACTACTCCAGCTTGTACTTCAGCAATCGGCCCCACAACAAGGCTGGATGCGGTCACGATCTCACCACATCTGCGGAAGTGCCCGAAGCCGGAATAGTGCAGATTGATACAGTGCTGCTGCTGCACAGGTATCAATTCCATTAGAATAAAGGCTGCTAGTGCGGAATCTCGCTGTTCTTCGTCTTTGTTTATTTGCTTTTGTCGAATCGCAATGATAGGCAACGATCGCTATTTGGCTTGGGGTTTTAGTCGCTAGTACAATCGTCCACCGGTTGGTTTTCGTAGGAAAGGACATTTTCCTCCATCCCCATCGGAGAGATCAATATATTCTGTAGGCCAAAATGGCTCTACGGGTGGTTACTTTTTTTATTTTTTTCCTGTCCTACCTCAGCAACTACAATCTTCGTTGGCAGGATGGAATGTCGCTAAAACGTACGCCAGAAATGGACAGGCGCACATGAAATAGAATCGAGATAGAGTTCAAAAATATCCTAAGTGACACGGTCTAGGCCGGTGATTTCACAGGTCAGGAAGTTCAATTTCTCACGTACATCATCCCGATGAGAAAGTGCACTTCCTTTGTGCTTAATAGAGGTCCTTCTTACAGACGTTTTTTTTTATAGGACGAAGCCTAAAGAAGCTAAACCCTAGTAGAACCCTCACTGCGTCGGCCGCGGAACTGGGTCGACGCGTGGGGAGAAGATGATCGCGGATCGTGGGGGTGGAGCTTCCGGGTAAGCCTGACAAAAAAAACTCTACTGGTTTTTTCTAATCATTACGGTCTGTTACTTATCGGTTGTTAATGTTAGAGATTCTTTGCCGAAAGTTTATAGTGTAAAGATTGTCGAGCAAGGATGGTATAACACGCAAGTCAGTTTGTTATTTATTACATCTGCTTCTGCATTTTTTTCTGTAGTAAAAGTACAGCCAAAATCAGTTGAGCCAAAATGGCTACGGATACGATATAAATGATGAAGATAGCCATAATGTTCATACTCATTCTGTTTGGAATCGGAATATACCACAAGATCAGTGCTGAATTTTTTGATCGATTGCATCAAAAAACCCACCTCATCTGATCAACATCCTGAAGTGCCAGATGTTGTCTTGTTTTTCTCTTTGTACAACCAAACCTTAACCATAATCGCACAGCATCATCACGAGTCGCCTAGCTCTTCGCCTCGAAGATGTATTCGGCCAAGTAGTAAAACAAAGCTACGGCGTGTTTCACCAAAAGACCGTCTGGAAATCCGACCACATCCGCGCCTGCCACCTGATACAGCTGTATCGGCAGGTCCAGTTCGGGACGAAAGGGATCGATCGCTGCGGGTCTATTGTTCGCGCGGTTTCTACCGGGGCCTTGGCTTAATACGGTGTCGCCGCCTCTGCCTCTCTGGCGCGCATCCGCATCAGCTCCTCCACCTCCTGGAAGTTGTTGGTGACCACCAGCAGTTTCGTTCCCGGCGGAGCCATCGAGAGCTCCGGCAGACGACGGAGGAGCGTCCGCGCCACCTTCTCCTGGTGCCTTTTTCCGGGTACTACTGCTCGCGCCCTGCTGCGTCGGATCAACGGCAAGCAAGTCGTCTTCTCCGTCCTGGCTAGACTCCAGCTGCACACTCGCCGCACGGCTTTTCGCTTTAGCCTTGGCCTTCGTTTTCGCTTTTGCTTTCACCTTTGGCTTCGCTTTGGCCTTCACTTTGGCCTTCGCTTTGGCCTTGGCCTTGGCTTTCGGCCCTCCAGCCGCCGCACCGCCGGTCGTCGCGAAGAACGGGGTACCGGCGGACAATTGACTCTCGGGTGGCGCAGGTCTTTTACCGGTTGATGGACCTCCTGCTGGTGGAGCCGCATTGATAGAATCGTCGACCTCCATGTCGACTACCTCGCCGTGCAAAAATCGCTGCGCTGCCTGCTTCGCGGCGATCGCGCTCTTCATCTGATCCGCAGCTGTCATTTCTCCGGGGGCGCGCACGGATGAAAAATCGGCGGTGTTGTTCCTCTTCCAATCCATTTGTGTCGGGTCTTCGTGCTCCGTCCAACGCAGGAGCAGCCGGTGCAGAGTGCACGTCCATTGCACTAGAAGAAGCGGCTGAATGTCGATCGTGCGTGCGAGAATGTTCTTCAGCTCCGCAGGGACCTTCGCTTCGTAAAACGCCGGATTCTGTAGGAACACTCGGCGACCCGCAGCTCCGCTCGTGGAGGTGCTACTTCCGGTTGTGATCAGGAGACTACGACGAACCAGTAGCAGCTGCTGCAGGGTGGCACAGTCAGACACCTGCAGGCAAATGTCGGCCCGTGGGGTGAGCAGGTTCCGCAGGTGCGCCGGTAGTTGCAAAAACAGGTCCTGGGAAAGGCTTTTCTGAATGAACTGCATCAACGGTGTGGAAGCAAGTTTGGTGGATATTCTTCCAGTCGTAGTAGAACCGATAAAGCGCATCACCATGTCGATTTTCGACATCGCGTCCAGCAGCTCCGGAAGGCGCCACATGCCGATCTCTTGCTGCAAACCGCGCTGACTGCAATTCTCGGATTCAAAGTCCTTTTCGTGATCGGTGACTTGGTCGTCTCTCGCTGTTTTCCCAGGGCCGGACCCTGCTGCTTGAAGTTGTAGTTTATCCATGATTGCATTGGCCTGGCTGCTGGAGGCAAAGAGATCAGGTCGCAACATGAGCGCACCGTGCTGGGAAGAAGCAGTATTTTTGCTTCCGTCCAGCCAACTCCACCAGTTTACGGCAAACTCGGGACTCGCCAACAACTTCTCTCGGTGCAGCAACGTTATTTTTTCTGTCACACCTTGGCGGAGCTCGGCAAACTGTGGCAAGTGCGGTTTCCCAGAAAGATGATGCTCCGTCAGTGTCTCACTAATCGCGGTCAGATCAAAGGTCGTAGAAGCCGAAGCCGCCGATGCGCTGCCAGCGTCTAACGCAGGAACGCTTTCCCCAGCGGCAAAAAGTTCCGCAACCGGCAGCACGTGATCTTCGACCTCAACGTGCACAAACAAGCCTCTTACAGCACTGCTTCTTGCGATGTCATTCTCTTTGGAGGGTAGAGACTGCTCGAAGTCGGTAGTCGAAGTTAAAATTCGTGCTGCGTATTCGGAGAGGTGCTCCGCGCAGCGGTTTTTTTCTTGTTTTCGACCCTGCGCCGTTAGCGATTGTGCCTTCATCCCCCTAGCAGCGATTTTTTCTTGTTGAACATCCGAGGCTTGCAGGATCCGGTTCTGGGTTTTTATCAGAGCAGCGATTCCCCTCTCACACAACCCGTCGACCCCAAACACATCGGCTGCAGACTCGGCCTCCAGTTTCCGACACAGCTGGCATGCTTGCACCAGCACCGTCGCTAGACTTTTGAGAAGTCGTGCACTTTCCACTTCACGGCTCTTGCCCGACATCGCTTCTGACTGTAGGACACCGCTTTGCAGCTGTTTGCTTTTCCTCACTGCGGACAATGGGCAGGGTCTGCCGCCACTACTTGCTGGCGCTGGCGCTGCTGCTGGAAGCTGCACCGCTGGCCGCTTTTTGGAGGCTGTGGTCGTTTCGTTGGCTGACGACGTGCTGGTGTTCGATAGAAGACTACCAAAGTTCTCGTGGTTGTAATGCGCTTTCACCAACTGTCCCAGACTCAGACCCTGCAGCATGTCCATGCGGAACTGCGTACGGATTTCGACTAACAGTTGCAGTAAATCAGGAAGTAACCGCACGTGCGCCAGTGTTGCGTACCCAGGATCGCTTCTATTGTTGACCACCAGGTTCAGGAATTTCGTCTGAAGAAGCAGAGCCTCTTGCGCTGGATCGACTTTGCTCTTGGCACGCCGAGAGGCTCCACTTTTTGCGGCGACGGACTGCCGCGCAAGGTAGCTGCGCAGACTGTATACAGAAACTGCAGGCTTTTTGGCCGTCCAAAGCGATTGCCGCAAACCGGGAAAATTTCCACCCTCTCCTGCTCCGAAAGGATGATGATCCTCGGAAGATTTACTGCACTGCAGGAGCACCTCGGTGGCACTGGGAGCAGGTGGAGCTCCGGCGCCGCCAGCAGGTTGGTCAGCAGAAGCAGGGCCGGCTTGTTTGCTATTTGCTCTGGAGCCGGTTGCGTTTTCCGTGTCAAGAATCTCTTTCAAGCGGCGACGCAACAGCGTCTCCGCGGACTCCACGCGCGTTGAGAAAACTATTTTCTGCTGGAGGTCTGCAACAATGCGGGCTTGCCGGTTCAAAAAGGGCTGTAGGTCCAAATTGCGCACCATGGCCTGCCAGAGGTGACGCCCGAAGGGATGCGTGAGAAGCTTCGGCGCTTCGTGCAGGCAGAGCCGCGCCTTGTAGGTGTCTGGCAATGCACCCTCGGGATTGGGGGGCTTCACCGCGTCATACTTGACAAGCTGACCGTACACGTCCATCGTTTGATTGTGGTTGCGGTGCAATTTTTTCACGTCAAACTTGATCTTCGTCCGACAAACCGGACACTCGTTGTTGGAATGGGCGGTAGCTTTTATGTCTCCAACGCAGCCGATACAGTGGTGGTGCATGCACTGCGAAAACACGACAACGCGCTCTGGCAAGGCGATCGCCTCCATGCACACGTTGCACTCGATAAGCGGCCGGAGCTCTCTGGCCTGGTCGTTCTGGCGGTCCTCCAAGACCTCCGCGGCGAGCTTGAAGCTTTCCACGAAGAAGTGCAACAGAAAGTAGGCACAGTCAGGTACCGAGAGTTGCAGGCTCTGCGCCAATGCCTCTAGCGCCGCGCCAGCCTCGGCACCACTCGCCCTCTTGCGCAGGCATTCACACAGGCCCAGAAAGTTTTTTGTGGTATCGTCGGTCAGTCGTTCGTTTAGCCTTGAAGAGCACTGGGGGTCGAAAATGGCATGAGAATGCGAGCGCGGGGCGCTGCTACCGAAGATGGCGCCCCAGAAGCCCAGCAGGATGGATCCGTAACGATCCACGTGGGTCAAGGAGGAGACACGTGACCCATCGAAGCTTTCGTCGTCGAGCACCAGGGCAATGCCCGACCACAGGGTATCCAGGTAGGCCAGCATTTTCTCATTGGTGTCCACGTTGGCAGCAGCATCTTGGTCTGCCGTCTCGTCAAACCTGAGCGACCGCAGAAAAACTGGTCCACTTCCGGTGCGGTTCGCAGCATTTTTGTAGTCTACGACCTTTCGCACCCCAAGCAGCTTTTGGAGAATGTCGGGCTTCTGTGCAATGTTCACCTTGCCCTGCTCCGCTTGGAACTCTAGCGTCCCCACGATCGCCGCGAGTTTCTGTTGCAGCGTAGCTGTTTTCGAGTCGAACCCTTCGACTTTGAACGAGGTTCCCGGGACAGTTCGATTGTGCCGCGCACCGCGCCAGGCTTCGAGCACCTTGCACTCCGGGTCAATGAACTCGCAGAGCGGGATGGTACCCGCGCCGGCCAGCCCGTGCGGGGCGTAGGTTCTCCCGCACGCCTTCTGCATCGCTTCTTCGCCGCCGAAGAGAATTTCCGGTGCGAAGGTACGACAGCCACTTTCGCAAGCGTCCCAACCATACCGGGTAAAAAGGGACCGCAACCACAGTGCGCGGCACTGCGACGCGAGCAGTTTCTGGAACTGCTTGTACCTCTTTAATCCGTTCGGATCGATCTCGCTGAACGCGGTCATTTTGCTGAGGGCCGTCTCGTCATCGGAAAGCAACAAGGACGCGGCGACTATGTGTAACGTGATAGTAGCATCAAGTTCTTGTTCCGTGCCGGGATTGCTTGGGCCATTCGGGTTACTCAACCTCGCCTCTTCCATCGTACTGAGAAAAGGGGTCCAGCGCTGCCTCAGGTCTTGCTCGAGCTCTGGCAGTCGACAGTAGTATGTGAGTTCCGCTGCGTAGTCGACGGCCAGTCGCACTTGCCCCACACTGCGGGCGAGCAACACATAATCGCTGGTTTCCGCAGCTTGAAGGAGGCTGAACACGGCGCTCCGCAACAGCGTAGTAGAGAACTGTAACACCAAACCAAACGCGGCTTTGTATCGCTCAGTATCGAAGCTCTGCAGCTCGTTCAACCGCATCTGTTGATTTTCTGCGGCGTGGCTTGATGCACCGGCACCGCTGGCACTACTGCTACCTCCCCTCTCGGCGACGTCCATGTCAATATCCTCGTCCTGCGAATTGCGGTTCCTCTTCGGCGCGTACGTGAGCAAATTTTCGACGGCGGCAACCAGCATTTTTGCGGCATTCTTACTGTGTTGCGTGATGCGCTTGCGATCTGCCTCCATTTGCCGCTGCGCAAGGTCGTGAAACAAACTCCGGCCCGCCGCTGTGCTGCCGTCGCGGGCGGGGGTCAAGATGTCGTTCAGCAAGTGCTGCAGCGCACCGCTTGCTGTAGCAGGTGCTAACGCTAGCACGGAATCGAGCTTCTTTCTTTTGCAGACCTTTTGACCCGAATCCGCTTGCTCTCCTGCTAGCAGTTCGACTCTTCGTCGCTTTACCGCCGGCTCTGCCTGCTGCGCACCAGTGGAATCGTCAAGACCAAGACAGTCTGGAGGTTTATTCATCTCCGGGTCGTTGAGGGTCCAGTCAGAAAGCAATGCGATCACGGCCATCGGCTTCTCGACCAAGCTCTGCTGGTGCAGCAACACCTTGATTAACAACCCGCGCAAAGGACTGCTGTGGTGAATGGACGGGAAGATTGACTGCAGGCTCGGGCTTCGACAGGCCACGATCTCCGTGAGAGCGTGCATGACCCCCTCGTCATCACATCCGACAGCCGTGAATTGCTGTGCAATAGCGTCGACGAAAAAGTTGCGAACGCGCGCGGTACATTGCTCCCGCCGCTTCAAGGTGAGCATATCCGCATCCAGATCGGTGTTTTGCTGATGTCCAACCATGTCCACATCTGCGTCGAGATCAATTGCAATGGGGAGCTTGTCCTGCCTCTCGTACCTCTCCGCCAACGCGATCCACGCTCGCAGAGCTTCCTCCAGCTTCCTGTACCCATCGACCTTCGTGATCGGGGAAGACTTCACATCGAAAAATGCCTCGAACAGTGCCGGATTCAAATGCGCGCGGTAAATTGTCTTCGTGATGTGTAGTTGATCTCTCGGAGATCGCCGCGGGAGTCGTCCCGGCTGCTGTCGAGATTTGTTCTTGCTTGCCAGCAGCTCGACTTTCTCCTGGACTTCAACTCTCCGGGCCAGCAGGAGGCGACGGGTTTGTGTGTCAACGATTTTTGGCTGTACAGTCTTCTGCAGAGTCTCCTCATCTTTCAACGAGTACGTCGCCAGCTGGGTAATATCGCCGAACCGAAGCTCGTCTCTTTCCACGACGGCGTGTGCCACCTCCGGGAGAACGAAGTGCGTCAACGCGGCGCCAAGCAGGCTGACGGAGGAAAGTTGCTGACGGCACACGAGGATCTGCGTCTCGAGTAAAGCCGTATCGGCAGAAGCGCTGTCGGCCGGCTCCATGTCTGCATCCTCGGCAAGTTGGTCTACTCCGTACTGTTCTTGTTGCCGCCGAGAGCCAAAGCTTGGATCTGCTCCACCCGCTCGTCCCTCTGCTGGAACCTTATCCTTCGCTTTGTGACCTCCTGTCCCTGCGTTCTCGTCCCCGTTACAACTCTGCATCAAATCCTCCAGCACATCTTCGCAGAATCGTTCCACTCTTTTCAAGTGTTCGAGAAATCCTGGAAGCTCCAGCACGGCGAGGCTTTTCACAGCGTCAATGACGCCCGTTCGTGCGGAGGAGCCGTGATCTAGCGGAATCCACGAGATAGTCGGCTGCTCGCCGCGTTGCGATCTTTGCGTAGCCATCCTCAGAGCAGGATCGGGAAGATTATTCCTGTTCGACGATGACGAGGAAGAAGATCCTATGCCGCTCATCAGAGAACCGTGTCCCGCGGCTGATGAAGATGATGCTGGGCCCAGAAGCTCATCACGGGCGGTGGAAGCATGTTGTTGACCTCCAGTGTCGCGGCTTTGCTGTTCATGATCAGGATTTTCGATCGCAATCAAAAGTTCAGGATCCTCGTACAGAAATTTGGCCCGAAAGCACTGCACCACGCTCGAGGAGATCCTTTTGGTAAGGGCAGCGAGCACCAGCTTCAATGCGGTTCGTTGAGGCTTCGAGCTGTCGTAGGCTTTAAACAGGTCGGCATCAAGAGCGGACATTAACTGCTTCGTAGCAGACACATTGCACGCTGTCTCGGTAAAGACTCGGGCCTCCAGCAGCAATCCCTGCAGCAACGGCCGCCACACAGTCTGCCGGAGTTTCTCAAACAAGATTTGCACACACACGAATACAAGCACCTCCTGGTACCGGTTATTTTCGTTTCCGTTTCCCTCTTCCTCGGCGTCGTCAAGAATATCGCCGTGATTTTCTGCCTCTTTCTGCGCCATCAAGAAAAGTACCCTACCGCTCGTTTTCACCGCACGAGCCGCAAGAGACGACTGGCTTTTGTTGTTTGCGTTTGAAGATCTTGTCGCCTCGTCGTGCTCTGTCAATGCATCAAGTCCGAGAGAGGTGGTAGCTAGCATTCGCATCAGATCGCAACAGTAAACTCGGGTCACTGTATAACTCTGCGAAAGACCCATCACGTCAGCAGGAGAGCCGTTGTTTTTTGTCGTATTGGAGGAAGCGCCCTGGTTGTTCTCGCGGCCGGTTGCAGAGGTCACCTGTCCGAGCGGAGATGCTTCGTGCACCGAATTGGATTTCGATGAGCTACCCCCTAAGCGGTCCAGCAAGTTTGCGGTTGTTTTGGACAACAGTCCACCCAACCGGTTCAAGTAACTCGGTGATGATTTTGGCTGTTCCTCCTCTGGCTTATCGCCGCCGCTGGTGGTTTTCTTCTTGCTGGTTCCGAAGATGTCGTTTCTTTCCTCTACAAGGAGACCGGACAAAGCCTCGCTTTTTCGCACGCCCTCGTAAAACTGCCGAACTTCCTTCGCGGTAGTCAACCTGGAAGAATCTGTGCGGGCGAAATCATCATGGATAACTTCTTCCTCGTCTCGTGCAATACGGTCGTCATTTTTCCTCTGCTGCTCTTCTTCGTCACTACTGGTGCTCGAGCTGTTGGCATGTGTTGTCTGCGCGATTTGCCCCTGTAGTTCTTGCCCACTATTTTCATTACCTTCAGCGATTTGCAGGTCCTTGATTGCCAGTTGGCGTGCTTCTCCGTACAAGTGAGGAAAGAAGGGAAGCTGACATGAAAACAAACCCTTAATCCACGTCTGAGCTGGAACGGAAGTCTGTGGTAGCCTCTGCAACGTACCGCACCACCGATCCTCCTGCAAGGAAAGCAGGTCCATGTTGTTGCACAAATCGCAGTCGGCGAGTACGACGGCAAAGGCCTTCGCCGCTTCCTCATGAAACGTGCGTACGCACGCGTCGCGAAACGTGCCCTCGCGGACGGACCGCTGACGCTGCGCCACTGCATCGATCCAATTGACAACTGGGGAAGTTGTTGGAGTTCCTGACGCTGCGCCGGTGCTCAGCACGTCCGCGACTCGCGCGAACATACCACGTAGGAGTGCCGCAGCGCGGGAGACACCTCCTCCTGGCGCGTCGGGCATCGTCCGCGAAGATGAGGTCTCCTCCATGAAGCGCAGAATCAAACGCACACGCAGCTCACGACGGGGGTCGTCCGCCGTCCGCGAACAAGCATCCCAGATGATGTTCTTCGTTAAAGCCCGCAGCATGGCCTCGCTCTGCTGCAGAACGCGCTCTGAAATAACGTTGATTGCGCCGCCCACTTCCCTTTGGCTCTTCGTTTTTCTAGCACCATCATGGTCCTCGTGGTAATTCTTCTGCCCCCCGCCCTGTCGATGCAGGCGTCCCTCCTCTTGGGTGTCCGAAATGAAAAACTGCGTGGGGCCCTCCTCCTCGTCTTCGGGAATCATTTGTGTCATGCCAATTTCGATTTGGCTGCTTTGCACCGCTTCGGCCGGTTCGTAAATTTCTTCAGGCGACGGACCGCGGGAAGTAGACGGCTTCGGCGCTCCGTGCTGCGAAGTAGATGATCCGGTGGACTTTTCTCGTTCTTGATCCGCCAAGAACAAAACCCGCTTGCGCAAGACGGCTTCAATGCTGCCCAACTGGCGTAACTCCATGATCGAGCGAGGGAGGTAAGGTGCCGCGGTGTCAACGTCCGAGCCTGTAGCTACATCTCCTGCCGTACTTGCGATACTGCACGTCGTCAGGTCGTCAACGTGGTAACAGCGCCAGCCAGCCGGCTGACCCGCGTACTCCGCAAGGGAACTCGCGACGACAGGAAGCTGCACGAGAAACAAGATCGTGGTCGCCTCCATACAAGAAGAACTCATAGCGGTTTTATCATTCCCCATTGGAGCTTTTAGGTGCTTCGCGGCCGTATTCTGAACACAGTACCGGGCGCATTCGATCAAGTTGTTGTAATTTCCGCGCGACGTCGTGGTTGACGAGCTTGTCCCTGCAGCGGAGAAGTTCTCGCTGCTTTGCACTATCAGCAAACGGCGACGCAGTCTCGAAGATGTTGTAGTTGCGGAGGACGAAGTAGGTTCTAGTAAGTTGGACTGAAATGAGTCGATCAGGTCCTCCCCATCAACATCCACTTTCGCATCGTCGCCTTGCATACACGTCGCTTCAGCCTTGCAGAACTGCTTCACGACGCTCTCCAAGTTGCTCTCCGACTGGATCTCATTCAATGAAACCAGCATCGCGCTTTTCTTCGGCTCGATCGCGAGACCCTCACATAACCGGTTGAGGTCCACCTGTGTCAGAAGGCGCGCAAACGTCGTTACCTGAATGTAGTCGAGGTTTTGTGCGCTCTTCGCTTTGATAGCATCCAAACCCCCAGCACGACCGCCCGCACTCTTCTTGCTGTCCGTCCGATCCCGAAGCGGCGACGGCGTCTTCATCCTCTGCTCTCCGCCAAAGCTGGCACGAGACTGAAAGTGCTTCTGCATGGCGTCTTGAGGCGCTCGAATAATGGGCAGCAGCTCCCGAGTGTCTGAACGGAAGTAGTCGGCTGGGACTTCATCGTCTCGTGCGGTGGTACCCACATCCAGCTGCTTATCAGCCCTATTCTTGTCTCCAACTAGCAAAGTCGACGAAGATGAAGCCGCAACCGTGCCTGTCGAAGCTGTAGCGCTGCAACACGCACCGTACCGCAGAACCGCCTCCGGTGTCGCCGTTTGCAAAAGGAGCTCTCTCGTGCGCTGGAACAAAGCTGTCTCGTAATCCTGCTTCTGCGTCTTCTCGGAAAAGGTAAATTCGGATCCCGCTTTGGCGACGAGCAAGTAGCAGGTTTCGTCGTCAAACCCAACAAACGAGTTGTACAGACTCTCTTCCGCTTCCACTTGTTGTACCTCCTCACTTTCGAGGGCATCAGCGCCCTCGTTCAACATTTCAACGTCATCAACGTCCACTCCTGCTTCGCCTCCAAGAAGCTTTTGGCTGGAGGACACCTCGGCCGCGGAAGTTTTGTCCACAACAAGCTTAGGTGTTGCGGTCGCTTCTGCTGTGCCATCTCTCACGACTTTTCCGAAACGCAACGCCCAGTTCCGCAGCCGGAAAGCGACTCGCTTTTCCACCTCGGTGCGCAGCGCGAGCTTGACAGACACTTCGTGCTTCTCCAGACGATTGATCAGGGGAACCGGGAAGTCGCGCAGAATTTCTTCCTTTGTCGCCACAATCACCAAGCGCGCGTCCGCGTGCACGCGGCACTTGAAGCGGTTGGTACCCAGCCCCAAATCGACGTACTTGTTGCCGCCACACAGCGTGTAGTACTGGTTCAGCGCGTCGTAGATCGACTCGTAAATCATTCCGAGGTTCACCAGCACGCACACCACGCCCTTCTCCAGACAGAGCTTCACTGCGTTGATGGCCCGGCAAATGTTCGTGTATTCGTGGTCATTCTTGAAGCTGGATCCGAAGAGAATCTCCACCTTCTTGCTATTCTGGCAGTTGAGAATGTTGTTCTCCTGCAGAACGTGCAAGGCGGCGAAACCCTTCCGGGCCACGATCAACGGGTAGCGGACCGGGTCGCTGCCGTCGGGATCCGAGTGCCGCAGGTTGTCCAGCAGCATGTCCAGAACCTGCACGCTGCAGCTATTTTCGCCCTCGCCGTTTTCCTCGTGCGGATCTTCGGCTACGTCTCGTGGTGAGCGCTGATCGTCCTCAGGCTCTCCTTCATCAAGCGGAAGCAAATGCTCCTTCTTCGGCCGAGGCGCGCTGCTCGACGAGGCTGCTGCTACTGCGCCTGGGAAAAAGTGCATAAAGTTTTAGCTCCTGATAGATTCTGAACATATACATCATTTTCAGCCACTTACTTCGAACATGAAGATCATCTTCAAACGGAATGCGGCCCGTCGATCGGTGAGGCAAAAGGAAAAAAACGAAAACCTGCTGTATTTATACCTGCGAAGATTTTGGCCGCTTCCAATGCCTGCGTAGGCTCGTGCGAAACGTCACTCACGCGGAAGAGATTGTTGTGGAACAGCGCGACTGCGTCAATGCGACTCATACCGCACGTCGTGAAGTTGCGGCGCAAGCAGTACGAAATCACAACGACGCACCGATTCACCTCCAAATCGATCGCCGTCGGAGCAGCGCCGGGAGCACCTCCAGGACCTACGGCAGCTTTTATCGCAGCCACTTGCTGGCTCTTCTTGCCTCTTTGCGCCCCGCGGGCAGCCGCCGCCGCCATCTGCTGCGCATCCTCCTGTCGCTTTTTGTACTGCAGGACCTTTTCAGAGACGTGGCTCACCGACCACTTGCGTTTGTCGGCCTCCTGCCCGATCATTTTCAAGAGGCAGTAGAAATCGCGCAACCCGTGAATTTCCGGCTGACCCTGGGTTTTGTACAGCTCCGTGTAGGTTGCGACGATGATCTCCAGCATTTTGTCGTCCTCGGACACGCGCAGGATTTTCGCCCCCGTTTTCTGCAACTCCTTCTCGTCCGGCTCGTCACGCGACACCAGGATGCCGCGGTTCATTTTCGCCGGGTCTAAGCTCCAATTCGAAATCCCGTAGAAGCCCGTCTTGAAGTAGGGCTCGGCGTCGTCGAAGGAGCCCCCCTATCAAATGTAAAAATGTCTGGGTCTGGAAAGGTTGGAACTTGTGATGCAAACTCTGGAGCACAGAAAAATTTGTGTTGCATGAGCGCCAAAAGCTGTTCACTTCTTGGCACGCAAGCAGGAAGTTTCTCATGCGGGAGGGGCATCATGAGGCGTGCTCAAAACCTGTGATGCTTTTGCCTGCATGAGACGCCATTTGCGTGATCCGAAATATGCATGACAAGTCTCGCAATCTTCCAGACCCAGACATTTTTACATTTGATACCTCCGGGCTGCACCCAGTTTCCAGCAGGGGGTGCAGCGTTTTCAGGGCCATCGTGTCGCTGTACTCCGCGAGCCCCACCTCGTCCAGCACCGCCACGGCCACGGACTCCTCCAGGTCCTTCCCCCGCTGTCGGCGACTGCAGTCGCGGAAGACCTTCATGATGCCGTCCGAGGTGGAAAGGGGCGAGCACTGGTAGGACACCTGCACGCACTGCTTCAGTGTCTGGTACAACGGAGACTGCGACGACTTTCCCTTCATAGCGTCGTCCACCAAGGAGCGAGCTAGGGACTTGGAGGTACCTGGCTTGCCCACGATAAAGAGCGGGATCCGGAGCTCCGCGCAAATCGTCATGAGGAACACGTTTTCGGTCAGCGCCTGGTTCTCGGCGATGTTTTTGTCCTCCAAGTTCGCGCTCTTCGAAAGTTCCTGCATGAAAAAATCCATCACCGTCTTCAAAGTTGCCTCGAAATTTTGCTTGGTTAACCAGCGGAGTTTGTGCTTGCACTTTTCTTCATCGGCCTCGTACTCGTCCGCCCTCGCCGCTTCATTGCCACCGGAACGGGAAGACTTTTTGGAGATCGGGTAGCAAACGTGCGTCAAAAACGCGCTGCGACTGGCGGGCGCCAGGGCGAGGTAGTAACACACACCCAGCGAGCAGATGAAGGCGGCCTCGTGCAGGTCGTGGTTAGCTTTCTCTGGATCTCGCAGGGCGGCGCTTTCTAGCGGTGTTTTGTTGTTCCACAGTTCGCCAAGCGCTTTGTTTTCCAACTGCGTGCAGAAAAAATGATACACGGAAAGGCACCGCTCGACGTCGCGCAGCGAGACAAACGACTTTTCGGTTTTGGAGTTCTTCATAAACTTCTGACACAGCTGGAGCACGCGGGCAATCTGCTTCTGTGTTTTGTGCATCGTCGACTGGAGGAAAACGCCAATGGTAAAAGTATCGCGCCGGGTCATTCCTCCTGAAGATGCAGCAGCCATCTGCCCAGCGTTTCGCGCTGCTGGGTCGAGATTCGATGACGAAGATGAACTCCTGATGCTTTGCAACATGTTCCAAACGCATTGACGCAAGCGGCTGCTTTGCTGCTCCACGGCGGTACGGACATTTTTGGGAGCAACTTTAGAGGCCTCCCTATCCATCCGAAAAACCTTCCAAGGAGCAAAAACGTTACGGCGATCATTCATGTTTTTACAAACGTTCAGACTGAAGACGGGAAGTTTCTTGTTCGAAAGTTCTATGTCTCCCGGAAACTTCTCCGTGTGAGTGGTTCCGTCGCAGAGCAGATAGAACGGAGAAGGAGGATGGACAGATGAAAAAACCTGGACGCGAACCTGCACGATTGACGCATCGGCATCCTGGTCTTGGAAAGAGGCAACAGAAGCTACTGTTTCGCATTGGTCCTTATCGTAGTATATATACAGCTCGTCTGCTCGAGTTGCCGTTCTGAGTAGCTTTTCGACCAGTGGGACTGCTCTCGGGTCCTTGAATTTGGAGCTCCATTCCACCGTGGGACACAAAGCGTCGAACGTCATCATGTCCGGCCTTGCATTGCTGCTCCCAGGAGCAGGAGCTTCGACAAGCATTGGCATTCCGTCGTCGTCGACATCTGCGTCCTGGTGTTTTGGTTGCACGACCACACCAGCTGCGGCTCCCCCGTGGTCGCCGTTGGAGTTATCAAATGACGTCGCTGCCAAGAGACTTTGCTTTTGCGTCTTCTCCAGTTCGCGCCGAACCAGCAACTGAATGTAGCTCGCTTCGCTCTCCTCTGAGAGGCAACCAAAATCGTAGATGTGGATGCGCAGAGAGGGCGGCAGCGGGTGAACACGGTACACCAAGTGGCGAATCGGAATCAGCTCTTGCTTTTCGTCCCGTCGCAGCTGCACAGTCGCCTGCTCCAACTCCGCATCATGGGAGTTATTTCCTGTGGCCGCCGCCGGATCTGTGTCACTAGTGGTGCTATCGTGGTGGTACCCCAGCCCGCTTTTTGCCATGCGCGCAATCAGCTCCGGGCTGTGCCGGCGGTACGGGTTGCACGCGATGCAAATTTTCAACCCGAAGCGCTCCATAGCGATGACGCGCTGCCCGTCAAAAGTCCGGTCGGACATCAGTTCTTGGCAGAGCCACAGAGCCGCATAGCTCGTGTTGCACTCGTCGAAAAACAGCACGGTCGTTTGGATATTCTCATCGACAAAGTTCCGCTCCGCCATGCGACTGGCGTCAGCGACCGCGCGCCACACGTCCTCCTTGTCCGTACCCCCGTGCACCTTCACGACCTTGATGTTCGCCTTTTTCATCTGCACTTGCTGTGCTGCTCCTCCGCCAAACTGCCGGAGCATGGCGTCCTGCTGCCGCACCTGGGCGTGCTTCAACGCGGCGCACAGTTTGGCGTAGTATTCCACGAGTCGCGTTTTGCCGATGCCCGTCTCGCCAAAGAGGCAGACCGGGATCCCACAGTGGAACCGTACGTGCATCGCTAGAAGTTTCTGACAGTTGTCGAGCGTTAACTCGAAGGACTGGTCCGGATCGTCCTCTTTACCGAAATCTGACAGGGCGTCCAGCACGTCCGGCGGCGACAACACGGGTAGCAGCTTCTTGATCTTTTCGAGCTTCGGCAGTTTCCCGAAGTCCTCGTTCAACTTGACCCCGTTCCCCTGCAGCGCGTCGAACAGCTCCAGACCCATAATATTCTTCTCGATCACGATGTCGGATTTCCGGTCAAGCAAGTGCCCCGTTTCGCTGTCAATGGCAAAACCCAAAAACGTCATGGACTGCCCGTCGCTTTGGAAAAACAGATACGGATGCGGCGTGGATTCCCACGTGCGGCGCAGGGTGCTCTCCGCGCCGGCCCCAGCCAGTCGCGGGGACAGATCCTGCTCGTAAACATCTGGGTCGTTGTGATGCTGCGCGGTTTCGTTGGCCGGTACCAAGCCATTGCTTTCGTCCGTCAGACACAGACTGGGAGTGGCGAAGTCGCGCGACATTTGCACCATGAAACGGACGACGAAAGCGCGGAAGGTGCCAAGCCCCTCGTCCGGGCAATTCGCAAACACGTTTTTCTCACAGGTTCGGAGCTGCTTCTCGAGAAAATCCACAAACACAGTCAACTGCCCCCAGCACGGGTTTTCGACGCCGCAGTACTTGATCACGTTTTGCAGAATGTGAATTTGCCGCTGGAGGTCTTTCGAAGGACAGGAAGATGTTGCAGCTGCAGGCGGCGCGCTGCTCGACGACGAGCTCGCACCTCCGGTGGGCTGTGAAAACACCGAACTTGGAATGGTCAGATTCGTCAAGTCCAGCGTGTACAGGCTATCGTCGTCCTCCGCACCGTCATCTTCCTCATAGTAGTCGTCTCCAAACTCGTCCTCGTCGCCCTCCTCAGCATCGTGATAGTGCAACTCATCGTCCGCGTCCCTGCCGTCTTTTGGCACTTTAGCGGGTTCTCCAGCCTGTTTAGACCTTCTTGGCCGCCATTGCTTGATGTCCCCGCTCGCGGACTCCTTCACGTCAACCAGTTTCTGGTCGACGAAAATGCGGAGGTCTGCTGCCGTCACGAAGTTCCAGCCCTGCTCGTTTCGCAACCAGTCCAGCAGCGGTTTTTGGTGCTCCTTCCGCCACGTGCCGCAGTCACGGTCTGCGTGGTAGTACAGGTAATTGCGTGCCCTGGAGTTCTGGTTGTTGTTCTGTTGTCCTTGGTTCGGGTTGGAGGTGTACCGCTGATTTTGGTCAGCAATATCGTTTTTCCGGCTGCTTTCCTGCCTTTTGTACTCATCCAGGAACTCCGCCACATACTCAAACTTAGACTTGCTCTGTTCTTGCGGCGGCACTACATTCCTGGAGGAACTCTCTTGATGTCCCGGTGCAGCGTCGAGCAAACCCGCAGCTTGGATCCGCCAGGCGTCGTCAGCTCGAGTGCTATTCGCGTGTTGTGTGTCGTTTTTTCCTGATGTCGCAGTTGTAGTGCCGGCGCCGCAGGCTTCGGCAATCAGCTCCCGCAGCAGCTCAACGGGCGTGAGCAAATCCAACCTTGGCAAATAGCTCGCGAAGCTGCAGACGCTGGTCTCGGCATCGTGTTGCACGCTGATTGCCCGACTGGGGCGTGTCTTCGTTTTAAGAAAGTTGCGGACAAAGTCAAAATTTGTTCCCTGCGCGGCGGCCTCCGCGTCTTCGAGCTGCTTGCTGTCGGTTTCGTCTTCGACGGTTTCATACAAATCCAAAAATCGCATAGAAGGTGGCGCGTCCTCGTCCGGATCCTCCATTTTAAGCAGAGCCTGCCCCACATTCGCGTTGGGCGATGCGACGAGATGCCCTTTGACCTCCTGTGCCCGGTCAAAATCCAAGAGGCCACGGTTGCTAGTCTCTAGGAAGCACACGTCTTCCGCCCCGACTCGCCAGATGCTCCCGTCCTTCGTTTCCAGCGTCCGCAACACGACCAATTTGAACAAAATGTCATTGACGTTTTGAAAACGCACGCCTGCGGGCAGCACCAAGTGAATGGCTAGCGCGATGCCAAACTGTTGTTCGCCTTGCAGTGCCTCTTCCTGCTCTCGCGCCTCGCCGTACTCACGCCCACTGTTGGAGTGTCGAGTGCTGCAAATCGCCAGCGTCCGATCCATTGGTTGAAAGTACTTCTTGAAGTTCGTCTTTGTTCCTTTCTTGTTCAACGAATTTTTGCTTCCACCGTCCGCGGCCACTTCGGGTACGATCTCTTGCAGATTGCAACTTTCCTGAATCAACCGCCTGCACAGTGCGTCCTCGTCGATCACTTCCTTAAACAGGACAATCTTGATCTTTTTCAACCGGCAAGGCACCTTTGACGCAGTTTGTGGTGCCGCTTTCAGGCCGGAGTGGTGGTTGTTCAACAGGCCGCTCCCTCTAGAGGACGAGGAAGCGTTTTTCTGGCTCTTCAGCCAATCCTCAATCTTCTTCTCCTTTTTTTGCCGTATTTGCTCGATCTGGTGGTCGATCAGCCAGGTTTTGCCGCCGCCCGCGTCGGCGGAGCAAACGAGCTTGAAAAAGCCCTTCGCCTGCGGACGCACAAACTCCCTCATGTCGCGCAGCGACGGCAGCTTCGGCGCCGAGACCTTTTGCTCGGCAAAGGCGGAAAACAGGTGGGACTGCCGCGCGGCCTTTTCGGAACAGAAAAACACCAAGTGGTTACGCGTGGAAAACTTGGTGGACTTGTACCTGTCCTGCACCGCTACAACACCGCCGGATCCGACCATGTCGACGTCCTCATCTTCTTCACTCTCATCATCATCGCTTTTGTACGCTTCGAACAAGCCGCTAGAAATAGCGTTCTGAGACGTGGAAGATACAGCAGCTGCGCCGGCCTCGCCATCCTGGACCGATTGCAATCTTTGCAAGTGCTTCTTCTGCTTTTTTGCTCCCTTCATAGGATCGAGCACTTCCTCCTGCTCCTTAAAATCTGCAGCCAGCTTCAAATCCTCCTTCTCCCGGCGCCGGCACTCCTCGAGGTACACGTGGTGCGCTGAAACAGCGACCTTGTATTGCAGCTTTTCGATTGACACGAGGAAAAAGTGCTTGGTAGCAGACACGGAGCCAGTGCTGATGTTCTCATCCGCTTCATCTGGGTCTTGTTCGTCTTTCACATTTGTTCGCGGATGGTCCAGCAGCTGCGATGCGGACGCCGCGGCATTTGTTTTGCCCTTTTTCTTCCTGCTCTCAGGAGCCGTGGTCGAAGAGGCAACGTCCGCAAGCGTCAAGTTCATCTTTCCGAAGAGGCCGCCCCCGGAACTGGACGTCGCACTGCTGGCTTTTGCGTTCGGCTTCGCCACTGATGTTGCGCCGCGAATTCCCTTTTTCCGATCCAGGCCTGTCGTGCCGTCGTCAGGAGGGAGCAACAGCGTCGAACTGGTTGTCCTCTGGTCTCGCTTGTGTTCGCGTCCTGCTGACGCTGAGTGCCCTGTTAGTGGAAAAGATGCGCCTGCGGACAACCTGCCACTCTCCAATTGTTCGAGCTCGGCTTTTGCCTTCTCCCACGCACCCCGCGGGCGACACAGTGCGCGGCGGAAAAACAAACGAATTTCCTCGATGGTTGTGGTTTCGGAGCAAAACAACACATCTTCGCGCTTCGGGAGCACCTGGACGCAGTTCGCGATCGACAGGACGTAGTCGAGCTGTGCATGTGTGAGCACTGACGCAACAGTGTGCTTGTGCGGACAAAAAGAAGAGACCGCTGTTTGATGGCTGCCTGTGTTCTCAAGGGTAGCATCTTCGTCCATGAGCTGCAAACTACTCTTTGGCGTCTTGGCGCTTTTCATTGCTTTGGGCGTCGGAATCGCTCGTCGGCCTTCTTCGGCAGATCCCGCAAGTCCGAGTGCACCGGCTCTGTTGTTGTGTTCGAAGGCTTGCAAGTACAGCAGAGAATTCGGGTCGAGTTCCCGTTCGGACTCGAGCTGGCCACTGAGCTTGACCGATTGCAACATGAGCGACCCACAGGCCCGCTTCTGGTCCCACTGCGCCATGCGTGTTTCGCGCGTCGTGAGAAGCTCGCCGAGAAAACGGAGGTGCAGCCCGCCCCCAATCCGCTCAATTTGCGTTACTTGCGAGATGCCGCCGCCGATGAACAAAACCTGTTCAGCTTGCCACGTGTCATCGAACGCTATCATCAGCTGCTCGAAGATCGCATGCACACGCGGAGCCACGTCTGCCGTGGTGCTGAGCTGGTTCACCTTCGAGTCTTGACCAGCATCGTTCCCTGCTTCGGATGCCAGTGGCAGCGACAGAAAGTTTCGGAATTCGTAGTGGTTTGTGTTAGCTTCCGTCTTCTTTCCTGCATTCTCCAAAAGTGCGCGGTAGGAGTCCGCGCCATGATGCAGCAGTGCGACAAGATTGCCCTTCTGTCTTTCCACCTCTTGCGGAGCAAACCCGAGCTGGCCCACAAAGTCGCTTCGGAACTTCGCCAGTCTTTCCCGCGCCACGTCAGGACCAACGTTTCGTCCACCACCGAGAATCTCAATTTCAGAAAGCTTCGCAACCTTCTCACCGATCTCGATTTCGTTCATAGACTGCGTTTCGCCACCAAAGAGGGTGAAGCACTTTTTGTTTCCAGCATTTTCCGCCGCCGATGCGCTAGACGTAGGGTCTCTACCACTTGCACGGTTCTCGCAAGTTGCCCCCACCAAGTAAGAGACAATGCGCTTCAGCTTTTCATGCGACATGCCAACCTTTTGCAAGAACGCCTTCTCTCGACGGGCCTTGAGGCGATTTTCCCAAGCCTGCTCCCTCGTTTCTTGCGGCTGGTGTTGAAGCGCTGCGCCGTTGTTTACATGCCCAACTTCGACCACGTCGCTGTTCTCGGAATCGCTGTCGAGTAAAATCACCTCCGCTTGCGGCTGGGCTCGCGGCGCCGGCGCCGGTCGGGCAGCTTGGGCTCGTGTGCTGGGCAGCGAACTACGAGCATTCGCTGCAGGTAGCAGTGACCCTCTTCTGTTGTTCAGGGCTGCACTACCGTCGTCGATTTCTAGCAACTCATCCGCCATCGAACCGCGAAACAATCCAATGCCAAACTTCACTAATTCGTCGTCTTTGCACTGGTCTAGCAGCATCACCAGCGCCAAATACTTCTGCAGATTCACTAACTGCACATTGGTAAATTCGTCCAAGATCGGAAACTCACGCCGAATCCCCTCTACCTTGGTTTCGTAGCTCTGCACCACTTTTTCGTACAGTGCGGTAGTGAAGGAGCCCAGACAGACCGAAAACTGTTCCTCCTGCGCGGTCTGAAACCGCATCTCGTGCCCAAAAAGGTCCAAGCGCACACGAATTTCGAGGTTGTTCGGCTCGATTGCAACCTGCAACCGCGAGAAGAGCGGAAGTTTCTTGACGTGGATCTGTTCCAAGCACTGGTTCAGCTCGACGAGCTGGGCAAAGATCGCACAGAAACGCTCGATTTCAGAGGTCTTGCGCTCTGTTGAAATCAGCATCAGCTTGTCGTTCAGATCTTTTAGTTGCTGCATCGAGTGGTGCTGGCAGAGCTCCTGGGATTCTTCGTCGTCGTTCGACGGTTGCTGCACTGCTAGCGGATTCAGGCGTGAGGAAGACGACCCTACGGCTCCGGCTGTCTGCGGACTCGGCGCTTTGTAGGCTTGCAGGAACGTATCGCGCTCGGTGTCGTTCATTAATGCGATCTGCAGACGGTCCATCCGCTGTAGCATAGCGTTGTTTTTGTGGTGTTTCACATTGAAGACAATGCTCTTGAGTTCGCCGCCGCAGCTGAGCGTGAAAACGCCGTGTTTGATCAAGGCCTCGGCGCGCTTCACGGCACTCGCCTCCACCGACCCGTGCGAGGCCTGGATGTTGGCGAGCCAAGACCGGTTGCGCCAGAGGTCCTCAATCTTCGCAAGCAACCCCTTGGCGTCTTTCTTCAACTCTGTGAACGCAGGCCGCAACACTTTCCACAATGCCTGGGCGTCAATGATGGTTGACTCACTGGGAGTCGTGGTGGCAAGACCACTCGCTCCGCTAGCCGTGGCGTTGCGACGCTGCCGCCCTCGTGCTGCGCCGGGCTTGGCCTTGTCGTTCTCCTTCTTCACATCTCTTTTGTTAGCCGATTTGTTGTTCCGTTTTGTACTCTTCGCGTTGTTCCTGCCGCCGTCTGCTGGTTGTGACAGAACTAGATCGAGATCCTGCGAGAAAGGCACGAGTTGGGAGGCACCATACGGATCCAAGTCCGCATCGTCATCTTGACCACTGCTCGACGCGTCCTTCTGCACAAGAATGCTCTCCAATTTCGTGTAAACCAGCGGTCCCAAGCAGTTGCCCAGCAAGTCGAGTGTCGAAATGCGGTCGACGTCAATGTCCGACTCGCCCGCGTCGATGTGCGCCAGATCGACGAAGTTTTTGAATTCCTGGGGGTTTGCGATGTTCCGCCGCCACCACTGGAACACCTCGCCGGACGCTTGGATGGCCTTCATCAACTTGATCTGGTCTTCCTGCACCTCTCGGAGAACTTTGTACCAGTCCTTGATCTCCTTGGAGATGTCGTTCAGCGTGTTTTGCTGCAGAAAGGCCTCGCTCCGCTGCTGCAGCTTTTGGAAAAATTGCAGCTTCGGATCCCCGTCGACAACGGTGTCCGCGATATTGTTCCCACCACCGGCACTGCTACTGGATGACGACGCCGCTGCAGCGTTCGTATCTCCTGCTCCGAGAGCTCCTCCTGCGCCAGAAGCACTTATGTCCGCTGTTGCGTCGTCAGCATTGCTCCCACGCGGGAACATGAAGTGCACGAAGTGGATGACCTCGCGAATGCTGTTGGGCTGCACGTTGGCAATGTCAAGAAACGTTTGGATTTGGTCCATCCTATCGCGGTACAGGATCGCCCCGTCACCACTGTTTTTGTGCGGCCGATGCGAGGCTGCATTCTCAACATCGAAGATCACCAGCTGGGAGGAGGCTGGTTCTCCCGTGTCAACAGCGGTTGGATTCTTGTTTTCTTCTCCTAGAATCACATCCAGTTCGTCGTACTCTAGCTGCGTTTGTGCAAACATGCTTTTCACTGGTGCGGGCGCAAGGACGAGCGCAGTATCAGCTGCTTTCGTTGACGCAAGCATCCCCGCACCCGTCATTTCTTTCCGAATGGCATTTGTGAGTGCCTCCGGCAGCGGCCAACTCAGGTGGCTGATTAGTTCCAGAGAAAGATCGCCGGTCTGAAATTCTCCGATGAAGGCGTGGAGCTGCGACCGTGCCCGCTCAACCACGTGATCCAGCGGCGGGCCGGAATGGAATCTGTCACGGTTGTTCTTCCTGTCGCCGTTGTCGATCTCCAAATCCTCATCGAATGCCTTGAAAAAGGCGGCCAGGTCCGGCGTCTGCTCCTCCTGGTCCAAAATCAGGGCGCGGGCCAGAATGGCGTCGAAATTCATCTTAACCGCTTTGGAGTCCGCAGAAACTTGCGGCAGCGCGCTAGCGGCTCGGAGCAGTTCCAAATCGGACTCGAACTTCGTAACGACCTCGCGCCAGTGTTCCAATTTTGAAGCGATTTCCTTCTCCTTCTGCTTGCGCGGCGAGGCGGCAGATGATCCCAAACTGTCCGCGGTCGCAGAGCGGCCGCGGGCTGCGGTCGTCGTTTCACCTGCGTTTGCGAGAACAAGTTCTTGCGACATGTCGACGTCATCTTTCTCTTTCGCTACATCGTCGTCTACCTCCATGGGGTCATCACCCTCGTTTTCTTTTCGCTCTGCCGACTTCCTCGCACCCGCGGAGCTCCTTCCCGCCCACTCCTCTGATGGTTGCTCTGTGCAGATCTGGTAAAATGTGGTGAAGCGGTCCTTGTTGTCTTCCAGGAATTTCAGCGTCTTCAAAGACAACGTCCCATCAAAAAGGCGCTCCTTGCAGGTAACGAAGGCGCTTACCACCTGCTCGAGTACTGCAGCGCCGTCGGAATCCTCGGGCACTTGCAGCCTCATCCGCAGCAGTGCCTCGCTGGCCTTGCAAGCAAACGTAACCTCCAGGATGTGCCGCAGGTCGGCGTTGTCGAGGTTCTTCTTCTTCTTGGCGTCCTCCGGGTTAATTGACAAGAACTTGAGGATCAAATCCGATAACACTTTCGCCATATTAGCGAGGGCAGTCTGTCCACGTTCGTCCTTTTCCGAGGTAGACTTCGAGCTCCCCGCGGGTGCCATCTTTGTCAGCAACGAGAAAGCTTTCGTCATCAAGCCACCCGCAGCATTTGCAAGTCCCGCACCGGCCCTCGCTACGGCGTTGTTTTCCGGTAGGAGAGCGGAATTGCGCGGTTTCTTTGACGTGTCGATATTGCTACCAAGCAGAATTTCTTCGAGCTCTTCTGGTTTCTTGTTTAGCAGGGACGTGAGCTTGTCAACAAACTTGTTGGTCCAAAGGTCCTTGAGGCGGCTCGGCAGCTGTTCATGGTGTAGATACGTTTCAATCACGGTCTTTTCCGCAGTCGTGGCCAGCTTTCTGCGCAGCACTCCCTCCATTTTCTCAGCGATGTTGTCCATGTCGGGCACATTCGGCAGCGCATCAGCAGTGGTCAAAACGTGGGCCCAGAAGTCAATGTCAAGGGAATTTCTCACTACTCCGCAATTCTTATGAATGGCCCGATTTGTCAGCTGCAGAAAGAAGTGGCCGAGACTCGGAAGGCTTTTCCGTTTAAGCGTGACAGCTTTCTTAGCTGGCTGCATCGGTTCCTTGCTCTGATCGTCGAGATCAATGACCTCCTTCTCTTGTTGTCCTCCGGGAGTCTCTTTTTCTTCTTCTTGTTGCACGCCTTCAACTGTGCAGGAATCAATTAGCTCCATCACTGCCACAACGAAATCTGCTGCTGCTGTTACGGTCGTTTTCGCAGATTCTAGGTCCACAAAGAAAACCTTCGTGAAGGTTTCTACCGGCACTTGTGCAGAACCCTCCTTCTTCATGTAGTCGTCCGCGCCAGACAAAACCCTCGCAACAAGGTCGAGCAGATCCTTTGCGTCGAAAAAAGGCTGCTCCTTTGCCACCGCGGAACCGATCGGCCTCTTATCTCCGTTGTGAATTTCTAAATCCTCGCGCAGCATCATCATGTCGTCTTCCGCGCTATTTTGTTCCCCACAACGGACTGAATTTGAAGACGACAGTATCTCCCGAATCCATGAAGCGCTTTTTCGCAGGATAGTCTCCATGTCTGGGGGGTCGTTCCAGTCCAGCTGCACGAAGTTCTTCGCTTTTCGATACACTCTCCACTTCATGACCAGGCAGTCGAACGCCAGCCAGACTGGGACGCGATGAAAATCAGCAGCAGTGAAAAACTCTGGCCAGGGCGTGTAGAACAGAAAAAGGCGGATGAGAAACGGGTCGTAGGCAATCAATTTCGTCGTCTCCTCTGTCCACGTGAACGCCGACACTTTCGAGACATCGACTTTTTGCTCATTCTGAATCTGATTTCGCTTGTCCGCGAAGAAAAAAGGACTAGTGAACCCAAACCAGTCAGTAAAACTCGCCTTCACGGTGTGACCTCGACGTTCAAATGCCATTGCGTGCAGCTCGTCCACGATGTCGGAAAAGGTTGTAGCCTTTCCACTTAGATTTCGGCAAGCTTGCAACACGTGCAAAAAACTCAAGCCGAAGAGAAATTCCGGATGTTCCATGGGTTCGATTCGTGAAAGCACCTCCTGCAGCCAGGCGAAAAGGTAGTTGGACGCGATAGGAAACTGTCCCTGTAACTCGCACCACCATTTTTGCTCGCATTTGGCGACTTTTGCGCTTCTTTGATGATCTCCAAGGTTGGCCCCATCCTCCTTCTTTGCCTGACCACCATCATCAGAGAGCGGAACAAAGAAGTTCGCGTTATTCTCCTCGAAGAAGCAAATGTCAAGGCGCCGCAGCAATTTTGGAAGAAACACCGCGAAGTCGTTCTCTGCATGGGAGGCACAGAGTTCGCGGCCAAGATAAGCGCACCCTGCGATTGTTCCTATGGTGAACACGCATGTCCGTGCGCAGGGAATCGACGTCCACCCAGCAACTTGCTCTTGCAGTGCCAGGTTGAAGTTGTAATGCCACACTCCGGTTTCGTTTTTCGGAACGCACCACCATGGTTGCGTCAGCACGGCAGAATTGCTGTTGACCCGTTCGCTAAGGCAACATTGCTGCATCATGACCTGCACTTCCTCATCGTCGCCCGCAGGACCGTTTTTCTTCACCAGTCGCATTCCCTTCAGCAGTGTGTAAGCGAGGCTTTCTTTCATCCAGCAGTCTTGCGTCATCTTCATCGCTAGGGAGATTGGGTATTTCGAACTTGCTCCATTCGCACCTGCGGTTTTTCCTTCTGGTCGGGGCGCTTGCTCCGGTAGGTAGTTATTGGCTTTTTTCCATTCTTCGATGTACAACGAAAGAGCAAGCCGCAGAGCTTGGGCTCGGAGAACACCAAAATTCCAAACTTTGCCTGGCTCTGCTTTCGGGACGGTTGCATAATCGAAAATTTCGATGTCAAGTACCGACAGGTTGCTGGACTGCGGCTGCAAGCTCCATGCGCGGCACATGGTTCTCTTCGTCTCCCAATACGACTGGGTGATATGAAAATTCTCTGCTCGGTGGAGCTGTTTTGATTTTATATGTGGTTTGGGTTTATCTTCGTTGCACCTAAAACTAAATCAAAATCATCACTTGGTGAAGAATCTAATACGCGGAAGTACTGCATCCAGAGCACATCCACATCAAACCATTTTTCTTCATCTGGTTCTGTCAAAGCTGAGTGCTGTGCGCCTACCAGGTTCTTGTTGTTTTTCTTTTTTCATTGTGAAAATCATGAAATACTACTCGGAATACCTGCTCGCGGAGGCCCGCTTTTTTTGTGTCTTTGCTCCATTTTCGATAACTGTAGCGAAGAAGTACTGGACAATTTTTTGGATCGGTAGGCGGCTCTTTCATGTTCGCGAGTTTCCACAGGCTGTAACTCTTTTTCGAACGAAAGTCGATCCAGATGTCACCGTCACCATGTTCGTCGACGATTCTGTCCTTCTCTTCCAGGATGATGTGATGCGAATCGTACCCCCTGCTGGTCTCCATACACAAGACGAGCTGTGCCGGCTGCATGTTTTCCTTTTGCTTTGTCTCGTCTTCACCGGTCTGCGCCACTCGCTCCGGGAACTTCCAGGCCGAAGCCGGGGCAAGAACACGCCATCGCACGAGCGGTCCCATTTCCTGAGGGGCAACTTCTTGTAACTTCAAATCCCCGTCCTGCTGTTCGTGTTGCTTGTCGGAGTTCTTCTCAAGTTTCTGCCTCTCGTTGTCGCCTTCAGACACAAATGGGGAGCCCTGAGCTTCGTCGCCTGGATCGGCATCTTGCCTTCCCGTTTTTCTGTTTTCCATGTTTGCTTCCACATCGGCAGAACTTTTTTCGTGCGGCTTGTCTTTCGGTAACAGGTTGCCCTCCTTTTTCAGCTTCTCTGTTGACACGCGATCCTCGCTGGATGACAGCCTCACGACATTGCCGTCTTCCTCATCTCGTCGATGAACATCATCAGGCACTATTTCCTTGCCACCCTCGACGACAGCACCGCCTATGGCGCCCGATTTCTGCCTCGACCGGCTTGCCGCGGTGCTCAAAACCTTCTCGTCTTCGCTGCGCTCTGCAGCTTGAGCGTTATCGTCGGAGGGGCGAAGCGTGCGCGTAAACGTATTTTTCCGCACCTGTTTAGAGCCGGCATCGGCACCTTCTTTTTTCTTCGAGGCTTTTCTGCCAGCAGGCACCTTCTGGTTTTTCGACGCCTCGCCCTCTTCGTCGCTTTTGACGCTTTCTTTCTTGCTGTCCTGTTTGCCACGCTTTTTTGCTGTTGTACCAGATCCAACTGCATTCAACGGAAGATCATCTGCAGCTTCATCCGCTGCATCTTCATCCAGAATTCCTGGATTCAGTGTCAGCTTATTCTGAACCTTCTTTGAAGACACGGACTCGTTCGCCTTTCCCTTTTCCTCACGCTCGTCTTCCATCTCTGACACGGGAATTTCTTGCCCGCCCGAAACTTCTGCGGCTCCACGAACACTGCTGCTCCCCTGCGCCTCTCCGGTTCCCAACACTTTCTTCGATGCATTTTTTGCGGCAGGAACAATTTTCAGTTTATTGTTTTTTACTTTCGAAGAGCCCGTGCTCGGTCTTGGCGGCAAATCTTGTTCGCACTCCTCGTCGATCACTCCATCCTCCGTAGCTTTTCTGCCCGGTATCTGCGACACTCCCGCTACAGCACTGGACGAACTTGCACTCGACGAAGAGGAGCTTGGCACCTGCGGCCCGGCCGCCGCCTCGGCAGACGAAAGTTTTCGCTTCTTCAGCGACCGTGACTGATCCGCATCCTCCACATGTTGAGGCTCCTCATCAGCCGAGCCAGTTTTTGGTTCGGCGTTTCCGGCTTTCGCTGCAGAAGAAGCGCTGCCGCTGCTGCCCGTAATCAACTCCTTCGGCTCGTCTTTCTTGTCTTCGCCGGTGTTCTGATCTTCTTTTTTCTTCTTCCCTTTTTTCTTCTTAGCAGCTAGTTCCATCGCCAGCTGTTCCATCCTGCGCTGCTCCTCCTCCGAATCAATCTCGGAACCACTTCCCGATTCTTGCTCTGAAGGAACATCTTCTTGTGCGGGCGCAGGGGCACCCTTCTTGCTCCCCATCTTCGACATGCTTTCGGTGTCGGTACACGTTACAAAGCTGGTCTACGCTGCTCGTGGGCGGGACTCGATAGCGCAAGTGGCCACTACCTTCATGATTTTTTGCTACCTTCTCTTTAAAGAAGGCTCTGAGAGGTGGAACTAGTATTGTGCAAGACCTACAAAGCCCCAACACTCACTCCCACTGATCGCTGCAGTTCCCTCTTAAGATGCAATTTTATCCTTTTTCAAAAAGTTGCTTCTGTTTGGCTTGAACTTCTTTCTAGAATGATCAACGAAAGAATGTCTAAACATGTTTTTTACTTGGAGCCTCTTACTTTTCTAAAAATAATCCTGCCTGCGACTGAGTTCGAATCATGGAATGATCGACATCGACATCGAGTGAAAATGAAACTCGAACTCAACAAACGAGCTTTCAGCAAGAAAATCATGCCAACATCGAAGTCGATCTCGATGGTGGATCGAACCAAAACAGCTCTGCTGCGATGCTAAAGATTGATCAAAAGATAGAAATCGCGTCCTGTCATCAATACGAGATTGAGACAGCGGAGATCACTTTCATACTCACAACCAGCCGCGGTCGGAAAACTGTCAAATGAAACAGACTGTGACCACTGGGTCACCTAGTAGTCACCACGATGACTGTCGCGAAGATACAAGAGCATCAATGAAAAATGAAACGTGAGCAACAGCTCCAGCAAGATCTTACGTTGCAAAAGGTTTAGTCGATTGAAACACCACGATTACAGTTTACGAAAAGACCATCGAAATAACAACTAGTAGTGCCGGGTAAAGAACCATTTTCGTCTTTGCTTGATTTTCAAGATTTTGACCTCTCAACTTTATCATTTTGACTGGTGTCGCTCCTGTCGACTTGCTTCCCTCAAAATTTACTCCCCGAAACCAAGAGCAAAACTTGGATCCTTGCCTGTGATACTGATCCCTACAAAAAACGATTTTTTTTTCGAACAGGAATGAACAACAGGAGCAGACCCCCTGCCCACCACTTCTCCTCGTCGTGTTGCGAATATGCGTGCTGCTCGTATGTTTGGCTCTAGTAATCCATTGTGATGAGAAACAGCGTTGTCTCTCGAATCTTCATTTGCAAAAGTTCGCCGTTGATGCACCGTCTCGTGCTACAACCTCAACACGAGAAGGTGCAAGGCATACTTAAACATTCGCGTTTTCGATACCATAAGTGCGATCGCTTAAAAAGCTCGTGTTTTCTACACACCACGGTCAAGCTCAAACTCAAACAGTTCATCTCAAGCACGCCAAAAATAAGGCGTCGGCGACTTAACGCTCACAGGCAAGTATTTTCACACACGGACGATAAGAGTGGGCTTCTCCTTGTACATTGATTGTAAGAAATGAAAATGAAATCAAGCGCCTCCAGCATAGAAGAAGAAACGATTTCACCTATTAGCTCAATGCTGATAGAAACTCAACATCATTCAGGGTTCGATTCCCTCTTTGTATTTTGGAAAACCGTAATACTTGAATAGGAATTTTGAAAAAGTTTTCCGCCGTGAAGCAAAAGCGCATACTGCGATAGGCTCCAAAATGTCAAATTGATAGAACGCAACACTCAGTGACTAGTGGTCTGAGCTTGGAAATAAGACGCAGAGGGAGCATCCCGATACGGAAATCTAACAGCTCTCTATCGTGGCTATCCGAATCCGCGCGCGTTGGTTTGTGTCGGTCCTAGATAGAGGACCGCTCGCATGACAAAAGTCTCAAAGAAACCGCTCGCAATTGAAAATTCTTCGAATGTTCTCGAGACCTCGATGAATCGCAAACTAACGTACATGTGACGACAACGTGCTTCCTTTATTAAGCCATTACTTGCTAGGGCTTGGGCGGAGCGACGTGCGACCCGGTGGTGATTGGCTTCGTGCAAATGCAATACCCCGAGATCAGGCGTGCCTTTGGCTTTGCCGCTTTTGGAGACGACGTAGCAGAAGTGATGTTATTTTCTGCCCCCTTTGTTGTAGCAGCAGCAAACAATCCGGTGCTATTCGCGATGTCGTCACTTTCCTTGACAATTACCCGGACGCCCGTCATTGCCTTGCGCACCTTTTCCACCACGTTCGGCCCAGCGTTTTGATCGCACAGCGCCATGACAGCCGGCCCGGCGCCGGAGAGAAAAGCCGCCACGCAGCCTGGTTGCTCCAACGCCGCCTTCATCACGGGCTTCAGGTGCAGGTGCACGGTTTCCGCACGTACGTCTTGGTGCAGCGCGTCCTGAGTGCCGATCCGAAGCAGAGACAGGTTCCCCGTGTGCATGGCGTTGATCAGAAACGCCACCCGGGACACGTTGAACACCGCCTTTTCCAGTGGGACAATCTGCGGCACCAGCCCCCTCGTCATCTCCGTCTTCGTCTGCCGCTCCTTCTGCTCGGTCGTTTTGGTATTATTTTCCAACGGCCCCAGATCATTATCCATGTCCGTTCCACGACCTCCGGCTACGGCCGCTGCCACTACCATCGCTGGCGGAATCGACATGTTCGTGGAGGAGCTCGTCTGGTCAATCTCCCGCGAGGAGTCGCCGGACAAATCACCTCCTGCGCTCGTCCCGCCCGTCAAACCAGCCATTGGCGTCGTGGTCGTCGTGGAAGCGGAGGCTGCGCTCGTGGACGTCGGCAACGCGTGTTTGTTGTACGAAGTGGTCACTGTTGTACCACCAGGAGCTCCAGGCCCGAGCTTTTCGTCGTGGTGGAACACGCGATCGGACGGCGAAAACATCTTCTGTGCGCGCTCCGCCTGCTGCTGCATTTCCACTTCCGCCTGCCGCTGCAAATTCTCGGAAGAAATGGACCGCGTCCGGGACACAACCCGGCCTGCAACCGCCGTAGGCTGCAAAATATTCTGCGGTGGCTGGCCGGCTCTGGCGGCCCGTTCCTCGAGAAAAGCCGCGAACTCCGGATCGTTTCTGTCGTCCAGGTCTTCCTCGTCGTCCCAGAACTCGTCGTCAGCACTCTTGGACGCCGCGTCCGCCAACACGTTACCCTGCGCGTCGCAGTAGGGCACGTTGTCCTCCGGAATGAAGATGACGCAGCGCAGCGCCTCCGGCACCGGTACCGCGGACGTCACCACCTTTTTCCGGTTCCGGCACAGACTTTCGTCTTTGGTCAGCGAGTAGGAGGTGGTGGTCTGCAGCTCCTTGGTCGGAATGCGGCTGCTGATGATGGCGCCCTTGTTCCGCACGCGCTCTAAATAGCCCGCCGACCGCCCCCGGACCTGCTTCTTGTGGCCGCTTCCCCCGCTGCGATTTTTGCTTCTCTCACCCCTAGGCGTCCCGGTTCGGTCCGTCACACTCCGGCCGCGGACGGGTGCGGCCAGCGCGGACGTGCTTTTAAACAGGTTTCCCGCGGCCCGGTCTTCCGGCAACTCCAATTCGTCGATAACATCTTCGAAAAGCGGTGGTGGTGGAAGTAGTTGTGCACCAGCAGCTGTCGGGGAGTTCCTCCGACTGCCGTGCTCGTTGTCGAGGTGTTTCGGCGAAGATGAAGAATTCGGGGGCAATAAGCAGGATTCTGACGGGTCGCGCGGCAGCAGCGCAAAGTCATCCAACTCCACCTTCTCCATCGCGGTGGCAATCTGCATCCCGCCGAACACGCATGGCGCTACGTTGTCCGGGTGCCCTTCGAGATGGTTAGCGATTTCCAGCACCAGCGACAGGTCGGCGCTGCGGTTTTCCAGCGCTAGCCCGGCCAAAATCCCCGCGACCAGCGCCGCGGAACTGCTGCCCATGCCCTTGCCCACGGGGACACGGTTCACACAGTGGTATTTCAACGTGGGCGCGGGCTTCTGCATCACCGCATACGCGGCTTCAACGCCTGGAGGTGTGTGAAAGAGAAAAAAGTTCTTTTAGTTTCAGCAGGTGATTCTACTTCAAGCCTTGGTTAATCACGAGGCTGTGAAAGGGAAAAAAGATGAAAGAAAACGGTATCGACAGCATCAAGTTGAACACATAAACGTCAGTTAAATTTTCTTTTTACCTTTGCAGACAAAGTTCTTGTCCTTGATATTTGTCTCTTTCTCGAGGTCCTCATCGGTCTTTCCGACGTACAAGTCCTCGCCTTCGGTGGTGAGCGAAAACTTGGTTGCTCGTTCAACGGTAACCTCATTCCACACGTCCAGAGCCATGCCGCAGCAGTCGAAACCAGGGCCCAGGTTTGCCGTCGTCGCCGGTGCGCGGACGGTAACCTTTTTCACAACGGAGTTGCTGCTCATGGTGAAGGCGCCAGCGGCCGCGAAGTGCGAACGAGAGGAAGGCGTTGCAGTTCCAGTTGCACTTGCAGCTGTGTCAAGAAGCAAATAATTAAGCACAAAAATATCAGCAGCAGTTGCGGCCTCGCCTCGCCTTTACCAGACTCTGGAGTGACGAGCGGGAGATCCACGAAGCTGGCTAGGACTGAGGCTAATCCTAGAGGAAAATCCTTGTGACGAATGAAATTCTTCAGACCACGATCGCATCGTTTACAGATGCGATGAAGTACTGTAGATCGTCTTGACAGCTACTTTCTTTTTCTTAAATTTTTTTTGTAGTAAAATCATGACGGCTAGTCTTAGTGTTAGTCATGTGCGCCTTTACGAAACAGCGGGAGTCGCGTGTTAGTTGGATACTCCGCAAAGCAAAGAAAAGGGTACACTTGAAAACAAATTGCAATGAATAATTTGAAAGCGACGTACGTTGCGGTCGTTGCGAGTGCAAATGCAGTGACTACAAGTAAAAAAAACTTTCTACTTTTTTTTGGTCCAAACAAGAAGGATGATGAAGACGAGTAGGGTAGTGACGAGAAGTATTTTGCGAATCAATGAATGCGCGGGGAAAAATTATGGGTCTGATTTTGCAAGAACAGTGAAAATCATCTGTGCATCAAAACCATTCAACATCTTATCGTCCCCCGTGATCGGTTGGTGGTTCTCGTCCTGTGTGTGTGTTGACCGAAAAAATTGTTCGCACCAGCGGACCGAAAAATGCGACCTATGAAGGTTGGTGTAACCGAGTAAGTTGAACAAATGAATCGCCGATAAAACCGCGCCATGTCACGGTCAAGAAACCCCATGCTGTTGAACACAACTTTAAGTTCCAGTTTTTTACGTTGAAGGGGACGCACACAAGCCTCAATCAATTTCTTTTCCCGCATGGACGAAGCAGACAAAGACGTGGAAAAGCAAAGGTCGTGCACGAAATTATCACTTTACACCTTTAATGCAGTTAATCCACCATGTCCAAATCATCGTAAGTGCCTGCAGAGTTGTTCAAATTGTTCTGGCGAAAAAAAAGTAGCACTGTATCCCCGTCGGCCAAAGCAATGTCGACGGGTCTCAGATTCCAGGCGACCTCGCTGCCGGAGTAAGAAAAGATGAAGTTCCCCAACAACAAGTCACTTTTCTCCTGCTCCGAAAAATCTCGCATCTCTGCTGCAAGCTGATGCTGCTCCTGCATACCTCGATTGTTTGTTCCCGTAGTGGACGCCGATATAGCTGCGAGGTTCCTTACTTCTGTTTGAATCTCCGCAAACGTTGCGCTGGGTGGCACCTCGCAATAAAACGCACATGAAGTCGTGTATCGATGAGGAAAGAAGCGCTTCTGCTGGAGAGTGTCAGTCTTGGTTTTTTTACTTTAGCAATGCGTAATGGCTGACCTTCACTACACTGTTGAGGTGGATATCGGCGAAAAAAAGAAACCACTCATACAAAAAGGGGCGTGTTTCTCCCCTTTCGCGTGATAAGTAGCCGTGCACCCCTTGTTTTTCTACTCGTTCATCATAACAACGAGCTATCACCTTTTGTGAAGCGCAACATGCATCATGATCTGCAGAAAGTAAAAATAGTTTGAGCGCGAGCACGACACTTTGCCTTCCTCGATATTAACTTGGATAGAGAGGACGACTTCGCATTTCTTTGCACCGAGAAACGGAGCTGCATGCGCGGCTGCGGCACTTGTTGTCTACCAGCAGCGGGATGATTTGGCTGGTTTCCACCAGCGCCTTGATCTAGCAGACTCGCACGTAGCGCTTGCTGGATCATTGCTTCCTCCTGTGCAGCAGCCTCATGTTCGGAAAGGTCGTTGTCGTGCTGATCTTCGTCGTCCGACTCATTTTCCTCGGAAAAATCTGCGGCGTCCGGCTGGAAGAACAAATGCGTGATTTCGGGCGGCAATGGCCTTTCGTCCTGCAAAAAGTTGTTTTCGTCGTCGTCGTACCGAAATCCAGAGGCGGTGGTCGACGAGAACGTCACGCTCTGCAGCCGGAAATTCCCCTTGAGCTTGAAACCGTAGACTTCCTGCCAGAGTCTGCGAATCTCTTTCAGCTTCACCTCCTGCTTCAGGTTCCGCACGGGGACGGCGAGCTCCATGATCTCTGCCTGTCCGCTGCTGCGATCCTCAAAGTGAATCTGGAAAACCCGTTCTTTTTCTTGGCCAGACGTTGCTCCGCCGGGGTTCTTTTTTTTGTTTTTGCTCCAGCTTGGTAAGCTGGAGCTCACCGATTTCCGAAGGGCTGTGAACATGTTTCCGGATTATCTTTGTTGCAGCCTACTTAGTCACATGCACAAATCGACTTGGCAGAAAAGAAGAACGCAACAAAATGAGCTCTGTTCTGCGGTGTTGCCATACAAAGTTCGGATCAGAATGGAAAAAAGTACTCCTGGGAAAAGCGGACGGTGCCACGATACACCAAAAAAGCGAAGATAAAAACGAAAGCGATAGACGACTGATAACGACAATTTTAGCTGCGCCCAGCTGTGCGATAAAAATTAATATGTACCTAGATCATGACGTGGAAACTCATGCTGGATGTACAACTTACTAAGCTATCAGGAAGGGGCTTTGCTGTTTATGGGGTGCTTGTCATGGAGGTCCTTTTTGTTTTCCAAAAACTGACGAATCTTCCGAAAGTGAAGCTCAAATCTCGAGATGCTACAGCAACAGCAGCAGCACTGCAGCAATTAACAAAATGGAAATGCAAATCGACTTTCATCAAGTTGCACCGAACAGTGAGAAGTCTGAGCAGGAGGCCTCGAGTCGACAAATTCATTCACCGATTTGCTGTTCGAGTTCTTCAGTGTTCACATCAAGGTTTGCTCAAATAATTTTTTATTTTTTCAGACAGATCATGGAAAAAAAACACCGATGAAAGCAAGTAAATCCATGTTCATCTCCGCTTCTTATTTCTTTAGCGCCTCACTCAACAGCTAGTGAACTCAGTCGCGATTCAATGCACTGCGCCATGCGCGTTGAATCACGATGCAGGCACGGTCTTTCAGTGACGACGTGTAGGCTGGACACTCACCATATCATGCTTTTCTCATCTGCTGTGGCTAAGTATTCAGAGTGTTTCGTCAACATCATCAGTGTTCTGTTTACTTTTGCCTTTATTGCGGTTCTGTTTTTTGCCGCTCGCGGTCGATGTGTTTGTTCCATTCTTCTCACCGTCGCTGCGGCGATTCGACTTCCCGGATGGATGCTCACTGTGAAGACCTTTCTCGATTTTCTTTGTGCCCTTGCCCTTAGCCATCTTACCACTTCCTTTGTTGCCGGTGCGATGCTTTCCATTGGAAACCTTCGCATCCACAACTTCGTTGTCCTGCGGGCTGGGGCCTGTCCCGCCACGACTGTCTGCGTTTTTCTTATTGTTCTTCAATTTTTCATTTTTTCCGCGCGCTCCGTGCTTTCCGATAGCTGCAGATGATGAGCCTGCTTCTGCCCCCAATAATTCCTGTCGGTCGAGTTCCTCTGCGAGCTCCATAGCGGCGAACCGGGCCTCGATTTCCGCAATCTCGGCTTCCTCCTGCTCAATGCGTTCTAGCTGCTGCAACGTTTGCAGGTCGAACGCCAAGTTGCGCCGCGTTTCCGGCATCGCTTGAAAGCCCCAGGAATTCTTTGTTGGGTCGTCGACCTTGTTCCCGCTTTTGGTATTTTTCGCAGTTGTTGATGACAGTATTTGTACGGCTGTCGAGGAAGACGACTCGGGTCCACGCCCTTGCTGCGAGGACGGCGGGGGAGACGACGCACTAAGGCAGCTCAACGCGTGCTTCGCCGGCGTTGTTTTGGCATTTGTTGTCGTACTTCTAGATGATGTTGAGGAGACGAATATTTCCACCGGAACAGCAGGCAGACTTCCCTTTCGCGATCCGGTCGAGCTTGAACTCGAGATTGCGCGACCTGCTGCTCCTCCCGAGGTTGCCAAGGAAGTTGACGCTGGGACAGCACCTGCGCCAGCACTCAGAGTAGCTGTATGGTGATGGGCTTGCTGCGCAGCGAGTTGCAACTCTTTGGCCCGCCGCGCCCCTTGCTCTTCTTCAAAAATTTCCGCCAGCGTGGCGGGCTTGGTTGTGTTTGTCGTGTGTGCTCTTACGCCACCAACGTCCCAGACAGAGGAGTTCGAAGCGCCAGTTCCTGGAGTTGCACTTGAGGCACCTTGCGAATTTTTTCCGGCAACATGCTCATGTGATGATATGGAGCTCGACAACGTCTCACTGGCAGATTTGGCTGTGGTGTTGGCAGTCTCTGATAATTGAGTAACCGGCTTGGTCTTGCCTTTGTTCTGGTTCCTTTGGACTGTAGCATTCGGCCGCACTTGGTTCATTTCTACAACAGCACCGCGCACTCGTGGATGCTGTCCTCCGTTGGCCTTCCCCGCAGCGCTTCCCGGGGTAGCTGCAAGCCAGTCCCCGAGAACAAGCGATCTCTTGGTAGAGGGCGCGGGTTCCTGTTCGGAGGCGACACTGTTTCGGGACTTTGCTTGCGCCTCGTCGTGAAAAGATGATCTTTTCTTCTCGCTTTTGCTCTTTCGCGATGACCCAATTTCCGTCCACGGCCCCTTAGCTATTTCCTCATCCAGCTCGCTCCTTGTTTTGGCGCTTGAAGCAGTTGCGCGCTCATTTGCTCCCTTTGACGAGTAAACGTCTTGTATCAGTCCTGTGGAAAGCCGCACCGCGTACAGGTAGTCGCTGTCAAGCTGCTCGTTGCTTGGTTCATCCGGCTTGTTGGCGCTCCTCTTCTGGCTTCCATCATCTAGCTCCTCGTCTTCTACTCGAGTCGCGCGCTGTTCGTCCGTGCTTCCGGCGCTGACCCTAGAAGTATTTTGCGCACTAGGTGGAGGTCCCTTGTTGTGCTTTTGCTTCTTTTTCTTGTTACTCCAGAAGGAGGGGCCCCGCGAGCTATTGGCGCTTTTCTGCTGCGTGAGCTGTGACGATCCCCGTGCCGTCGTGGTGCTGGCATTGCTATTCATCTGCAGCTGCATCTCACTGTAGTCCGCGCTGTTTCGGCTCTCCTCTCCGGCGATTACGGACGGACGCGCTGCTAGGTACTGCTCGGCGCATAGCCCGTTAATTTTGGAGAAGATACCGAGTTTGTGGGACTTCCTCTTCGTGCTGGACGCTTCATTGCTGCTGCAGGTCATGGCCTGCATGCTAGCCGCCAAAACTCGCTTGCTGTAGGAAGTACTCAAGTACGCCGCAGCACTGCAAAGGGTGCTGCCCTGCGCATACGCATCTTCCTCATCCTCCAAAAAGTCGCGTGAAGTCACCTGCAGCAGAACGGAGTTCCGAAAACCGAGGTAGCCCCCACATTTTTCCCACTCTGCGAGCAATTTTCCGATGTAGCTCTTCTCCAAGTTTTCTTCGCGGTGCAGCAACACAACCTGCGCCCAATTTTTTGACAACACGTCGAAACAGTAGTTCCACAGCAACCCCAACGTGTACAAAATCGCGTAGTCCAAGAAGTCCAACACTGTGAAGGGGGTGACTTTCCCACTCCGGATAATCTGCCGCTCACACAGCAGCACGAGAGACGGAAACAGTTGTGGTTTCGTTTGTCTGGCCGACGTTTTTCCGGAGGTTGCACCGGGCTGTTCGCTAGCGTGGCCGTCTTGTTCTGAGGTAGAAGTCGTCGAGGTTCGTGGGAGAGCCGGATCTACTGCTTGCGGTTCGGCTCCTACGAGATTCTGGTTTTCGTTCAGGTTGTGCACGACTGCAGGGGTTATGCCGAAGCCAGATTCATGCTGCGAAACATTGCCGAATCCATAACTGCCCGGCACGTCGGAGGTATTGGGTGGCAAATCGAAAGCTCCGGGAGCTCGTCCACCAAAACTGAAAGCGTTCATCTCGGCATGGAAATCATATCCCCCAAAATCATGATCAAGATGCATTTCGTCATACAGCAGGTGTTCGTAGTGCTGCTGTGTGTGGAAATCTTCAAACCTGGAAAGCCGCCACTTCTCAGACACTTGCTCCAAGTGCGCTTCTACCTCAGGAAGCCGGAAGCTGCTCTGCAACTGTAGGACCTCCTGAGCTCTTACGTTTTGCAATACGGCCGAGGAAAAGGAGGAACCTGGAGGACCTGCACTACTAGCATTACCAGTGGCGTGCTCGGCAGCCGAGACCCCGGAAACCGTAGCGCTTATTGTTTGCAGTTCGCACCCCGTGTGTAGAGTCGGGATCAAATCGATTTTCTTTACGCTCGTCTTGGCCCTCGCAAATTGCGTTTGGTTTTGCCCCCCGTCAACCCTGCTTGTACCAGACTCAGCAGGCCTTGTGGTCACCCCGAATGCCATTTCGACTACCACAGAAACGAGTGCCTGCGCCGGTAGCGGAGGATCTTCCTGAGAGGACGTATACATGAACGAAGACTTATGCCCGTCGTCCTGTTTATCCGCCTGCGGGGCTCCTTTACCGACAACCAGAATCCGATCTTCCTCCACTTCCGCAAGCCGCCCAGTCCTCTCGGCTTCGGCAGCTGCCGCACTAGTGTCGTTCTCTCCTGCCCCTTCGACGTGTCGATGTTGAGCATCAGCATGTCTTTTCTCTCTGCTACTGCTTCGTTCTAAATCTATAACCATCACGTACTCGACTGCGAGCTGTACGCTAGCGGGGCTTGCTGCACTGGAGGCCGGCCTTGACGCTGCTGCTGTTTCTTCTACGTCGTCGTGCGACGGCTCTGCGTTGAAGCTGACGATGCTGCGCACGTTTTCAAACAGCGGCTCGAAGAATAAGTTCGACGAGGTGGACGTTGAATTGTTCGCAATCTGAGATGAAACGGAAACCGAACTGCTCCATGCGAAGACTAATGCGCACCAAAAGCGCCCTCGTGTATCTAGGCAGCCGATGTCCACGATGCCATGTGCCCGGTGGAAGAGAAACAATTTCCGAATTCGGGGTCGGCCGCCGGGATACAGATCGAAGTCCGTACTACGACCAATGTCTGGGACATCTGCATCTGCAGTGGGGCCTTGCATCATGAACATGTCCTGCTCGGAGGTCATTCTACTGCCGTGATGTGAGGTTGACGCTGATGGAAACCGTATCTTTACTTTCCGCTTGTCGAATTCATTCTTTCGCCAAACGGACACGGAAAGCCCACTGTCGTCCACTAGTGCAGTGATGTTTCCTTCCACCACCAGCTTGTTGGAAATGTCGGTGTCGATCTGTTCCTGCGGTGACCACGCCGCTGTCCTTTCCTCGGGAAACTGAAATTGCTGAATCAACGACAAGGTAGCAGAGTGGATTAGATCCACTTCCCCCTTGGCTTTTTTCCCGGATTTGGGTAGTTGACTCTGTTGGAAAAAATTGATCACTCTTTCGCACACCTCGAACGCTGCAGGGAGTTTCTGGTTGTAGTTGTCAACACTGTTTATTCCACCTCCTGCGCGATTGTCGCGCTCGCCTGCAGCTGCCTTCGCAGCGGGCAGCGAATTGGTAGCGCCAGAGCTGGAGCTAACCCTCGAAGTTGCCGCAAAAGCCCCAAATTGATACAGTACCCGGCTGCTGCATTGTGGGGCTGCACTGCTCGTCGTCGAATTTATCAAAACGGCTGTATGAAACGCACCGCAGGCAAGGTCTACGATTTCCGCATTGCACGATCCCGTTGATGATCCGCCGAACGAAACAAAATCCTCATGTGGCAGGCAAATCGGCGCGGGCACCTGTGGCCTCTCAGTTTTGTCTAAGAGAAGCTGTCCTTGCTCGTTGCTGCCGAACCCAATGAGAAGCGCGCTGCTCTTGTTTCCGCGACCTGCCGCTGCGGTGAACGAGCAAGCCGCGACACTAGTATAGCCAGCCGCATGCGGACCGCCAAATGTTCCTTTTCCTCCTGCACGAACCAGCATGACAGTGTGATCCCGTCCGCACGCAATTCGTGCCACGTGGCAGCAACTGCTCTGTCCGCCGAGTGGTCGGAGCACTGAATTGTGAATATTCAACAAATTCGGAAGTTCGTCCGAAGCTCCTCCCGCTCGGCCAAGCCGCGGATACCGATCTGACTGCGTGCCCCATGTGAAAACCGTTATAGGCGAATCTCGTCGATTCTTCTGCAGGTCCTGCTTCCTCGTAGCTCTTGTCCCATGAAGATGCCTTTTGTCCTTCTCCGGCGGAGCTTTTGCAAAACCAAGATCTTCTTCAGCCGTAGAACCTTCATGATGAGAGGGCACGACCACGGCACACACGGTGTGGTATTTGCCGCTGCATATTTCATAAAAAGCACCGTCACAGGCCGAATGCTCTTCATTTCCACCTCCACCACCCTGAGATTTCAAGAAAGACACCCGCTTGGGCACAATCTGCCCTCGGCTCCCGGATTTCAGGTAACCCAGCTGCAAATTCGTGCTCGGACCCCAGGTGTACAAAAACGTGCTGCTAGTCGTGGAGCCCACATCTGCCACCGTCGGAGGCTTCTGCGTTGGTTCAACTTCAAGCATTGCGCTCGAGCACCGTCCGGGCGAGGTTCTGATTGGTGCAGAGCCGGGCCGTTCACCTCCTGCGTGCTGTGAACGACCACTTTACATGTTGCGCCGCATCTTCGTCACCTGGTCCTGCAAAACGGAATCTCCTGCGACCACTGACGCGCAAACTCCACAAGGGGAGAGACCATAGATTCTTGCTAGTACCTTCCTAGGTCTAGAGCGCCCGTTGCTACAACAAAGACAAACACATCTAGTAAAGTTGGTCTTCGTGTTCAATCCGAGGAAACGGAAAGATCAAGGTAAGAAGGAAATCAATAACGGTGTGGTCTTCTGTAATGAAAGCGAAATTATTAGTAAACGTAGCTATCAAGAGCAATGTGCGGGGGAGGGGAGATCTGTACAAAAAGTCTGCTCTGAGTCTGACGTTATGATCAGCGAGTGGGGAATAAATACTTGATTGTGCCGAATCGATGTGTCGTGTTAGTATCCATGCATGCGCAGCAGGTCCAACATTCGAGAATGATAGATGCCGTCCGCGTCTCAGTCTAGACAATGTGGTTTTTATTTGTATGAAATTGCGAAGACATTGGCATCGTCGCGTCTTTTTTCTTGAGCTGCAACAGCTATCTATGACAGTAGATCTTCCTTCGGAAACACCAGAAGCTGTCCGCATGGAGAGGACGTCAGCGTCAGCGATCTTGATCTTCACAAAACAAAAGCAATTGCAATACTATACACCAATACCGATCCGGAAATAGAAGACTTGCTTGCACGTCGACTGACCACAACTACTTATCTTGGCTTAATAATTTGCCGGGCACGCTGAGAAAACAGCACTTCAAACTCTTCCATTGGACACAACAGCGGCTGGCTGCAGCGTCTTTTTTTCATCCGAAAGTTGTTTTCCCGATCTTGAGCGGTTTTGCCCAACTACTTGATCGCACGAAAAGCCGAGGCCACAGTGCCGTCACAGGTTTTGGTTACCCGAGACGCAGAGAGATCATCATGGAAGGGACAAAGCTTTCTTAGTTCAAACACACAAACCGAAATAGCTGCAAGAAGATGAATGTTCGATCCTACCGCCCATACTATCAACGTGCCAATGACTTCACGCGATCTTCTCGCCGAAGATCATCAGGCGGTTATAGTGAAAGGTCGCACACGGTCCGCGAGGTCGCTCCGCGGCATCGAGGAACACCCTCACGAACGTGGTATGTCCGTGACATATTTTTGCACCCAAATATCCCAAATCACCTACAATGCACGGCTCATACTAGTGAGACGCTCGCGTAGTACTTGCGGCGGCACCCTGGAGAGAATCATGAACGGTTGCGGGATCGGCTCCAAGAGTGCTTCGCGATCTTCGAATGGCTGTGTTCCTTTTTTCAATTTTGCAACTTGCCAAAATTTTGAAGTCATAAAAATGAACCTACTGATGAACTTAGGCATGAGAAGAAGTGCCGCTGGTCGCTTTCCCTCCTCGATTTTCAGCCATCCCATCAGCAGTTTAAGGATCGGATACAACAAGTCGAGACTCGGATGGAACCAGGAGACGAACCGCGCCATGTACTCGGGTGTTTGGGCGAAACAATCCCAGTTGGCGAAGTCAAGCAAGTACTTTTCGCAAATGGCGTCACTTCCATCCCGTAAGGCCATTGCGTCGAGCGTCGGCGGACCGCCTAGCCTCGCAAAAATCGCGTCCCTGGTGCGCTTTTTTAGTACTTTGTTCGGAAACAAGTCCTGCAGTTCGGCTTTCATCCTGAGTCGAGACAGCATATCGGCGACCACGTTGAAAACACCTTTCAAGTGGAGGGCAATCAGGGAGATGCCATACTGCGAAAGCAGAGTGGCGATCCGCCTTCCAATGGTCGAAAGTGTTTTTACATTCCCGACATAGAAGCTCAAGTAGTGCCGTGCGCATTTGTTGTCGGTTCTGACGAGCAACAAGGAGCCTGCCAGCTCTGGCGCCGCCAGCTCGAAAGCTTCGCTCCACATCGCAAGTTCTCGCTTGTTGGACGACGACGCCGCACCGTCGATGGACCGGAAACCGTCTTTCCACCGCCTAGTATCGGAACTCGCCGTCACGCCCCATCCTTTTTTCGAAGCATCTCCCTTGAGTTGTGTGATGGCCTCCGGCGGAATCCTCATCACTGCTTCTGGGTCGTCAAGCAAATTCGGCACGAACAGGTAGAGTTTTTCATCGGTTCTCTTGTGGATCTTCAACTTGGGGATTGCCTGGAGGGTGTCACGCCACCAGTACCAGTCATCCAGCAACTCGTCCGTAATGGCGATTCGTGGGTTCGCCTTCTTGTTTCCGCGCGTCCAGAGTTTCACGGCACCCGACAGGGCCAAGGAGTCGTAGGAATTTCTCAAAAAGATTCGCCCCATACGTACAACAAATGTAGTAAAGGAGAGTTTTCCAACTACCGTACACAGGTGCTTGGCCTGCACGTACTTCAACCGCAGCGCGGTCAGGATCAGCTCTTCGAGTTCGGCCAGAAATTTTTTCCTCTTCGCGTCTTCCAGGAGAATGATCAGCTCGTCGGTGTGGATGGTGAAACCAATCCAATCAAACCTCATTGAAGGATATATCATTTTATCGAGCTTCTTCACTTGCCACTCATGCAGTTTCACACCGATGGCTTCGAATATCATCCTAAATCGCATCATGGCTTTGTAAACAGCTTCAAAAGAGGTTGGATTGCTTTCGTCGGTCCCCCTGAAATCGTCGACGAAGTCGAAAACTCGGATCTCCGGGTAGAGGATGCGCAGCACCCTGATACATTCCTTTATCGAACCATCGTTGACCCCGGGGGAAATCGCGAGCCCCATGCTGGCATAGAGTAGGCTGATGACCCGCCGTACTTCTGTAGAGGCGTTTTCCAAATCGTTCCGCGTCGCGCCTTGTTCAACAGCTTCGTCAATGTCGCTTGGTAATCTGGGGTCGTTCAACCCAAGTAGTCTTCTACTCAGGGCAGCTATAAGCCAATTCCAGAAGCAATCGGTAGCGTCCGCGCCAAACGCGTAAGCGTTTTGGACGAGTACACTCAGAAAATCTTCGATGCTCTTGTATTCCGTAGGTACTGGCACCAACAACTCGTTCAAACCCACCACCGACAGGTCGCACACCATTCGCGGCCTGTGCTCCTTGATGATGATGTTCGCGGGCGACGCCGACAAATTCGGTGGCCCCGCCGACCGCGGACCCCAGGCAATCGCCTTGCCTGTGTCAAGCAAGCGCTTTGTTTCAGCACTGGCAATTTCTTTGTGGTCTGATACCGTGGGGAAGTCTGGTCTGTCGTATGCCGGCTCGTCGCTGCTGATTGCGGTTTCGCTCAAATACGCACCTTCGGCAGAAGTTTGGAGCACGAAGCCCGCCAACCAGTGGCGTTTGAAGTAATCCGACACTTGAAGCTTGTTGATGGCCAGGGGGTTGATGGAGAGCGATTTCCATGCCGCCTCGTCCTCTTTTTTTCGAAAATCGTCCCGCGGTCCCGGTTGCTCTTCCATGTACTTCCGTACTTCCTCGCGCGAAACGGGTATTTTCCTGCCGTTCCACCATGCGTCGTTGATCGGTAACTGCTCGATTCTCTGCGTGACCTCGGACCTGATCTCCCCGTCCCACCTGGGAACAGCAAGACAGAAACGCCTCGTGCGTTCGACGATCTCATTTTGTGATAACTCGATTGGCATTTTCTAGTCTGTGAAAATACGCAATGACAGACGACCAACGACAAGATGAAGCGACACGCAACACCAAATCACGGCTGACGCCACCCGATCGCCCTCACAAAGTGAAGGCGCCTGGCCTTGGCTTCAATTCTGGCTCAATTTTACTTGTTATTCAGTGAAGCTTCCTCTTTTTCAACATGTCGATTTTGTTCAAGACTTCTTTCGCTTTTTCCGAGTCTACAAAAATGTCAATTCTGTTCATAACAGGGCTCCTTCTCGTGCAATTTTCCATTAGAAGCGACCATTTCACTTTGTTGAAAAGATCGCGATCGTTCGGGTCGAGCATGTGATACACACTTTCGATATCTTTGAAATGCACGTCAGTCCTCAAATACTGAAACTTCTTCGCCACCTCCAGAATCTGCTTGCTCCCCTCCAATGGTGCTAAACCCCGGGCGATGGCTGCGATTTTGGTCGTGGTTTCCATTGCTTCCAGCGCGTACTTGGCCGCGTTCGCAATCTGGGCCGGTGTGGACTGCGCGTAGATGCCATCTATCATCTGCTCCGAAGCCCATCCTCCTAGTCGCTGCGCCAACTGCCTGTCACCTTTGGCGAAAATTTTCGCACCAGAACCGCGCAACGACAGTCGTTTGCGCCCTGGTAGGCCGGCCATGAGAAGCGCACTGCGCACCGTATCGTTGATCCGCTGGTTTGTCATGGGCGTGAAGGTCTTGGTCTTTGTGTTAAATGACGTGAGCAGCAGCTTACATTTCTGCGATTCCGCGTTCTTGTTGTACCTTAACGAGACAATGTCGAGGTCCTTTTGGTTGTTGCAGTCCGCCGTCGTGATTTCCGGGTACTTGAATGCGTGCTTCTCTTCTAGTCTGCTTTTCAAGCTCTCCAACGCCTCGAGCAAAAAGAACGGACTTGGTTGCAAGGCGCTGGAGTCAGGTACTACAGCGTAGGACCCAACGCCAAGTCTGTCGGTTTTCGATTTCCTGATATGCAGCTTCAGACTGTCGTCCTCGCCTGAAGTAGCCCCCGCATCTGCTGTTCGTAGGTACTGTAGTTCTGATTTCCGCCTTTCGCCGAGTACGCCACACCTCAGCAGCAACATGGTTCTGACCATGTTGGCAGCCGAGACCAAGGAATTCTTGTTTTCTTTTGCGAAGGAATACTGCGCCATCTGCTGGTCGTCCCAATTCCGTATTCTGTAGGTCCCCGCGAACTGTGTCCAAAGATCTCGCGTCTTGTGGAACAGCGCTGCGTTGATTTTGGTCAGTTCTTCCCAGGTGATGGATGTTTTCGTGTGTTCTTCGCTTTTTCCGTGGTAGCACTCCAGCTTGATCGACATTCGCAGCCGCATCACCGCCGGCGTGAAGAGCGACCTGTAGTCCAAATTCGGCACCTTCGATTCGTGGTGAAACTTGAACGCGGACAGCAACTTCGAAAAATACGTCCATCGCATTTTTCCCGCCCCTGCCGGCGCCGTCGCGTTCACCACCCCGTGGCCTTTTGCTAGTAGTGCGTGATACGTGGTGTAGGTGATCAAGGCCAAGTCTTCGGAAGATGTGACCGGGAGCAGGCTGCTTGGTAGCTCTGCTGCCGACATCGCCGTCTCGATCAAACTCATGTATGACGCCTCCGTTGTTTCCGCGACCGATCTGCTCCGCATTTCTTGCATGGCGATTTTCACACTTTCGTATGCTTTTTCGCCCATTGCTTCTTCCAAATTCTTCGGGTTCTCCACCATTTTTTGCCAAGCTGGTACTCTCTTTTGATCGTTTGTTTTTTCCTTTGTTTTCTTTTTTGTAGTTGCCCAGTGGTCCCGAGCGAGCATGACATGCCCATCATGCAAGTGAACAAAGGAAGAAGCATGCACAAGGATGTCCATCATGACGTCGATCAAAGTAGTAACCAGAGGCCTTGCCGAAAGTCGTGGCTTTGTCTTGAAGATGTCGAAAGCCGCGTCTTTTGCTTTGTCGATTGCCGCCTTCAACAGGCCCGGTAACCCGTCTCGTTTCGTACTGTCCGAGCAATTAGCTTCTACTTCGTTCATGTTGAACTTGTGCTGCGTCTTCTTAACGTCGAATGCCTCCACTGCAATATTCCAGAGCTCCTCGTCAAATTTTCCTTCGGTCATGCTCCCCAACGCACTGATTGCGTCAAGTTTTGGGTCAATTTGTTTCGTGTTCTGGGTGGAAGATGAACTCGGTTGAGCCGTCGAATCGTTGATCAGAATGTTGCCAAGGCCGGGGACGATTGCTCTTCGTTTCGCCGGCCGTAGTTGTTCCGGTGTGTCGAGTCCTGCTGCTTTCGCCTGCATCCGTTTGTATCTCTCCGCCGCTGTAGGTTGTGGCGCCTCAGCCACTGGGGACACCGCGCGCGGGAAGAGTGGCTGCTCGCCGCTATCCATGCTGTCTCGTCTCGCACTTGCCATGTGTCGTGCGTCTGCGCCTAGGCGCATTAGAAGCTCCTCACTCTTTCCGTATTTTTCAATGAAGGCCTGATCCGCGGCGGCATCAGCAGCCAGCTCTTTAGCTGACGCTAATCCCTCAAACTCGCTCATGCTGTGCCAAAGAATTGCGTGGACACGAGCAACATCGCTCGGAAACGCAACCAACGAGTTCTTTCCGAACAAGTCGGAACCAAGGCACGGCCGGAGTCAATTCAATTCATAGTTTCTGTTCATGGTTGTACAAATGTCTGTCGTGTGCTCAATTCAGTGCTCTTTTTTTCCAATTTTCAGCTCTCAACTCCTTGTTTGAGGATTCATTTGTGGTATACGCAGAGCCATCTTGGGATGCGTATACCGGGGTAGGCTGTTGTTAAGTTTTTTTCTAAAAATGAAAACAATCAAATAAACAAAAACTCATATCGCAGTCATATTTCGATTTTGTCGTAATCATTTTTCCATTCACTTCTGCACCACTTCGGTACACTGGTGTGGCCATTTGTCCTCGTGTAGTTGTTTGCAGCGGGAGCAAATTCCGTAGAAGGGGTTGCCCATGGCGGCGCAGTTGCGGTAGGCGTGTTTCTTGATACTGCAGTCCCGGATCCAACAATTCCGGCAGGCCGCATCATTTGGTCCAAAATAATGATCCCAAAAGAAGAACATGGCGGTTTGCGATCGGGAAGCCGCCCGCTTGACGGCATCCACATTGTCCTGCTTGCGGAAAGAGCGGGTCTTTTCAGCTCGTTTGATCAGCGGTGTGAAGATGGCATCGACGTCCTTGTATTCCTGAGTCTGCATGTACTTGTCGTATTCTTCCTGTGTAATCGTACCACCTTTGTTCTTTTTCAACGGGGTCTGCAACGGCGTCGTTGTGTTACCTCCGCCCGGGGTTTGCAATACGTCTGTTGTTCTTTTTCTCCTGTCCTGGTCTTTCGCGTCCCTCACCGACTGCTCCGCTCTCCGATTGGCCTCCTCCAAGGTGATGTACTTCCCTTTCGACAGTACCATCCCGGAACCGGCGCCGGTGACCTTGTCCAACATCTGGGATCTACTTTCGGCTACTTGTAGTTCTTTGTTGTACAATGATTTCCACAATGCCGCTTCGACACTTGAGGAAGCTGATTTCAACATCAGTTTGGGCTTCTGGTACAACTGGCGGAGGAGGGTGTAGACCCGGCTGCGCGCGGCCTCGTCTAACTTGTCAACGTTGATGTCTCTGGTGTTGTCCGCAAGTTTTTTCGCCGTCGTTATGCTCGCGGAGAGCCAGCCCCGGCGGGCGACTGCCTAAATTCCCGCTATTTTTTGAACCGCCCAAGCCCTAGCCTGGGCGAGCAAGCCCGCCCCGGGCAATAGGCCGAGGCGGGCCGCCTCTGCTGGGGACACAGGCGGGGCGCGGGCGACTTGCAGAACGCAGACGCCTGAGCCCATCGCCGGCGACCCGCCTGAAAGGCGCAGTGACGAAGCAACTGCGCCGCCGGCCCTTTCAACCGTTCTTGACCACGTCCCGAAATTTTCTAAGTTTGCGCCTAAATTTCAGAGCAACGGCCGACATAGGCAAAATCGCACGCAAATAAAAAAACTGGGCAAATTAGACAAAAAATAGACAGCAGCCGAAGCTGCCAAGGCCGCTTTTTGGACAGAAATTAGACAGGAAAATAAAAAGGAAAATAGACAGGAAAATAGACAGAAAAATAGACAGGAAAATAGACAGAAAAATAGACAGGAAAATAGACAAAAACTTAGACAGGAAATTAGACACGAACTTAGACAAAAACTTAAACAGGAAACACACGCCCCCGCAAGAGCGCCGACTGTAGGAAAAATAGCGGGAAAATAAAAAGCCTGGCGCCGGGGGCGGCTCTCAGTGAGTTATGCTCCAGACTTGCTCTTTCACTTGGGAAGCTATAAATAATATTTCGTCTATTAATGCGATCGCTAGCGTCTTGGTGTCTTCTGATCCAAAAAGTCCTTGTTTCTGCAGGTAGAAGTTCCGCATGTCCTGGTAGACTTTGGTGAACGAGTCCAGCGAAATTTTACCACCGAATTGCTTCGCGACGTGGTCGTCTTTACTGTCCTTGATTCCTAAACTCACCCCGAATGGTAAGTGTCGCCTCGTTTTCGTGATGGCGTCTTTCGCCAAGCTTTTCAAGGCTTCGGAACTGCCAAACATGTCGTCCGCTGCGGCTACTGCTTCTCGACTCTTTCTCGCCTCTTTTGCGTATGACAGAACAACCGAGGACTCGCTTTCCTTAAGTTGCTTCTGAAACGCCGGCAAGAGCGGGTACTTGATGGCCTGCTGCGCCAGCAAGAGCTGCTCAGCCGCACCCGCAGAACTTCGCGCTCGTGCACAGACGACGGCGAAATTGCAGGCCAAGGTGATATCTGAGTATTGTTTTCCACAATAAACAAACCCACCATCGGGTCAGATTCATGTTTATGCAGTGTCAATTCATGTTCGTTAGCAAATGTTCTTACCTTGGATCGTTTCATCGGTTAGTTGTCCGCTCAGTTCTCGGATCACCGGCTTCAGCTCGGCACCGCCCGCGAGTAAATCGACTTGTTCACAAAACTGGCAGCACTTGCTCGTGGCGCTCGGGAAGATGACTCTTGTCGCTGGGATTCTGGTTGTTGCGCAGCCGGCGCATGCCGCGGCTGCGTCGCATCTGTCGCAGATGATGGCTGGTCGTCTCTGCATTTCCGTTCGTTTGAACTTCCTCGTACACACGCAGCATCCTACTTTGTCGATTTCCTCCTTGTACTTTTGCTTCGTCTCCTCCATCTGTTCTCCCAGCGTGGTCTTGTCCGTACCAATGGCGTGCAGTTGTGCTAGCAATTCTTCCTTCTTGTCTTCCGCAAGTTTCTTTGCTCGCTCGAGAAGGATTTCTTGTGACTTTTTTGCTTTCAGCTCGGACTCCATCTTCTCGATGCCCTTACGCTGGCCGTCGGCCATCTGCACCATGCGCAAAAGGAGCTCTTTGTCGACTAGGTCTTTCCGTGCTTGGATCCTTTTCTTGTGCAGAATCTTCTGGTAGTCCGTGAACGCTGCTTCGTCTGCTGCTGTAACCACAAGGGCGATGCCTTGTTCAATACACTCGGTTTCTAGTTCCTGCGTCAATTTTTTCTGGTCGTAAACGTCGACTTGCGTGATCATGGTGAAGTCTGCGCTCGTCGGTTCGAGCACCGTATGCATCAGGGAGTCGATGCTGGCTTGTGCTTGCTGCTTGGCTGTCAGCGGTAGTTGCGGTGCGGCTCCTGCGCCCGCAGCCGCGCCAGCGCCTTCTGTTCCGCTGTCTCCCATCTTGGTTTCAATTCAATCCTATGGTATCGATTTGTGAGGGAAGATGAATGTGGCGGCCACTTAGTGCTTCTAATCCACATCACCTCAAGATCGCTCGATCAAGAGAAACTGCACACGTTGCAGTGAGAAAAAAACGCGCTCCTCTCATGCGGCACGTGCAATACGTGCTCAAACAGCAGAGCGCTCACTCAACGCTCTAATCTCTCAGATCAATCCCTAGCCAACGCGGGCACCGGTGGGGCTCCGGTGCTACTGATTCAACGCACGAACCAGCAGGGCTACCCGAGTGATCTCTGCGATCACAAGAACAACAGTCTAGATTTACGTTTTCACTTTACACGCGGGTATCGCAAATTCATTCGTCTGAGATCGTATCTTTGGCGATCCTTCACAGCCTAAATGAACACCTACCAACAAGAAGAAGTCGTGCACTAAGTGACCAGAAACAGCATGAGCAAGACACGCAACATGCAGAAGGGTTTCACTTCGATGATTTACAGAAACGTCGTGGTGATGCAGTGCGAAACGAAATCGTAGTGGCAGACGCAGCGAAGTAAATCACGCAAAGGTAAAGAGCGTATCTCGCCGGCAGAGCGAAGAAAAGAAACATTTCTTTGGAACGAACAATACCCTTGTGGTCGTAACTAGCGGCACGCGTACAACTAGCTGCAACAGTAACAAATTTACAAGTGCTTTTAAAACACGAGCGTAAACAAAATACAAGGCACAACGTTCTACAATTGACAGTGAGTTGTAGGCATTCCTGCTTTTACTTTGTTTCGGTACATTTTTTGGTTTTCGGTGTACGACGGTCCGACACTGATCATATATTTTTTGAAACGCGAACGTTGTCAGTATCAATTTCCTTTTTGATTACAGGCTGCGGCGGCTGCTCGTCCTGGAGCTGAACAGCTATTGTAGCCGGGGGAACCAGCTGTCCAATCACGCACGATGAAAGAGAGGAATCTAGATAGCAAGAGGACGGTATTAGTAAACGTACAAGCTACTCACTTCTCCATGTTTAACTGGGTTGCGCGCAGTGGACTGTGCATCCGATCAACACCATCTCTTTCCTGCTCCTTCACGCTGCCATGTCTCGACGGCGACGGGGTCGTTTCATTCTTATAGCTGCCTCTTTCTCCTGCTAAACTTACGTCTCGCCCGTCCTCCTGCTCGTTTGGATCCTCTGTCGCCGACGAATCCGCCGCACCAGCATCAAAATCTTCGTTTTTCTTGTCTCTCCCCACTTGGTCTGGCGAGCCGCCGGTCGCAGTCAGGAAACTCAGGCGCTCGTTGCCAGCGGCGCTCGGCCGCGTAGCGTCCTGGACGTCGTTGCCATGCTGGTTCCCTTCTCGCTTTCGCATCACAACTGGTGAAGAGGTCGCACTTGAAGAAGGAGCATGATTACCTCTGTTCTCGGTTTGGAGACCTTTATTTTTCCCGTCGTTTGCTGCTGGCTGGTGCAAACGCTGCTGCTGATGTCGCTGCGCCAACGCTTGCTGCTGCCCTTGTTGCTGCTGGTGGCTCGCAGCAGACGTGGCCGCTGCACTGTTTGAAGTAATCTGCTCGACGATGGTTGCCCGCGCGCCGGTCCGGTTCGGCATTGGCGACAGCACCTCTTGCAATATGGCCTTGCCGTCCTTCTTTTCCAGCATCTGCCGCATGCGAGCTACATCCGTCGCCGGCTGCTGCTGCTGCTGCTGCGGCACAGCAAGTAGGTGCTGGTGCGGCACCTGCAAAAACTGATCGCGCTGGGGGTGGTTTGCGATTGTGTGGCCGCTTTGCGCTTTATTGTTGTTGATCCCGATTCTCGGTGGGCTTGCATACCGAGCCGGCTGGCGCACAGGAGCGCGCTGCTCTTGATAAGCATTACTGGCTGCTCCCGGTGCTGCAGCTCCGAAAAGCTGCATCTGCTCGCACTGTAACCGCAAATCGTGCGGTACTCCCGCCATCTGCGGGGGTGAAAGTCGTCCGTTGGCTGCGCTGCCAGCGCCGAGCGGACCGCCAAGACCTTCGTTTTCCACAGCCGTGGCACCAGCGGAGGCATAATTCCCGACGTGTTGCAGCAGCGCATTGGAGGGATAAGCAGATGGATTATTCGTGTGTGAAATACTGTCACCGGCACTCATGACCCCAATGCCCGCCGCACTGTTGAGACCAAAACTCACCCCTCCGCCCGAAAGATGTTGATGTGGTGCAGCCAAACCGAAGGCACTTGTTGCGCCCATGGGCGGCGAGGCTGAGGCGCTACTGCTGTTGCTGCTGCTTGAGATACCACCAGCTCCTCCTACAGTTGTTCCGCCAGCAGGGAGCGCGGCCGTGGTGTTGCTACTTTTGTCGACGACGACGTTGTTAAAGACGAACAGGAGTTCGTAGCACAGCAGCGGGATCACGACCAGCACCGGGCCCAGGACGACTCCTTTCACACCGAAGTGCGAAATCCCGAGAACAACTCCCAACCCGGTTAGCCAGGGGTTGGACTCTGGAATCTCCATGTAAATGGCCACCGTCACGTTCCACCACGTGGTGAAGCGGATGCATTGCAAAAGTAGTGCTCTCGTACGAATATCGGAATCCATAACCGTACAGTTTCGGAACTTCTTTCGTTTCTGTCGACAGTAACCCTCAGCATGGGGTTAGCTGCCTGTTTTTGAAATGCAAAGCGATGGATAAATAAGCCATTTCATCTTTTGCGTATCGTCACGACCACGAGAGCTGTACTACTGTTGCACAGGATAAGATTGATCAGGAAGCAAATCGACGCCCAATAGAACGCATACGACGTGGCATCAGAAGGAGCAGATGTTGCGCTACTAGCTCTCGACAGGATGCTGGCCTGATGCTGGTGGAGCGGGCTTGTACTGTCGGCTGCTGTTGACATGTCCGAGCGAAACGAGAACATGGAGAAGGGAGGTGTTAGTATAGAGGTTGAAGTGGTTTCGGCGAAACTATTATCTGCAGCGCCGCTCGACGCCGATGCTGCAGCCGCGTGCAGGTTCCTCGCAGCCAGCAGCTGTTGCTGCTCCATGTTGCTGTAGTTCCAGTACACGTAGGAATTTGCAAGGGGGCGGAAAAATCGGCAAATAGCATCATTTTTGTGAGCGCGCATTTTGAGGGGGCAAAAAAATTATGGCTGTTGGGGGTGTCACTACTGCTTTTTTTCCTGTTGGCCATTTAGATGCTGGCGCCACTCTTCGTTGCCACGGTCCGCCATCCGGCCCCCCCCCGTTTTCAAATAAAACCGCAGCATTTTGTTGCAGTTGCACAGGCCTGCGGCCCTCTGACGCGGGAAGCCGCGCCCCCTCTCCCGCATCCAGTTCCGGACGCGCCCAGATATCTTCTCATCTTCCCTCTCCGGCCGGATATTCAGAAGGCGGACGCGCCAGCAGTCAAGTGCTTCCGGGGGGGGGTGCCGAAGGGGGGGGTAAGGGGGTGCGCTTGGGCTACCTCTGGGCTACCATTTTGGATGGGGCACGCAAAATCGGCAGTTTCCAATGGGGATTAGGGGGTCGGCATAGGCTACCGAAAGGGTACCCGGAAGGGGTACCCGGAAGGGGTATCCGGGAGGGGCAAAAATGCACCCCCTTGACCACCCCCCCCTGGCCGGGCCTCCTTTTCTGAGCGAAGGGCCTCGTCGAGCCCCGGTCAAGGAGGCGGCCCGGCCACTGTTCGAAGAGCGGGCGCACGACAAAGCGTCCGGCCATCTGAACGACAGGGCACAGAACGAAGGCGCTGTGGCCTGTTTCTGGTCCGGGTGTTGCGGCATTTCCAAAGCTCAGCCATCATGTTTCCTGTGGAAAAGATGAAGTGACACGCGAGGCGTGTCGGCTTCCAAGATGTTGCGCCCCCAACAAAAAAAAAGTTTTTATCCCCCCAAAAAGTGCGCTGGCAAAAATGATGCTATTTGCCGATTTTTCCGCCCTAACTGCTCCATGTTGCTGTAGTTCCAGTATACGTAGAAATTTGCAAGAAATGCAACGTAAATCGGGTCCACGACGGGGATCAGCGCCATGATGCCGGCAATAATGGTCGGAATGAACACAAGCGGCAACTCGAAAAAAGAGCAAATGAACCAGGTGTAGAGGGTGTAGAAGACGCACATTTTCACCGCCGAGTACAGAATGGCGTTCAGTACGCGCTCCACGCAGCTGTAGCACATCCGGGAGCTGTCGATCACGGCCAGAAACTCGTCGAAGTAGTGCATCACCGACACCCGATATCCAAGGAAAAAAGTGTGTAAGTGTAACTTTATTGCAGGAACAGCATCACAGATTTGTTTTGCATGACAGAGAAAACCTGTCATGCGTAGCTAGTACGCGAAAACACGTATGAAAATAGCCTCTGATGCACATCCAGCATGACAGGTGTAACTGTATTGCAACGTCTGCAACACAAAGTTACACTTACACAGTTTTTTTCTCGCATACCCGACTCTTGAGCATGTAGAAGAGGGCGCAAATGAAGACGATCCCCTGGAAAATCACCTCCAGAAAGGTCGCCAGCCAGTGCTGCTATGCATTGCAAAACTATCGTACTAGTATAAATTGCAGTACAAATTTTATCAGAAAGAAAAATGAAATTTGTAATGCTAATTCAGGTAGTTTGTCATGCAAGATTGCAACTAGTACGAGTACGATACTTTTGCACAGGATAGCTGCAGCAACAGCACCACGAACTGCAGAAAGCGGCTGATGGGCGACTGGCCCTGTTGGCCTTCCTGGCCCGGCGCCCCCTGCTGGAAAAGACTCTTGAAACTAGTCAGCCTGTTGCTCTGGTACGCGGAATACACCTCGTTGAAGGCCTCACTGGACAGTCGTTTCGCCTGCGTGAAGTTCCCGCGGAAAAGCTCAAAAAGCAGCGCTCGTGCCTGCTTCAGCTCGCGCAGCGAAAAGCTGTGCGGTGGGGGAGCCTGGTGCCTCTGGTGCTCCGAAGTGGTGTTTTGCTTACTACTCGTTGGTGGCGGAGGACTGCTCCTGTTGCCAGGATTTTTCCCGATTTCATGTTCGTCCTCGGAGAGGCCGGGCATTTCATCACTCGCAAGTGTCATCTTCCGGCGCTGTTGCCTTTCGTCGCTCGATGTTTCTGGTACGTTGTCTTCTTCATCTACAGCTACACTTGGTCTTTTTACTATGCTTCCTGCTACTGTCGACTCTGTCGTTTTGGTCGTGCTGATAAACGGTGACCGTGTACTGGACTCGAGAAACCAACTCGACCACGACCGATCGGGCTCGTCTTGGTCGTTCTTGGTTCCTTCGGCTTCGTCCGCCTCAATGTTCTGATCTCCTGATGGTTGTATGTCCATCTTTTTCTTATTTCGATCCGCGGTTGATTCTTTACTTGTACTTCCGCTTGCGTTTAAGATTTCCTCTAGCCGCCGGTCGAGGTCTTCTGTTCGTTCGTTGTTTCTCTCCCCAACATATTCCTCGGCGTTGTCGGTGCTGCTGCTATGTGCTGCATTTTGCTCATCCGCGAGAAGCAAACTGTGAATAGGAACAGTTCTGACCGACGCGTCGGAGAAGAAGTAGCCGCTCAACTGTGGTGGTGGCAGAATCTTGAATTTCTGTTCCTTGACCACGGCAGAGGCATCCTTCACTTCGGACGACGGCTCCGATGAGTTTATTTTCACGTCGCCCGTTGTACTCGCCGCACCGTCCGCAGCACTGGTCCTCGTCGCATTTTTTTCTGTAGTATCTTCATTCTTGTATTCACGACGGCTGTCGGGACCAATGATCGATGGCCCACTTTCTCCTGACGGGTGATCTCTTGTGCTGTCATCTTCAGTTCTATGCATGCGTGCCGTTTTAGAAGCTGTCTCGCTGCTTCGTTCCAAGTGGTGCCCAGCTGCGATCTCGACCTCATTTTCCTCAGGACCTTGCTTTTTCTGAACACTGTCACCGGCCGATGCAGGGCTATCTGCTGAGGACGACCGTGGTGTGCTCTTGCTCTTCTTCAGCGTTTTTGCGGCCGCGTCGGGGACCTTTTCATCTTCGCCAACAGTTTCATCATGGTCTCGCACTTGTTCCTGCTCTTCTGCAACGGAAGTCGCGCTCCTGATCTCGGTCGATGAGGATGGGTGTGCTGTCTCACCTCCGATTTTTTTGCTCTTTTTGGAGGACGGAGAGGATCCCTTTCCAGTTGTGTTCTTCACCGTTACTTTCTGATGTTTTTCTTCTTTCTTCAGGAGCTCCGCTTTTGCAGTTGCATCGACACTTGTCCTGTTTGACAGTGCCATGCTGTTTTTCCTAAGCTGGTCATCATCATCTCCGTCGTCTCGGAGTGAAATACTGAATCGATCTGCTACCTTTTTCTCATCCGCCGGTGGTCTCTTCCGGTGCAGCCGTACTTCCGGTGCAGCCGTGCTGTCCGTTTCCTCGCTTCGTGCAGCCGCTCCATCACCGCCGTCTTCATTAGCTGCGACATGATCGGACGAGTGGAGACCACTCTTGTGGTCGTCCTCAATATTCTTCGTCGCTCTCGCCTGTTCAAAATCCTGACCACTGTCATGCGACGAAGTCAAAGGCAATGATCCTGACATAATTTCGGCAGTTGTTACAGTTATTTTCCCGCTGTTCTCAGACGACCTGCTTGTCGTGCCCTTCGTCAAACTACCCTTCTGGTGATGCCCTTGCTGCGAAGACGCCGGGAAACCAGCCGGCTGGTGCTGCTCTGTACCGACGGTACTGTAGGCGTCGTACACCAACTTAATGAACTCGTATTCAACCATGTTCCGCTCCAGCCACCCAGAAAAATACTCGTTGTAGTACTGCGTCAAATTCGCATTTGCTTGCTGCGCCAGCCCACCTGTTGTACTAGGTCCGGCGCGTGTTGTAGTGGTCGGCACTCCTAAAAGCGTCCTCGTGCTGTTCTTTTTATCGCCGAACTGCTCGGTGTAAAAAGTATTGCTGTCGGCGCCTTTGCCTACAGTCTGTGCTGCTTCGTGCCTGGATAGTGTACTCGCAGCGGCGTCAGAGGCAGAAAAAGAGCTCGGAGAGGACGTTGCTCTTCCCGCTGCTTCGTTCGTCGCTGTCGTCCCCGTGCCACCCTTACTTGTCGCAGTGGTCGTGCCAAGACCTACGCCTCCGAGGGTAGTAGAAGATGTTGTTGCGAAGTGTGACGAAGATGCTCCTTTCATCACATTGAACGCGGAAGAACCGTCGGCCGAGACCCCCGTCTGGTGCTTCTTACCAACGACATGCATTGCCTGCGAGAGTCCGGCGAGCACCGGCAAAACGCGCTGCTGGAACAGCTCATTGCTCTCCGCGAACTCCTGTGTGGCTTGCCAAATGAAAGCAATCTCGCGACTGAGCTCCGCGGCACACAACACCATCAGCACTGCGCACAAGAAAGCAGAGGACACAATAATGAAGATGGCAAGCAGGGTGTGGATCTGGTCCGTCAACACGGTTGCCAGAACCTGGATATAAATCTCCCGAAGGAAATCAACCACGCATTCCAGGCAGGAGGAGCAGCTCGTGGAAGTCAGTTCTTCATCTTGACCTCCATGATCGTCGACAGCCAACATGATAGGCTTTGTTCGCTCGTCCAGAAAATCTGCTTTATTTCGCACTTCACCATCTTCTTGGACATCAAATCTTTTGTTTGTTGTAGCGCTAGCCGTGCCAGCAGCTGCATATTCGTGTTCGCTTCTCTTTTGCTGATCCTGCTCGTGTTCTGAGGCGGTTGTGGAGGATTTCTCAGCCTCGCCACTTCTAGACACCGTCGTGGTAAGTAGGCCCGCACGATTAGCCCCAGCGGAATATTGCGGAAGATTTTCGGTCAAAACTGCGCGGGTAGAAGTTGATCCAGCGATCATTGTTCCTGTTGTAAGAACATCGACGTCCGCACCATCCTCGTGGTCCCGAATCAGTATCGCCGCTGGCAACGACGCTGTACTATTTTGTCCTCTTTCATCTCTCGGATCCTCTTCTTCATCCTCCACAAGTAAATGGTCTCGGGTGCGTGCATCAGGAGTTGACGACGCGGACGATTTCTCCTGCTCGTCATTCTCATATTGTTCTTGGCCGCAGCTTCGTATAATTTCCGAGTGCTGCTGTACATGAGAATGAGATAAATTTTGATTTTCCTGCATCGCTGCAAATTTGGTCCGCATGAAGGTCTGGTGTGCCGCGTCCTCATCACCCCATGCTGGCAGGCGGAGCTCGGACGAAGCCCTACTTGGGTCCAGAGCAGTCGGCATCAACCCCATATCCTGCAGCTCCACAGAAGACACCGAGTGAGACTCGTCGTGGCCAAGCTGCGCTCTAGTTTCTGCTTTTCTGGAACTGGAAGTGGTCGCTCTCATAGCTCGGTCGATGCTGTGGCCTTGAAGGTCTTTCTGCACCGACGCCGACGACGAGCGCGGCTGCATCATGGTGGTCCTGCGATCGGCATCTGGCGAAGATATGAGCGGGGGCACGGTGCTGGTACTATCTCCAGGTCGTCGTGGGGTCGCGGAATGAGCGGATGATCGCTTCATAATTTGTTGGCCCGGTCCTACTCCCCCAAGAGTGTTTGCGCCACCCCGTCCGCGTTGAAAGAGCGACTGGAAAAATGTCCGGCTGCGAGAGCTGGAGGGGCGCTGGAAGGAGGTGGATGAAGATATGGCTCCTAGTTGCTGGTGCTGCAGTCCACGATCATGATCTCCCCGGCCGGACAAACGTGCCGACGCCGAAGATGTCCGCGGCGACGACATCCTACCACTTGCTCGTGCCAGGTACTTGGTACCATTTCCAGCTAGCCTTCCGCTGCTTGACGAGATCATGCCAGAAGTTGAGGAAACTTTGCCGTAGCCGCTGCCCGGTGCTACCTGATCCCGACGTTGCGTCAACCAATTGAGGAGCCCGTCTACTAGGCGAATGAGAATCAGGAGGGAGTAGGCGACGAGGCAGGAAAAATAGAGGAAACTCGCGGTGGCGCCGAGCGGGTCAAACAAGTCCGGGTCGGCCTTGTAGAGCAGGAAAACCGCGCGCGCAAGTACCGCCCGGTACAGGAGCGCGAACCAGGGCCAGGAGAAATCGGCCGAGTTGGTGGACGAGGAGGAGACAAAGTTCACGAGTGGCTGGGCCACCAGCCAATACAGCACCCGCGCGAGCAAGTCAATCAAAATCGGCAGGTCCCGGAAAAAAAAGGACGCGAAAGACTCATACCGACTCCACCACCGCTTCTCCTGGATGCCGAACAGATGCGAAAAAAACCACGATCGTTTCGTCTGCTCCAGTCTGGTGCTTCGATTGTTGTACAGCGAGGACCCTCGCCTGACGAGAGGACCTCCGGATGGACGACCAGGATGATGCAATTCTGAAGCACCTTCCTGACCCGGGGATCTGGACAGAATCGACGAGGAACCGAGAGTTTTTACTCCTGCCGCCGTCTGGTCTACTCCTCGCCTTGAAGTAGTTGCACTAATAGGTGCACCAAGATCCATTGTGGTGAAGATTTCCGCAGGGGCTGGACCCTGAGTAGAAGATCGGAGAGAACCTCCCGCTCCTGCAACTCCCGTGTGCTGGTGTAGGTGCTGTTGTATTGGTGACAGTACTCCTTGGTGTTGCTGCTGTGCAGCTACCAGTCTGCGCCGCAACGTCGCTGACGTGGAAGACGAGCTGCCTCCAGGTGGAGAAGACATGGAAGTGGTCCTGACAGGCGGAGCATCCGCACCCGAGGAGGACCGCAGCGGAGGTTGCAGCTGCGACTCTTGGTTATCAGGATCAACGATCCGAGACCGAGTTGTGCGGCGACCCTCATGTTCTTGCAGCCTGTCGATGTAGTGCTCCATGATCTCCTCTTGTTGCTCTTCTTGAAAAAAAGCCAAGCTGGAACTCTCGTTTTCCTCTAGCACCAGGGATCGCAGCCGATTATTGTCTTCGTCTTCCTTGAATGGAGTGAAAAAATGTTCGCTGTGTCTGGCAGTAAAAGTGTGTGAGTATGTACTGATGCGCGGCAGTTTCTGCCACACACAAGAAAGTCGTCCTTGCTTGCGCATGCCGCTTGTACAGGCAAGAGCAACACCGCGTGGCGGATGGAAATGACAAAATATATCAGCCTTTCAATAAACTTCTTCTATCAGCAAGCGGATCGGCCGCAATTATGGAGTCCTACTTTCACCGACGATGCAAAGAACTTTCAGCGCTGCAAAAGTTACTTGTCGCGATCAGTATCCTATCGCACTTTTCCAGAACAAACTCTGACATGATTTATACTTTCGTTTGATAGCTCGTCGTCCGAGAGGAAAAACGCCAAAACCCAGACAAAGAGCTGTTTCTTTACCTCAAACATGGGGATGGAAGCCACGGTCGCCCAGAAGAGCGCCAAAAAGTAACTCTCCAGCACGAAGTAGTTCAGGTAAAAGATCCCAACGCATCCGGGAAAAAACACCAATCCCCATCCATTTTTTGCATGGAAAATAGTGGATTTTATGCATGTTTTGCATGACAAATTGGATGAGGATGGGTGTTTTTCCCTCGATACAACGACAAACAATCCGATCAGGTGCACCACCAGATGGATGAAGGCAGAGTGCACCGTGGTGCGCCGGTCAATCGCCATTTGCTGTTGCGCATTCGGGGCGGGTGTGCCTGGTTGCAAAAAAGGCGGCGCGCCACCTGAGGCTGCTCCAATCGTAGAACCACCAGGCGTTGCAACTGCTCCGGGCATCATGGTAGGTGCGGGAGAGAATCCGCCGCCTGTCCCTGTCGTAGTTCCTGGGACAACTTGCGGCCCAAAGTTCTGATGATTCTGATAAACCTGCTGACCCGGTGCCGGCATTCGAACACGACTCTGGGCCGGACCAGAAACAAAAGCACCACTGCTGCTCATTTTCGTCGCCCCACTGTCAGACCTTCTCCCTCGTCGGGTATGCGTATGATCTGCCACGATCCGCTTCACTTAACGTAAGACAGTCAAAGCCGCGCAACTCGTGCAGTAGCCACATCAAACGCCGAGCCTGCAGCTTTTCTTGCTCGGAGTCTTGCAGCTGCCGAGGAGCGACATGACATCTGAATTGCAGCCGGCGGAAACATCTTCTCGTGACTTGTTATCTATAGAGCCAGCCCCACACAACCATCACTCGTTTCCGCCTGCGATCTTCCAGGTCCCCCGCTACGAAACCAACCACGGGAGGTGATCATGTTGCCTTGTTTCTTGCTTCCATTTTTCTAATTCTAGTACAAGTAGGTCCTTCACTTGTCATCGATTCTTGATTTTTCCACTCTCCTTGTCAGGCGCGTCAGGTTGTGGTGGCAAACAAATTTTGGTGACTAAATACCAAATCGTTGCATTGTTGGAGAAGGCACTGCGGCTATCGAAAATACTTTACGCGCAACGTTCAGGGAAAACAATGGGGTCCTGTTTTGAAACATGAGGGGCACCACATTGATTAGGTAGAGCTACAGAGCTACCCATCTATCGGAGGTGAATACGTAGCCTTTTTTGGGTTTAATCGATGGAATACTTAGATGTGCGACAATCCATGAATCAACCGCACCATGCGTTGTTTGCGTATAGTTCCGTCAAGCTCAAGACTCCATTCAACCGCCAAAATTGACTACATCACGAATCGTCATTGCACTACAATTATAAAAGATGCCTACACCCTCCACTAGAGCTAGCCATTGAGTGGAGACATCAGTGTCGCTGTATGTGCGGACGCGCGCAACTGATCCTTCAAACACTTATGCAACATCCACCTTCTGATCAGTTGACTCTAATATCCTTGCGGGGGACCATGACCAGACTAAAACATGAACCCATAGATCGTTTTTCCTTCAAAACCCCTCGGAAACTTGATCATGGAGAACATCATCTCTTGATTGATTCCATATTCTATCTTTCCCAACCGATGTGACGCAAAAAAACTTACCGAATCCATGACATCGCACTCATACTCATTCCATCCAAACATTGGCGAGAATCAAGACCGAAAGCGAAAATGCAAATGACGAATCAATCATAACTTGGTACTCATGAGCTCCGACGTGTGATGGTCACGAATCACCGAGACCCCGAGTCATGAGACCGGAAGATCGATAAGGCTTTCCAATTAACTTTTGCAGATGCTGATAATGACATCAGATTGCACTGATAATGACTTGATACAGGTAAGTCCGACATCAAGATGCGCAATATTAAACGTGGAGTGACGCAATTTGATTGTGCCCACTACTAGTGCCAAGTGTGCTCGCGCACAGCTCGCTATCTGCGAAGCTGGAAAAGAAAGTCACGCACTGCCTCTGCCTCGGGCAGCCTCGACGTAACATCTGACCTCGACGTAACATCTGACCTCGGGTTCCGACGGCCATCCTCAGCTGCGGCAGCTCCCAGGACCACATGAGGCAGGTTTTCAATCTCTTCCATCGTCAGCTCCCGCGAAACCGCCACAGCGCAATGCTGAAGGGCTTTCAGAATGATTTTCGTGGCCTTCCCGTCGTCCGCACATTCAACCTCTGAAAGCGAAAATAACCTCCTTGCTGCCGCTTGTGACTCGGCGTCGTCCGCGTCGTCGCGGCAATTCTTGACTTCACTGCCAGCATCAGGCCGATTAAAACTGGCCCGATGTCTTTGGAACAGAAGACCGTCCTCCAGTTCTCGCACACAGTTGCGCTGCTCTTGTATTTGCCGACGCAAATCTTCATCCGCCTCCTGCATGCCGCGAAAAGCCTCGAAACCCATTGCCTCAGCGCGCTCCATTTTTGCTCATGCTCGTCTGGCTGATCATCACAAATACTTATCTCGACGACCTCCTGGCAGCGTTACGATATCGTAAAAATTCAGGTCTTGCTTTTTTGCTTTTCGTCTTCGTCCTTTTGCTCAAATCGAAACATAAACTCCTCAGGCAAATAGAAATACTGACCGGATGAACTCCTCCTTCTTATTGTCGTTTTTCGCCTCTTGTCAAAGACGAGCAAGTACTATGCACTTGCAAAGTTAAGCAAAAGCCTCATCAAGACGAATCTCGGAAAGCTTGTTGAGCTACCAGAACAACAGGTTGCAAATGTTCTTGCTACATTGTTCGTCACAACGCCCTCCATTGCCGCTTGCCGCTACTTTTTTTTTTGCAGATCGAAACACAGATAAAAGATTTCGTTTTTTTTTACAGTTGAATGGTACATCAATCAAGGAGCACGGACATTCCATAAATTTCAAACTTGTATTACGATTTATACGTGAGGGTGGATTGATTATCAAGATTGATAGCTTTAGATTTGTGTACTTGCGTTTTTTTTACATACGAGAACAATTTGTGATTTTACTTCGACGGAAACGATAACGAGATAGAAAACATTACAATTGAAACTTTATTCCCTAGCCTTGCGAGTGGCAGTGAAGAACCGATGTATGATACAAATGATATAACTAAGTAGAAATTTTGGATGAAAAAGCGACACAGGAATGGCAGCTTAGAAATGGTCACCCCGTATTTTTGTGCGCTTTGCAATCTTCGTTCTCTATTGAATCTCATGCTGCAGTAGAAACGAGAGCTCTTCCGCTTCGATAGCCCCAGCCCGTTATTGAATAACTTCAAACCCTCATTCCTTGCAATTACAAGCTTGCTGCAACACACACACACACAGACACTATCACTACTTATTGTTCCTTATATTGTCTTGGAGTAAAAAAAAAATTGCTGTTCTCGTAACAAACAACGCGGCAGCTTTTTTTCTGATGTTCAAGAAGTTTACTCATCCTACTTATTCTCCATCTCTGCCATCGCTGCTCGTGCTCGCCGGAGAGTGTTTCTCTTTGTAGACAGCACGGCCCGACGCGCCTCCAATTTCGTGATCGCCTGGAAGTGGATCTTCTTGCAGGGGTAGCAGAGCAGGTTCTGCGGAGTTGCCGCACCGCAAGTACAGTACGACAAATCCCCCAACTTGGGTCGCAGATTTATCAACCGCAAATAGGTCCTCTGGGTCTACAAAACGAGTGCCAGCTGGTGATAATCAAATCGAATGATGTCAGCACCAAGATTAGTGATACAAGACGGGCCCCATGCACTCGAAAGGATTAAGTACTTTTTCGACATTCGTCGTTGGTATTGCAATCAACTTGTTCATCATGCAGTAGCAGTCTATGACTTTAATACAACGCAAGTATCGCGCACTTTTTCGACCCAGAGTTCTACATGTATGCGATGCATAAGCTGCTTCAGCTGTTCCTTTATGCTCTCAAGTTCGCGCGTCATTTCTTCGTCGGTCAAGCGTTTCAACGGCTTTTTGTCGGGCTTGCTGATAACCACCTGCTCCTCGTCCTCGTCCAGGTCTCCTTCGGTTTCCTCTGCGTCCTCGTCTTCCTCGTTTCCCAGGTCCAAACCAAGACTGAAGCGCTGTTTCTGATTTTTCATGCCATTCGTCTTGTAGAAGCTACTGGAGGCAGAGGTCGATGTCGTTGCAGAAGCCTGCTCTTGTTTACCCGGCAACGCGTTCTTCTTGACCGCAATGTTGCCATTGTACTTTGCGAGTAGGGTAGCCTTGTTCTTCAAAGAAGATGTTGCGGCATTTGCGCTGCTGTTCTTGCGACCAAAAGCGGAAAACTTCTGGGGCGACGGAGGCGAGCGGCCCGTGTAATCCGCCAAGGGAGCCCGAGCCGGCACACGACCCACATTCTTGTCCCCCGAGCTGCTCGACACTTGGCCTTGGTCCAGAATCGCATTACCGCTGCGGGGCAAGAACTGGTCCGCCAGAACTATAAAATGCAAAAAAGCATCTTCCCATGCGTTCTTCTACTTGTTGCAGAACCGACCTTGGACTAAATCTAAAAGTAAAAAGCCTAGAGGAACATATAGAACCAAATCATTCGTCTTTGCAGATTCTCTCTTTTGGACTTCGTCTGCCGGGCGATGAAGTCCTGTCGTGTACCTCATAGAGCGACACTTCTCGTGTTTCAGTTTCTTTTTTTTTTTTGTAACATAGGCGTAGGCGTAGCCTTAAACTTATAAAGATCACAAAAGCAACTCCAGATCGGAATTGTGTTGATGTTGATCGGAGTTCGCTGCCGTCGTGGTCTTCACAGGTCCAGGGACAAGTTCTGTGGGTGCGATCCCGGGATCCAATCGCTGCAAAATTTCTCCAGCAACGTCTGAGCAGTGGTCTCCCTCTCCACTCCGCTGGCTACGGTTGCTCGCACGGGACCCGGTACGGAGTGAGCAACACCACCGTGGCAAGAAAACCTTTTTAGCTGCGCATAGGTTCTGTCGCCAATTGACAGCGTTGCATCGGTTCGCCGCTACGTCGTCCCAACGTATGCAAGTCGTTATCGGTAGTGAGGCCTTACCTTGTGCATACTAAAAAGTGCTTCCAGAGGGAAAGTAAGACAAGCCCCTACCCGGTGGACCTGCCTGCATCCCCCTTGGCACTCCTATTACACTACCTCGCCCCCTGACACCTCCTATCTATCCTAAAGGACGGGAAAACGACCAGCCGAGTCTTTGCAATTTTGTGGACTCTAGAGCTAAAGCGTGTTGCTACTGCCAGCAATGTAGCAACGCAACTCTTTTCTCTTTTTCGGACTGTGAATCATTCATACTTCCTGACTTTTTGGTAATATTCCAACTCGCATGCGCAGGCCCCATTTGTAGTCCCTCGTTATCTTTTGCACACGTTTGCGGATGGTCCATCATCATCCTCTCCCTCACCATTTTCATAATTCCACTTTTTATTTCTCGCGCAATTCTGTCTGCTGACACCGTCTCATCCTCGTTATCATTTCGCTCCTCTTCCTACAGATTCATGCTGCTGCACTACTTGATGGCAATGGCAATGCTCGCGAAAAGAAAAGGCTTGCTCGCCCTTTGCGGTCATGGAACTTTCCTCCCCTCCCTTTCTTTCGTGACTTATTCTTTCGCAGCCACTTGACTTTTATTTCAATTTGCACATATACATAATTCCATTTTCATTGTTTACAAAAAAAGAAGACGGTATGGCTGCCATTGAAAATTTTCCGTGAAGAAATGAAGTGTCATCATGATGGTGTGGCTTTGGGCTGAAGGTCTGACTTTCATTAAATCGCTACAACCCTGAATATTTTGCCATCAGTCGTTTTTTGCATTTCATGTTGAAAGCAGCCACATTAGATAGTGCATTTTTTTGTTTGCACGCCAGCCAAGCCAAAGCTTTGCTCTGAGTATTTTTCCCTTCTTAGAGCAAGTTCGTGGGTGATATGCATGGGACCTTCTGCGCCTCCAGCAGTCCGTGCTCTACTGGGGTCGGGGCTGCTCGGCTCAGCTCCCGAACATTAGGATTTTTTGAAAAATTCTTTGTTTCTTGGTCGCGTCGCTGCGCTGCCTAATGTGCACCACTACCTCTACCTAGGTGTGAAGCTTGATAAGATCGGGATCCGTTTTTGTTTTATGAAGATGATGGGAAGATCGGTTTAAAATTTGTGCAGTGGATAGAAACACCCTTATTTTTGTTCGGGTTGTCGGGGTTCTTCAGGTCCATCTTCGGGTACGCCGCTTCCTCGAACACGAACACTTCCTTCTCCCAGTTCTTGCGCTGCGCGATGGCCTTCTGTCGGCACTCTTCGAGCGCCAGCTCCAGCCCTTCCGGGTCGTCCTCATACTCTCGGTCGTCAATCGTGAAAGACCGCGTCACGGGGCGGGCGTGGCGGCCGCCGCCGGCGGTGGCCGGTCCGGTGAAGCTCTTGCAGGAGATATTCGCGACCCAGCCCTTGCGGTGCGGGGCGTTTTGAAAGTCGGCCCACCGGACCCCCAGCACGCCGCTCTTGCGGTTAGTCGCTTTCAACTCCTTCTGCACGTGGCCGGCCGCAGCCATCTTCTCCCGGTGGTCCCGGATAAAGTTCACGGCCACCGCCATGGCTCGTTTCTGCGCCTTCTCCGCGCGTTCCTCCTCCGAATCCCGCAGGTCCACGTAGTGCTTGCAGTTGAACCACTTGTTGTGCCGACGGCCCTGCAGGTCCTTGTAGTTCGCGCACCAGATCTTCTGGCTGATGCGGTCCCCGCGGTTGATGAAGGTGACCCCGGGCTCGGAGCAGGTGACCGGCGAGACACGCACGACCTGCTTTTTGATCAGATCCGGGTCGCCGGCCAGTTGCAGACGCTTGATCGGGTCCTTGATCACGTGCTTGTATTTCCACAAAGTTTCCTGCTGCGCCGTTGCCAACTCCACGCACAGCTCCTTCGTCTTGCCGTCCGGCGCCTTCACGCACAACTTATCGCCGACCTTCACCGCGCACGCCTGGATTTCCACGCCCGACTTCAGGACGATACTCTCCGCTTCGACCTTCCGCGCCTTGTTGTACATCTTCCCCCGCTTCACAAACGCCATCTTCCTCGACTTGTGCTTCTTGACCACAGGTTGTTCATCTGCTGCCGGTGCTGGTGCTTCTCCTGCTGCCTTCTTGGACGAACCACTGACAACATTCGACGTGTTGGCTTCTTTGGAGGACTTCGCGTAGTTGGTTGTGGACTTCTTGGGGTACTTCATATCTCGCTTCCCGACAATCGCCGTCTTCTTCGTGGCCAGCTCCCCGGCGTTCTTGGCGTTCATGTACAGGTTGTACCCGGAAATGGCCTTTTGCTTCTTCGACGACGAGTCAGCTTTTTTCACTGTCACGGCCGGTTTTTTATTGGTTTTACCGCCCAGGAGACCACGCGGCTTGTTTTCACTGGTGTTGTAGTCCTTCTGATCTTCGTATTTTTGCTCGTCAACCTCCTCCTCAGCTTGGTGATCCATGTTACCGTCTTCCCAGTCGTCCCAGTAGCTGCCATAGTCGAACTTATCCAAAACAAAAGTTCGTTTAGTGTAAAAGGTGGAACCAAGTCGCATTAAACTTCTAAGACCTTCCCTGAAGCAGGCCCGTTTTTGCGAGTGTCAAAGTTCTTTTGTTTTATGCCGTTCCATGAAAAAATTGCCTTTCGCAACAGCAAGGAAACAAACCCCATCAATTTCAAATCTCTCTGATAATAGTGAATCCTACGAGGGACGATACACTTCGGCTTGAGAGGAGGAACAATGGACCTATGCAATACATATTTGTTACCCTACAACCCACGAACTTTTTTCTAGGAGGATAGTCTTCGTCCCATTCCCACTCTTCCTCCTCGTCGCCGTACCTGTTAAAGTTAATGTTCATGAAATACTTCGTTAAAGCTATTGCACCACAAGGACATTTCCGGTTGTCCGGAAGAGCTTTTTGGCTCATACTAAGTAACTCACTAAACTGTACTATGCATACTACCTTACATACTAGACTTGCAGGCTACCACGTATGCAACGCGCAATCAGCGAGACAACGCTTTCTGATTCTGATAGTGCTTGTTATTCATTGTAAGTAATTGTTTTTGTTTCGTATTTTTGCATGAGATCGACAGGAATAACATGTCAATCAACTGCCAGCAAAGAATTGCGTCGTGATACCAGTTGGCGTTGCTCCACTTGTCTTTCGACGCAGTGGTGGACCACAGTTTCTTCAGCTTTTCCTTATCCCCTCCCTGCAGCCCCAGCTTTTTTTTGTTTCCGCTGAAGGCCGAAGTGGCGGACGAGTTACCTTTCTTCATCTTGAAAGAATGGTAGTTGTGTGAAGGATAGCGTTACTAGCCGTGCGGTAAAGTAATTGCAGCAGCTGCTAGACGAGCTGTTTACTATTTCTCTGTTGCTTACAACTGTCCTCAACGCAAGCAGCTCGTTGTGACTGGGGCAGCGGCGAACGCTTACTTACGTAGTTATGATCACAGCAACAATTGTTGTTGAACATCAAGCAAGCATAAATTCATCTACAAAACTGGCGCCGGCGACCACGAGATTGAGCATCGCTGTCGTCGATGTTCCACACAGAAGGCTGGCACCCTCAGACTTCGAACAAGAGCTGCTAAGACCCCACATCTCGACATCAGCTACTCACCACTCACGATATTGCGAACGAAGTACGACGTCCCAGTCCCATCTTTTCCTTTAGCATCTATTTCCAGAAGTAGGAAGTACAAGTACCAGAAATCAAAGGAACAGAGGGTGTACCTAGGCAGAGGCACGATCCTTTTCTATCAGCCTAGCCAAAGAACACAATAGCAATCAATATCTTGGTTCCGATAAAGCGGAACTCGACTGACTCACTGCCGCGAGGGATAGATTTCATGAAAAAAACGCAGTAAAGCAAGCATCTCTGTGCGAATCATTCTGCATGGAGGAAATAACACTTTGTCACGACTTCATCAACAGGCTATGAAGAAGTTCTACGATCCACATCCCGCCGGCGTGATTTTTCCACCAACACAAGCTTACTTCTTCGCCTCTCCTAGCCTCTGCAAGTAATATTCCACTGGCACGATGGCATCAAGGGCCGCATACTCTATCCAAATATCTTCCATGGGTCGCACTTCCCAGTTCAGCATTGTAATCTCCTTGGACAACGGCTTGCCGTAGACCGTTTTCGCCAAGTCGGCCAAACTCCTATCAAAAGGAAAAATCCCCCCTCCCAATATCAAAAGGAAGTTTCTGATGCCAGATTTGCGCACACAAATCAGGTCTGTCTTGCAGTAGAGGACTGCAGGCCCATACCAAGCTTAGGTAGAAGGGTTTTGACGTAGGCCCGTAGCATAGCAAATATGTACTTTGTAGGCCCCATAGCATCACAAACCGTCTGCATAATGCGGCGGAGTCTCTGGATTGGCCTTCTTGCAATACAGAGACGATTTGTGGCCACAAACCAGCATCACAAATCTTCAGAAGTATCACTTTTTGATATGGGGAGGGGGGATTTTTCCTCTCAATAACTCCCCCGCTTGCCCTTCTCGTCCTTCGGGATGGAATCCAGAATGTCAATAAACTTGTGCCCGTGCTGAAAAGCGGTCGACTTCGGTAGTGCGCCGGGTGTAGAAGAGGACAGGTGGCGTAATCCTCCACTTGTTCTAGTTTCACCGGGGTTCGTGCTTCCCGCGGTTGTGGCGGATGATGACTTGCGCTTGCCACTCTTTTTACCACTTACCACCTCCGAAGACTCAGAAGCGCCGGCGGGGGCCTTCGCTCTGGTTGTAGTTCTGCTATCGAGGTGGTTCATTTCGCTTGCAAAAACCGCCGGGTCGTGATCCGCAGGCACCGCCTCCGTCTCTTGTTCCCGTTGTCCGCGCTCAGGAGCAACTCGCGCAGCATCTGGCGGTAAGATTAATATTCCGTCCCGTAAACTACTCTTCGGCGGGAGCCTGTCGTCCAGCTGCAGGCGGACCTGCAACGCCTCCAAATCGTTCTTCAGGCCGAAGCCCACCAATTTCACCGTCGGATCGGCGTCTCCGAGGCTCTGCAACTCCTCGGCGCTCCGTGGCGCGTGGCAAGCGTTGAATAAAAAATCCAGAAACCGGTCCCGCTTTTCCAGAAAATCACGCCGCACGTCCACGGCCACTCCTGCAGCTGCTGCTGGTCCCCCTGCTCCTTCAGTTGTAGGCGTAGTCCTGACGCCCGAAACCAGCTTACCTCGGTGGCAGCACAAGTCCACGACCCAGCACTCTTTTCGCTTCGGAAACGCCAACTGCAAAATCGCAGCCGCGCCCTGGCCGCCCTTGCGAAACTCGGGCCGCCACTCTGTGTCGAACCCAACAATCTTCTCCTCCTCAAAAATGCTGCAATCAACCTCCTCGATGGTCTTCACGTGCAACGAGTACTGGAAATCCTCCTTCGCGGTCAGATATTGCGCTGAGTCGAGTTGCTTCGCATACTCGTGAACAAATGTTGTCGGCGCGGAATTCTGATTCTTCCCCGCGGCCACAGCTGCAGCTCGCGCGTTCAATCTGACTCGCAGGTCCGCCATCGTGATGCTGCTGTAGTGCTCGTCTTGCTCTACTAGTGCAGCTCCGTTTGTAGAAGCGGATGTTGTACCTGCTCCGCCTGGGAAGAATGTCGTCCCCAAATCCGTGACTGCCGCAGCACCCCTCCGCGCGTTTTCTTGTAGCAGATGTAAAAATTCGGTGCGCGAGTCCTCCAAATTTTTGACAAATGAATTCGGGCCGTTGCCCATCTGCTTGGCAAGCCGGACCACCTCGTTGTGAAAGGAAATGCGGTGGTCAAACGGCCGCCGGGGATCGAGCAGCGTGAAGCTCAAGACGTGCTCCCAATACTCTTTCAAATTCAGCTGCTTTAAGTAGTACCGCATTCCGTTGAGTTCCTGTTTGTGAAAGAGCGTCCCGATCTCCGCTTCCTTCAAGTCGAACCGGCGGACGAGGTCCATGGTCGGCTCGGGCTGCGACTGAACCAACGCAATTTTCAGATCCCGCACGACACGGTCGAGGGCGGCGGCCTCCGAGTCCAGAGCGAGCATCTGCCTCTGCTTGTCGGCCTCGTCTTTGATCCCGAACTTAAAGATGGACTGTCGGGCAGCGAGGAAAACCTCGTCCACAGACTTGGTAAAGTGGTCAATCAGCCTCTCCGCCAGTTTCAGGTTTGACGGCGCCACGTTCTCGATGCACTCGCGATTGATGTGCGCGTTCAGATTCTCAAGCCGCTTCCGCATCTCCTGGAGTGTCTTGTTCGGTGGGGGCGAAAAATTTCTCTTAGTTGCACCGTCGGGCAAAGTCGTAGCTGTGGCACCATTTACAATAGCACAATTTTTCGTAGCAAAGCTGCAGCAGCAAACCGCGAACCCGTACGCTGCCCAGCCGTCGGCGTAAGAAAAGTCGATCAGAGTCTTGGCAACGTGCTCTTGGTCGTAGGGTTTGCGGTTGCAAGCCTCAAACAGCAGGTAATACGCTTCCCAGGAGGGGAAGTGAAAGTGTGCAGGTGTGCCGTTTGTCTGAGCCTGGTTCTGGTAGTCGTAATTATAGACCTGGCCGGCCTGCTGATGTGAACCAAATGCCGTTGCGGACGCACTCGCAGCTGTAGGTGTTGTTGAAAATGGGTTGGGCTTGCGCTCCTGGGCCGGGTGAAACTCAAAGTTCTGTAGTGATGTCGTCGCGGAAGTAGAACTGGCGTTCTGGGCAGAGAGTTGCTGCTTGTCCTTCCAAACAGAAATATCAAAATCCTCATCGTCCTCCGCGTTTTGTTGCCCTTCAATGTCCTCACTCATCATGTTGCTAAGCACAGACATTGCCATTGATGTTCCCTGTCTGTTGCCAATATTCAAATTCAGGATCTTTGCCCTGCCTTTGCTGCTTGTCCTCTTAGTACTCCGCTCCTGCATTTGATCTTCCTGCTTTGCGGTTTGCAGAAAAAATATGTGTTCTCCAAGCATGTCGGCGAATTGCTTGGCGTGAGGAAAACTTCTCTTGCTGGCACTGCTCGCGCCGTTATTAAGAGTTTTACCAGCAAACAGCTGATGCGAGCAAAGTGCAACATGCTCCGCTAGAAACTCGGCGAGTATCTTGCACACGAAAAACGATGGTTTCAGGGTAATCACTTGGAACAGATTTGCCAGCTGCGTGCCGAGTTGGCTCTGATAATCATCAGAAATCGTTCCTGCTTCGGCGGAGAAGACACCTTCCGCAGCAGGATTAGTGTTGGTCCTGCTGCTTACAGCGGATGCTGCTTCCACTCCAGCGCGGCCGGGGAAAAAAATGTCTTCCAACTTTCCTCTCAGCTCCGCAACCGGGTTAGCAGAGTTGCCGTGATAGTTGTTGTGGTCCTTTCTCTTATTCCCTCGGTAGTTGTTTCGCTTGTTGTTTTTTCGAAAGCCATTGTGCTGCTTGCCGCCCGTCCAGTGCTGGTTAGGGTTCCAGCTTCCGTCTACCACCATATTATTTACCGCCATGTTGTTCTGTCCGCCGGCGCGATGTGAGGAGCTCGTGGCACCACCCGTAGTGGCCATGATAACGTGCGAATATCTAAGTCCTGTGTTTGCGAACAGCTAGATAATCATAGCTGTGAGAGTCCTAGTATCCCAGTACGCATGCAACAGTCAATAGGCGTACTACGAGAAAACTAAGTAAGTACTTCACGATAGGATAGCCTGAAAATAGAGGGACGTCTTGCGAGCACCAGAAATAGCAGAGCGGAGGCGAACTCGTCCAGAAAAAAATTGTGTATCAAAAAGCGCAAGAGGATCGGTATCGCACGGCTGAATTTAAGTCTGCAAAGCCAAACTAAGTGAAGCACCATCGAAAAATAGGATATCTTTAACTCGGTGATCATCAGTACTAGATCCCGGACTTGTAATATGTCATCAGGGTTGGAGTTCTGTGGTTCTACTGACTTTGAACGTCTGCTGCAGTTTCCGCTTTTCAGTGCGATCCGTCTGTCACAAGAAGTAATGTAAAATCGTTATCGCGGATGCAGATCTTCATTTTTACACGAACAGTACACCAGCAATCGCGGAGGCTTCACTACAGAGGCTTGCACCAACAACTCCTTGCGGGTAGCTGCACCCACGCAAGACTCGTACTTATCCAGGTCAAAGCACTGGACAGTTTAGCTGGCTATAAGCTTCGCCTTTTTCATTTAAGGTGCCTCATGCGCCATCATCTCCACTGCCACATGGCTGAGTCCGAGCAGTCGGAGCTCCTTTTAGAAGTCCTGAAACTGAAACATTTTGATGTTGAATCGTCCAGTCAACATCTTCGTCCACTCTTGTTCATTAATGACGCATAGTGTTGTTGAAATCCAAATCATACACAGAAGACGCGCTTAGATAGAATTAGTAGGCTCGCTTCGTTCTTCGAACTTTATTGAAGCTCCATAAAACGAGGATCTCGCTACCGACTATGCTGCACGGAATGCCAGTCCGGTGGCTCCTTCCCGACCACGAACGCCGCGCCGGCGGTGTTAGAGTTCTTGTCGCCGTAGTCGTTATCCCACAAATCCTCCTCGCTGGTGTATCCACCGCTCTCGTCCGATGATTCTGGAGGTTCGCCCTGCGCAAGAAATTCCTCCACGAGCGAACTTCGCGGACTCATTCTGCTACTCTTGTTGCGCTTCGTGCTGCCGGGTGGATCTTGTTTACTATTCAACATGTTCTGCTGGTAGTTATTCGAGGATGCTCTCGAGGATCGCGCCGTCCCGGTGGCGTCAAGATCTTCATTTCCTTGCTGCGCAGTTATTGTCATGTCGCCTTCCGGTTGTATTGATCCGCGTTCTTGTAGCTCTCCTGCTCCTGCGACGAAGAACTGCTCCACCTGCTTCCTTTCCCGCACTTTGTTCTGTAGGTACGACGTCACTGTGATTGCCGGAATCTTGCGCTGCCACTTGGCGAAACACGCCTGCGCAGCTTTTTTCCGCCGCTCCGAGAGGGCTGCATTGTGCCGGTTTTTGGCGCGCAACGTCTCCGCGAGGGACATAGACTTCGGCAAAATCAGCTCCGGCTCTAAACTGTCAACCGCTTCCGCAACGTGGGAGGGAGCAGAGCTGCCGGGTGCCGATAGAGAACTGCTAGCGGCGGAAAGGGAACTTTGCTGCTGCTGAAGTCCACCCGGTGGAACATCTTCTTCCAAACCGAAATCGTCCTCGTCGTGGTCCTCATCGTCTGTAATACCAGCTATAGCAGGCGCATCGCCAGACGTGACTCTTTTCTTGCTTTTCACCACATCGTTCTTGCCCTTCGCAGCAGAAGAGGACGTACGACGAGCCATGTCAACATGACGACCGCTGCTCCGCCGTTTTTGATCTCTAGGTGGAATCGGTGCCTCTACGACGAACCCGGTGCCATCAGAGTCCAGATCGTAAATGCTGCCCTGCTTCTTTTGTCCCCCCTTCGTGGTCGCCGCAGACGATCCTTTCGCAGCCTGTGAAGCTGTAGATACTGGCTCTTTTCCAAAACGACCTTTCTTGCTCAAGTTCACTGCATCCAGAAGCGAAACAAGCGGCGGCACTGCGGAGGGTTTCCTTGTTCGTCTAGAGGCGCTTTTATCTTCCCCTTTTCCTTTCGACAAACCCGTGCTGGCACGCCGGGCGTTTTCTTTCCCGATTTGTTTCACAACATCTTGAAACTTCTCGGAGTCTATGGGCGATGAGAATTCATTTGCGGCAACATCCTGTTGGTCGAAAGGACCGCGCGTCACTTCGCCTCCTTGCTGATCGCGTGCGCTTTCGGCATCTCCAACATCAGCGTCGCTTTCCACATCCTCCGCGGACTCGTCATCATCATCCTCTACTGGTAGGGGAAGCTCAACCAGAAGGTCGGGAGAAAAATCATGGCTCTCAACAACTGGCGACGAAATGGAGCTGTCGCTGCGTTGTCGCGGCGGCATAAAGTCCTCTGAGATGCCTCTTCCAGAAATTGACTCCGCTGCTGCTTCTCGAGGAGCTGCACACGAATTTTGGTTTCCGCCATTTGCAGTTCCGGGGCTAGACGGGGTGCGCTTGGAAAGATTTGATTTTTTCGAAATCTCGTCCTCACCGGCAAGGACCGCGCGATCTACCAGAGCGCGTGCTGACGTCTGCAGCGACGTGGCGATCGTACTTTTTCTCGGCTTATTTGAAGTCGCTTTATTGTTTTCAGCACCACCGGATCGAAACTCGAACTCCTCGTCTTCAGCGAAGAACACGTCACTAGCCCCAGACCCTACCGAATGTTGACCTGCGTCTCCTCCTGCTCTCTCGTGGTCGTCTCGTGCCTTGTTCGCCAGAAGCTCAAGCTGGGACCCCTCGAGTCGCGAAGCCCCGAAGATCCCGCGGTCTGCTGCAGTTGTGCCTTGATGTTCCTCCGTTGCTGGGAAAGTTTCATCTTGCGCATGATCATGTGCTGATCCAGCAGCTCCACCGCTGTTGACGAGCGCGTCCATCATGTTGCGACTCACCTGCAGCAGCGTTCGCGTTTCCGGCGAAAAAACATCTGCCAGATTCTTGTTAAGAGCACTACTAGTTGATGTTGGCGAGTAGCTCTTTACTCCACCGATCATGGCGCCAGATTGACTTTTTATCAAAGGCGCTGTCAGAGATGAAGATCGGCTCGCCGGCACGGACGGGTGGAACCTATTCGACGGCACAGTACTATTGTGCGGCGAAGCAGGGCCAGGAACAACCGTGCGCGCCGGCCGATCGCTGTCAGAAGATCTTTCTCTTCTTTTCCCCACTTCTTCCGACCCCGCCATGTACAGCAGATTGGTGATCTCCAGCCCCAGTCCCTCGAGCTGCACTAGCAACGCCTGGGCCTCTTTCGGGTACAGATTTTCAAACGCATGCAGCACCTCCCACAAGTCCCACTTCTCCACCGGAAGTCGCAACTTCTCTAGCTCCCGCACACTCTCCATAGCAGCTTTCACCTGCAGAGGAATTTTTGTCTTTGCTTGACTTGTTGACTGCGTGTCCGCGTGCGTGTTTCGAGGTAGATGACCCAAGCTGTCCTTCTCCGCCGTTGAGGAGTTTGACGAAGAACCGTCTTCAACACCTTCAAACCGCTCCAGCATTTTCTTCCGCACTTGCTTCAGGAAACTTTCGTACCGCACGGTTGGGGGCCGCACGTAGACGTCGTCTAGGGAACTGAAATCAGAAACCTCCGATGAACTTGCCTTCGAGCTGGCAGCTTTCGAGAAGGGAGCCGGAACTGCTGACGTGGTTGCTACAAGAGGGCTGGTTGCGTTTTTCGATGTCGCAAGCCTTCCAGAAGCTGCACTGGGAATATCTTTTCCAACCGAATTCTGTGCTGAGTTGCGGTCCTCACGACCGTGGTGATTCTTGCCACTGCTGTTGAAGAGAAACTCTGGGTGCGCCGTCCCGGTCTGGCGTTCGACCTGTTCGTAGTACAGCTCCCCGCGGCGAAGTAAAATCTTTACCAGATTCATCAGGAAAATGACCACGATGCGCTTCTGAATGACTTCGTCGTACCGCGACCCAGCAACCCGGTAAAATGCCGCGTCTTTCAGCGTCTCCTTGTTGTGTTCCACAAGGTGTGCAAACATGCGACGCCACCATTTTTCAAACTCCGATGACGTTGGTGATGATCCAGAGCTAGCTGTGAACGTTGCTCCTGCTTCAGGTTTGGTCATGGGCGTGGCTCCTCCTCCCGAGGCACGATCATCATTGTAGAAAAGCGGAGCTGGTCCGCCCCCGTCGGGACGAACTACATGTTGAAGATCATCATGAACATTATCCGTCACCACGTGGTCCGCAGTTCCCACAGATGCAACAGGTCGCTGCTTAGTCACGCTGGCGCTGGTGTCCCCCACGTCCGCGTCAGTACTATTTGTGGTCGCAGGAGCTCCCCCGCCGTCGTCCTGCGCGTAGTAGAGAAAAACCTCCTTGGACCGCTTCGGAGACCAACCGGTCGGGGGCCGGACACCGACAAAGTAGAAGGCCTGCTCTCTAACCAGGTTCTCTTCAACCTCATACCCCGTTTCCATCTGGTACAAGTCGAAACCTGTGGTGCGAAAAAGAAGTATTTTCTGTGAAAAAAAATGCTAAGTCTTCAATCAAGTTCGGAATTGTTTGAAAGCAGCGCCCACGTACAAGGCGGCAAAAGCAAAGAAGTTACCTTCCTCGGGCGGCATCAACCAACTTTCCTCGACGCCCGACACATTTATCCTGTAGTCATTCAGAACCACCATGCGGTCGCCATCTCGCCGAACGACAGAGACCAGCTGCGTCGCATTCGCGCCGTCATTTTCATTTTCGGCATGCTTTTTCTTGAACGACGAAAACGCTTGCGCCACCGCCTCTTCGTCCTTTTCCATCTCCGTTTCTGCCACCGCCCTCGCGGCGTTCTCGACCAACTCTTGCGCTTCGTACCGATCCACAACGTCCTGCTGCCTATTGGCATCGAGCGCACTAGGATCTACGAACTCGTCATCGTCGGCGGGTCCCGCCTCCTTAGCATCAGGGTTCACCATTCCACCAGCTACTTCGACTCCGTCATCATCTTCCTTGTTAGACCTTTTCCCCCCGAGCAGCACTTCAACGTCCGCATTCAGGACATCACTTTTTCGCATCGTGTCACCTGCGGCAGCCATTTTCAGCTTTAACAATTCCGTGTCGCTAAGGTTCAGAAAAAACTCCGGGTCTTCTTGATCCTGGTCCTCGTTGTGAGGAGAACCAGAACAACTCTTTTCGTTTTCTTGTCCAGCGACCACCTCTGTCGACCCTGGACGAACATCAAATTCCGGCTCTAGCTCGTCATCTTGAGCGTAGCTCGGAGCGACAACGCGGGTCGTCCTTTCGAGAGCATCGCGATCGTCTTGGTCGTCCTTCTTCCCATCATCATGCTCCTCCATATCATCGTCTCCGGCTGCAGCAAAAATGGCTGGCGCTCCTTGAAGGTCGTCTTTCTTCACCAGTTGTTCGTCCACAAACAATCGAACACTCGACAGATCAGCCCTGCTCTTCCGCAAGGACGCGCGCACCTGCTTCTCCCGCTCTCGCGCCTTCTCCAACTCCTCTAGCTTTTTGAAAAACGCAGAAATCTTCGCGCGGTCCTTCGCGGACACGCTCATGTTCTCCAAGTAGATATCCTTCGACGCCGCCGGACGACCGGCTGCACCAAAGGCAGTTGATGCATTGTTGCTGCCACCAACACCTTCCAGTCGGTCCAGCATCCGAGCTTTTATTTCCTCGTCATCAAAGTCGTGCAGTTCCCGGCCGTGAAAAGCCTCGTCGTGATCCTGAGCGCGCAGGAACGCGTCCTTGTCCTTCCGCACGCGGGCGAGCGCTTTCCGCAACTGGTCCGAGCGTTCGCGACTTCTCGCCAGCGCGCGGTCAATCAGAGACTTCTTCCGCTTCTGCGCGTCTTGCTGACTCGCGCGATGAACGCCCTGGAGTGCGGACATCGTCGTGCGGTCTTCGCTCTCGTTGTCTTCAGGAGCGCCGTGGTCTTTTTCTCCATTATCAGGATCAGCGACGCGCTTCAGCGTGACTTTCTGAGCGCCGCTGCGGAGGGCACTAAAACTACGTCGAGTAGGTTGCGCCAGAGAGTCGCTCTGTGAACTTCTATTTGTTCCCCCAGGAGCCGACGGTGAAGACGCGGCCCGACTCGTCGCCAACCATCGCAGGTACTCCAATACCGACACGATCGGGGTGAGCAGGTGGAACCGCTTCAAATCGCCCACTTCGTCGGCATAGCGCGGTCCGCGCGCAAACAGCCGCGCGCCTACGGGGATGTTCTGCCGGTCCTGGATGCCCGGCGCCGCGGCCAACATGCGCCGGCGAAAGAGGGCCGCGCTCGGCGAGTGGAAAAACTGGATGTTGGCCAGGTGTTCTTCCCCCTTGTCCTCGTCCGCGCTGTCCACGCGCTCGAAGTCGTGCTTTTGCTTCACGCTGGTGTTCAGCGCGATTTTCTCGCGCATGTCAGTACCGATCGCCTTCTTCAAAAATCGCGTCAGTGACTGGCTCAGCGTGTTGCGCATCTTCGCACTCGTCTCGGGGTACTCGAGGGATTGGAGCACGGTGCTCTGCTTTTTCCGGTATCGATTGTCCACAATCGCAGGCGTCGCGGTCCTCTGGAGGTCGTCGTGGTGCTCTGATCTAGTTCTACTTCCGGCAAAAAAAGATGGACCGGCAGCGCTTTCTCCTGCTTCTGCTTCGTCGGCCCCACGACCATCGCCGGTTGAAGATGCCCCGTCGCTGCTGCTGCCCTCTACTTCGTCGAGCGCGTGGTCGGTGAAAAAATTGTCATGTTGTTCCTTGACGAGCTGGTCGTGCTCTTCTGCCGTGTATCCGAACTTTTCCATGTGCTCCAAACGGTCCTTGTGCAGAAGAATATGTTTGTGTGTGGCAAAGGAAGAGAGCCGTATGTACGTGTCGTAGTAACGCTGGAACAGCACGTCGCGACCGCCGTAGCAGGGAGTTGAAGATGTCGCTGCAACTCCTCCTTGATGATCCCTGAGAGCAGTCCTTGTTCCGGGCGGAGAAGGTGGAGAAGACGAAGCAGCGAAAATCGTGGCAGAAAAGTCGAGTCCGCGACCGATGCGGAAGCGCTCTAACTGGAATAGAGCGCAGTCGTGCGCTGCAAGAAGCTGTGCGCGCGATGGTGGAGGTGGAGTACTGGAAAATGCAGCTGCATTCTCCTGAACGCGATTATTGATGTCCTTGTCTGCCGCACTTCGTCGTACGGCACCAGTGAAAGATGAAAAATCATTGCTTTTGTCCAGAAAAGCCACGTCCAGGGAGAAGCAGTGCTGCCAGAAATTCCGCACTTCAGCAAGCGTTTTCAACGCCTGCAGACAGTGGCTTCGCTCGGCCGCGGGCTGTCTTTGCACTTCAAGCTCCAAAAAATCCAAACAGCTCGACACAAGCGCCATTGGAAGGGACGAGGAACTTTTCAAAACTTGCTCTGGTGCACCGCCAACAATTTTATTGCTACTCCTATCTGCAAGATCAGCGGGAGACGAACTGTTAAACCAGTGCAAGCACATGGATATTGGCTGTGCAAAAGATGTGTTGACTCCGCCAGCATTCTCGCCCGCCTCTGCTTGTTCGTCGAGATGCACTCCGTCGAGCAGCAGGTACCTCCGCAACAAGCGTAGGCAGGTCCGAGACCTGGTTCTGGACTTGCCATCTTCGGTAGCAACTTCTCCTTCTTCTCCGGCTAGGAACGATTCTAGCACCAGGACTGCGTCCTGGCCGACGCTGCGCCACCACCGGACCGCACTGAGCTTCCTCAGATCTTTCACCCTTTCGATTTCGATGCTGATCCGACTAGGCTTCAGAATTCGTGCCGCAATCACTTCCTTCACCTGCTGCACCTGCTCCTCGACGGCTGAGTGCAAGTGCGCGCGCGTCTGCGAATCATGGTCCTCTGGTGCTCCACCTAGCGGATGTTGTCCCTGTACAACGGTAGTTGTACTGGCCCCTCGGTCCCCGACGACCGCGCCGGCGCCCAGAACCGCCTCCTGTGCATTCCCCACACGCGCCAGGTAGCTCTGTCGCAGCAGGTAATCAAAAACGGACTTCCGAACCTCCTCGCTTGTGTGGGTCGCACTCATCGTTTGGTCCACCTGCTGGCGTGCGGCGGTCACGACTGGGTTGCTCAGCAGCGGGAGAGTGGCCTCGTCTCCTTCGCTACCTGCCATGTTCCTGCTGACCGGGTTGTCCCTCGGGCCAGCAGCGGTACTATGTGCTGCTGAGCCCCCCGTCGCAAAGGACGAAAAAGCGAGCAGGTGCACGGACTGCATCAGCTTCCGGCGTCGGAGCGCAATCTCCTCTGGCGGATCCATCAAGAGAATGGACCGCTTCAGCTCCAGAGCGCGCACGTGAAACAGCAGGCGACGCACCAGCCGCCTCGTGTCCTCCACATTCCGAAGCATAGCTACCCGCTCCACGTTCCGCTGTGCCTTTTCAGTTCGGATTTTCATGCGCTTTAAAACATTTTTTGCACGGTTCGCCTTCGTCACGCGCTCCTCATGCGGCGAAACGGGACTTGAGTCTCGGGTCGCGTAATCGTTGAGGTTGCCTGCCTTCGCGATCTGCGATTTGCGCAAGGGCGAAGTGAAGTCAAACTCTTCGTTCCGTAAGAAGCGTCCGTGCTCGTCTTTTTTTTGTTGACCGGGAGATGTCAAACCATTGTCGTAGTACTCATCGTCGTCCTTGTCAGAAGTCGAGAGGATTTCATCTTCGTCTACGTGATCACTGTCACCAACGATTTCATCTTCCGCTGCGTCTGCCAAAGAGGAGCTTTCGTATAGCAGCCGGTCGATTTCCGCAAGGAACTTCTGTGCAACCAGTTCGTCTTCCAACAAGGGGGGCGCCTTGCCGTGGTGCCGTCGGTACTCCTGGCGCACCAACTGTTCACGCGTTTTTGTCCTGTTGCCTGTTGTCTTCGTCAACGACGGTGAGGATGCGCGTCGCTATCAAATGTAAAAGTGTCTGGGTCTGGAAGAATGCGCGATTTGTCATGCAGCTTTTCAATGACCCATGAGGTCTGGAATGCAGGACCTAGCATAACAGATTCTGTGCGATCTTTCTCATGCCTATCCTGCATGAGAACTGCCTCCCGACTTGGTCAAAACTGGGCGACTTTTGGTAATCATGCAACACAGATTTTTGCATGCTGCAGATTTAGCATGACAAGTTGCATTCTTCCAGACCCAGACATTTTTACATTTGATAGTCGCGTGCTGCTAACAACTCCGGACACCCGCACCGGACCGCGGGAAGATGTTGTTTTATCATGGCTTTCCGCATCAAGCACGACACGTGGAGCGCGTTCCTCGTCCAAAGCTGACGCATTCAGGTTGTCGCGGTTGTCACCTGCTCCGCGCAACGGATCCTCGATACCAAAAGTGTCGATCTCGTCGCCGGCGTTGACCTCGCTGTGCACTCGCACAATTTCATACGTCTGCAGCACCATGTCGACGAACTTCTCGTACAGCAATAACACTTTCTTCGGCTGCTGTTTTTGCTTTTGGTTCCCGTTTCTTCCAGTTTGGCTCTTTTGCCTACTTCCACCTGGTTCATCAGCGGGGCTGCGGGGATTTAGTCCCTCGTCCGTCAAGCCTTGCGAATTAAAATGCTCGCTGAACTTCTCCAAATTTGCCCGCAAGCTGGAAATGAGCGACTGGACCTCAAGGCGCGCGTCGCCAGAGTCGGCAACTGACGATGAGGCAGAATCCGCTACCCCACGGTCTGCGCTCCCCGGGGAGGAAGATGAGCCAGAGACGCAATAATTCCAGGCCTCGTACAGGTCAAGGACCACGATGATCAATTTTCGGTAAAGCGCCCGGTATCGGTTCGGGTCTGTCTGATAGTGTTCGCGTTTCGAGTGTGCTGACCAGATAGTATTCTGCAAGTTTCTCTTCGTCGTCGACAACCTGGAAGAAGTTCTGGTACCGCCCACGTTCTTCCGTAGAAACCCCGCGCGCGCCGCTGCTTCAAGTTCTGTTTGTAAAAGCGTCAAGAAGTATTTTATTTTTCATGGCGTGTGCACATGCTCAGGAACGAAAGATATTATCTTCTCTTGAACATTCCATTTCTCTATGACTCTGGCAGAGTTGAACGTTGATTCTTTCCAGTGAATGATAATCAACATTCACGTTTCGTGCAGAAGCAACTTATTTCTTCTTGTCGCCACAAAGAGGTATCAAACCTTCCGCTGCGCACACTGGTGCACCCGGCTCCACAGCGAATGCTTGTGCCACTTCAGCAACAGTTTGCACGAGCGAAACGGATATTTTCGCGAGCGCATCCGAGAAAACAACCGGCGCGAATGCGAGTCGGTCCAGCAGATTCATCATCACACCTTCGGCGTCCCCCGACGTAGCAGCAGCAGGCGCGTTGGACGTGGTGTCCTCGCCTTCGTCACTGCTCCCAGCGCAGCTTGCGAGCAGCAACAGTTGCACCTTCCGCAGGAGCGCGTGCAAAGCACCGTGCACACTTGCAAGGGACACGGTGCATACTTTCTCGATGATTTCTGAACTGAGAAGAAAGCAGGCCTCCACCGTTTCCTTGTTATTCTGGAGCAGGGCTAGTTCTTCAGCAGAACCTTTACTATTCTCAACTTCCACCGTCGGATGTGCCGGCACAGCTTGCTCCGCCTCCCTCTTTCTTGATGTCGTTTTCCGCGGCGAGACGTTCTTGCTTGATGTTTCTAGAAGTGATTTTATCGTGCTACTTTCCTTCTTATCCTTCCCGGCAGATGCAGCGGGCGTTCCTTGTTCTTTTTGACTTTTCCTCTGCCTGGCATCTTCAACAAAGGCAGCGGAGGAGGATGAACTTCCGCCACTGGTAAAATTCTTGTACTTTTTTTGCAGATCCAGTAGCGACAAGGAAGCGTCAGGTGGTAAAGTCCTACTTTTGCCCGGCTTGACCCCATTGACCATTCGATAGAAGGAGGCAAGGTTCGCCGTGTCCGGATCCCGATCGTACCGGCTGCTTCGGCCGACAATATGCAGCGGCCTTGAGTCTTTAATAGTGCTTGAAGTTCTTGCTGGTCCCTCTAGTGGCGTAGTTGTACTTAGTTCCGCGTTTTTGGCGTTGTTGTTGAAGTTGAATGCAGCACCTTGTAGGACTGGCTCTCCTGCTCTACCTTGTTGAGGCTCCTGGTGTGCAAACCTTCCCGCAACCGTGTTCAATGCGAAGGAAAAAGTACCGTCGCCAGCTACAGGAGCATGACGGTCCGCGTTGAGAGAAAGCGTTCTTTCCGCTGGTTGAAAAGTCGAGCCACCGGTCGTTTGTAGTTCCTGGTATGCTGAGAACCTGTTGTTTCTTTCACCTGTAGCATTTTTTGAAGATGGTCGCTGTATTTCTGTATTGGACAGTCCACCATCGTCTCCCGCGAAAACAAACTGCTCGGTTGTTTCCCCATCAAGCTCTGCTGCGCTTGTCGCTCTTTGATTCTGTTTTCCCACCTTCGATAGTCTGCCCCGCAGAAGACCCGATGCGTTTGATTTTCGTGAGGCCCGAGATGCTCGGTTGGACGGAGAAGATGAGCTGCTAGGACTCACGGATAATTTGGAGGCGTTTATTTTCTCGTCGCCTGCTGAGTTGTAGAAGCCGCGAGCAGGTAGCCCGTTCTTCCCAGCAGGAATCATCGTGGTTCGCGCTGCCTCACCAGTCTTCGCAGACGCACGGCTCCTGCGATTTTGCAGTGAAATCCGTCCGAGATCATAATCAGCGTCAGCATCATGATCCATGTCCTTCATATCGTCTTCTCCTGCGCCTTCCGGTTGTACCAACGCTGTGCTTTTGCGCAGTCTGTCCAGCCAACCCTCCATTTTCTCGGCTCCCTTCTGCACCGATCGCCGCGCATTCGCCGGTAGCACGGTGCGGCTCGCTCGCCGAGTGGAGACGCGCGACAATGGGCCAGCCATGGCGTCCACGGGTAGCCCCAGAGCTGGAACGCTGTTATTGCTTTGCGACATGTTTTTTGTCTTGACCGGATATGCTGGTGAAAGCAAAAACGTTCACGCGGCCATAGTGCGGCTACTGCAAAACAACACCACACGTCCCGAGCCAATGCCTGCCGATAGAAGTACCACAGAGTACTAAAGTAAAAGTGAAGACGCGGAAAAAGATGCACCAAATCAATGAGCACATACGATGTGCTTAAGTGACTGAACACGATAGAGCATTATGAAAGCCTTGAAGATGGACGCACATCGGACACTCCGGATTCTCTTTTCTCTCAGACTTCGATGCTAGTGCAGCCCTACCGCTCAACCCCTGTGCAAAAACAAATTCAGATGCGACGAACAGCCGAAAAAATACGAGCAACTAATGTGGGACGACGACGAGGAAAAGGAACAACGATACACAATAGAACGATAGGAAAATAACGTTATATATCACTGTCATATTATTTTCATCATGATTCATCCCCAAAAATCCTCCTCGATAAAAATAATCGATTCCGATGCAAAAGATGTGTGCATTTTTCCCAACATCAACGTGTCGGAGCTCTGTTTTCGTGGCACGTGAAGAACCGTTTTGTTCCTCTTCTCTACATCTATTACGTGCAACTCCCCTGAAAATAAACAAGACCAGTATGAATGAACGTACGTCAAATGCAAAGAAAAATCGAAAATGAAATCGCAACTCCACTTCTGCTTTTCCTTTCGTCCGGGAAATGCTGCAAAGGTGTAGAAACTAAATGTGTGGGCTAATAAAGTTTATCAGTCCAGTGGAACCTTCATTTGTACACTTAATCAATTTTCGTTCGGTATGCGAAAACAATCTTGTCCGCTTTCGTTTTATTTGGACGGCCAAAAAATCCAGAGCATCAATGCACTACCTAAACGTTTAGAAGATCGAAACTACCTATTTATCCTTTTTTGATTCTTTTGGGCCGCACGAGACGGGCAGCGAGCAATATCCAACTCGACGCCAACTGCGCGAGTCGTGCGGCCCAAAGCAAAAGAGATGGAGGCGTAGCAAGCTGCATGCAACATGATTATTGCCTCTTTGGCATAAATAGGGCGAGCTCGGAATTGCATTCTTGACTACATCATGATCCAGCATCTGACTGGATCACAACTCGACTACCTTAAAAAACTCGAAGACGGTGCAATACTAAAAAGTTGAAAAATTCTATATAAACAGCAGCAGATATGGGCAATTCTTCTTGTTCTCGTCATCATGATCGGTACTTCGCTACGTATCAGTATACCGCGCGAGAGCATCCTTGCTGCTTGTTTCATCACGGATGTGAATTGCAGCTGCCTTACGCTACGTCGGACAGAGCGATGGGGCTCATTGAGTTGTCGGATGCTTCCTCTAAGAAGTACTTGTAGGCCGAGGAAAATAAGGGGTCTTAGCCTTACTGTTAATACTGCTGCCACTACTAATTTGCATGTGCATGAGGCCCTTTAATCATACATACTACAGCCCGCCTGTCGTTCATCTAACATTTCGCTTGTCGCCCGACGAGAGAATCGATGAGTCCGAACGAGGGAGACAGCAACGCTTGTCCGACGCCATGCAATTTATCCACCACGCCAGGAAAAAGCAGCTCTTCTTCTTCATCATCGAGCGAGCATGAAGTAGATCTACCGCAGATCGTTCGATGCTCATGAGAAGTCCACAGAACTATAGCCAAACAGCACTCCCTCGCATCTTACATGCCTCACTACTTTTTGTAGATTGTTCTTCCCCCGCACCATATTTATAAGGCCATGTCACGTCTACAGACAGAAAGATTTACCTCCGTCTTGCAGCGCGCTCGTTGTACAAGGATCTTTTCTTTGATAAGTATTTTCCTCGTCCCGCCCCAAAGCTCTTCTGTGCATGATTTACGCACACAGAGAACTACTTCTGGACGACCTACAGGTAGCTGTATCGTACATGCGCACGACGCTCGACTAGCACTGCGACTTGCTGAGTGAATATGATCTAGGTATTTACTACACTGTTAGTTGATACTCACTAATTTTACTCCGATCCTCCACCTTGTAGTTGCGGAAAATCACGAGGATTACCTCCTGGGAAACGGAAAAATCGCGACGGAAACCTGTCCTATCAAAAGAAGGCGCGTTTCCTGCTCCCCAAAGAGGTGGAGTTCCGGCACGAAACCACAGCGCGGCGTTCTTTGATTATCTTCACCAGCACTCGAAACGTTCATTGTACTTAAAGGTCTCCAGGAACTCAAGGAATCTGCGCAGCCGCATGCCTTTCTCTCTCGGCATGATGAAGAGCAGCGAATTCGTGAAGCATCCTGAGCACCATCGGCGCCTCCAGGTGCATGAACTGCAGGTTTAGAACCAACCGCGTGAGCAGGTTTGGCGGCTGCTTTTGTATCGCATACCCGATGTCGCTCAGCCGCTGAAACATCGCCGCCACGCGCCCACGAAGAAGCAGCAGCGGAACTCGCATGTCGTGCGAGTCTCGCGTCTTGGTGTTCGTCGCTTTTGGCTGCTCAGTGTTGTATTTTGCAAGTATTTTGCGCTCGATTTCTTCCCGCCAGTGCTCCGCGAACGGCGCCAGGGCTGCGGCCTTTCCGCTCAGCCTCGTCAGCTTCGGCACTTCCCATTCCGCAAGTTGCTGCAGCTGGTCCTGCACAAAAGCTCCGGGAGTCGCCGACGGGAAGAAAAACTCGTCTGCGTCGTCAAAGTGATGTAGTGCCGTCGTGTCGTTTACTAGCGTTTGAATCACGTGCCACGATGAATGATCAGGTCGGTGGTCTAGCAACGAATGATGATGATCAACATCAGAGAGCGACGATATACTCTGAACCGAGCCCGTTTTTGGAATCCCAGTGCTAGCCATTGATACGGTGCTGGGCAAGGACCTCTTCAAGATCGCGGAGTTGTCGTAAGAAGGCAACATGGAAAAGGCACCGGAAGTGGCTGCGCTGTCTTCTGAGGCATGATATCCTGTTTGTGCGGAACCGAATTGGTTGCCGCACCGACTGTCCCGTGTCCGCTGATGCTCCCTGCGTGCAGTCTCATCATCTCCATCCATCCCCACAAGGCTCAGCGGAGGAATATCAGCATTATCGTCCTCCAGAGTGGGCGGCAAAGACACTTTTCGAGGCAAGCTCGCCGGTGATCGTGCGAGTGCGTGTGGACGACGTGGCACCATAGCTGCAGTGTCGTGATCCGAAGGCGATGCGGTCCCTGCAGACATGGGAAGAACCTGGCGACGCATTTGACGTGGTTTACCGTGGTGCCCGACTTTGTCTACAGGTTGTACGACAGCTTTTTCTCCTTCGTACACAGCAGGAGAGTCATCACTCCCTCCATCTGCTTCGGACGAGCCTGAGGTACTGCGCGAATAGGGACTGGAGAGCTCCGGTGTGGGGGGCGACTGGGGGTTGAAAGCACGACGTCCCCGCAGTGGAAGGGCTGTGGGAGGTGACCACCTCGCCGGTAGGAGAGGCGAAGGCGCCGCGAAGCGAGAGTTTATTGCTGCACGAATATCATCATTTCCGCCCAGGTCCATCTGCGGGGGCCCCCCCGATTTCGTCTTGATGTACTCAAACAACTGTTCCTTTTGCTCCCCCGATGCGGCGGAACCACTGCTCGTGCCCGCGTACAGAAGCAGAATGGTGTGCAGACAGCCGAACTCGGCTTTTGCCAGCTCGAATTCAAGCGGCACGCGCTTCTCCCCAGTCGCGCTGTTGTCATTCCACCAGATGCGCCGTTTGTTTCCTGACCGGCCGTCGACCACGCCATCGAGCAACAGGTTCCCGAGATTCGCGTCGCTGTGCGCCGCGGGAGCGACAAATTCAGGGTAGAGCAGCACTTCCCCGAACGTGTTCACGATCCACTCCATCAACTTGCGCGCCTTCTCGATGTCGCGTCGAATTGGACCTAGAATGGTCACCGCTTCGGCCTTAATGTGCTCCTCGCGGGTACTCGGTCGGTGAAAAGACAAAGAGTCCTTCTGATTTTTTCCCCGTGCCGCGTCTTTCTCCAACTGCGACAAGATTGTGTCAAAGAGAGCGGACCACGGGGACGGCTTTGGATTTGCGGCCCTGCTCTGCGGAGATAAAACGGAGCCGATTTTCGCAGGTTGCGCGCTCACCGATACTAGTTCTCCGGCACTAGAGAGGCCGCGGAAGCGGTCACGAACCTTCCCCACGACGAAGTCGCTGTTCAGGTATGCACTTCTTTGTTCTGCCGTGGTCCCAAATCGGACCGCTGCGCGCTGCCGCACCAGAAGCGTTTCCACTAGATTATCCGCGACCAGGTCGAGCACTTGGTCTTGTCGGGCCCGCAAGTTGGCTTCAAGTGCCTCGTTGGTTGTCGCTTGTTGTAATGCCAGCGCGTTTTTCGCTAGTGCCGAGGCTACGGAGCCACCCTGGAGGTACTCGAGCAGTGCGAAGACGCGCACCTGTCTACCTTTCCTCTCCCCTTCCTTAACTGTTCGCTGCAGGCCAGTCACACTCAGGTTGTCACTGAACTCAACTTCTTGTTGTTCATCAACACCATCGAACGACGATTGATATCCACTTTCCTGCCGGGACGGCGATGGGGGAGGTGAGCAACTCCACTCGCTTACCTGACTGCGCGGCGACAATAGCGCCGGCGGACGCGGATCCCCCGGACGTGTGTTGTAGACAGGAACAGCAGTGCCGGCTCTTCGCGAAGCTACTTTTCGAACTCTGTTTGTTCTCCCACCTGGCAGAAGGCAGTTCCAAGGCTGTTGGATCTGCTGCAGGCAATTGCATAGCGCTGGTCGTGCAGCGCTGTGCCTACGTGATCCCCCCTCCTGCTGCTGGGCGGCCGACGCCGACCCGCCAAATTGTTTCGCGCTGTTAGTTTTCAAAAAGTCCCTGCTCCCGCTGTTGGGCTTTTTACCCAGTTCTGCTATGCCTTTGTTCGCTTCCACAGTCGACGAACCAGCATCTTCGCCCGTCGTGCAGTCAACCAAAACGCCCTTCAGTGGCACACCCATCTTCGCCTTCAGAGCCTCTACAGGCTCGGCTGCATTACTGTCCCCACTCAGCTTCTTCAAGGTCTCGTGGCAGGTGTCAAAGGCGTCGAGCGTGGCGGTCCCATTGAGGTTAAGCGCCGCGGCTTTCAAATAGTTTTTCATTTCCTCCGAATCTTCGTTTTTGGGATCTACGTCCAGTTGCTTGCAAACGAGAGGCTTCCCTCCTTCCCCCAGCGTGAAACTCTGACTCTTCTTCAACGGCCTTGTACTATTATGCAGTAATTTGTTTGGATCGCTCAGCAGCCACACTGGAGTACCGCTACCGCCGCCGGCCAACGCCTTGCGATCTGGAACAGAATCAAAGGCGTTGCAGGAAACAGACCGCACGAAGTTGTTTGCCTTTCCTCGTCTCGGAACAATCTCCGCAGCTACTTCTTGATGTTCATCCTGCGTGGACGGCGGCGGCGCAGAGAAAGTACGAGCTACGGAAGCCACCTTTCCGGAACGCACTCCCCCGTCATCATCTGAGTCTGACGTGACGGCATCGCTGGAATCATCATCCGCTCGATCTCCAGCAAGGTCCGGGTCCCGTGTGCCGTCCACACCTGCGACATCGCCCAGACTGTAAACACGAGATAATAGTGCAGCAGGCTCATGCACACCACGCCGTTTTCGTCGACTACCAACACCCCGCGTGGATGCTGCTACTAGACTTCCTTGTTCTTGTGTGAACAACCCATAAAAACCCATACTCACCAGACACCATGATCGACGATAGCATTTGACCATGATTTTCAAATACTTTGGAAAACCAACTCTGAAGTGATGCGCGAGAGCAGAAATTGAACTGTGAAGCGTTGATGTTTCTCAAACAACAAAACTATGAGACTCTTTTCTATGCAGAAGGCGATGCTAAAGTTTTTATGAATGATGATGATGATGTTTTGAGGTACGTGTCTAAAGCTTTTGCAGGCGCAACAACCAATCAAAACCTATCAATTGATCGAAGGCACGAATGGCACCCGAATTTTTTGCCTCCGATGCAAAATTTCCTTCGAAATACGGCAGTCCACACGTGATTCAGTAAAATCATACACTTCTTTCAATTTTTTGACCGTGCATACCGGCCTCGTCTAAATCTTAATTTGTGTACTCGTTCTTATGCTGTCGCTACTAGTGTTTTCTATGTCGCTACTAGTGATTTTTATGCAGATTCTGAGTTAGGGAAAAATAAGGAGCAAGCCATTCAAAGCAAGTATGTCCAATGTCAAGTTTTTCTTTATCTGCGTGTTGTGCTGTTGCTGTTCGAAGGCGAATAAAGACTATATTTGTAAGATCAAGCTATAACTGAATACTTATGCCGCTGCGGAGTTGCTTGTGATACCTGCGAAGGAGCCGCAGGTACTAGCACACTATCGCTATGAAAATTAATATCGTGCAGATCTGCCAGGTCGTCGTGCAAACCAACGGATCACAAATGTAAGTTGGTCTGGATCTTCGTGTGCACGAGAATAATCCGGCTCAGATGAACGCGCAATGGCAATTGTAGGCGTGGTCATTACGATTAGATGGAATGCGAAGCGGATCTTTTTCCATGAAGGAACAGAAACTATTTGCTTGAACGAGCATGCGCTAATGAACTTCGTCGCATCGCGCCAAGCAGGGGAGCCAGAGACAAGGTCTCTTCAGTCTCTGGTCTGCCCGTACTCGTAGATCAGGATGAATCAATTACATGCATACAACACCAGCTTTCGTCGTGGAAATGTGCACCGTTTCGATGACATGTATGACTGCAGCCACAAATGATTTACATCTACATGCTAAAAAGGAAGCAATTGGAGTTGCGGTGTCACCAGACTTTCTTCATAAGAATTCAGCAGCGGACCCAGGTGGTGTATTTTTTGGCCCTGGCAGCTGTGATCCTGATTGTGGATTTTCTCTTTCTGCCACCAAACAAGATGTCATTGACTTTTCTAGCACTACTGGCATGATTCCAACATCGTGTCTACTTGATTCTGTTCTTGCTGCGGCATCTCTCCTTGAGGTTCTTGCAGGAGCTCTTTCCCTTAATATTACCTTGTCCTGCTGACATCTGCTGTTGTGCCTGCTGGTGGTTTCTTTTCTGTCAGAACCAGTCGTCTTCACCGCCTTTCTTTTACCGCTCAGCTGCAGACACAGCGGTTTCTTCGCCGATCTCTCGCGGATACCTACGGTATTAGAGCCCTCCCGACAATCTCTGGACTTCTCCCCGTCCGGCGTGGTACGGGCACTTCCCTCTCGTGCCCTCTCGTCTCGCTCGTCCATCGCCAGAAAGGCCAGGGCCAATCCGATCGAGGACCCCCCGACCAGTTGCGCCGACTTCGTCTGCTCAGCCAGCTATTACAATGAAAAATGCCCCCACCCCCGAGCTTGGGAGCATTTGTATTGCAAACCTTTCCAAATGAAACATTCGCCCTCTTGCATCTATCAGCATCACAGGTTTCCAATCGTGAATGGCAAAAATTTGTATTGCAAAAGACCCAAGCAAGAGCGGCGCTTGTCATGCAAGCGATGCGATACACGCCGAGACTCTGCATCAGAAAGATTCATACTCCTTTCATTCATGCCAAAAGTTTTCATTTGGAAACTTCGCATCACAAATTTTTGCAACTTTGGGGGTGGGGGCATTTTTCACTGTAATACCAGCGCCTTGGGATTCCCGCTGGGGATCAGGTCTATCTTTCTTCTCACCAGCCGCCGGGTGTCTTGCAGCATGCTTGCCATTGCCTCCAGGTGCTTTTGCCATTCACCGCAGTGCGTCGCTGAGGGACGCCCGAGGCTGGGATCACCTGTGATTGTTAATATTGTTTCCATGCTAATATTAGGGGCGGAAATACATCAGCTGAGGACAAAGACGAAGAGGAAAAGTACAAGTATCTGTAGCGACAATCCAAAAAGAACATGCAAATCCTCATCCCGCCTGCTCGCGTCGAGCGAGAGTAGCACAACGACCTAAAAGTCAAAGCGCAATTATCGACGTGTTTCACTGGTACCTCTCTCGGCTTTCTCCCGAGCCTTCTTGACGTCTGCTTCGAATTTCGCCGCGTCCGGACAGTCCCATGCCTGGTCCTTCAAGGGCGCACTCTCCGGCAAAATGCAAGTAGCAGCCGTTTTCGCTGCACCGCGAGGCATTTTGTTGATCTTCTGTCAATTATATGCGGGGATAGACATTCGGGCGGTATTTGTTTTTTAGTGGGTAGTCTTGTGTGTGTCTCACATTTGGTCTCATTTCAAATAAAAACTACCTCACTAGTAAGCGAGGCTACTGTGTCCGCAATTTGCAGCAACAAGGTAGAAACCAATATGAGACACGACAAACAACGGACCATAGACCTGTGAAAGCCAGGAAAAGCAATTTCCTCAAACACGATGACCCACCACGATTTTCACGAATAAAAATGAGAGCTGCAAGGACGATTTTACCAAGGAAAAATCGACGATACCCGTCGGAGCACCAGCACGATCTTCGACCCTAGGTAACGAAAGCAGCAATTTATCGCTTCAATATGTAGAACTTTCGGGTACATGATGGAAAATCACTTGCATGGATCAAGGCAGTGAACATGATCTTTCTATGATGTTGCCAAGAGAAACTTATTTATAATTGACGAAACGAAAGAGATATTGTGGCTGTTGTTTTTACGGCCCTCGGAACCTAAGATCTTCCTGTATTTTAGTTTACTGAAGCGAGAAAAAACCATACATACTGGTTTACATGCCGCCAAAAACTACAACACTTGCCACAGCTTCTGGAAGGCGGAGGCACATCGATGAACATCGGTGCAGATATGAAATGAAACACCCTTCGGCTCCACAAGACGGGCACCCCTTCAAGACGAAAGTGCTTCTGCCTTCGCATTTAGTTTACAGGGTGGTAGCACAGCTACAGTCTGCGAATTTGCGATGCATTTGGTCCGTGGATCTCCCTACTTCGTGCTCCGCCGTTCTATCCAAGCGATTTTTTCTCGGTGTCGCCGATGCAGTGTCTATGTATACATTGGCGATGAATAAAAACACAACTGTCGCGAAAATTAGTGTTGTAATACCCGGTGCACACGACCTATTTTTGATCGTGATACACTTAATCGCTGGTGTCAGGCAGAAAAGACAAAGAGCGAAAATTTCTAGAAAATAAAAGCAACCAGAGGAGTCGATGATATTCTTCGTTCTTGTTGAGGTGTCGTTGTTTTGTTCCTTCATATATCATCAGACTCTATATTCATATTGTCGATGCCGTCTTCATCTTCTCTTCTTGGCAAAGAAAACACCTGGCGGTGGTGCTGTGCCAGGTCGTATTTCTTTATTCGCTGACGCTGGGTTTGTCCTTGTCGAGAGCAAGGGCAAGCGCCGATGAAATATAATTCTCCGTTTTTTTGATAAACTAGTGTAATCTGCTTCGTGTTCGTTCGCACCTGATGTTTTTTTTCCGAGGAGAAATATGAAGTAAGTATTTATGCCCTATTTGTGCTTGACGTTGATCCCGCCGCGCACACCGATTCCGGACGTCGTTACACCTCCGCAGGCCGCGTGCATATCCTTCCAGTGGGCCTCGTTGTTAATGTCGAAAGCACCAAGCTTCCTGTGCTTCGATTCCCAGTGCTCAGACGCCGACTTCTCGGAGGGTGCCGCCTGCCCGCACATCACACAACTGTACTTTGCGTGCCCCGCCGCACCGCCCGCCCTGTCTTTGATGCCAGCCGAGCCCGCCCCCTTGTTGATTAACGCGTCCTTAGCCTTCTGGGCAAGCTCCTTAGCCGTGTGCTTCGTCGGTTTTGCTTTGCCACCCATTTTCGACAGAAACGGAGTGCTAGTTCAGAAAATGTATGTATGTATTACAGATGCTCGCTTTATATCGTTACCTTTTGCAGAAAATCGAAAATGCAATCGATCTCGATGTAAAATCTTGGTATAACAATCCTGCTGCTTCTTGTAGCTGTCTGTTGTCTCAATGTCGAAGTCGATGGTAAAGATTTACAATCAGAATCACGAAATAAATTCGCTGGTAGTACAACTGGTGCATCAATCTACTTTGTCTTCTATTTTCGATTGGCCTGCGGAAATTATATTCGCAAAAATCAAGTTGTCAATACTAGAGTCAACCAAATTCTGGTGAAAGAGGTTTATTTTCGCTTGGGGTCGTCACAGAATTTCTTCCTGTAGCATGGAACCATTGTCAGCATTTTCAAAAACATTGTTCTCACTCTCGTGATTCTGATCGCTATGATTTTCTTTCTTGTACTACAACTACAGATCCTTTCATTATCAAATGCAAGCATGGCGCACCATCAGCTCGTTCTATCATCAACTCCGACGGACTGTCATACGATGCCTTTACCTCGTCAGAACAGATCTTTTGTTCTTCGTTTTACGCACTACAAAGAAAGTTCTATCTCGTCCTCATCCGATGTTTCGTGCTGTTCATCTGTTTCTGTAACGCCACATCAATACGCACTATCTCCTCGAAGAACTTTACTTTGAATTTTACAGTCAGGGTTAGCTCAACACCAGATCTTCCTAATTATTGCCTGCTGAAGGTCAGTCAAAATATTGCCGGCGTCTGTGACCCATTCAAAATGAAAATTGTAGGGGGCAAAATTATAAAGTGGTTGAAACAAACAAACTTCCGGGGAAATTGTAGATTCAACAAAACTGCTGATCTGAAGTTCAAGTTCCGCGGGGGGGCAGAATAAAAACAAGTACTGGTGACACAGTGACTGTGGTATTTGTAAATTTCTTGGAAAAAATTGGCTTCACACGTCTACGTGAGCCAGGTTTACGCATCTCGGATTTCGGCACTTCATCGGTAATGGGTCGCGCCCCAATTTTGCCAACTTCTGGAAGCTCTCATCGGCCGCAAACACAAACGCGAGGATTCGGTTTGCGTACATCTTCGTTTCCTTGTCGGTTTTCTGTACGCCCAGGCACGGCTGCCGCTGCGGAACAGGATAGTCTACTCTGGTATTGTTCCTATCGTTGCCAGCAGAAGTGGGAACTTGCTTGATGCCATTCTTCTCTACTCTACCTTTTCCGCTAACAACTGCAGTCGCAGACGCGCCATGCTTTTCGCTGTCCAGGTACTCACCACACCACTCCACACATTTGTCCGAACCTCCCAGAATAGGATCTTCGAAGCGGGGCACGGACTTCTGTTGTACATGTACAAGAGATGGATAAATTTGGACGCGAAAGAGATACAGATAGAGATTCAATTTGCATTATATATAATTGAATTCTCTTATACTTTCTCAATCTTGACGATGCATGACCGGCGCAACGCTCGAGCTTGAAGCGCTTTATCTATAAGTACCCATCAATATCCACTTAGTAGATCGACGATGAAGATGACACTAGTATAAACCAATTGTCTACAGAAACAGCCATTTCAAGAATACCGCGATTGCTGCCAGGAGCGAGTAAACGGAGCTCTCCGGCTGGAACGCGTCCCAGGTGCGGGAGTGCACGTGGCGAATCCATATCACGTTGACAAGTTCCAGGATCTCTTCCTCAGAGCGCACTTCGATGGCTGCTGTAGTCGCTGAGCTGGAGGAAGCAGCGGCCGAGTTATGAACTGTAAAAATGTCTGGGTCTGGAAGAATGCGCGATTTGTCATGCAGCTTTTTCGTGACCCATGAGGCCTGGAATGCAGGACCTAGCATGACAGATTCTGTGCGATCTTTCTCATGCCTATCCTGCATGAGAAACTGCCTCCCGACTTGGTCAAAACTGGACGACTTTTGGTAATTATGCAACACAGATTTTCGCATGCTTCAGATTTAGCATGACAAGCTGCATTCTTCCAGACCCAGACATTTTTACATTTGATACGAATGGCTGGCCGAGGACGACGAGCTGCTCTCTTGCTCTATCAACTGTAAAAATGTCTGGGTCTGGAAGATTCTGACACTTGTCATGCACGTTTTGCATGAGCCATGATGTCCGTGATGCATACCCTAGCAATACAGATTCTTTGAGGGCTTCTTGATGCCTATTCCGCATGACAAATGCCTTCTCAGCGTAGCAAAAATTGCATTCCCTTTGCTACTCATGCAATACAGATTTTTTTGGAATCCAAATGCAGCATCACAAGTTGCATTCTTCCAGACCCTGACCCAGACACTTTTGCATTTGATATGCTCTCTTGTGGGACCACGACCGTGATATGAATTGCACAAGCATCGTACTCGTAAAAATGCATCACAAATTTCCTCAGCATGAGAAATAAAATTTGTAATGCAGATTTGCCTTGGGAACAAGATTTGTAATGCAAGACTTGCATTTAGACGAGTACGATACTTTTGCACAGGATACGTGATGCAGCTCGGCTATTTCAGCTGTCGTCGTGGTACTACCATTCGCTGGCTTGGCTTTAATATTATTTCGGTGTGGATCCCCCTTAGCTTTGGTTCGACGAAGATCCTGGTCCTCGTCGTGTAAGGGATGCTCGTGCTCCTCCTCACCAACATCGTTTCTATCATAGCCATAGTCGTAGTCGCCCTCGCCCCAGTTGTCCTCGTCTGCATCGTCAAGCTTCCTCTCCTCATCGTAGTCACCTTCATTCCCGTAGTAATTTTCGTCGTAGGTGGAGTTGTTCTGCCTCGTCGCCCCACGCGTGTGACTCGCTGTCAGTCGGATCTCCGTCCGCTTTTGCCTGTCGTGATCCGTCGTCCTCCGGCCTGCATTCCCGCGCTGGTGGTCCCTTTGATTCGTTCTGTCAGCGCGACTCGTAGTTGTACCTCCGATGTCATCTTCGGGAGTTGTTGTACCTTGCTCGCGATTGCGCTTCTTATTCTTTGTTGCCACCGTGATGTTCACACTGGTCGCACTGCGCGATTTGTTCTTGGCTTTTCGGGTTTGGTCTGTCGTCCCGAAAAACTGGCCCAAGGGGCCCTCCGTACACAACGCACAACTCCACCAGGGACGCATGGTGGAATAAGAATGTCTTCTCGTGAAGACGTTGTGTGCTCGTCCTGCGATCCAAAAGTAAAGAGGTGCTCGTTTCTTACACTTCAATTTTGAATCCGTTTCCTTGCTAAAGTACAAGTTCCATACGTAGAGGTAGACAGGAATTTCGCATTACTTATTTCAGCGGCACCCACGACACGAGCTTTTATTATTCTTTTTCCGTTTCTTTGCCTCCGCACACAGATTGCCTCCTCTCTTTTCGACAAATGAAAAAAGCATCGCTCAACAAGCAACACTCGGCTCTCCGTGACGCTTCCTTGTCTACGCTTGAAATTCGACATTTTTTCGCAAACAGCTGGAGCGACAACGAAGATTCTGATCAAGTAGAAAAAGGCAGCAGTAAAGACGATGGAGCGCGATGACAAACAACGATAAAAAAATCCCGACGACAGTTTGAACAAGCATGAGCATTGTAGAGCTCTTGCCCATAGTTGTACCATGTCGTGATGACTCGGCAGTCCTGTCCAGTATTATTTTTTCTCCCGTGCTCGCCCTCCTAGCCGTGGCGCGTCTTTTTGAGAAATCTGCCGTATAAGTTTTTGCGCTGTTGTAGTCCTCGTCTCGTCAATAACAGGAGACAAAAGGATCACGAATTCATCTCGTTTCGTGCGTCCCCTTCTTCCTGGCGGCACGTTTTCTCGGCTAGTATTTCACTCGGGTGGTGGTCCTCGAGCGGGTGATACTGAGACATAGAATCCAGTCTTACTGGAGAGAAGAGGTAAAACAGAAAAGTCAGACCTTCCAAGCAGCCGCGCCTCGTTGAAATCAAGAAAAGACGAACGAGGGGCGCGGGAAGGCTGAGAATAGTGGGTGTTAGTAATCTAGAAAAAGGGGCCACAGCTATGCATGATATTTGCAGCCGAGGAATGAACGATATAATATCAAAAAACTGAAGGACTTGTTCGAAAAGCAAAAAAACAGTTCGCGAGATAGTTCTTTCTGCTTGGATTGGCGGTCTTTTTCTTCGTCCAATGGAAATCTTTAATATTTTCCAACCTACTAGTGTGTGCTGCTCATCCAAGATATTGTGCGTGCTTCAGAAGTTCGATTTTTGAATTAGTTGGATCCCGGTCAAGGACCAAGAAAAAGGAGATCTTCTGCTTCTTTGCGGGACCGGTGAAGTAGTTCGACTTGCCAAGAAAAGTGACCCCCTGCAATGGATGCACTCTTTCTCCCGTTGCATACTGAGTCATTCTATCGACTAGCGAAAAAGCAAAAAAAGTATCTCTGTTTCTCGTGCCTGAGATCGACATCTTCACTGTGTAACTTTTGTTTGAGTTTTTGTTTGGTTGTCATCGAAGATAACAAGTCAGAAACCACCAGCAAAAGCTTGAACTGTGACAAACCCCTTCCAGATTTACCATTACCCACAGCAGGCTCTTGGTTCAGTCCATTGTGCCCTTGTTCCCATGTCCAAGATCCTTTTTGCTGTTTTGCTCGTAGTGCTTCAGCGCCGAACTGCCCTCGTCATTGCTGTGCTGCGCGAGCTCACCTGGTTGAGTTTTATTGGTCCATCCATCGTTAGTGTGCTTTATTGAAAACATACACTGCATATCAACTCGTCACTTATCGCGCGCAGCAGTGGAAGCATGACAGTGAGGGCATGGGCACTATCGAGCCCTGCATTAAATAAGACCACAGCAAAAATCATGACATCAAGATGTACCTGGCAGGATAAGTCGGACCGCGCAGTTGATATCCCGTGCGCTCATGGTGTCTCGGTTGTCCATCTGAAGTACGGATTTTTTATTCCAAAATCCAAATATGAGTGAAAATGAAATTTTTGAGTGGTTATGTATTAGCATTCCTATGCCCCGCCGCATTCTTCATCGAGAAAGTAACGCAAAGAAGCACTACTCCGCGGGTCCTCGTTCGTCCCACGAGGACAGAAAAGCAACCGCACAATCGCATCCAAAAACTCCTATACCTTGACGAGTTTGCCGGCTTCCTCGCTAATTTGGAAGAAGGCGTTGCACACCAAGTCGTTCATTACTGTCATTCCCTGCTTCGTAATTCCGATGTTTGGGTGCACCTGCTTGAGCACTCGGTGGATAAACGTGTCGAATTTCAGCTCCTTCTTGTTTTTGTTCTTCTTCTTAATCGGCTTCCCGTTCTTGTCCACCTTCTTCCCGTTCTCTTTGATAACCTGACAAGTTGTATTTTTGCCATACTGCGGCAACACACATTCAAAATATTTTCACATCTTTCTTCTCCATCTCTTGCGTGCGCTGCTCTGCATTGATTCATGCCATAGATGATGTACTTACGCCACATTTTTTTAGTCTTGTCGTGATCGTAGTGTAGTACGTCACATTTACAAATTGACTTCTAGTTTTTATACCTTATCAAACTTCCCATCCTTGTCCTTCAACTTTTCCTTTTTCTTGTCCTTTTCCTTAAACCCCTTGTCCTTGTAGTCCTTGTCCTTGAATCCCTTATCCTTGTATCCCTTGTCCTTCTTCTTGTCGAAGTCGAAATCGTGATCCTCGTCGAGAAACCCCGACATTTTGCTCGTCGTAACTCTTTTACTTTTTGGAAGCAGGAAAGAAACTTACAGCCCCGAAGCGGCAGTTTTGAAAGTAAGACTCTTTTCAATTCTATTTCTATCTTGCAAATTAATATAGAAATGCTGTCGTAACCCTTGTTTGATATCGGTGTGAAACAAACTGCTGTAGCCAATACTTCAAGAACACTGCCTTCAATTTTTATATCGAAGAAAAATTATTCTTGATGGGTCTAAATAGTTGTGGTGTGTCCGCTGTCAGGAAGTTGTGGTGGGAAGATTACAGATATTTTCGTCAAGATCAAAACTTTTCACCCACACAATCTAATCAAATCAGGAAAAGCAGCGCTTTGCTTTGATGTGAAAAAAACGCATTTTTGTCTGAAAAAAACGAATCACTCGGGAGAAACCTCATTTTCCATAGAAGATTCTTGGTAGCACCTTTAGGTCGATTTCTCTCGCAGATTGGAGATCGCGATTGATCTCCGATTTTTTCGCATAACGATCTGTTTGAAAATTTGAATGGGAGGGCTCATGACCTAGGCAAAATTTGTGGGCAATTAGAATTATTCAGTTCGCATTAGCCTCATTTTTGATTGCAACGAAAAAGAACACGCACCGGTTTTTGTTAGCATAGTTCATGAAACACTCATGAACCATTTTTACACGATGGAAAAAAATCTTGCAACACGGCGAATCACCGACACACACACACATCCAAAGCAGCATATAATTTTCGAGTGGAAACAAAATCAAAGCATTTTCATTGATTCAGATTCTCAGTTCGATTTACATTTACATTTGGATCATCGAAACTTTATTGACGGGCTGGCCTGTCGTTCTAATTTTTCAAAAAGTCAAGGTTAAAAGCCACAGAACTAAATAGCTGCTCGTGAAGTCAACAGTTTCCCTGCTGAAGAAGTATGTAGCAATTTCTAAAATATTTATCAACATCAACTCTGCCTGGCTGCTTTTGGTGCTTCTTTTTTGCTTGTCCATGTGCTGCAACCAACATCCATCTAACATATAAATAAGTAGATACGTATGGAATCAGATACAGTAAAGCGTTTTGCCTTGTTAGCCCGTTGCATCTCCTGGCAGCAACGCACTACTTATTTTTTCATCTCCTCCGGAGTCTGTCGTGGCTGCCAGCCTCCGAGTGGAGGCACCCGTTGGCTTCTCCTTCTCGCCGCAGAAAATCCACGAAGTCCGACGGGTCGCGACTCCGAATTCATATCAAGGTCCGCATTGCTGGTGTAATAACTTGCCCAGGACGGCGCATCTGCGTTTGCTCTGTGCCGCGGGAAAAACTCGCGCGCGGAACTGCCGTCCGCGACGCCGCTACGGGGCTTCCACCTCCTTGCCTCTTCAGGCACGCCCTTTGAAGCGTAGCTGTGGCTAATATCCTCTTGTTCGTGAGCCAACAAATCCATCTCTTCAAGCTGGCGGACGGTGACGGCTTGTTGCGGGGAGAGACCTCCTTGTTTTTCCCTCGAAAGCACGCCCGCAGGTGATACGTCTGTCGGATACGGTGTGCTGCCACTAAACTCAGAAGTGCGACTTGACCACGGCGGAAGATGAAATGCGTCAGCATCTGCTGTGGCACGATTCGATAATCGTCCAGCTCTCAGCAACCCTCGTCTTCGCTCCGGGTGTTCGACGACGTCCTCTTTTCGCGGCTCCGGCTTCGTTGCTGTTTTATTGTGGCGCCCGTGGACCAACCCTTCGTGCAGGCTGGACGGGCACGGAAACACTGCATGTTTATCCGACGGGCAACCAGTCCCAGTGAATAAAACGGTCAGGAAAAGCAAACCAACAAGGGCCTGGCCGCTAAAGGTGAACATCATCCCACAGCCGAGAGCGCTCCGACCGACGCGCAGCCAGCGCGTGCACGGGAATTCGGCGTGGAAGTAGGACCCCACCGCACGAAGCCCCGAACCGCGCAAGTGGAGAAGGCCCAGTGAGTCGTCACACAAGGCGGCAACAGGCTCCCAGCAGCAGGCAATCGAAGACCCAATCGCGCCGCAGGCAATGCAAAAACAGCAATCGTAAATGCCGCACGACCCGTCCTCGCACCGATAGTCGGGGTTCTCCACCGCCGGGTCGTAGTCAAGTGGAGGTCCAGGACTCCGTCGTGGCACCCGATACCCCGGCAGCGGTGGCATATTCACCGCCATCTGATGACCGTCATCAGACACTTGCACCGGGAGGATATCGTGCCGAGAATGCCGGTGACCACCGTCTGTGGGACTTACGCGCCTGTAGCGGCCTCTTTCCGGTGCGTCACCGGTGCCTCTGGTTGACGCAGGGGGCGAAGTTTGCGGAGAAGGGGCGGTGGAGGGAGATCTGTTATTATTGGAGGAGGGGCTGAGGAGGGGCTCATCTCGGCTGGTGCTCCACCGCCTACTTGCTGTGGCGCTCGGAGGCCGTACATCACCGCTACTACTAGTTGCAGTTCTACCACCGCAGCTCCCGAAAATAAACGTAGACCCGGGAAAGGACGAACCCGAGGAGGAAGAAGAGCTAGTACCATTCTGGTTGCCGAACTGCAGGAACTCGCGCAACTCCCTCTCGAACCCGACGGGCTTGCGACAAGTGGGGCAGTTGAGACGCTTGTAGGTAATCCGATTCGTAGCGATGCACTCTGTGTGGAAGGTGTGACCGCACTGAACCATAATACACGGCTCCTCCGTCCGCGGATCCATCGATTCGTGGCAAATCACGCAGATACCGTGCTGCGGCTCTGTTACTTCTCGCGAAGATTTCGCCTTCGTTTTTCTCCATTCCTCACTGCAATTTCTAAAAATCAGTCCCGGTGTCAATCCGCAAGCTGCACCTGTTCTCGCGACCGCAATTTCTTCGATGTTGTCCGTTGTCTGGTGCGGCCCTTCGGAAGAATTATGGTCCGCAGTAGATGAGATTCCGCGAGACGAGGTGGACGGGACCAACCAACTCATCCGCACTGCAACTGCAACATGATCTATCGTCTGCAGCGAAAAGATAATTTTCATCCAGATAATCGCTGCGAGATGGAAGTGTCCCATTCTCGTGCCGGCGAGAAACTGCCGCCGGACAATGTGCGCCTGCATCTTGCTCGACAATCTATTTTCCATCGTTCGAATCTAATTGGCACGTACAAACTGAAGCGCTGGGTATATCTAAACTTCGATCGTCATCAATGTGGTGTTAGATAGGTGTTGGGCTTTCTTCATCGAATTCGAAGATTCATAAAATATGCATTTGCAAAGTAATCCGCATCATGATCTGCCTGCGCGCAGTTACAGATCAAGAACGCGTCGCTGTTCATTTATGAAAAATGTTCGTCTATTAAAGGAGCGGTGGTGTTTTTTTTCGTACTCTTTTAATGATTTGAGCATCCACCTTGTGCGGCGCACGCCTGTTCATGATCTGTAGCCGATGTTATTCGGCACAAGGCACGGAGGTCCGACTCCAATACTGTGCGCGGATCCCGGGCGATTTTTGAGATCACTTAAATTCATTGCAGCACGATCTAGATCTCACAAGGCAAGAATGTCGACTATGGAGACTCGCACCTTGCTCCGAAGGCAAGAACTATGGCACAGAAGATCGCGACTTTTCGGAGGAGGGGCTGGAATTTTTTTTGCTGGTTCTTTTCCGCTTCGTGAGATTTTGAGCTTATTTGTCGAGCGCCTGGTGATACGCGTTCCGGAGCAACAACAAACAGATTAGGCGGCATGCTCTTGCTGCTGCTGGCACATCAAGATCATTGGCGCACATCTCTGGCGCAGCGCACCTCGACGTTGGTGGCGCTCGGAGGCCGCGCGCGCGACTTCTAGCACACGCCGAGGGGTGCTGCCAAGCAAGGTCAACATTGTTGATTCTGGCGCGCAATACACACTCTCTCACTCACAGAGCCGGCGGCGATATTGAAGCACCTGGCTGCGCTCACAGCCGGAACTGGGCTGCAGGTGGGGCGCGGTGGCTCTCGCAACAAGCCACAGGTAGGAACGGCCAGCACGGCGCCAGAGGCCACAGGTAGCAACCGAAACGCCAGCCAAGCCGGCCACTTCCGGTCGTGTGTGGAAAGGCCGAAGGCAGAGGGCCCGGGAACCGGCCCCGCCAGCCAATGCCCACAAAGCGAGGCGGGGCAGGGAGACGCGGCGGCCGCGGTGTCTGCGTCCTTTTCCGTCGCCGGCCATACGGGTCGGCAAACTTGGCCACATCGCCGGCAATTTGCTGGGCATTTTCTGGCCGGTCGCTGCCCTCGCTTCTGCCCCCGCCGCTCGCGCTGTCTCGCCGAAAAAGCCAGCGGCGGACTTGCTGGAAAGCTCTGCGCTATCGTAATTAGTCAATTGCACCGCCCTCCCGCGAGACAGCACCACTGCCGCCATTCCTGGGTCCTCGATGGAGAGGATGCGATCCGACGGCAGCTGAATTGAAGGCGGGAAAAGCGCCAAACTCCGGTCGGCGTCGAAGCCCTGACCCCCATCTTGCGTAGACAGGGTAATGGAGTCAGCGACCCGGCGCCATGCATCGTTCCGATTTCCGGCCAAAGAGCCTGTGGAACGAGGGGCGATTTCAGTCGTCGCGCTGATCCACTTGAAACAAATGGGGCCCACTCACCACCGCCCACAGTCGCCCTGCGTCTACCAGGACCATCCTCCCGCCCAGGCGCTGCGGCGCCCACACGCCACAGGCAGCCCGCGCGCGTGGCCCGGGCTTGAACCAAGGAACACGGGGCGAAGTCAATGCATGCCGATGCCCTACTAAGCCCGGCGGAACGAAGCCCGTCCGCCGATTCGCAGGACGAACCGCGCGCGCGCGCAGCGCGGGCGCACCGCGGGACCCACGAGGGGCCCGGGCACGGGAGCCAGGCGGCGGCGCGCCCCCAAAGTTCGCGCGCAGCAGCAGCCCCCCGCCCGCCCCCGCGCCATCGCCGGCATGCGCGCGCCATCATCGGAGGAGGCCCCACACCCGCGCGACAACTCTCATATGCCGCACGGCTGGGGGCTCGCGAAAGTCTGGGCTTGCCAATGGAGCAACTCTCTCCGCGATGGAGAACCTCTTCCGCCCACCTTTCAACAACCGGGCTCGCGGAAGTCTTCGAGCGAGTCCCGAATTGGGCGCCCTAGCGCCTGCGCCTCTGCTCTATTCCGATAGCGATAAAGCGGAAACGCTGAAAGGCCGAAGAGGTTGGCACCTGGCGCGCGGCGCGGTGCTGCACACACGCGACACCAATGCCGGCGCTGTTAAATTTAACAGCGAACGACTACGGTATGCCATACATAGCCCCGCGCACTCGCAATGACGGCAGCGGACTTCTAGGACTTTACTCCGCTATTTTCTTTTCGCTGGCGCCTCTCTGCACGCAGTTCTTCATGCGCAAGTTTATTTTACAACCAGAGAACACATTGCACAATGGTACATCTCCTGCTGCTTGAGCAGAATTTTTCTTCAGTACTGTTTAGCATTTTTCGGTTTGGACAACGATATGAAACATGTGGAAAGCAACGCTATTTCCTCAACAAACTGAAGTCCGGATTGCTATTTCGACTTCCCGCAACCGCCGGACTTTCCGTACACTCCACTTGCATCGTCTGCCAGAGCAGCATTATCCTTGCCGCCTTTGTGCCCACTTTTGATGCCCGTCTGCTCGTCCTGCTCTTCAGCACCGGTCTTGCTTACTGCAGTGCTCGACTTTCCCGACTTCTTCCCGTCTTCCTTTCCGCCCTTCGCCGCAACGCCAGAAGGAACACAACAAGCGGATCCCTTCTCCGCATTTTCTGCTCCCTTACTGCTGGTGCCCGTTGACGATTTCGCCCCTTTCTCCTTCCCTCCACCGCTTGCGCCCTTCCCCTTCCCCTTACTGGACTTCAACGGTGGCGCCATCATGGCCTTCAGATCCGCCTCCTTGTCCCGCGTCAGCCAGAAGGGCGGATTGTAGGGCGGTTGCGTCTTCTTGCTGAAGTCCAGCTCGTCCTCGGACGCCTCTTCCACCTCCATGGCGTCGTCTTTCGCGGGCTCCATACTCCCGACACACTCCCCCGCCATCCACACGCACCACTCCGCGATGCGCCGGTCGCCCATCCACGGCTCGTCGCCGACAATCTCCACTTCCGGAAACCGCTGCTTCAGCGGTTTGTGTTCTTCCGCCGACAGCGGGTCGACGTAGGGGTAATACATGCTGTCCAGCCGCTCCAAAAACTGGCGTCCCCCCGTCCCGTTGAAGCAGGACAAAACCACGACTTTCGTGACCTTTCCCTCGCCCGCCTCGATGGCGCCAGCGATGGCGTCGATGAAGCGCTTCTGAACGAAAGGCTGAAAGATTTTCAATTTCAAGTTCCTTGTGTTCTGCCCAAGGCGGGCCGGCGACGAATCCTCTGCGAAACAACCCCACTAATTGCACTGAAAAAAAGGTGCTACAAGCACTAGTCGCGCCACTTGGACACGTGCACATCGTTTTTGTTACACTTACAGTTACAACGAGCGTACCTTCCGACTAATAAAACCAACTAGAGTTTGCACAAGCAGCATTTCGTACCTTCCGCAGCGTCTGCAGGTAGCACCAGGTGTTGACCTTCAACGCTGGGAATTCGGCGGCGATCCGATCCCGAATACGTGCGTGCAAGTGCCCCCAGAAGTGTTCGCACCCGTCCCCGTGTGACACCGTCACCACGGCGGTCTGTGCTTGTTCCGCCGCGCTCAAAGGCGTGTAATCGTGTGTCGTGGACGAAGATGATACCAGCATTTTCCTCGCACTGTCCAGCAGAATTTCTGGCAGCACGGTGCCGTGGTCCAGACTGCTACAGTAAGTCACAGGCAGAAATCCACAGTACCTGCGCAAGTCGTCGTCGCGTTCCGGGGTAAACCGCGTGTTCAGGCAGTTCGGGATGTCGCGTTCCGAGTGCGAGGACACGCTGATAAAGACCGGGATCGCGATCACGTGGTCGACTTCTCCGCTCTGTTCCAGCTCCTCCATCGCCTGCTTAATATCCGGCTCGGCGAATTCTAACCACGCCCACTTCACGATCTTCACTTTCTTCTGCAGTGTCGCGGCGTGCTTCGTAGCATGATCTGTTGTAGTTGTCTCCCCATGTCCCTGTTGCAAGAGTTTCTCCACCTGGTCGCGCAAGGTGATCTGGCTGGCATTCCACTCTTTCGATGGCGAGCCGTGAGACACCAGGAGCACAGCGTACGTGCGCTCACGGGTCGGTGACATCTTTTTCCCCGAGAAGGCAGCAATCTGGTCCTTGTCTGTTGTCGGAGAAGAAGCAGAGTTGTCTTTAGCAGCTGCTGGAGGTGAGGTTGTAGTTGTGTATGATGTTTTGGTTTTCGCACTGTTTTTAGCAGTGGAGTCGGAACGCAACGTCGTGTCTGAACAGAGCAACAACGAAGACAATTGTCGAGGGAGGCAAAAATCGAGGTCCATCTAGGCGACGGCGACAGGTTGCAACAAGGCTGTAGTGAATTCGCTAGAAGAATTAGGAGTGACGAGGAAAGCACAATCGACAACAATTTTTTGGGATGAAGACAAGTGTTCAAGGAAACCCACGGCGCACCGACGCAGACTGGTATCTGATCAACATCGGCGAAGTCGAGAGGCCTGAAATGATAACCGAAGAAAATAGATCGCTTTCCGGCAGGATCTAGCGACTTTCTACTTGCGTGAACACGGACAAAAAAAACTATCGATCTTCTGCGGAGCGGGTAAAAATATTTAACTTTAAGTACTTTACTTTGAGTCGTAAATCATGCGTGAGGTGGGTGAGGATGTGTAGTAGCGTCACCTTTTTGTATGTTGAAGAAGTCCTCGAAATTGCGCCAAGCCTCGTCTCGCGTGGCAGTGGCTCACTCAATCACTGAAACTGATCACTACAAGAACCTTCTCGCGGTCGCGTACTATGAAAAATTCGCCGTCCGAAGGCGATTGATACAGCAGGCTATTTCCAATTTTCGAGGTTTTGCGTAGAAACCCTGCGGGCGGTCCCACCTGCTCAGCACGTCCAGTGCCAACGGACTTTCGGCCAGCAAGCTGTCGAACTTGTCCAAGAGCTGGGAGAAAGAGCTGCTCTCGTCCACGATCTGCTTCTTGACTTTGTTACTATAGTCGTCGCCCAACAGCTGCAAAATATCCGTCAGCGCCTTGGCCTGCGACAGCTCGACCAGCTGCTCGACGTAGGTTAGCTCGACCTCTTCCTCTCCGTACTGAATGCAGCGCAGGTTTCGGGCCGACGCCTTCCCGTCTGCCGCACAGTTTGTATTGTTGTTCAAACGCCGCGGACGGAGCGCCGGAAAGCTGCCTGTTAGTTTATTTTCGATGGGGGGGGTGAACAAAGCTAGTTGTAAAGATCACGACGATCGTTGCATCGCGTCGTAGCTGCAGCGGGAAGGGCAATGGCAAACAAAACTACATACACATTTCGTTCGCTTAAAAGAACATAGTCAAAGTTGCAAGAAAGTCGAGCCCAGCCGTGCAGGCCAAAAAACAATGAAGCAAAGAACCTTCACTCCTCCCGTCCAGGGTGGAGTCCCAAAACTTGGTGGAGGTGACGATCTTTTTTGCCTCGGCCGTCACGTCTTTCGCGATGTAGTTTTCTAAACACAGCACCGTGTCGGCCTTTTCGAAGAAATCGCCGCTGGCGCCGACCACTAGGATTGTCGACACCCTCGTGGTTTCGAACAAGGGGACGACTTTGTCGATGAAGGGCTGGATCGGTTCCTTGTTGTTCGCGACCAGCATTTGCATGCGCTTGTCCCGAATCATAAAGTTCGTCGCGCACGTGTCCTCATCCACGAGCAAACAGGTCGCTCCGGCTTCCAACGCTTCGCTGATATTCGCCGCCTGAGACGTGGAGCCGGACGCGTCTTGCGTGGTGAAGTTGGTCGTCTTCGCACTGTCGTTCGCGGTGGTGTTGGGAAGATTTTTGATGAAGGGGGAAATGTCGGTGTTCAGAACGCACCGGCCGTCCTCCGACCTCAGTTTGAACGCATTTTCCTCCGTGACGACCAATTCGCGCCCGTCGTTCGGAATTTTGTCGTACACGCCGGTTTGTAACGCTTGCAACAGAGTGGACTTCCCGTGGAAGCCCCCACCGACGATGAGCGTGACGCCCTTCTTGATGCCCATGCCGCGGACTTTGCCCCGATGGGGGAGTTCCACGAAAAACGCGGAACTTTCCGGAGATTCGAAAGGGACCACTTTGGCTCGGTCCATCGGCCGGTCGTCGTTTCCGGCCTTGCGGGGCAGAATGGCAGAATCACCGACGAACGCGACCAGGTCGTTGTCTGCACACCAGGCACGGAGGTGCTGCTGGTCTTCGACGCATCTGGAATTTAAGTTCGTCGTTCAAACTGATCATGATCAACCATTGCTTTTACATAGTTTGCTACAGCATATGCGTTGAACTATACTCAATCGAAGCAAACAAGGCGACAAATCTCTTTATACTGTAGATGTTTCCGAAGTGCAGCGTGATCCAAGTTTTGAAATATCAGTGCTTTCTGCGCGGTTTTCACTAGTGCGTCAAACGCCGCCGCCGCCTTTTTGCCTTCTGCCGTCCGTCCATGCGCCGGCAAGGCCAGCGTCGCCCGCACCTCGCAGTACTCGCGCATCAGAACCACGCAGGACCGCTGCAGCACGAACTGCGACGGCCGGTCGACCTGGATGTCTCCCCCCTTACTGCTGCTCCAGCCCGCGTTCTTCTCCGCCACCTCGGTCCAGTCCACTCCCGACCTATGGAAGTGTCAGTATCGAAATTGGCAAAATCGAAAAATTTGTTATGCACAAAATCGATGCCAGTTGAAGCCTCAGTTTCCAAGTGGCGCATGACAAATTTCGGAAGCACCCACATCCGGTCTGTCATGCTGTTTGGGCAAAGAAGACTGCTCCTGTCATGCTACTCTGGTAGCACATTGTATACCCCTAAACAGGCTTACAATTGGTCTCATTTGCCTGCTCCCCAATAGTACAGGCCTTGCGTGCCCTACATTTTACGCATCACAAATTTTTCGACTTTGCCGATTTCGATCCCGACACTCCCATACGACCCGCCGCGAAGGTAGTCGTTCACCACCCGCTGCACAAAATCCGCGGCCGCGAGGTTTTTCACTTTTGTCTTCTTGTCCTTGCGAAAGTTGTCCAGCAAAAACGCATCGGGCCACTTCGCGACCGCGGCCGGAATGCGCACCCGCACGTGGCTATGGAAGCGTCAGGTTTAAAATCGACAAAGTTGAAACGATTTGTCATGCATAAAGTGGATGCCAGTTGGAAGACCAATTTCCAAGCGGCGCATGCCAAATTTTTGGAGCACCGGAATCCAATTTGTAATGCTGTTTGGGCACAGAGGACTGCTTTTGTCATGCTCCTTTAGTAGCTCTGTCCCAAACCCTAAATAGGCTCACAATCTGCCTCACTTGCCATCCCGGCAAGACAGGCACTTCATGCCTTGCATTTTATGCATGGCAAATCATTTCAACTTTGACGATTTCAATCCTGACGCTTCCATAGTGGCTCGGCGGTGCGTACGCGTCGCCCTGCACATGGTCCACGTACACGGTATATCAACTGTAAAAATGTCTGGGTCTGGAAGATTTTTTCTAGATTTGCCATGCATATTTTCCATGACCCATGATGTCTGTGATGCATGCCGTAGCATCACAGATTTTTAGAGCGCTTTGTGATGCCTCTACAGCATGAGAAATGACCTCTCCGCGTAGCACAAACTGGAGTCCTCTTGCTGGTCATGTAATACAAATTTTTTCAGAATTCAGAGACAGCATCACAAGTTTAGAATGTTCCAGACCCAGACACTTTTACAATCCGTACGGTGAACTCGTCCTCGGCCCACTCCCCCTTCAAATCCTTGTACGACCCGTAACCCGCGCCCTCCAGGTTGTTCCAGCAATACTTCTGCAATTCCGTTTGGGGATGCGTCAGCTTGGGCTTCTTCGCGTCCGGTTCCTCGTCCTGCTGTTTGCCCCCGCCTTTTGACTTAATGTGCTGCCACCACGGGTAGCCGCCGCCTCCCTTTTTGCCGCCGCCGCCTTTACCCATGGCTAGATAGATCGCGCTACTTCTTCTGCTGTTCAAGTTGCGCAATGCGATGAAAAGAAAGCGAAAAGAGGATGACGATAATACTGCAAGAGTGAGAGCAACGTCTTTCTAGAGGAGGTCGCGTTCTCATTGAAGCTTATCCATATGTAACGAGGGACAGTACTTTATGATGTGATGGCTTTCTCAGTTCACAGTGACGTTGTTGATGCTTGATGACCGTAGCTCAGTTCTCTGAAATGATGAGTGAAAACAAGTAACGAGGGGAAGCCGAAACGGCGGCAGAGCAGCTTGTTGCGGATGCGATGGCGGTCGGGTGAGCAATACAAAAAGGAAAAAGAAAATGGAAATGCAAGGATCCGAACATAAGCGAGAGCAGAAAAGGAGATCTTCAGAAAGGTCGTGATCTTCTTTCAACTGTCTGCAGCGTAGACTTTATTTCTGCTTCTGAAAATAGAACCGCACCAACTACACCATCATGGCTGATGCGTTCATTTTGGGCGCTCTCGACGAACAGCCAGAACAAGAACTACAACCGCTGTTATTAATGATCCGAGACGCAAAACTGCTCGTCCTGCTACAGGATCGTTTCTGTTTGAGTGCCCTTACTTGATGCGGACGAACATCAACACATCGGAGGAGCTGCAGAGCCGTGCAATGAATCAAAAGGCCAGAGATGCTCTGACCCTGCTACCAGCACACCGCATTATCGCAGTTGTCGGATTCCATTCGACACTATCGTGTTGGAACTACGCGGCGAGTTCTTTCTCCTTCTACCCGAGTTCCAACATACTGCCGAAAGAACTCTTCAACGTATGAATTTCATCTTTTTGTTGCTCTTCCAATGACAACTGGTGGCCCAGCTCACTTTGGTTCATCTTCATCAATTCTGTACTTTTTAGTACCCCTTTACCACTTGTAGATGACTCCGGGTCAGCGTCATCGTTGAAATTATAAGTTTCTGACTTCTGCAAGTGGTACACTAGCCCTGCTGGAAAATAATGTTTTTCTGATTGTTTTTACGTCAAGCAATTGGATATATGCGTTATTTTTTACTTCGCCGGCAGCTTCTTCATGTCTGCGTCGACACTCAGATCCACCTCCCGGATCACGGGCATCTTCATTTCCGTGGCGTCTTCCGGCGTTGGCACGGCGTTCAAGGCCTGCGCGCCCATCTCCCATCGAAGCATATCACTGCTGTTCCACATGCGATGACCTGGGACGATGTGCAAATAATTGTAATTCTCTCTCGCGCATAGCGAAACTGCACTTGCGGTTGCGACCATGAAAATGGTCACGACCATAAAATGGTTGGAGTAAGTACATCATTTATCACCACCAGTAGTACCTCTCTCAAGCAACTTGATGTCAAAGACGTCGTCGACATCCGGATCCTTGGCGAAAATCTCCTTGTGATCCTTGTAACTTTCGTCCACCCAGGAATTCCCGTACGTCACGCGAACCAGCATGAAGATCTGGTCGCACTCACCGCAACGGTACAGAAATCCCTCGCGGCAGTGGAAGCTGATTAAGTATTGTTGACGTCGGTTATGGTTCGTCCATGTCGATGTCCTCAACAATCAAATTGCTCGTGCGAAAAAAATAGATGTTGACGTACTAGCTAGCAAACGCGAAATTAAAAACACAAACACATCAAGATGAGCAAAAGTAACGATACAACATCGCGTCGTGTTCGTTATCACCAGTGCCGCCCGTACAACACACCTGGCGGATATCCGAAAGGGAGGGCACTATTACCGGGTTCTCGACAGTCCCGAAAGGCCCGATCATGGGCGAGCTTTTCAAGTATTCATACAATTCGATGATCCCCATGTGGTGTTCCAAGACGTCGGAAGAGTGTGAAAGGAAAACTTAGTATTTGTCAACTTGCTTGTCCAACCACGTGGCTGTGGCATGCAACACAAAATAGGAACGCAAGACAAAGACTCGCTCGTTTTTTTTGCCATAAAACCAATGCATTCATTCTTTTTCTCGCTGTGCGCTCGAGGAATGACAGAGGATCCTGGTGCACGGCAGCTCCGAGCTGCGCACCAGCAGAAAAAGAAATAGACAACTCGCATGACAACAGCACGCCTACGCGGTTGAAGACACTGCTGAAGAAAAATCACAGACATTGTTTTCCGTACCACTACTGGCATGCCCATATCGTACGCTAGCTGCTTGTACCTGTTGTAGAAAAAGTGTGACAAAGAAAATCCATATTCATCGCCAGCAACTTCTTGCTTCGTCGCCAGCAACTTCTCGATTTCCGTCGAGTATCTATTGGTTTCACGACATGCAAACGCAGGTCACCCGCAGCATCAGCAAGAGTTACTTGATACGTGAGCGTGACGAGCCTCTCCGGGTGCATGATTGTGGATTCCTTCCGAATCCGCCAGTACCAGTAGTGGTCCAGAAAGTCAAACTCCCGCTTGCTCGGATCCTTCTATGCAGTGAAAATAGGTGGTTGGTTCAGATCTGGAAGACGAAGACTGGGTAATGCTTGGCTAGCATTATACACAGTCGATTCTGTAATCACGCATGCTGGTGCTGCGCAGACGAGGGTCGACTGTTTTTTATTATTCTTTGTCAAGATGTATTCGAAAAACCCGAGTTCTCGTGCACCGGAGCTAGAAAACTCGTCCTGCGTAGCTGTGTAGTGCTCGGCCTGCTTGCCATTTACAGGATGACGTTGCAAATCCCTAGTCTTCAGACGAACCCGTCGTTTTTCCGTGTGGATAGCTTTAAAATCTCCTTGATATCAATGGGCATGGAATGCGGCGGCAGCGTAAAATCATCCACCGCGGGTGCGTGCCAGTGTCGGTAGTGCCGAATCTGCTGTTGTGCGCCTGGTCGTAAAAGTGGTGATCTGCAAGAACTCCGGTTCGCCCTTGGATTGTTGCGGAGCCGCAACGCATTTCCGTTGTGATTCGGATTGTTCCAGTGCCCCCCTAGTATCTTCCCGCCCGCCGCAGACCCAACTGCCACATGCGTCCTCGAGGTGGCCGGAACAAACGCAGCCCTTGGGTTGCTTTGCACCGGTGACGCTGATGCGCTGGACCAGAAACGCCGAAAGGTCGTGCACAGCGATCCCGAGCGAGGTACCACAGCAGAGGCGACCATCACTGAGGACGGTCAGAGAAGTAGAGAAAATTCGGTAGCTGTGAGTAATACTAGGGAGAGCGACCGCTCTGGCCAAAATCAAAAGCTGCACTTCCTCTACTACCCACTCGGGTTACTTACGCGCGATTCCTCGTTTGTTTCGTTACGCCCGTGGTTCTTGCTGCCGTCGTCTTCCTTGCACTGGTGATCTACTTCCCCATGCCGAAAAGCAATAAACACGCGTCCTCCACATTTCAAGACTTTCAAACAACTACGTTTGGGGCAAAAATAACAATTTTTGGACAAGTACCGTGTAAAAGTTCAATGCGAGTACACGGTTGCAGGAGGCGCGCTCGTGCACGACCCGAAACAGAAACAATGCGCCATTTCAGACTGGGAGTCGTTCTGGCACAATGGCCAAAAAAGCACAAAGACACACACACAACTTCATATTCTCCAAGGCTTGTTGGTACTAGTGCTCCTTCTCTCCTTCGCACTCGACAAATAGAAACGCAAAGATCCTCCCTCACCGTTAGAAGCTGCACTTCAACCTGTGATGCTGAAAGAAGATGGATGGAATTCAACGGCCGAAAAGAAGCAGAATTTCTCTTGTATTATCTACTGTTGAAGCAATACTATATGTAACGACGATGTTTTGGCTGCACTGCGGCAATCCCGCGCGTGTGAAGAATAAAACACAACGTACCAAATTCTCCGGACTACACTACCCGTCACAATGTCGCGACCGGTCGTAGGCTATTAATATGTTGGTGGCCACTGCTATATTCTTCAAGACCATCACATCTCTTGTTTTTTCGAAACAAAAACGTACGAGGAATCCATCTGCTGAAGACCGTATCAGGGAAGCACGCCACCTAGTGAAGACCGTCTCCGCCGGCAACACTCACTCCCATCTCATTTCTAGCCCAGATTTGTAGAGAGAGAAGCCAGTGCTCACTGCAGCGACAAGAAGCAATCCCGCTGTTGCCAAGAACGAAACAAGGAAATGCTCTTCACTGCAGTGAACTTCGCCTCATAGCTTCAAAAAAAGAAAGACCTTAACGAACCTACCCGACTATCGAAACGTAGAAAAATATTTTCCAAAATTCAAAGTGAAAGAAGTGCCAGCTTCTTTTTTACAGGTTCATCCCACCCGTGGTCCACAATCTGCTGTTCGTTGAGCAGCTGCCTCTTCTCTTGTCTAAGTGTCTATCTTTTAATACTGTGTGCACACTAATAATCCTATGCATTGTAAAAAAATATTCTCGCGACCCATCTTAGGACAAGCCGTGGGTTAAAAAAGTATGTGGCTTTGTTCCAGTTTGAGACATGTGTCTCTTTCTGACTTCATCTTCGCATGGGAAACGTTTCTCTACTGCTTCTCTTCTTCATGTTGATTTTTGACAAGTACATTCTATTTGATTCATTATGGCAACCAGGCACGGTCGCGGATGAAAATTATAAACTACACCTCCCGCGAGAGGTCTCTTCTATCGGGGGCGAAAATTTGTGTGCTAGTCTGGATCTCCCTACGCTACACAAGATAATTAAACCTGGTGACCTACCTGCGGCGCCAACAAGATGCACGCGGTCTATCTCTTGCAAAAGATGAATCTTACAAGGCGAGGACGGCGCACTGTCATTGCTGACGTCCATCATCGGTGGTCTTCGTTCTTGCAGCTGATGCCTGTCTGCGTGTGCGCGCGGCGTCAAAGAAACTGCTCTCTATCTCTTCACTATATTACTTTATTTCTTTCAACAAAATCACATCTGCTGCCAAAACTAAATCTGTTCGGAGCCTCGGAGGTGATGGCAAGAACTACGAACACAACACTACATCGATACATATCTGCCTTCCTACGAATACAGCACGATGACAGAATCTCCTGCACATCAGCGAGAAAAAACGCGAAAGCTTTTTCAAAAAAACAGAACTCTACCGTATTTTGTAGAGCAAATTTATTCACGAATTTTTGAAATACTGTAAAAAACTACGAAGGCCCTACGCAGGTGTGGATCCACATCTAGTTACTCATGACATAAAGCATCCTACAAATCCGAGTCTGTCAAACCTCAGTTGTGTGCTGGTACAGAGCCCGTACCGCACTGGTGCATCATCATCGTCCCACTATTCCCGGCGCCCCCCGCGCCGGCCGCTAGTATCAAAGAGAAAAATCCCCCCTCCCCATATCAAACAGGCACGTTTCCGAAAATTTGCGTTGCTGATTTGAAGTCACAAATAACGCTTGTCTTGCAAGAGGACAAGGGCAGAAGCTTCCGCCCCATTATGGAAGCGATTTGTCATGCTGTTGGGCCTAAAGGAAAGCCGTTTGCCATGCTGAACAACTAGACCCATACGCCCCTATCCAGCCTGGGGATCTGGCCGCAGTGCCTCCTCGCAATACAAACCCGATTTGTGTACACAAATCCAGCATCAGAAATTCCGTTTTGATATGGGGAGGGGGGATTTTTCCTCTCAATAGCTAGCGACGAGGAGTTGCTGCTGCTGCTCATTCCCGGCGAACTGGTCTATCGTAAGGAAAAACGTCCCCACCCCAGAGTTGTCATGCAAATGTGCAATGACAGGAAAATTTGTGCTGCACAGCTCCATGAGGGGCATTTCCAATCAGGTTTTGGATTTTGTAATGCTGTAAACAGGATGAGAAAACGGCTTTCTCATGCGGCTTCCCTTGCCAGCCAGCACTACACCGCAGAGGCAAACTTGTCATGCACAGGTCGCAAAACTTGGAGATTTGTGTTGCTAGATTCCCAACTTGACTATGGGGTGGGGACGTTTTTGCTTCGGATATGGTCAGATTCGTTGTTACCGTGCGGAAGTAACCATGTGACTGCAGCTCGCTCATCGCTGGACGCTTGTGCGGATTGTACTGAAAGATTTGCTGCTGTTATCCAATAAAAGAAGCGGAGTGTATAGTCTGTGTTTGTGTTGGTTGAACACACAGAGGACTGTTACTTATTGACAATTGCCATTTTCATCTTGAGTGCACCTCGCTACGTCCAATAGGAGACTTCTGCACGAATCGCACCGCAACGCGCTCACTCTGCTCGCACTCTGTATCTTCACTGGCGCTGTCAGTGTAGGACTGTCGCAAACTTCTAACACCCTCTTTTTTCTTGAATAGCAGGAGATCATAAAGCAGCGGTAAATCCTCAGGAGCGACCGCAGGGGTATTCGGGCGCGCGTTGTGCAAGTGAAATCGTGAGTCAAGCTGATTGTAGTACTACTGGGTTGTAACCGATTCTTGATTCGAATCTAAATCTACCAAGCAACAGAAATAAGGAAACAATTTTCTTTTGCGCATGACAAGTGCGCGTACCTGAGAAGATACCAACGCTAGCACACCCCACACTAAACCATGGAGCAATCGAAATGACTCACAAGACAAACAAAGTTGATGTCCTCAGCATGCAGAGCTTCAATAGACCCGATACCACACTGTACTTGACCCGAATAGGAATCTGCCATGCATACGCGCTAAGCCATTCTTCCACCGGTTTCGCGACGAATTTTGGATACTCCGGTGAGAAATAGGGCAACTGCGTCACACCGGTCCACTCGCAAAAGGCTGGAGAACCTGCGGCACGGTAAAAGTTGTATGGTTCAATCGAAGAACTTCGGCTTTCATCAGAATGAATGCTGCTCGTTCAGAACGTTCCACCTCATGCATCGCTCTGCGTCGTGATCAGGGATGACCACGACCACGACGCGTCAAAGGCGACATTTCTACAGTGGAGCATGCACCATGAACCTCAATACAGCCTCGTAGGTATGCTAGTAATACACTACGCGTGCAGCTATGGATGTAGCAATGAAAAATCGGAAAAAGTATCCTGTACCGATGACACGGAAAATCTGGAAAATCGTGCCAATCTCACTGTCCCCCACGAACACCGGTGCCCCGTCGTTGGCGAGCTCCCCAAACACGCAGCCGAAGGACCAGAGATCGATGCTGACCGTGTACTTTTTTTCGCCAAGCAAAATCTCGGGTGCACGGTACCACAGCGTCACCACCTCGTGCGTGTAGTTGCGGACCGGCGCCTGGGTCGTGTGCAAATTGATTTCTTATAAGACAGCGACTCATCACTTACTGATAGACCAAAATAACGGCTTGGAACAAGTAGAGCACGCACTTGATAGCAGCATGATCCTAAGCCGCTGTACCGAAAAAGCGCGAGCAAGGCCGAAATCGGCGATCTTGACGTTCTGCATGTCCCAACTGATCAGGACGTTCTGCGGCTTGATGTCCCGATGAATGCGGCTATGGAAAGGAAATATCGCACAGTCTTAGACATATTATTCAGGAGAGACGTAATTGACGCCCATCTTCAGGTACCAAGATTTTTGGCGCCGCATATGTACATGGTTGGAGCTCTTCGACTACATCTGCGACGGCGGGTAACAAGGAAGGAATAAACGTAGTCATAGCATGATAATCTTTAAGACGCCGTCGATATCACGAGCTGAAGAGAATTATCACTCGAAGCAGTTGATAGATTCCCGATGCGTCCCGTAGCGAAAAACTCGTACGAAATTCCTCTCTGATACATGCGGTGCTTGTGGAGGTGCGCCAGCCCTATGCGTTGTAGTGGTTGTTCTTGCTTTGTTCTTGTTAGCGATCAGGGTAGCAAAACATACTAGTACATAATCTAAAAAGTGCAGACATTGAGGGTGACTGATTTTCATGCCGCGAACACCTGCTTATCGCTTTCACTTTTTTTTCTCGGGTTGTAATAGATACCGTCGAGCATCATTTTCCCAACTCGTTTCAGTGGTTCCCCGCACATTTTCGGCGCCGACTGACTCTTCATGAACTGCCTCAGGTCCGCATCCATGAACTCAAAAACCAAGTGCAAAAAACCCCCGTTGCTTTTCACGTCGGAATGCACGTCCTTGAGCTTGATGATGTTCTCGTGGTTGGCAACCTCGTGCAGAAAACACACCTCCCGCAGCGCTGTGGACGGGATTCCCTCGTCATCTTCTGACGAGAATGCAATACCTGACATCAAGAACGCATGGTGTTCTGCTTCTGTTTGTGCTACGACCCGTCGGAGAATAAACTTTCGTGATGCCCGAACATCATAGAAAAAATGTTTATGTTGTTGTGGAAGATATTGACACTCGTGCTGGGAATCACATCAGAGCTCTGGAACTGTGTCTCTTGCGTAAGCATGCAAAAGAAATGTAAAAAAGTAAAAAAGCACGAGGCTGTAGATACGTTTCAGCGCGACGAATTCCTTTGTCTGCAAATCTTGTGCCTTGTACACGGTTCCGAAGGTGCCTTCGCCGAGCTTGTCGAGCCGCTGGTAGAAGCTTTCCAGCGCATCTATCCTGCGCAAAAACGTCCCCACCCCAGAGGTGTAATGCAAATCTGCTTGCCAAAAAAGTTTGCCATGCGGGGCGCCATGAGAGGCATTTTCTACTCGTGTTTTGAGATTTATGATGCTATAATCCGCATGATATACTAGATCTGTGCTGCTGCTGAACTACCTAAACAGGATCACACTACGAGGACAAACTTGTCATGCCAAACGAGCAAAGCTGGCTGATTTGTCTAGCAGATTTCCCATCTTGATTCTGCTGTGGGGACGTTTTTGCAAATGATAGCATCCGCCCCATAGTTTAGCGACAACTGGTCGCCCCCGCCCTCGAACAAGGTTCCCACCGCCCGCGCCATTCACGATCCTCTATTCTATTAGTGCATCATCAGGCAAGCCTGCTTTGGTTTGGCAAAAGCCTCGTCATTCTTGTTGCGGATCAGACTTTTGTTTTCTGTCATTTCGTTCTGATCTGACACTCAACTTCTGCCTCTCCAGCCGGCATTCTCCGAAGTAGAACACTCTTCGTGCACTCAGCCTCAGGCAGCCCCACCTGTTGCCCTCTTTGCACGAGCTCCAGTTTCAACGCAATTGCAAATAGCTTCATACTTATAAGGAAGCAGCTACTGAAGAACAATCAATGCCTACGCAGCATTGCCGAACAAGAAGAGATGAACGCGTGGTGGCCCTGCTACTTATAATGCGCGCTCACAAAGAGAAAGACGCATGCCGCGCAGTTTTCTCGGTGCCAAGCAGAGAGACAGGCGACAACGAGCTGTGCTTATGATTTCTCGCGAAACATATTTTTTGTCTGAATTCTAGATGTTCAAGATCCACGTCAAGAACTGACAGAGTTCTGTGGGCGGTTTTTATTGTCCTTTATTCTCTAGTGGGGACGATAGCTCTCGGTAACAAAGGGGCATTGGCGTGGGTTCGCCTGGATCGATTTGAGCGCACCGTGGACATTCCTTCCTCAGTAACAAGAACGAAGTTCACAAGGCATGTAGGAACTAAAAAAGGAGTTCCAGAGGGAGAATACACAGAGACGAAGCAAATGTGCAGTTCAGGTGAAGTCGGTGGAGAGTGGGAGCTGCTTGTGCTAGTGTAAAAAAGCCGTGGTAAAAACTAAAACTTTGCATTGCCGTATATTCCGCTGATAACCCTATTGCCAACAAAGCTCGACACTCGTGATGCAGGTGTCTTAGTCTTGATCGACTCGTAAATTCGAAACTAGATAGACGAAATGTCTTTTACTGAGAGAAAAAAGAATTGCAGACTGATGCCATTACACCGGTTCTGCAGCTGGGATGAGACTGCAATTCCTTTTCCGAGAAGAGTGAGGCCGTAGAAAGCGAAGCAGACACGACTGCACCTAGGCAAAAAGAGGACTACAAGAACAGCACCAGTAGCTGCCCCGCACGCGCGGAACAATGAATCCGAAGGCCTTCTAAGAAGCACAATAGCGGAACGAAATCGACGAAAACGATCGATCGCACGATTTTTACAGCCCCCCGCTGTTGGAGTACCGCGAGTTGTCGACCTTTCTCTCGTCGTCCGGGTGCAGCTCCGCGTTTGGCTCCTGCACCAAGTGGTCCGGCATGGGGGCCGGCGGCAGTTCGAACCGCACCGCCGCAAACTGGTCCTGCTTCGGCACCTTTGCGTCCCAGGCCTTCTTGACGGTGTACTTCTCGCGCTCGTACTTGACCGCCATTTTCCCGAACTGGAACACGCGGGAAAACTCGGCGAACAGACTCTTCTTCGTCTGATGCTGCTTGCGCCTCTTCTTCTTTTCCCGCCGCTCCTTCGCCCGCTGCTCCGCGTCCGAGTTCCGGAGGTCGGCAATCACCTCCTTGCCCGGCTCCGGCCGCCCGCTCTGGTTCACGATCTCCTTCTGCCCCGGCGGCCGCGGCCGGTTCTGCCGCGGCATGAACATGAGCTTGCCGCCGTCAAACGTGTGTATCTCCCGCATCTCCCGCCGCAAAGGGTCCTCCTCGATCGGCGTAATCTTGTTTCCATAGTCCCGGTTGCCGTCCTTGTACGTGAAAAAAGTCTCGTGCTCCTCGACCATCGCGCGCGACGGCAGCGCGAACCTGTCATTTTGTACAAGGTTTAAATTTAATATGCTGGCGAAATTGATCATACTGTGAGTGTGACGGCTTTCTATTATTTTTCCAACTTCATGTAACAAGAAGTTGCTTGGTAAAGCTGCACGGTGCTCTTGCGGATCGCGAATGCCACACGGACTAATGATGGGGAATAGAAGCGCACCACTCCTGCGGATTTGAGAGCAGTTCGCCGAATTGTCATTAAATGATACTAGCAGTAAACTGAAGTGGATGAGGAGCGTCCTTCTGGTGGTGGTGTGAACAAGTAAGTACTATTAAAAGCCCGCTATCATGTTTGTTTGCAATTCGAAACTAGGGAGGAACAGAGCCGCAAAAACAAAAAATTAATCAGAAAACCTGGCCAAGTCGCTGGGGTCCACGGTTGGTCGGGGGTTCCAGAACCTCGGGCGGAATTCCAGGTCGAAGCGTATTCTGCCCTGCTGGCTCATGCGCAGCGGGCGGTCGAACTCGAACACGCCCGGCTGCCACAAAGACTCGCGCAGGGTGCGGAAACTTAAAAAGATGACGCCGAGCGGGATGTGCCGCTTAGGCACGGCCGGCATGGCCACGTTCTGGTAGCCCCGCTTGCGCATGACCTCGTGAAAGTTCTTCAGACTGAGCCACACGGAGTCTTCCATGGTGCGGACCGGAATCGGCTTCGCGAAATCCGCCTTGAACATGGCCCGGTCGGCCTCCAGTTGCGAGGAGAAGGCCTGCAAGTAGTCCTCCGTTTCCTCCGTCGCGGCTGGCCCGCCGGCGCCGCCGATCCCGCCGGCCGCACTGCTGGCGTTCAACGGATTCGAAGCGCCGCGCGGCCCGTTTTCGTCCTCCACCTCGATACCGCCCACGTCCACGGCCGCAGCCGTGTCGATCCCGATCTCCTTCTCCGCCGGCCGCATGGCCTCCTTCATGTGGTCCAGCTGCGAAGTGTCCTGGGTGCCCATATCCTGAGTTAATCCGTACCCACACCAGAGTCAGGATGGGGATTTTGCAACACAAGCCTAGGAGTTTTGTGAGTCATGCATGACAAGTTGCACTCTGCAGTGTAGTGCAGATTAGCAAGTGCAGCCGCGTCACAGATTCGCCTGCTCATCCTGTTCACAGCATCACAAATTCCAAAACACGATTGGAAACGGCTCTCATGGGGATGCGCGTTACAAGTCTTCCTGTCTTTGCAAGTCTGCATTACAACTCTGGTGTGGGGACGTTTTTACTCAGGATAGCCCAGAAAGTGGATACTCAGAAAGGAAAACTGGGTCAGCTTCTTCAACTGAAACGAAAACGTCTCGTTCCACACCGGATTCGGGTTCCCCAGACAACAACTACTCGATGGGTCCATAGGAAAAGTCGTTACCGGCTCAAGTCAGATGACTATGACATATTATACGTGTTTATAGTTGATTTCGTTCTAACTTCTTGTATCGATTTTTTCCGTGTCATAAGAAACCACATGCAGATCCCATGTTGATATCAATACCTGAAAGGTGACTTGACTTCTAGAGAACTAACTTTTTCCAAAGGATATATGCAGATCTCGCTGTTTTCGTCAGGGTTGGCGGCAAACTGCAAGTAGGCGTTATGAAATGCAAAAGTGTCTGGGTCTGGAAGAATGCAACTTGTCATGCTGATTTTGGATTCTAAAAAAATCTGTATTGCATGAGCAGCAGAGAGGTTCCAAGTTTTGCTACACGGAGAGAGCATTTGTCATGCGGTATAGGCATCAGGAAGCCCTCACAAAATCAGTGATGCTAGGGCATGCATCACAGACATCAGGAGTCATGCAAAATGTGCATGACAAACCTGGCAATCTTCCAGACCCAGACATTTTTACATTTGATAGGCGTAAGTGTTCAACGATGCGCTGTCCACCCCGGGGCACGCAAGATGCCTTCCATGCAGCAGAGACAGGATGATGCTACCTGAAGTGGGATTGAGTTTTCTTTTGCGAACGATCGTTTCTTGACCTGGATCAAGTTCTCCTATCTATGTATGGTTGTACTCGCGTCAATCACTGGCGAAGGAAAACGACATCGGCAAAGAGAAGATCCATTCGTCAGTGGACGCTACGGATACTTCCTTCGCTGCTGCGAACAAAGCAAAGAAAAGCCTCTCAAGAAAAGCACGACAGTGGTGCAGGGCCAGAGAAGCAAGTAAGTAGAGAAATACCGTCTGCATCGACGCCATTCAGCAGTTGTTTCGACGTGAGTCCGCGGGTCAGATCATGATCCCGCATTCCGTCGCAGATAATGTCGACCAGCGCTCGAAAGTTTCCGTCCTCCACGTCCATTTCGATCAATTGCGCGTGCGCCCCCTCTCGCGCCAGGTCGTAGGCTGTCTGCCCCGAAGCCGTCTTCCGGTTTAGGTCTGCCCCCATGTCGATTAGCAGCTGTGCCGCGTCGTTGCAACCCACCCGGTATGAAAGCGAAAGGAAGTTTCTGTCAAGGTTGGAAGTTCGACGAGCGCACTCGGCTTGCTGGTCGTCGGGCCTCTCATTGCTCAAAAGACACGGCGTTACCGGTAAATTGTGTTTTGCTTTTGGAATTGGATTTCACACAATTCACTGTAAGTACACAATCACATGTTTTTGCCTTCTGCATCTTCGAAACATGCCAAAAAGACTCCATTGTCGTGCCGAACTCCCTAGACTGACATCATCAAATCCTCCTTCAATCCCATACGTGCGTCGCCAGGTGCATGGGCGTCCACCCTGCGGCGTCCACTTCGTTCAGGTTTGCCTTGCAGTCCAGCAACGTGGCCACGCAGGCCGTTTCTCCCTCGTGGCAGGCCCAGTGCAGCGCCGTGTACTCATCCTTGTCCTTCATGTTCAAACTAGCGCCCGCGAGCACCAGTCCCGGGATCAACGACCAGTTTCCGTCGCGCGCCGCGATCATCGCAGCCGTGGTCCCGTCGTTGGTTTGCGCGTTCACGTCGATCGATTCGAAGGCCAGGTGCTTGTTGGGCGTGCCAAATATCAAATGCAAAAATGTCTGGGTCTGGAAGAGTGCAAACTTGTCATGCACATTTTCGATGCCCCATGAGGTCTGCAATGCAGGACCTAGCATGACAGGTTCTGCGAAGACTCTATGATGTCTATCCTGCATGACAAACTGCCGCTAAACTTGTTTAAACGTGGACAGCTTTTGGTAATCACGCAACACAATTTTTTGTACTATCCAGACTTAGCATGACAAGTTCCATCCTTCCAGACCCAGACATTTTTGCAATGCATACCAAACAGGCTGGTGCAATCCTTGTTGACTAAAAGCAGGTTCACCAAATCCAAGTTTCGTCCGGAGCAGGCGTGGTGCAGCATGTTCTTCCCATTGCGGTCGACCGCACTCGCGTCGGCAACCACTCGGGTATCAAGGTGGAAATGCTTTTCGTTCTCTTCTCCCCGGACGGGTTCGTTCTTGTCCGATAACATGCATGACTTTGCGGCATTACGGTTATTGATTAAGTATTCTTTCACTTTTTTCCTGTTGTAGTGCAGCTGCATGTTGTCAGTCAAGGACATATAAGAAGCTGCAACGCTTGCTTGTGCAGCCGCGTGTTGCAAAAAACCGGCGCGTGCTGGCTGCGACCACCAAATAGCAGATGAAAATGATATGCATAATCGACTTAACATTCACCCCCTCCTGCGGAGAAACAACACCATCAGTTTTCAACATTGCATACGGGTTGCGGCGATCGAGCAGTAGCAGTACGCAGTTCATGTTGCCGCGGCTGCAGGCAAGCAGCAGTGGCGTTTCTTCCTGCACGTTGCGGAAATCGACGGTCATTTCCGACAACCGCCGGGCAGCGTCCGAAGACTGGCCCAGCGCCGCTTCCTCGCGCTCCTTCAGCTGCCGCTCCAGCTCCAGCTCGGCCTTACTCTTGCGCATCCGCCGCTCGTTCTTCTTGCGCACAAAGTCGTGGAACTTCACCGTCTTGATGGGCTCTACCTTCGTCCCGTAGGCCGACCGCAGCTCCGCCTGCGCGGTGGCCCGCTGCTCCTCCAGCATCTTCTTCCGGGCCGCCACCTCCTCATCCGCCTCCTCGATCACGTAGGCCACCGAGTCCGTGAAGATGAACTCCAGCAGGTGCCGCAAGATCTGCCCGTTTCCCTCCTGGCAGGCCAGGTGCAGCGACGTGTTGTCGTTGCAGTCACCCTGCGTCACGTTCGGCAAAATCCGGGTCAGCAGCTCCACCTCCGCGAAACTACCCATCGTCACGGCGTGGCGCCTATCCCCTGCAAAAGTAACGCACAATTCGTGAAAATTCATATTCAAATTTTTGCAATACAAGTTATCATACTGCATGGCATATACAAGTTGCAACTATTCCAGATCCAGCATGATCGAACTGCACCATCAGAATTACTGCACGAGTGCGGGACTTTTGCAAAAATGCGTAGTGCAGCGCGCACATGCCCTGCGGGTCCTTCCATCCCGTGACGTTTTTAATCTCGTCGCCGAAACCCAGCAGCACCTCGCCGAGCTCCTTGAGCAGCTGCGTCTGCACGGCGTAAATGAAGATGTTCCATCCCCGCCCGTCCACCACATCCAGCTCGGGATGCTCCTCCAAAATCTGCCGCACGATCTTCCCGTTCCTGGTGTCCATCGCAAACATCAGGGGTGACCGCCCCTGCGGGTATCCCAGAAAAAAACTGCATCGGCACTACGACCTCAGCTTGTGTTACATACTGTTGCGGGAGGAAAATGCGAAAATCAAACGGAGGAGAAGAACCTTCATCAGGCACATGAAGCTTCATCTCCTCATTTGGAATTTTCGTACATCATGATCAGCATCTTAGTCCCGCTTCCGCCCGATCGATGCAAAGTCTGGTGGTGCAAGTGCGTTAGCATTCGCTGAAGATGCTACAACAATGCAAAGACAGGAGGGCGCTTGATGTAGCAGTGATACAGCTTTTTCGTCTCATAGCGAGTCGTACACGTTTACAGACGCGCTCATCCGAATCAGCATGTTAGCCATTTGCTCGTGCCCTGGAGTTGTCCAAGTGAAATCTTGAAGCAGATGAGAACTTCGCTTCCAACGAGCATGCAGGACGACCGAAAAAAGAAAAACCTAGAAACGTTACGTTTCCTACTGTGGACCTCCCCACACATCATATGCAAGTCCAGACATTCCGTTTGCAAATGTAAATCTCCAACGAGTGTCGAAATTTTGCCCTTCCCGTCTGCCTCAAGATTTCACACACGTACAGTCGACGACCACGTGAAGCGGAAAGGTGAAAAAGGCGTCGTGCACCTCCACCTTCGCCCCGGCGCACAGCAGCATCGCCAGCGACTGCGTTTGTCCGTTCTTGCAGGCGGCAAACAGCGCGGTCTGCCCCACGTTGTCTTTCCGGTCGATCTGCGCGCGCAGGGCGATCAGGCGACTGATGATGTTCAGATAGCCGTCCGAGCAGCAGTACATCAGCGCGGTGCGGCCCTTGCGATCGCACAGATTCGGGTCCAGCTTGTTCATGCCGCGACCCTCCAGCGACCGCACCAGGATAAGCTCCACCCGGTGCTGCGAGTACTCCCAGTACCGGTTCACCGACTCGTTGTATCATTCGGCAAAGGTGTGCCCCTACGACTCCAGGGTGGGATTTTGGGGTCACTCGAATTCATCTCGAAGAAGGTGCAGTTCTCCTGCTCATTCCCATGTATACAAGACAGAAAGTTCTTCGTTTTTTATTTTTTGGGTGAATCGTCGATGAAGAAAGAACTTTGCACTATACAAACACTTCGCTTTCCGCTGGGAGTTGTAATGCACAGTTCACCTTGATACGTTGGCTTTCTGCTTCTCCTCCTGGTAGTCTAGCTTGCGGCGGACCAGCTCGAAAGGCGAAATGCCCTGGCGCTTCTCCCAGAAGGTCAGCACCCGCGGCCGCTCGTACTCCTCGTACACTTCGTACCCGTGGCGAAGCTTACACAGCACATCCAGCGTCTTCACCGGATCAATCTTCGGCCCGTACGTTTGCAGTAGGCGATTCTGCACCTCGTAGTCACGTATGCATTGCAAAAACTTCGGAGCCACATGGAACAAATGTCATATATATTTATGCCTTTCGCAGTATCACAAACAGGATACTGCAACTGCCGAGAAGGGAAAACGCAGTAACTGTCGCGCACCTGAAGGTGAAGGTTGCGGCGTAGCAAATTCTATTCTATTCATCATGCATCCGCGACCGAATAAGTTTGCAGAGCATAACAAAGTATCGCGCCTTCGCGCGCTCTCGTGCGGTACGGTCCGCCCGCGTCATGAAATCGTCTCGATATAGACGAAATGAGGAAGCGATTAGCATGAGTGGCGTGTCATCAAATTCGAAAATTCGTTAGACGAGCCAGGGACAGTGTGTGAGACATCGACCTACCAAGATTCATTATCTTCGCCTTCCCAGGTTCGGGATTCAACTTTATCAAGAAAAGTAAGTGCTGTCTACCTTTTCTGGCCAGCCTAACCAACTCATTCAAATGGATACGTCACTCCCATGTTATCGCGCGGATTCGTTGCCGCATTTTTCTCGATCAAAATCTCCACCACACGCGTATGCCCGCAGAAAACTGCCACGTGCATCGGAACCCACCCGAAAGATGTCTTGTGGTAGGTCTTCGCACCTGGAAATGGTAGGAAAAAACTTTTCGCGTCGACCAAAAAGCATGCTCGATCGAGAGAAGGACAAACGTTCCGCTTCTGCTTAGTGCAGTTTCAGTCGTAGCGCTCCTTTGGCTTTCAAAATCTGGAATACAGATATTCCCTTGCGTGCCAAATCAGGAATTTACATCCACTTCGACAATAAGAAAGCAACAAACGCCCACCTCCTCTGCGAAATTCAAACAGTTGCACCTGACTGCAGCAGCAGACCGACGGTGAGCGGATTTCCTAGTTCGCAGCATATGTACAGCGCTGTCTTGCCTTCTGGGTTGATCAGCTCGATACTCACACGCGTGTTCCGCAGACAGTGCACCACTTTGTAGTAGCTATTGGTGGCCGCCGCTTCGTGCAAGGGGTAATCAGGCCGGGGCTCCCCCTCGTCGTCTTTCGGCTTACTGTCGTCGTGATCTAGATCCTTCACCAGTGCCTCGTCGTCTTCGTCTTGCGGTGTGAGATTGAAAAGTTGGGCTACGAAACGATGACGAATGCAAGAACGATTCTCTGCTTGTAGGTGGTTGAAATGCAATCTGCTTTTTTCTATACTCGGTCAGGTCATCTCCGTCTCACTTTGCAAAACAAACCACTCCATCCTGATCTTAGCACTTTCTTTCACGCATAGACGCCAAAGACCAGGGCCTGCTGTTACTGCGTTAATTGGTTTACGTGCAGAGAAAAAACTCATGGTCTCAACTAGTAGCCCAAGAAAAAGTGCAAGCCGTAGCTTCTTCTTCTGCGTCGAACCCGGCAAGCTCCGCTATGCAAGAGAAAACCGCAAAACGAGGGCAATAATTTCGCAGAAAAATTCTTTTTAGATATTAACTTGCTAACAAACACAATGAAAATTTGCAACGAACTGCAGCAATAGAAGTATCTATAACTCCTATTGCTGAGCTGCGCGAGTTAAAACTTTGCGACGGGGAGGAAAATCGCCCACGCCGGAAATTTTTTGACAATTTTGAAACTTTCCAAAGCTGTCGCGATTTGCGAAATCGCCCACCGCCCAACGGCCAACGGCAACCGGCCAAATCGCAAACGGCCAACCGCCAACCGCCAACGGCCAAATCGCAAACGGCCAAATCGCAAACGGCCAACGGCCAGCGGCCGAATCGCAAACGGCCAACGGCCAAATCGCAAACGGCCAACGGCCAAATCGCAAACGGCCAACGGCCAAATCGCAAACGGCCAACGGCCAAATCGCAAACGGCCAACGGCCAAATCGCAAACGGCCAACGGCCAAATCGCAAACGGCCAACGGCCAAATCGCAAACGGCCACCGGCCAGCGGCCACCGGCCAAATCGCAAACGGCCAACCGCCAACCGCCAACGGCCAAATCGCAAACGGCCAAATCGCAAACGGCCAACGGCCAGCGGCCGAATCGCAAACGGCCAACGGCCAAATCGCAAACGGCCAACGGCCAGCGGCCATTTTGCAGCTCGGAATATTTTCAAGCTCGAAATATTTCCCAGCTCGGAATATTTCCCAGCTCGAGATATTTTCCAGCTCGAAATATTTTCCAGCTCGAAATATTTTCCAGCTCAAAATATTTTCCGGCTCGAAATATTTTCCGGGTCGAAATATTTCCCGGGTCGCAATATTTTCCGGCTCGAAATATTTTCCGGGTCGAAATATTTCCCGGGTCGAAATATTTTCCGGGTCGAAATATTTTCCGGGCCGAAATATCTTCCGGGTCGAAATATTTCCCAGCTCGAAATATTTTCCAGCTCCAAGGTATTTTGCGACGCAAAATATTTTGCAGGGTCGCTCGGATCTGCGCGATCGCGTGGCGCTTCCTTAATGAAATTTCTAAGGAAAAAAAAACTGCAGCCCAGCTGGAGAGCAACGCGATCAGGCGGCCGAAGACCGAAGGCGGCGATCGCATCCCTGCAAGCTGTGCGTGGATTGTCGCCTGTCCTACTGCGAAATCTTTCCCCTGGGTAGCCAGAATTGCTGTGCTAAACACAGCAACTCGGGAAAAACAAACAAAATTTCCCTCCCCTTGCCCGTACCTTCCCACTATGCCAATATCCCCTCACTATCCTGATACCCTCCCAGTACCCTCCTGGGAAATCTTTCCCCTGGGTAGCCAGAATTGCTGTGCTAAACACGGCAACTCGGGCAAAAGAGCGAACTTTTCCCATCCGTTGCCAATATCCTCCGACTATCCTGAAGACATCCTCCCACTATCCTATTGGAAATCTTTCTCCTGGGTAGCCAGAATTGCTGTGCTAAACACGGCAACTCTGGAAAAAAAAATATCCTCTCACTATCCTGATACCCTCCCAATATCGTACTGAAAACCCGATCCCCGGGTAGCCAGAAGAGCTATGCTGAGCGCGCCAACTACTAAAAAGAAGCAAACTTCTATCATTCGGCCCCAATATCCTGGCACTAGACCGGTAGCCCCCACTTACCCCAATGCCTTCCCATTAGGCCATTGTCTTCCCCGGGTAGCCAGAATAGCTGTGCTAAACACAGCAACTCGGGGAAAAAAACCGAAAAGCCCCGACGTCCCCCCTGGAAATGCCCTTAGACATCTCCGCCCGAGCTTCCACCTGGATATGCCTTGAGGTGTCTTGCTTCGCCTGAAATTGCAGCAATTCCCGCGCTGCAGATGCCTTCTCAAAGTGTTTCCAGCTGGACTCCCAGATAGAAATGTATGGAGCAGGCCTCTTCAGCTGGAAATCCAGCTGGAAACACTTTGAACAGGCCAGGTGGGAAATGCATTGATAGGGCGTCTGCAGCTGCATTTCCAGGTGGAAATGCGCTGCAGATGCCTTTTCCAAATGTTTCCAGCTGGATTTCCAGCTGGAAACGCACTGAAAAAGCGTGCGCCGCCGTTGGGTGGGGAACGCCACCGGCGGCCAATCACCAGGCGAGCAGCTGCCCACCACCCTCCCCCGGCGCCCTCCCTGCTCTGTTCGCGAAGGGAAAGTCGCGCCCCAGCGCCAGGCTTGCAGGCGAGCAGCTGCCCACCACCCTTCCCCGGCGTCCTCCCTCTGTTCACGAAGAGGCCGGCAGAGGGCGCCACCATCCGCCGTCTCTGTCTTGGAGGGTGCGCGCGAGGGAAGCAGGCGGGGGCACAACAGATTGCATGCGGGCTAACACGGGGGGCGCCGTTGTTGTCCGGGGGTGCTGGGGGAGGGTGATGGGCCCCTGCGCCTGGAGGGCAATGTATGAATGCCCCGCCCCGGCGCCCGTCCTCCATCCACGCGCGCGGCAGGGGCCCCAGCGCGCCCCCGTTCTGCAAGGCTGCGCGCGGGAGAAGGGCGGGGGGCACGAAGGCGCACAGGGGCGGGGCACACAGGCAGGCGGCACGAACGGGCCACACCGCAAACGCGCGGGCGGGGCGTCACGCGCCACAGCCTCGCATGGCGCGGCCTGTTCCCCCGTCCACTGGCGGCCGCCTGCTGCCGCGCTTTGCGTTGTTGCTTGGGCCTAAGGCTTGCCGCCAAGCAAACGCGCGCCCAGTGCGGGCGGGCGGGCCCTCGCGCTCGCACAACGACGGGAACCACGGGCGCCATGGCGCTCCGCCTTCGTTCTTTCAGCAAGAAGCGGCGCAGATGCCTGGCCCCGCCCTGCATCAAAAATCTTTTCCCTTGCCCCTCTGGCGTTTTTCTTTCCCCCCCGTCCACTCGTTCACCCTCCCACTGCGCGACATAAGTTGTTTCCTTGTATTAAGGATTTTGATTTTCACCTGCTTGAGCTGTTCCTCTATTGCTGTTTGCGTCGCGTAGCCAGCTGGTACTTCTTCGCGGTGTCATCATCTTCAAACCTGCGTACGAAATTTTAGGAGTGCTCATACCTTCAATTTCTTGGCATGCGGCCTAGTATAGCGCAAGTGAAACTAAAACCCTTTTCAGCGAACCTCTTCATTGCAGATCTTGAGCGTATCAATCTTGAAGTGGTGACGTTTTGCTTTTTGGTACTACTCGATATAATCATCAAAGAAACTACAAATAAAGCATCAATACTCTTCCTCGTCTTCCTCCTCGGCTTCTTGCAGCCCCATGGAGATTTTGTGTGCGGCGGTAAGGTACTCAGGGCACTTCTCCCCCTCGAGGTACTCAACCATGCGCTCCATGGCCGCGGCATCAGCGGCACGCCGCTCTTACGTATGACTTTGCAAAACTACCCGGACGTCTAGCATCAAAAGAAAAGTCAAAGTGGTCTAAAGTGGTTCGCATGCAAATTAATGGGTGCTCATGATATCTCGAAGTGCCTCTTGCTGTTCAAGTTCATGTTCTGTCTGGTACTACCGCAATTCATTAACACTTCAATTCACTTCAACTACGACAAAAAGTCGAAACAAAATTACCTACGTTCGGTTCCTGCACCAGTAGATGTTTCAAAGTCATACTGCATCTTCCCGATGAACATTCCCATTGTCGCTGTCTTGGTACTGGTACTAAAGACAACGCAGAGGTCCAGTTACGCACTCGAACTACTTGAGGAATGAAAAAGGGTCGTGGTGCAGAACGCGTTGAAAGACAGTGTCAGCCACCTCTCTGTCTTTCTCCTGCCTTCCCGCCTCATGATCCATAGCAGAAGTGGAGGTGTGCTCCTTAATCGTGTACGGTCTTGTCAAACTCCTTGTGGTGGTTCCCTTTGTGAGCAAGAGAGTGGATAGAAGTCGTGCGTCTGCCCAGAAGACGTCGCCTCGGCCTGGATTCGATTCTTGTCAAGATACTTTCTTACTGTGCTCAGGCTTCCGAAGCGCTGATGAGCCTACTCAACCACTCGCACTATGCCGCCTTGTGCCAGGACGAAAGCAAAGCGGGTGAGACACCTGCAGCGCAGGGCTGGACAACCGGATCGGGGGTATTACTTTGCCTAGCAGAACGCGAGTGAGGCTATGAGGACCCGGCTTTCGCTTCTTCTTCTTCCATTGTCTTCGTCAGGCTTTTCCGCTCCCATTCATTTGCTCCTATCAGCAGGTACACGATACTTGGAGAGGGTAGAGGCGAACACGGCGCGGCCGGAATTTATTTCCCTCTCACCCTGCGAATTTACAGCAAACACGAGGAGACGACCGGCATCCTGCGGCCGGAGCACCTTGACCTTGTAGCATTATCGACCTTGCATTCATATGCTCTGACATTGTAAGTTTCAAATGGAACTACAACTGACTCGCGCTTTCGCTCACAATGCTGGCAAGTGTTTAGTACGAGTGAAAAATACACGATGGGTGGGGAATCGGACTCGGACATAGAGTAGCTTCTGCTATAAAATAAATCTCAAGCCTCTGGAGGAAGTGTGGAAGCGGAAACCAACAAGAGTCAAACGGACACACATCACCTGGATGCCTGCGAAATCCGTTTATCAGTTCAGAACTCCATCTATCTTCCTCTCCAATAGAGTGCTCAATTTGCATTCCTCGGTAATTGCGCGAAGTGGCAACCTCCCTCTGTCTCTCTCTCTCGATCTCTCAACACATGTCGACCATTCCTCGACACTCGATCTCTCTGTAAAAAGACGAGTCGACGTGGACGAATTCATCTGATTTAAGAAAGTAAGCCTCTCGCCCTCTCTGCGCTCAAACTGAAACTGAACCGGGCTCCTGCATAATGCTGCGGATTTTGCGAAAAAACATAAAGCCGTTCCTTGGTCATGGCCTGATCGACGCATGGTATTCCTCTAGCGTGTCATCGACCCCGTCGACGACAACGACGACCACACTTCAGGATGCAAAGTAAGTCTGCATGCGAAGTGATGCAGAACGCCTTTCAAGTTTTGCACTGGGTTCCGCTACCCTGCCGAGCAGTCGCCGGCGCGGCCGATTCACAGCAACCAGAAGTGCCAAGATCGACAGAACAAGATATGACTCTAGTGGGTGAAAATTGCTTTGCACACTGCAAAAAGCTGCACAAAACTAGCCTGCTGGCTCGCCAACATCGTGTCAGCAAGGTCGTTCTTTTCGCTTTGCTTCAAGGGGATAGATTATCAATATTCTTCTTGATTAGTAATAGTATTTCCAGACAAATTAGCTATTTTTCATTTTCCTGCAATCGCGACATAATTCAAGAAATCACTTAGTTTTTCAGTTGTAAAATTGTCAAACAAAGCAAAGAAATTAGTCTCAACATGATTGAAGTTCCGTTCACAAATAGCGGAAATCAGCATACGGCTAGCAACCATAATCTACTCCTGTACTTGACGGATCAACGATGGGCTTCTCACGATATGTGATCAAAGTGAGGAATTCGAAGATCATGATTGCTGCCTAGCCTTGAAGTCCGCAGTGTTACGTCTTTAATCTTAGTCTTGTAAAAGTTTCTGCTGGGTTCGGATTGACATTAACAATTGTAGAGTAGACAATCTGGGGAATGATCATGATTCATCGCCACTCCTCTGTCATAAAGCGTACACATCCTGGGATGCGTAATGTAGAAGAAGCTAGCTACCTCTTGGGAAAGGATCGGTGGTGCTGCCATCGTTCTACAAACAAAATTTCCATTAGTTCTTACTGTAATATGTGTACTTAAAGTCATAATAAATACATACTGCAACATGATATCGCAACGCCGTCCTTTGCGCGCCCTGCTAGGAATTGATTTAGAGTTTTGCATTTTTAAACTTATTAAACAAAATGAAATTAAAAACTATACAAAGACTACAAGAGCTAGTATGAGATCGCGACTTCCTTGCAGTTGCAACTTCATCTTATTCAACTGCAATCAAATAAAGAATGAATCCCACGTACTGGTAGAGCTCCACCTGCAAGCGACAAAGAAGATCGCGCTTCGTAATTTTTCACAAAACGGTCTGACTGAAGATATTTATTCTCCACCGCGGCTACTTAGTATTGCGAGCACGCACAACGAGTATTTTTATTTGAACGCACTTTTGCTTTTGGGGGGCGCGAGGCCCCCACGTACTCTTTCGCGGTGCGAAGACCCAACCCCTGAATTTTGAACGTCGACAAAAGTAATCACCCCATTGAAATTACTTAGTTCCAAAACACTGCAGCTAGTCCTAGTGACTACGACGACTATAATTTTTTGTTTTTGATGATGAACGGCATCTATCAAAGCGTCACGAATATAATTGCCAAAGGCGAAAATTTCCAGTTCCAGTACGTACTGTACTACAAAAGACGGTACAACAGTTAAGTACTTGTACTGCGAGGACGACGAGCAAGAGAAAGAGTGTGATAACAACAGCCGCCCGGCACCGCATTTGCTTCGCTATTACGCCGAGATGAAAAGAGAGTCGTGTCTTTGCCTAGCAGCACTCCCGTAGTCGCGGAGTCGAGAATCGCCTGCAGCAGAAAAATACTGAGGACGAGGTAGCTCCGAAGACCGCGGCGGACGAGGTAGCTCCGGCAGTGGCGTAGGCATGTGCCGCACTTTTTCTGGCTTTTCTTCATCTTCACTTCCATCTGCTTCTGCTGGTCGAAAGAAACGAAACCAATCAAATGAGTCAAAAACTTCGTTACCACGTGGCGAAAAGCTCCGCGCCATACCGGTGCGAAAACTGAGACTTCTCCTGTCGACTATGTCATCCTTTGCGTTTTTGTGATCAATGAGGTTTGTTATGAAATATAGAAAGGACTGGCAATTGAAGGAATGGTAGCCATCGCGCCAGTAGGCTCGCATGCCTCCTACGATGGACGAGAACTCCATCACCCGGTACAGGTGCGGATTGCCGAAACCAAACATCCTGCTGGACACCATCAGTATCACATATTCCCCTGCAGTGAGCTGGGTCTCAATCACATTCAACGCCGGATGAGCCTGTTGTGGACGTTGGTTTTAAGATTGATGTCTAGCAGTGTCGTCTTCGTGGCTTCGACTTACTTGTATGATGATGTATATACTTAAATATACCGACTTCCTGGTATCCAGCTAAGTAGTATCCGTTTCACAGTCTCATCACCCACGCTCGCTTTATTCTACCCTAGCGAAGTGCTGTTGCAGCTTCTGGGTAGTGCAAGCATCTTTACAGACAGAAATTGAAGGTGGTACGCTGAGGCAGAAAGCAAGAAGACTGGAACAGAAAAATGCTGCAGTTCGCCGCTGGCCGGGCATTGCTGATCCGCTCGTCCACTGGGACAAACAAAACCGGATCCGCCCGCGCAGAAAACCCAAAACCCCACAGTTGTCCTCTTTTGAAATCAGTTGATGTGAAGAGGAAGCCTACAAGCCCAAAGATGCTCCTCAAGCCATGAACCTGGCCACTCAATGCACCCAACCCAAACGCCTACGCCATTGCGAAGTGCGCTAAGGTTCAGCGCGAGCGTGCTCTCTTCTGGTGGTTTGGCGCTGACTCTTGTTCATGTGGTAGTGGGCAAGTAATCAAGCCGTGAATCATCAGGACCTAAAGAAGTGGAGTTCGAGGTATACGCGGAGCATCTCGCCGGTGTTCGTGTTCGTCTGGTAAGAGACAAAAATGGCACTGGCGATAATGACTCGGGACGCCAAGGCCAGATGCCTCAGGAATTCGTGTCATCGTCAACATCGTAGCACCGAACTACTTCATAGATATGGTGGCCTGTGTAGCCGTAGCGTCTGAGGAATGACCCAGCCCTGAATTTGCAGAAGGGCCACAGCATGCATCGGAGTTGTAAGGCAGCTCCAAGCTAGCTAGAGTGAGGGCCAAAAGCTGAGAAGGGGAGTTCTCGACACTGGCCGCAATTTGCCAAGATTACATGAAACGAAAACGCTCTTGGGCGTCAGCGTTTATTATGAGTGCACTATGTGCAGCTGCTCTATTGTTTTCATATTGCAATCGTGATCCTCGAAACATCTATTTGTATCTATTTTCATGCCTTTTTTCACGCTCGGGCTGATCTAAAGGCCATGCATGCAGGTGCAGCCGCGTCATTCATTCACGTTGGTTGTACCTAGAGGCACCTTGGGCCGCAGCACTATGCACCATGTGCAGTTCCTGCGTTTCGTACGGCGCCGCAATCGCCTACCTTATGCTATCGCCTATATTTCGCACGACGTGTATGTTAACGCAATGGCCTATAGTGTGCTACTCCCGAATAAACGTAATATTATAAGTACAACTACACTCAGGACAATGACAGGAACAAAATAAAATCGGAACAAATTCTGTACGTCGTAGTTTTCCTCATCACTGTGCTTCTGCTCATTTGGACGAAGACCACCAGACGAGAACCCTTCGTCCTCACGTTTTTTGTCCTTCTTTTCATCTTCTTGCGACAGCGCGAGCTTGCCGCCGTAACTGTAACGCTCGTATATTGTCACTTCTTGTCCTCGTCCGCGATTCCAGATTTTCGACGTCACCTTGAATTCCATGAACTGGTGGATCTTTTCTTTAAATACTTCTACCCCGCTCGGCAGGCTCACCGACTCTTCTTGTGATCGTTTTAGTGTCACCTCGACTGCAGCCGCGCCCAAACTCGTTCTCGGGATGTTTCGCTTGGCTAGCGCCGTCATGAATACCTTGCGATTGCGCGTCCAATTCTGCAGTAGGTGGTCTGTGCCAAGAAAATAAGATCCGCGACTTGGTAGCACACCGCACGAGCTGGCTCCCGCGATATTTTTGAGTTTGACTTTGAGAAATGGCCTTTTTTTAGCCTTAGATAGGTGGCCCTATCGCTTTGGATTAAATGGCCGAATGGACGGGAACTGGCCAGGACAGGACAGAAGTATAGTAAGGGCACAGCCCAGCCTCTTACACTTACTCAGGCCATTGCAAATAGAAATTGCTGTTCTGTTGCACCCGACTCACCCCACGCAAAGACATTCGCGATTCAATGACCACAAGAAAGCTATGCCAGAATGAATCAAAATGATGCGACCGAACGCGCACTGCAGCACCACTTGTTGTGACCGCGGGGATCTTTGGCAATCGGCCCGAGACGCAGAAAAATCCCGCGGGCTAGGCTAGTACCAAAACGCGAAAAGTAAGTAGTGCTTCTGATGCCATGCAAGGTCTTTGCAGCCAATTCATTCGCGCGGCCGCCGGTGTGCGATGTGTGCAAGTCTGGCGGAATAGCACTGAGCTGGCATACTATAGACTAAGATGCCTTGTAATTGGGTCTTCAGAGGTGACACCCCAGTGTCTTCGTATTTTGGCGCCTCTCCACGATCGATGCGATATGCCACCAGCTTCAGCGCCGTCGTCACGAGTCCCATAGCCAAATTTCTCCATTCATACTCAAGTGCGTCTTTGATTTGTCTGTCAATGTGCTTGTCTTCCTGCCGAGATACCGCGTTTCCTATCTGCACTGCAACTTGCACCACGCGCCCCGCCACCCATTTTGGTGCCTCTCGATCTTTGACGTTGTCTAGCCGAAGATTTTCATCCTCCCCCTCGATTTCTTGTCTAGCAACTTTGATGAAGCTCTCCGATGGCAAGGTCGTGCTGTCGCGAGCAAAGAGGCGCCCAAGAAAATCTTTTTTGTTGGCAGCGGGGGGGTCGAGGTACCGCAAAGCTTTAAACTTCAGCGGCTTGGAGAGATCACTCAGCCGTCGATCATCAGCTGACGTTCCTTCGAACAGCTTACGCAAAGGGCCAGCTGCAGCGTCTTCGCTGAAGGCTTTGCTCCATGCGTACTGCCATGGAAGAACAAGATTTTCATGGTCAATAAATTCACGACGTTTCTCGTCCATGTACCCACCGAAGTCGAGAGTCTCGGCATTTATCGCTCCTGTCAAGCGCTCGTCACCGTTGTAAAAGTTTGGCCGTGGCTCAGATAAGCTGAAGAGCAAATACGTGCAGAAGCCTTTCGCCATTTTCTCGAGGAAGCGTTGCGTGTGTTCTCCAATTTTGCCTTGGTCCTTTTGGTTTTCAAAAAGATATTCTTTTTTGACGTCGTGAACTCTCCGCTTAACTTCACTCACAAAAATTTTACCGCGGCCTTTCATATCATTGGGATCCAGAATTTTGTCTCTTTCGGCGTTGTTCTGGTTCGCATCGTACTTCGATGGTGTTTGTTTATTTTTTCTTGGATCGACCCACTCTCCGTACTTGATCCATTGAAACAACGGTGCTTCCACCTCTTTTGCAATGTCCAGGCCCCAGTATCGTCGTCGCACGACCTCGTTCATCTTTTCGTAAATGTCCGCGCTGGAGTAGAACGCCTTGGCCTTGTTGTGAGGCAATATCAAGTGGTAAACATGCCGCCTGTATCTGCTGAGCTGCAGATGGGAAAAGCCGTGGCGCTCTCCGTACTTTTCTCGTTACGCTTACGCGACAAAAGGTCTCTATCACCATAAGGCAGCCTATCTACACTGTTGCACTAGCGCAAACAACATGCTGGCTGAGGGCACCTATTCCTAACTCTATCGTTGAATAAATAAAAGGAATAGCCTAGTCGAAATCCTCTAAGCTGTACAAAGCACAGGGTTTTCTTGTGTCCAAAAAAACCCATGCGCTTTCACACTCGGGCACTCCAGGGACTGGAATACCAGCCCCAGAATAACCTGACTTGATGGTGTAATCAGGGTTCAAACTCAACCTGCGTCGGACCACCTCCCCCCTTGAATTTGTACCACAGGGAGGGGGACAAAAACCCCAAGACGAGAAGAAACGATGGCAAACGCCATGCGTTTGCTCTCGTTTCCATCTTCCCCCTCCAGCGTGTATTAACACGAGGCAGAAACTGCAGCAAAAGCCAAGTTTTCTAAATGCCGCAGCAAAAGAGCCTGAGAACTCTTGCAGCCATTCACAAGTTGTGTCAGACTTAGTCTCAGATGGGCAAAGCGAACCAAAAAGACCTTTCTGTCGAAGAATCAGCCGTCACTTTTGAAAAACGAATAGCTTTCGGAATTCCTCTCGTCGATCACACACACGCTGCATGATGTCATCTAATAGACAAAAGGCCTCAGTTGTGTTCGTGTTTCTGGTGTCGTCTCTATTGATATTGTCATGCAAAATCCATTCAAAGACAAAGAAATCAAGCAAACACGGAAACAGAGACTAAGATGAAAATAAACAGGTACTTATCTTCATCTGAGTAAGTACTTCCTTGAATGAAAAATCATCATCACCAGTATCGCGCATCCTGAGCTGTAGGAGGACGTCGACTACAACAGACACGAACAATAAATTCAGTATTCTGCCTTCAAGTTTTCATTTGAGGTAGCTTGCATAGATGATCTATGTCCTCCTTGACCAATCGTCTTTTGCACAGTTGCTCGCAAATTTGCAACAATACATGATGCGCGTTAGCCACTTGATATCTAAATTACGCACATCCTCGACGTAAGTGTCTGGCTCTTCGTCGTCATCATCGTCGAGTTGCTGCTCTAGTGATTTTTGATCTTTCGGAGGACCATCTGAATCCAGATCACCTGCCCCGTATCTGCCGGTGGAAGAAGAAGGCGCCGTGCCCCGTGTGACCCATTGGTTCTCGTTTCCCAACCAGATCCGTTCATGTTGGTCCTCGGAAACCGATCGAGGTAAAGGTGGGCCTTGGCTTGTAGTTGTGCGCGTTGAAAAAGGTGCAGGAGTTGACGCCCCTGAAACCCGCGTCGGCCTTGGACGCGAAAGAGCATCACCAGAGGGTCGAGCGCTGATCGGGTACCGTGTCTTCGGTGACTCCAACAGTTTGGTATTTTCGCTCTCCTGCGGCGAGTGGGATATGCTGGGTCGTCCCTGTCGGTTTGCATTTATCAGAAGGGAATCTGCTGGCACCCATGGATGCCTCAGGCATACCATCTGGTTTCTACTCTTACTTATTGCCCTAGGTCCACAATAATGCGCACGAGATCAAAATCAACCCTTTGCTCGCAGCTTATGGTGTGCGAGTGACTGTCTCCTGAAGTATGCAGCTAATATAGCAAGTTTTTTACGCTATAACAATCAAACTGAAAATCAGTGAATCTCGAATGTTCCTCGAATGCGGCAAATCAGACATGGAAGATTATACTTATAGAGCGTTCAGTTCCTGTACATCGTCACAATCAGATGAAATCTCACGCAACATAGCCAGGCAGACTGTGCAGCAGCACGTTTGTTTCTTTTGGAACCCTTTGAAAAGGATAGATAAAGATGGGATAGATAGCAGAAAAGGATAGATTGATACCGCCGGCTGGGTTCTCGTCACAGTTCCGGGCCGCCCCACCTCTTCCCGGCGGCCCGACCTGCTCAGGGAGAGCTCACTTTGTTGAAGAGACGCACGGACATGCGGAGAGCCTGCAAGTCCTGGTGCTGATGGTATCCTGGTGCTCGAAGCAGGAGAGACACCAGGCGAACGCGGTGGCGCACGTGGAGAACCGCTACCGGTTCGAGCACGGGCAGCAGCAGGCGCCGACTGAGCCCGAGCATGCCCAGCACCACCAACTACACCCGGCTGCCCGTACAGCGGCCGAGGCTGCTCAATTCTCGCAGCAGGAGAACCCTGGGTGATTCCAGGCCTGGGGGCTCCCAAGCCGTAGGGTCCACTGACGGATTCCTCCTTCCTGTCGAGCTTTGTCCTAGCCAAAACGCTACTTGTCTCCCGGTCATTGTAAAGGGTCAGCCAGTTACTTTATGGAATGTAAACTCTTCACAATCACCAGTGTCAGAGCCAGCACGTACTGAATCACGCCATTCTGTAGGCGGCAGCGGTCATGATGTCTGCGCCGCGGTGTCTGTGTACGTTCACAGACATCAAACTTAATCACGGAACGAGCTCTCCTCGGGGACGCACACGTGATGGATGTAGCATACCAGAGGTCCGTCAAATATTTATCTCCTGGTTTACTTTGCGACAAGATCTGAATATGAATGTGTTACTGTATGAGAGTCTAAGTGACTATGACCAACGAGACACAGATCGCCACGTATGATTCATTGCGCTGGCTCAAAAGCGTGAAGCTTCCTTGACTTTCATCATGATGTTTCTTCAAGTGCATAATCCCAGGAAAAGTAAGCCACTGCAGACCAAAATTTTGTTGCACTGCTTCAAGCTCTCTACGAACGTGGACCGCCTCGGCGGAAAAGTAGTTTTCTTCATCTTGAGCCTCCGTAGAATCTCTACTGACGCACCTGTTTTTGTTCGAATCAAAAGTCGCAGCGTGGAGGCCCCTTCGCGTGAGTCATTTTGACAGAACTTCGCAAAAGAAAAGAAAACGTGGTCTCGTCACAAACAGGCAACTGTTGATACGAAATCGAAATCAATCACCTTCCAGTATCCAGTTCTTATGTGAAAACTCAAATTTCACAAAAACCTTATATCGTGTCTGCGCCGCTGCACCACCCGCGCTCCTGCTACAACTGATTTTTACGTCGCCGTCACCCACTCGTCTCGTCTGAGGTGGAAGAATGTTCCTGTAGCTGCTGATTCGCGTTTTGTTTGATCTCTTTCGTTCGAGTTTGTCTCGCTTTGGTGGTTTCCTCAGAAAAAAAATGATGCTGGTCGTCAAAAATCGTCCTCTTACTCTTGTTATTGTTTTCAGAGAGATTACAAAGAACTGCCTGTCACGGCTTTATCTTCTCCTCATACAACTGTTGTAGTCCCAGAAAAAATGGAAAAAAAGACTGCATAAAACTAAAAGGCAAACATAAATTCGTTTAGAAATTGTAAAATAGCCTTGCGAAAAGACGTTGACAAAAGATTCAATGCTGGATAAATTTGTGAAAACTGTTATTGCTGTCGATCAGAAGTAAAAACCTGGGGGGTTCGACCAGTCCACAGCACAGAAAACACAAACGAAATCCTGGTGGGGGGGAAGACGAGATTCAATTGATTCAACAATGCTCTTCTTTCAATAAAAAGCATCAAGAAAATGCCTCGCACGAACAAAGCCATACAGCATCGGTGAAATACATGCACCTACATAAACCAAAGGGAAACGAGAGGAGTCTTTGTAATAGCCGTATGAAATGGCTGCTCTCAAATCGACAGATCTCGCAAGAAAGACGCGCTGAGCAAAATTGTACGACGAGCTAGCACCGAGACGCACTTACGATTCAAGGACGCCACCGACGGCACTTTGTCGGACTTTATGAGCCGAGTTTCCGTTTTTAAGAACCGAAAACAGATGAGGGAAACACAGTGTCCTCTCGTACTCTTTGTCTCTATTTTTATTTATAGCAGTGCATACAATGGAAAAGTACGGCAGTCACGAACGGGCGACCGACATTGTCAAGCCAACAACTATGCACCGGGAAGTAAGTGGCCGCAGGAGCAGGAGGAATACCGAACTATTAAACTACGTACAGCGCAGCACGAAGTCCACAACCGATGCTGCAGATTCCACAACGAGCGGCCGTCAAGCGAACGATACGTCGTGAAGGAGGACCGAACAATGTACATGTACTAGAGACGGAATACTTATACAAGTTTGCAAACCGAAGGGCATGTTCTAGGTAGAAGAAGTGGACACCGAATCGTTTAAGGACTCACTACAATGCATCTATCAGAACAAATGCGTGGTTTGCACGTTGTCGCATTTCATGGGTTTTCTCGCAGCAGAAAGAGAACACTATCGCTGTTGGTCCTTGCGATGAGCACGAGAAATGTTGCACATAGACATATCGGCCGCCTGTCGATGAATATACTACATCATCAGCATTTTTTTATTTTGGTTTCCCAACAATACCGAAATGGACGAAACAAATCCGTTTTACTGCTGTATGTGTTTCTTCCTAATTTTTTTTATACTGAACCGAAGGAAAACTTAAGAGTTCAACACACTCCGGAGGAACGGAGACGCTGCACGACTGTGGTTCTCATTTTGTGTAGGACCGCTCGCAACACCACTGCTCGCACTGCGACTGTTTGCCGAAGCAAATCGCCCGGCCTCGCCCGCGTATCCAGTCTTGTTTGAAGTGATGTGTAGTTTCGACGTACCAGGACTAACTTTCAGCGCGAAGTCAGTACCGTAGACCGAAAGGTCCGTAATATCTCGATCGACCTCTGCGTGTTGTACCTCTCCAGTTCTCAGCTCGCGATTTCTATCTTCTTCTGTTTCCCCATGATGGCCATGCTCTCGTGGCAGTGATCTGTTACTGCTTTGCTGCAGCTGCTCGTCGTGCTCCGCCATGAGGGACAGCGAAAAGTCCACCGGCGAGGACACCAACACTTCTCGCGCGCCTCGTATGCGCTTCCAAACGAAGAGGAACCGCATCGGCAAGATCAGCAGGCGCAGGAAAAACACCGGCAAAGCCAACGCTGGATAATCAAAGGGAAAGACGTCTGTTGAGTTGTAACCGCCTCCTTGTTTTTCTTGTCGTTTCTTTTCTGTGGATGAAACTTCTCCATAAGTACACAGATGGAAAAAAATGGACGAGTGTGTACCGTTTCGTTCGGTCCATCGTATACTTGCAAGTCAATTTATCAAGCTGCATACAACGCAAGGAGGACAGCGGGATGGCAACAGATGATTTTTCTCTTTTCATACGTGTCGACGCAGGCCCAGAACAGGTTTAGGAGAGTATCACATAGAAAAAAATCCTCTTATCCAGTGGTGACGCTAACGCCATAAATCGTATTTCGGAAAATGCAAATCGTATTCGCGCTCAGACTGTCGCGTCTTTTATTCCGTGCAGGAAAGCGAAGACATGCTCTCTTTTGAACTATCCCATAAGGGTACCATAGTAGTATCACTTACTCTCAGCTATCTCTGTGGTAAGACAGATTTATTTCCAGTTCATAAGGTACCACCTCCGCGGTTCCTGCGTCGAAGTTGTGGAGCACTGAAACGCCGTAGAGTATCGACAAAAAGCAGCAGCACGCGATGAAAAAATCCCGCCGCGTGTGTGGTGGGTCTAAGGCGAAGTAGAGAGAGAAAGACGCCTGCGCACACAGGAGAAAGACCAACAAGGATGTGTCGAATCGAAAATTTTCGCTACCAGAGTACTTATGTGCCTGATCTTGGACGCCACGAAAAACCTTACGCTCTTTCGGATGCTCGAGAGTTTGAGTTCGTCCACGGAAGTGCTATGCGCTCGCGCAATACAGCTGTTTCATTCTTCAGCATACATTCATTACTGCAACGTGAAGTTGTAGACAACTATGGTGCTCTGCTAGCGCCTTTATCCTATCCCATAGGTTTCGAGGATGAAGAGCAGTGAGACGAAAATCTCAATAAGCTCTTCCACCAGCAGCTCTTTCCAGGCGGTCTGGGGGCCAAAGAAGAAATTTCGGTGGTGTTGGAGGTAATGCAGCAAATCGCGGATCCAAAAAATACCACTCGAGTGCGCGTCTCGGCCGTCCGGATCATTCGGGTTGGTTGATGGGGGAAAAGACTGCGGAAAAAATATAACCAGCTTTGCGCCATGCCACGCGAAAATCGCGAAACAGAACAGTAGAAAGACGAAACAGTACTTCAGGTAACAGTGGTGACTGCGGCCCCGCTTCAGCTTCGACCGCTTTTGTGAAAATGAAAAGCCAAGGGTTACTTCCTCCGGACCGAAACAAACATAGTACTCAAAGCCAGGGAGTCGGGCCTCCCGGGAATCGTTTTTTTCTCGGCACAAATCGTGTCCGAGTGCGGTATGGGCTGATCGAGCTGATCGAAGTCAAGTGTACAAGAAGTGCTTTTGTCGGTCAGCTTTTACTGCAAGATGCAAACCTTGTCATAGACAACTGGTGATAGTGTAATCGGCCAACTACACTTTGAGCATTTATTGGGTCGGTTTCTGTTGCCGTTGGTGCGGAAAGAATAAGTAAACACTTTTCTGTGATCATAGCCCCAATGCTCGCACAAGCAGCTGCTCCTGTTCCGAGTTCAGTTGCAGCGAGGCCGATGAAGATGCAGCTGCACTAGACGTAAAGAGGGACGAGTTCTGTGATGCTTCAGGCGTGCCTCGCTCGCTCATATTCGTGACGGTCGCCATGATGAAGTTCTTTTGCTAGTACAGTTTTAGCTTAGAAGTGGAAGTACGACATTCCCTTCGGTGCGATGTAGCTGAGCCCTTCTACGCATGAAATCTCAACGACCTCGCCCACGATTTCAAGAAAAAAACTACCTCTAGAACATACCACCTCACTTGTTAGAGTCGACAGAGCCCAGAACGACATTCAACCGGCTCTTCGTGAGGAGTCGTGGGAAGTGAAGGCCAAGGCTTCTACTCTACTTATCGTACAACTTCGATAATCAGCTTCTGGTAGACAAAGGCAAATCATACTTCTTTCTTACGGAGAAGTGAACGCGTAGCATTTTCGCACAGGGCCGGGTCCACGGGGGTGTTAGTTTCTTACACACGATAAATCAACCAAAAGATAAAAAAAAGCGGTACAAAGCTAGGGTTCGTCATAGGTGGGTAGCCTCTAAGTCGGGTGCGGGATGGGTGGGGAGGAGAAGAATCTTGGGAAAGACAGGCACAGGCACTGCGATCGAAATAAGAAAGGCGAGTTGCACCTGTGTGAAAAAATATACAAACTGAGGCAACCATGGTACAGTAAGCCACCCTAGGCGAAAGTACAAATCAGAACTCGACAACACAAAATATCCGCGCTCGCAAGTGAATGCCAGTGAGTACCGATCAAGGATGCACTCCCAATGAGGTCTGGTGATCACGACATCTGTTTCACGCACTGTCCTGTGTCAACCGAACGGTGCGAGCTCCCATATTATGGCGGGACAACTTCAAAAAGCGAGTTACCTCCAGTTCCACCCTAGGCCTTTTCACTGCCGCACACCTGAACTCTCAAATTTTCGACCTCGATATGAAGATAAGTCTAGCGGCAACAGGGGGATCGATCAGTCTAAGCGCTTTTTTCGCCTGTTATCTATGTCAAGATGCACCGATGAGAGTCCTCGACGTGTCCCATGCGGTCACCGTGTCCTAATATTTGTTCGACCGACCTGCAGTCGATCTTTCTAGCGGCTGATCATCCGGAATTCTTTCTAAAACATGAACACCTGCAACGCAAGAATGAAATGAAGCCGGCTCGTCATGGAATGTCGTGAACGAGTCCTCTTCGAACGAAATCGACAAATTCCGAAGCCGCTCCTCCTGTTTCACTTATTTCACTTGTGCTTTTCCTTTTAAAACCAGTTCTACTAATGAAACTCATCACACTCCACTTCACTCGTGTTAACTACAGAAACGCTTTCTTCGAGAACTTCTACCCCTTGTATCAGTTCGAGAATCCTATCAGCAGAAACAGCAGCATTTACGACAGCACATTGCCCTGCTGCTCCCCTGTCCGCCGCCTGCACTCCCACTCCGAGTCTGCTTGTACGTCGTTAAAGTTTTGCACTTTTTGTTCGGCGCACTTGCTTTAGAATTTACTTCTTTCTCGGCACTTCTCCTCCCAGGGCGTTTCTTCCCACTGTCGCTGTTTCCTGCGTTCATCCCAAGGGCGACAAGAGCGTCGTTCGACGGTGCCACCACATCCGCCTCATTCAGCATGTTAAAGACGAAACAGCTGTTGGGGCACTGTTGCACGGCCTGCAAGATCTCCGCGTAGCCGTCTTGAGTCTCTTGAGGGAAAATCTTGAGTATGTCGTGCCGCCTGTACAAGCATCTTGCTCGCGAGTGCGATTGCAATTCTGAAATCGATCCGAATCAATAAACCGAAATATCAACTACAAAAACATGTTTCGTGCGATCATTGGCTGCGATAAACGAAACGCGGCGCGACATACATCCCTTTTTCACCACTTCGATAAAATTTCGTGACTCCCGATCTGCACATACGTTTCGACAACTTCGGCCTCGAATCGCGTTAGAATTTTCAAAAAGAGCGTTTCTAGTGAATCATACAGCGACAGCGCCTCCCCGGACGCCTCAAACGCGTCCACTAGTCGCTGCCGTTCCTGAATCCAAGCTGGGGCAAAAAAACGCGTGAACGGATTCTTTTGCTGCTGCCGGGACGCTGTTGCTGATGGACTGTTCATGTTCTTCATCATCCCACCTTGTCCCCGCGATGGAGTAGCTACCTGCGACTCCTGCTGCTGCAGGAGAGTGTTGTCGACGCTGAAGCTCAGCCGACCCAAGCGGTGCGTATCGCCGACGGACACTGACTTCGTCAAAAAGCTGTGGTAGCGCACGTGCACCTTCTTCACGGTCTCCGGGTTGCCGGCGAAGTCCAGCAAAACCGCGCCTTGTTGCGTGGGGGGCAACTTGTGCAAAAACCGGTAGTCGTCGTACAGGAGAACCTCGGAACTCACGGCGTTGGGTCGGGTTTTTCCCTTTGGCTTTGGGAAATTCGCCTTGAGGAATCGCTCCACGAAGCGGTAGTTCGCGCCCGAAGTTTCGTATGAACAGGAGGAGCGGAAAAGACACACAAGAGCTTGACGAGGTAGGTGTCGCATCAGCATCATGGGAAATGATCTCTTGGAATGTTGCGCTGAGAAGTTGCCTACCTACGATTCTACCTATAGTCAACTCTGACTCTCCAAGCCTGGATAGAGCTACGGAACTATCGACGACGCGATGTCCGATTTTTGTATAGCACAACTCTTGCGTCATTTTTTGTCTCCGTATCATACTACTGCAATGATTTTCAGTGGGCGCACCTGACCGGCGCCTCCGCCACGTGTGCCGCCGCCGAATAGAGGACGCCGAGCTTCTAACGGTAGCGAGGCTGTGAAGTAGCGGTGGGTTTCTTCAGTATGGTGGTAGTCCTGGTGCACGACCAAGTTTATTGTTGAAAGGTCAATTGCAGCTGCAAAGATGAATTCAAAAACATACAAAAGAAGTACCTTCCCGCTTCCTCTGTTCCTGCAATACCATGAGAAAGCAGAGTGCTGACTTGCAGCTTGCGCTCGTGATGACCAGCGTGTCCGCGTCGAAAAAGTCGTGCCAGCGCAGCCAGTCCTCGAGGAAGAAAGCCGTCGGGAACAAGGGCTGCAGCAGCATCAACAAGTCCTCCGTCGCCCGCGAGTACAGGTTCGGCCATGTCCCGGGATCGCACACCCGGTACGACCGGTAAACTAGTGGCAAAACGTGCCGGCGCGACGGATGCTCGTCAATAACCAACTCCGAGCCCCGCTTGAAAGTGAGCCCTGCAGTCGACTTCCGGTTGTGGTAAAGAGGACCACCAAACGCTGCACTTCGGCGAGAAGCGACAGAACCCTGGTCGTGGGCATTCGTCGTGTGCTGGTGGAAGGGGTTCTCGTGCACAGCTCTTGACATGACCGTGCTGGGCGATTGCATCGAATTTGCCACTGCAATCCGCCCGCTGGGACTACTGTTCTTCAGCATAGTCTCCCCGTGCTGTAACAGCTGCTCCTGTTGCAGCATGAAAAAGTACTGCCTGCGCCACGAGGAGCCCGGAGACTGCTGCTGGTCGGCACCCGGATCGAGTTCCAACAAGGTCCGCTGCCGACCATTCAGATATTCAGTGCGAACATTCCAGATTGATACGTAGGCCACAGCGCCACGCTTTTTGGCCACAGTGGCTCGGTAACATAGTATTTAAAACCCTACGTGATCATGAACAACGACGGGGACGGCGATTGCGATTCGCGTTCGCGCTTGCATGACATTCATTCCGTATTTGGAGACCCTGCTGCGCAGGAATATCTAAAACTTCCGCACCGGATATTGTTTGCGCATGATCTTGGTAATGCCCAACCGGCACGATTGCCGAGGGTTGGTGTGGCTGGTGCTTGCCTCGTACGCCATTCCCTCCTGTGGACGGCGACAAGGGAAAGTTGTGACGGTTCTCGGCAAATACAAGCTCAGGAACGACAACCAGGCTTGAGTATGAACGGAAGTAAAAAAGTTTGCCACAGGGCAGGGGACGGGGTCCTCGTGACTGTTGGTTTACGGGCTTCACTCTTTCTTCGAATCCTGTACTACTTGTACTTGGTGGAGCCGCGCCCATCTAGGATACAAAACTCGCGCCGCTGTGGTCGAGGTTGAATTCTTTCTATGTGTCCTGTAAGCAGGAGCGATCCGTACACACATCGGGAAGAAAGAGGGAGATGTCCCGCCCTGAGACAGTGCAACTACATTATTTCTACTTGATACAGACCGACTCCGCTTCATCGCCACATTGTCCGCCAACTCTTCCGGCTCTAATTCAATGGTAAACATGTCTGTACTTGTCATGTGTATCAGCAATTTGGCAGCGCAAGCGACCTGAGGACAAACCCCTTTCCACGCATGACACTTCGCGTTTCTTGAGAGACGGAGAATGCAAACGAAAATGTTTTGGTGCGCAAGAAGTAGTTCTTCTGCCCTGCCAGCAGACGTTACTGCAAGCGTATTTTCATCTTCTCTGGTATTTACATCTGATTCGACGTGCGACGAGAAGTCCTAAGACATATTTGCTCTCATTCATACTGCAGCACGAGAAACGACGAAGTGGGCCACATCCCGAAGAGCCTCGTACCCCGCCGCAAAAAGGGACTTCGCGATGCCACCACGGTCGCAAAGCCCCACACTGGCAAGCGCCCAAAGTGCAGTGCCAGCTGCTGCTCCACTTGCTCTACTTCCGAGGTCATGTGTGTGTCAGTAGAAGACGCCGAACAGTAAGCACCGGTTGACGAAGATGTTGAGGAGCTGGAAGCCCCACCACAGGATGTCTTTCCCCTTCCGCGCGGGAAAAAGTCCCAAAACTGCATTTTGTCGCCGAGAACGGCGTAGCTCAGGTTGTTGGCCGACAACGCAAATTTCTCCACCTGCGCCAGCGCCTGCCCGTCCTGCAGCAGCACATCCTCGCTGGTGACGAAGCGGGTCTGCGTTATATCCGATCGCTGGATCAAGAGATCCATGATCGTGGCAGAAAACCTCGTTCGAGACCTGCACTATCACGGGACAGCACTCGGTGGCCGCTTTTGCAGCGACACTGTTTGTACTATTTGAGGTACTCTTCTAAACGCTGTGGTACGAGTGGTTGCTCAACTCTCATTCTCTCTGCATATGGCCTCAGATCAGAGTATCTGGCGTCAGCTTGTGGTGCAATTAGCAGTGTAACCTCGACGACTCAGCCACATTTTTCTCGGAACGTAACAAGTACTTGGTCTTCACGTTGAATACGTCTCGATCTCACTTTTGTCCTGCCGTTTTGATGTTCTGTGATCGATGATCTTTACTCTCGCTCGCGGAACACGAACATTTCAAGGGCACTTCTTCTGTTCTCGTGTAGCAGAACGAGCAACATGTGCCCTTCGAGTGCTGCCGGATTCATCTTCAGTATCAGTAACTTGGAATTCATGGTGACACTTGCAAAGAAAACCCACCGCCGATGTAGCACTAGCTACTTTTACTTGTTGCTTACGCCAAATCATAAACCAGGAAGCTTTTGACAGTGTCATTTAAACACAGTTCACTAAACCCAACCACCTGCTGTCATCAAAATGAGTACATCAAAGGAAAAAAACGTGTGTGTGTGAACCAAAATATCGCTTTTGCTTTTGAGTAAAGATACTTTTGTTGTCCTGATGGCCTTCAACTGAATGCCAACGTTATCCTTATTTTTGTTCATTCTGCAAAAAAACTCAGAAAGATAAATTCTCATCCCGCTCCCAATTAGCCCCGAACAACCACTCCGATATATCAAACCACTCCACGACATGGGCGGCGCAAACGACCTTTTTCATCGGAAAGCCGATGACAAAAAATCGGCTCCAGCTCTTCATTTTGACAACACAGAAAGAGAAAAGACCTCAAGTAGCTACACAGTCGTCGACTCCAGCACAGGGATCCTCTGAATTCCTCGTCACGCTGCCGCGCTGATCTTGGAAAGGATTTCCCGGGTTTCGCTCTTCAGGTTTTCTGTCGCAAGCATTTCCGTAATGGTTTTCTGCACCTTCGTTGCAAACTCTTCGGTGATCTTGGTCTTGCACTCAAACGCCCGCGAGAGTCGTGCGGCGACCTGCCCGTTGCCGTAGTTGTCCAGCGCGAGGATCTGTTTCTTCACAAAATCCCTACCTTGATCGCTGTGGAAGAGCTTGATGTTTCGAATCGCCGAGCCGACCACTGACCGAAATCGGTTCGGATTGGAAACGGTAAACTCCGGGTGCTTCGTCAAAGCCGCAACCTGGGGAATGGCATAGGTTGTTCAATCACAATCTGAATCTTCGTTTTTCAACTGCATCAAACATTTCAGTTTATTTTTCCAGTCACTTCACTAAGCAGGTCCAAGTGGAGGTGGAGGTGCCCAACAAGAATAAACAGAGACATTATGCAATAACTGCCCGTGCTTAAGCATGCAATTGGCGTACCTGATCAAAATTGCTTGAGAACGCCGCCTGCAAGGCGAACCACTTGTCCATCACTGGACCGGAGCCTATCCTGAGTAAAAACGTACCCACACCAGAGTCAGGATGAGGATTTTGCAACACAAACCTAGGAGCTTTGTGAGTCACGCATGACAAGTTTCAGTCCGTAAGGTAGTGCAACTTAGCAAGGAAAGCCGCATCACAAATCGACCTGCTGATCCTGTTCACAGCATCACAAATTCCAAAACACGATTGAAAATGCCTGTCATGGGGATGCGCATTACAAGTCTTCCTGTCTTTGCAAATCTGCATGACAACTCTGGTGTGGGTACGTTTTTACTCAGGATAGAGCCGGATTTTTTCGCAAACTCGAAGAAGTCCGCCTGTGCCTTGGCCTGTTTGTTCTGCTCCACCAGGACCCGGAAGGCGGCAACGCGCTCCGTCATGGTCTGCGCAGCGAAGTACTGCTTCTCCGCCAGCTCTGGGTCTTGCAAAAGACCAAGCAGCGCGTTCTTCAGCAATCGGCTTCCGATCGCCTCCTGGGAAAGCGAGAAGCCGCTTGTCGTTGTGGCCTTCAGCGTGGCTTGATACCTGGTAGGGAGCAGAGGTTTTATTGCAAAATCCAATGAAAGAATCATGAATATAGGAACGCGAATTTTCTTCGCTTTGTTACTCTGCTAGGTAAGTAAGTACTTACTTCGCATTCGCAAGATTTTTCTTTCCATGTGGCCGCTCTGTGGTGCAGTAGACAAAAATGCATAGAAGATGCACTACCACTGCAAGTGCTCGTGTTGCGATACAAAAACATTCCGAGAAGTACAAGCTGTACAGAATGGATGCTGCCAAGTGCAACTTACAGCTATTCGAGATCAAGAATCAAGTATTTCTGCATTATACCTTTGCTTAATCTCCTTTCCCAATTTCTGCACGATCTTTTCCCGCACCAGCTCGACGCTTTTGTCCAGCAGGATTGGATATGAAATGCAAAAGTGTCTGGGTCTGGAAGATTCTGAGAGTTGGCATGCACGTTTAGCATGAGCCGTGATGTTTGTGATGCAGGCCCTAGCATGACAGATTTTCTGAGGACTTCTTGATGCCTATCCTGCATGAGAAATGTCCTCTCCACGTGGCAAAAACCTGACTCCTATTGCTTGTCATGCAACACATCTTTTTTTAGAATCCAAAAATAGCATCACAAGTTGCATCCTTCGAGACCCAGACATATTTGCAATGCATATCGGATCCACCTTCGACCCGTAGCCCACCATGAGTCCGCTCACATCCGGCAATGCCAGTGTCTTCCCGAGCGCCAGCGCGGAAGAGGATTTGTCGTCCAGCAAAAATTTTATCGACTGGAGCAGGTAGTCAAGTTTCTCCGTGACGCTGCTTTTGTTTTTCTCGTCCAGATAGGCTGCCTTCCCCTGGCTGTTCTCGTACACGTCGTAGATGACTTTGGTGCAGAGTGCGTCGAACGCGTTGTACTTGCAGTACATGTCCGTGTCGAACGCCGCCAGGGAGGACAACTCCTTCACCGTGTAATCGTAGTAGAGCTTGATGGGCGCGCCGAAACCACGATTCAAAGACGGCACCACATCATCAAACTCAACGCCGGGGGGGAGCTGTGTGTTAGTGCTTGATATGCACACTCTTGCTTTAAGATTAAGGTCTTTTTTCGCTACTTATCGTGCCGGAACTTCCAACCATGAATGAATCTCCACCGGAAAAGACGTGCCAAGAAGCCGATAAAGAAACAAAAAGAATAAGATCAAATATCCTAAACCCTAAGACCCTCAAAACCCTATCGACGCTGGTGTCGGACAGGGGCGGAAACAGGACGTAGATCGTAGGGAAGAAGATGTGGCGGAGGGGCGTAGGACGGCCTGATCAGAGAAAGCGCGCAAAACGCATGTTCTGAACCTAAAAATACTATGTGAATATACCCAACCCGAAAAAGATAATACGACACCGGAAGGTGTCGCGCCCCAATCCCAAAAAATTACTGCTTGGTGCCAGTAGGGCCCAGGGAAAAACAAAAGGCAAACAAGAGGAAGGCAAGGTAAAATCTACTTTCAAAAAGCGCTAGTAAGCCTTGTGCTCTGATCCGTCCGGGCGTGCACTCCCATCTGGTTCTAAAGCTTCAGCAGTGCTGAGAGCGCTCCGACCCTAAACCTCAAGGCAAGCCAAGAGATCTACGTACGTATGCGCACGAGCAAGGCAGGAATATTGCCTGATGTGGGCGAATATTCCTAACTAAAATCAAAAACGACACTCGTACCGGAGGTACACCTCAACGGAATCGATACGAGCTACAAATCGAAAAAGAATAAGAAAGACTGTGTTCCAACACGGCATAATAAGTCATAAGTACCTCAACGACCACCGAGCCGGTTTTGTCCGTGAGGTGAAACACCTCCAAGTTCGCGTCCCCGGCGGGGTAGATCTGCTTGCCCGTCTTCGCGTGCAGCAACGCGAACGACACCGGGATGTGCAAAATTTCCGTGACTGCGGCGGCCGTCCCGACGGTTTTCACCGGGCCCTGCGTGAACTCCAGCTCGAACCGGCTCCCGGTCGAGCGCTCGCGGCACTTCTGGACCTTGACCTCCGGCGTGCCCTTGGTGCTGAGCCACTTGGAAAAGAGGTCCCAGTCGATCTCCTTGCCGAGCTCCTTGCCGCCCAGCTTCATGCTGTGCAGGAAGTCGTCGCAGGTGGCCGCGGTGCCGTCGAAGAGCTCGAAGTACTTCTTCATGCCCCGCTTGAAGCCCTCCTCGCCCAGAATCGTCCAGTACATGCGAATCACCTCCGCGCCCTTTTCGTACACCGTGGCGGTGTAAAAGTTGTCGATCTTCTCGTAGCTCTCCGGGCGGATGGGGTGCGACAGCGGCCCGCTGTCCTCCACGAACTGCATCTCCAGCATGTCTTGCACCTGGTCGATGCGCTTCGTGTCCTTCATCAGCCCCACGTGGGTGGAGAACGTCTGGTCCCGAAACACGGTGAGCCCCTCCTTGAGCGTGAGCTCAAACCAGGACCGGCACGTGACGCGGTTGCCCGTCCAATTGTGGAAGTACTCGTGCGCGACCACGGACTCGATGCGCTCGTAGTCCGCGTCGGACGCCTCTGTAGGCGAGGCGAGGATCAGCTTCTCGTTGAACACGTTTAGCGACTTGTTCTCCATGGCGCCCATGTTGAAGTCCTTCACGGAGACGATGTTGAAGATGTCCAGGTCGTATTCGAGTTCGAACATGTCCTCGTCGAACTTCATGGCCTTGATCAGGCTGTCCAAACTGTGCCGCAGCAGGTGCTTCACGCTGTCCTCCGCGTACACCCGCAGCGTCACCGTTCGGGGCTTGAAGTTCCCGGAGGACACAAACTTTCCCTGGGTGGTAAACTTGTCCTCGATGTACGCCAGGCGGCCCGCGACCAGGGCGAACAGGTAGGCGGGTTTCTTGTGCGGATCTTCGTAGACGGCGTAGTGGCGGGTTTTGTCGGTGGGCAAAGTTCCCTCTTCGACCAGATTCCCGTTCGACAGCAAGACCGGGCAGGCCTCCTTGTCCGCCTCGATCCGCACCGTGTACTTGCTCATCACGTCCGGCCGATCGAGGAAGGGCGAAAATTTCCGGAACCCCTCGGCCTCCATCTGGGTGCAATGGAGATAAGACTTGTCGGCGAGTTGCGTCAAGTACAACCCCATGCAGGTTTTGTTCGCGTCCGGGTTGAACTCCACGACGGTCTTCAGCTTCGTCGACGTCTGCGCCTCCGTCTTCAGCAGCCGGTCCTCCAGAATTTCCAGTTTCCGCTCGTCTCCGGACCCGGAGAACGCGTAGTCCACGCTCGGGGACAGAATGACCGTTTCCCCATTGTCTTCTTGCAGCACCGAAATTTCCTTCACGTCCAGCATGGCATCGCAGTCCAGCACCAACGGCGAGGGACGCTTGTTCCCGCCGCCCAAGTTCCTCTCCAAACTGAGAACCGCCTCGACGACGGTCTTTTCCGGACCGAACAGCTTTACCGTCAGGGCGACGTTCGGCACCCAGAAATTCGGAGGCTTATAGTCCTTGCGGTAGAAGGTCACCGCCTCCTCCTTCTTGTCCGGCTTGGCGACGGATCCCATGGTGCGTGTTGTAGAGGTGCGCGCTAGTAGGTTTGAGAAGCTCAGATCACTTTTGTGAAATAAATCTGGGTTCGTAAATAAATTTGAGGAAAGAAAGGAAGAAGAAGTAGTACTTCTAATTTGCTTTCTGCTTGTACTATTGGATAAAGGGAGGTGAAGTAGCAGGTCGCTGAGTTGTGAAGAAGGAGCAATAGAAGAAGTATTGCGTGTGCTCGTTTGTTGTGAAGGGCAAAGAGATTGTGGATATGGAGCAGTTGCAAATCGACATAGAAATAAGTGTTGTTGCGATGATAGAAAATTTCGTCGAAAGTAACTTGTTGACCTAGAGGTATTGAGTAGTTGTGACTCTAGCTTCGGGGTAGAAACAGCAAGCTTCCGACTGATGCTGAGCATGATGGAGACGCACGCGACATGAGCGCGACTCGCATGCTTTTTACTCTATCGAATACATCAGCGCATCGTCTTTCTTGGCTCGGCGTTAAAGGACACCATACTTACAAACATGTTCTTCTTGCATTCTTCACAATGAAAAATGATGCAGCTATTTTATACAGTACTTGGGAGGATTACGAAGACGGGCACTATTTGGTTTCAGAGGGGTTTTATCACATCACAAGCACATAGAATTGTGTATCTTTAGACCTTTGGCTGTATTTTCTGGCGTTTTTTGCAAGCTCGAGCGTTTATGACACGACAAAAATTCATTGGAAAAAGCAAGTCAGATCCTTTGCCAAATTCATGAGCAACGTGGTGCACAACACAACTACTGGCATGGGGTTGCATCAAATGCATCGAGAGTGGATCCTCGCTTCCGTGTGAATCACAAAACGCTTTCTCAGCACCGCAATCTATGTCCATAGAAAAAAATGACGAACAGAACTACTGATGAAACAAATTACTTTCGACGCTGCCACCATTGTGCCCAGCGCGTGCTTGTTGCAGCGACGCGTGCGTTTCAAAAATTGACTCTTCAGCAGGCATTTTTCTAGAAGCATGTGGCTTTATTTTTTTTGTATATCTGGTTCCAATTGCATTCCGGCCGCACAAAAACTATTTTACAAGGGATAGACGGACTTTTTTCCGTCGCATTTTTGCAATGCGTATGTTCAGAGCGTTGGCCTCAATTTACTTATACACTAATGCTATCTGTGACTCGGTCAATCTTACAAGGACCCCTTGCTTCTCGTCTGCACGACGGTTTTTTCCTTCTGATCTAGCATGAGCATCGTCTCTGCCAGCACTTTCTGCATTCTTTTGAGGTCCTCTCGACTCCTTTTGTTGAAGCGCTCCAGGTCCAGCTTCGAGCCGGTACTACTCAATCCGTTCGAGGAAACCACAGCCTCGATTGGTAACTCGGGCTTTAGTACTGCCCTCTGCGCTTTGCCATTCCGGCGCCCACCTCCTCGAACGTCACCACTCCGTTGCTCCGGACTCCGGCTCCGCTGGTCTGGCACCGCATCTCTGTTCTTCAGCCGCGTCCACAAAGCCGCGGTCGCGCTGGGTGCGGTTTTCAAAAACTCTGGCGAGGCTGTCCGCGGAGGGTTTTCTGCCGTTTTAATAGTTCGATGCCCATCTTTACTGTGCAGGTTGTCCTGAAGATTGTCTCCCTGTTCATCGTGGAGTTCCGTTGAAAGCAACTGGTCTACTTTCACCATATCGTAGTCTCCTTCTTCTGCTGGATCGGACGATGGTGATATCAAGTCTGGCGGGTCGCCACGAGCTGAATGCTTCTGAACGGAAGATGCTGCCTCTGCTATCTTCCTTTTCCTTGCGCCCGTCGTATTCATTCCGGGGGAAATGAGCAAGGTCGGAGGTTTCTGTATTGCTGCATTCCCCCCGTGGTCCAGCGTTCGTGTAGCCGCACCACGTCCGTCCCGGCGCACTTGCAGGAAGCGCGGCATAGGAATTTGAGCATCTTTCAGGTTGTTCTGTTGGCACCGCGAGAAGATATCAGCCGATGCAGATGGAGGTTTCGCAGCTAAAGTTGTTGTAGTTCCTACACCGCTGGCGTCATGAAATGCTTTCTGTGAAGCTGAGCTTTTTCCCGTGTGATAGAAATAGCCACCGCTGTTGTTCCCGACGAAGCTACCCAAAAGTTGGTGAAACACGAGCTGCAGCGCCTTCGTTAGCGTTTTGATGGAGCTGAGCAACTCCGCCGTCAGTTGCTCTTGCTGCTGAATACGGGGTTCGAGGAATACTCCCTTGAAATTCACGATTTCGGGCTTGTAGTACAGGTGCGACGCGGTCGGGACGGCAGGGTTCGTGGTTCCTGGCACCGCAAAATTCAGATTTACTCCAGCGACGCTTGCCCCACCAAGCAGTGTTCCAGGCGGAGCACCTTGATGTTGCGCGAAAAAAGCTGCCAAGGCTTGCGCCTGCACTTCCGGCGTGAGACCTGCGACAAATAAATTCTGCTGGGGTAGTTGCGAGGTTGCACTGGCAACGGCTGCGGCTGGACCACCCTCAGGACCGTCTTCCTTCTTCTCTCCCGCCGTGATCAGAATGTTCGGATCACTTACCACCAGAGGCTCCTTCGCCGCAGGCTTTCTTTTCTTCTTTGCATCGCTCGAGCCCTTAATAGCGACGTTCTGCTTTTCGGCGGTCATCTCCCTCTTCTCAGCGTCGGCTTCCACCGTATTTGTTGTGCTGTCAGCATTCCCTTTACCGGGCACAGCGTTGTTGCTTGCCCTGTTCTTTTTCTTCCGTGAAAACAGTCCTGTTGGGTCGGCGTCTGCGTCGCTGGACTGGTTCCCCAGGTCGAAGTCCGAGGAGATCTCGCGGACCACCCCTGTCTCCGGCAGAGGTGGCATCTTCTCCTGCTCGCTGTTTTCGATACTCGCCAAGCGGCTCATCATGCTTGCACCACCGAACGTGATGGGCCCGTTGCTGGCACCAGCTCCAGCAAAGTTGCTGGCACTGCCAGAAAGAACCCCGCCCATGTTCATCTGACTCTGCATGCGCTGCATTAGCTCCATCTGTGACGCGGGCAGGCCCATGCCCCCGGGACTAAAGCTAAAGGCTCCGTCCGGGCCAGCACCGCGCTCGGAAATGACGCTCGACGCGCTAAGTCTTCGCATCTCGTTCACGGAAACTCGGCGCGGAGAGGGGATGCCGCTCGGGGCGACGGAATTGGCGAGCGAGTTGCTGTTGTTCATGTTAAACGAAGACCTCCGCTGGAAAAACGGGTGCTGCTTGTTTTCCAAACCACCCGCATTGTTCTCGAACGATTGCTGCCCCCCGCTCATGGAAGAACCACCAACTGGAAAAGAGCTTCGCGCCCCCATAAGCTGCATTCCGTTTCCCAAATCGTCCGCACTGGCAGCGCTTTTGTCGAAGTTCGCGAAGGTTTGGCGCTGTTTCGTGAGTTGGCTGTCGACCGAGCCGCGGCGGTGGTTCATGCTGTCTTGCCGCTGCACGTGGAAACTGTTGCGCCGCGACAAGGCCGAAGGCTGCTGCTGCTGGCCGTTGTTCTCAACCGTCCCTCGCGTTGAGGAGGGCACCACGCGCCGGCCGCTGCCGTTGTTGCCCAGCCCGCGTTTATGGGGAGAGGCGGCTGCAAGCTTCTTCATTTCCTCCATTTTCTGCTGAAATTCCAGCCGCATCTCGTCCATCTTCTCAGCCACCTCTTCGCGGACCTGCACCACGCTATCGAGAATCTGCTTGCCTTCCGTGCGCATCTTCGTCATCTCGTCGCGAAACCCACCGCGGATCTCGCGCAGGAACCCGGCGGTCTGGGCGGCGACCGATTTCGTCCCGCCACCCGTCCCGGCTTGTCCCGGGCCGGCATCCAAAATCACGGACACCTTCGCTTCCATCGCCTGCGAACGCTTCAGCTGGGAACTAGCTTCCTGCATAATTTTGTCCTGGTCTCGCTCCACGTGTTTCACCTTGGATAGGGTTGGTAACTCGCTTTTGCGTTCCCGAGGGCACCCCACGGCCCGCGGCGACTTGTTGACGTCTATGCACGCATTTTCATGAACCGCTTGATTATATACTGCATCATTAAGTCCTTCTCGTTTACCGAAACGCTTGCGTTGTATCTATCAAGCAGCACCAGTCTATTTCAAACCTTATCAACGAGATCTGCCATGCGTTCCTGCACTTTGCTGCTCTGCTTCTCGGTTTTTTCCAGCTTCTCCCCCGTCCTTTCGATAAAGTCGTCGAGCACCTCCCGGTCCGCAAATTCGCCCAGCCGCGCAAAGAGCATGTCTTGGTTTTCCCGAATTTTTTCCACCTGCTTCTTCTGCTGCTCTTGCCGTTTTTCGTTCAACTCTCGTTCTTTTTCCAGCTGATGCTTCACGTCAGTGATCGCGGCTTTCAACTCTTGCACCTCCTCTTCATTCTTCGTTTCCTTCTCCTGCAAAAGCCGGATCTCTGCTTCCAAAGGTGCAACTTTAGTCGTCAGAAGCCGGTCTTCTGCAGCTTCTAGCGCCTCTTTTGCTCGCGATGTCTCTGCCTCCAGGTCAGCGCGGGTCTGGTGTTTTTATTTTCGTGATATGGGACTGTAGCTTTACTTCGCAACTCCACTGGCAGTGGCATGATAGATTTTCTTTGCAATATCCTTAAAAAACTCCTTATGTACGTCATCGAGTTTTCGATTCGTGGTTTCCTGCTTCTCCTCCACGTCATGCAACTCTGCGAGGCGATTGACGCAAGCCGTCAAGTCCTTTACGACGGGTGCGTTCAACTCCAACACCAAGGACCTGAGTTTCGCCTTATGCTAGCGCCCCGTCGGAAATCGACTACAAAAGGAAAATTTCTACGCCACACACAAAAAATTATATCCGTGTTGCAATTGAGGCAACTGATCAAAATTGTCAACGTGACTAGACTGCTGGACGGGTTTGCTGAAGAGCATGACGAGAGCCCCTGTCTTACTTTTTTTTTCTTTGCTCTACACAGCATGCCCCTAGGGGTGGGAAAAATTTGTCATGCGTCGCTTGGAAAGAAGTGGCGGCTCTATCGAGAACAACGGTCGATTCTAAGCATGTCAAACTTGTTGTTTTTCCATTTTGCAAATTTCCCGGTTGACACTTCCATAGACCTCCAGCTCGGCATACCGCAACTCCTCGGCGAAAACCTGGGCGACTGACATCTTGTTCCCTGTGGCTCCAGCTCTTCTACTTTGTGTACTAGTGAGCGGCCCAACGTTCGTCACCGATCTTCTCGGGCGGAAGCAAATGCGGTTTAAGTTCAGATCCTTTACTCTCTCGGAGAAGTGCATATTTCTGTCTGAATTGATCTTCAACCATCCAGATGCTCTTGGGTCAGCGCATGGCCATCCCAGGAGCGCCAGTTGTACAAGCATCCCTGTATACCACAGCCAGCGAGAAATCCTCTTTCGTTTTACTTACTTAAGTACTTCGGTCAGCATCCACACGAAGAAGAACAACGAAAGCGCCAAAAACAAGCACTATTAGAATCAACAGCCACACGTCAACTACCTGGAAACGGGGCAACGCTCCAGGTTCGTGGTCGAACTAAGCTCCATTCTCAAAGCTAGTTTCCTTGTTTTCGGAATGTAACTGTGTTCTCAAGGATAAGAAAATTGCAGCTGCTGCTCCTGGTATTCAATAAAACGGCATAACATATGCTCACCCTTCGACCACTTCGTCGCCTCCGCCATCCGCTTCTGCCTCCTCTCCTTCCTGCGGTGACTGCGCCACGTCGCTATCCAAGTGGTAGGTACTTTTGTGCTCCTCATGCTCCGGGCTCGTTGCACCGTCCAGCAAGTTCTCCTCCTCGAGGGAGGGTGCAACATCACCGTCCTCACCATCGACGGCTTGCTTCGGCCTCATCAGGCTGATGCAGCAGATTACGATAATGATGACAGCGCAGATCCCGATAAAAATCATGTCGCCGCCGTGTTCCTTCGCGATCGCTTTGGCCTTCTTCTTCTTCACCTGTGCCTCGATGGGTACGGTCGTGTGGGGCGGAAGGGTGCCTGTAATTGTGTATTGCGGAATGGATTCTTCTTTGAAATCGCTGTGTCTGTACTATCCATCATGATCATCAATATCAATGACACGAAAAAAAAAACGCACAGAAAATAACGACTACACTAAACTTGTACGCACGATGAATACTTTCTTCGTCAACCGGAGTCAGTTTTGCTCCCACACTTGGAGTGCCGGTGACCACGGGAGCAGTAGTTACGGCCATCAAATTTATCCCCGACACCCCGTGCGTGCTCAAACCCGCTACCAAGTTAGTGTGCAAGTCTCCAGGAAACGTTGAAGCGGTGATGTCCTGCTCTACTGCGTTTTTGTCTGCAGGATTGCAAAAAACCGAGTACTGGATCTCAACTGAGCCGATCGCTCTGCTTCGCCGTGTCGCTGCTGCGCCCTCGCCGCTTTCTTGTTGCGCTTCCTGTAGTTGTTCTGCTAGACTCGTTACCCGGCGCGCGCGGGCTCGGCCATCTCGGCCACTTCCAGGCTCAAACGGTAAAACATCAGAGCTCCTGTGGTGCTTTTTTTCTTCCCGCAGCAGCACCGGTTTTCTTTTCCCTTCGGATCGTTGAGCTTCCTGGCCCCGCGCAAATGTTGACTCCAGCACGTCCATATCCTTATCAACAGCTACCGCTTCATTTTCCCATGACCTGGGACGATCGCTAGCAAGAACGGCACCGCTTTCCTCTACGAGCGCTGACGCCGCAGCGCTGCTGCCACTCAAACTCATTGGGGATGAAGATTCGGCTGTGAGCGCGCGCAACTCTACGTCCGTTGTTTCTACCGCGACAGTAAAACTTTTTGCGATAGCCTCTTCGAGCGCAGCTTGGAAATCCGCGCCTTCGCTTATTGTCTCGACGGTCTCAGAACTGCCGGACACATCCAGACTCAGACGGATCGCGCCCTGCACACTCTCCATTTTTGTGCCGGAGTTTATTTCGTCCTTTTCTGCTGAGGTGTAAGTGACTGTTGTTGTCGTCGTCGTGCTAGTGCTGGTCGTACTGTAAAAGTTCTCTGCACAGTCGCTGCAATGAGGAACAGTTTTCCCCGTTAGCAGGAAGCGGCTCATGTCGATTCCACGGGGGAAATTTCGTATCGGCCCCACATACTTCAACCCGGTCAGCGCATCGCGGGTTTCGTTCAGTTCGTAAGGACGAGCAATACTACCTGTCTGATTTGACACTTTCAAACTACTAGCGCCTCCTCCTGCAAGAGCGGCGCTTTTACTCAAGTACAAGCGTATCGTGCCGTTTCCCGCCGAACCGCTTTCATCAGCATTCTCGCTTCTATTGTGATCTGCGACGAACAAAGGTGGCATCTCCGCGTGGAACCCTGCGTTTTCCAGACACACGTTGAGATCGCCGGCCGCGGAGGTGCTGCCTGACTTGAATTTCACTTCCAATGCCGTCTTGTTCAACCCGACCAAATCCGCGACTTTTTCGATCGCGGAATACATGCTCAAACACTGCTTCTTCCGCGGCTGCCGCAGGAGGAAGTTTTCCATGCCCGACATAGCCATTTTCCACACATTTCGGAGAAACACCTTCTCGAAGCACTCCTCTTCGCCCTGGCCACCAGTCAGAAAAGGCATCCCCACTTGTCCGGAAAAACGGAGCTCGGTAGCCGTCGCGTTCAACTTGATCTCTAGCTTGTTCAAATTGACAAGCGGAAAATACCCAACCGGCTCGTGCTTCTGGCAGTAGCCAATCCCCGCTCTGATGGCACTTTGGAGCGAACCGAGAATCTGTAGTTGTGTGGTCGTTGGAGCAAAGAGTTCTTTGTTTTCTTCATCGACGGTGCTCGTCGCGTTGTAGGAGCGAAAATAAAGTGAGGCGATCCGATCCCACAGACGAGGCAAAATCCATGCCGCGACAGTTCGTACGGTCCAGAAAAAACCACGACGGCCTTACATAACTAAAAATAAAGCGAAAACAATGCTTGAGTACCACTTCGCTCCAGGCGTGCTTCCCCAGCAGAGTCTCTTTTTCCCACTTCATCTCGAAGACGCGCTGAAAAGGATTGCACGGTGTTTTGGTCACGTGGGTAACCCAACTGGTTGTCGCAAGATGCACAGAGGAGCTGGAGTGATTGGAGTTGCTGGAACTAAAAGATGGCAATCCAGTCGATGAAGATGAACTTGGGCTGCCTTGGTAGGATTGCGACGAGATGGTTTGCGTTTGGTTCGGTAAACCATTGTTTATTCCCGTTCCACCACTAGCTGCATCTTCAACCCCTGCCGTGAAGTACTCTGTCGTGGTGTACTCCGCAACCCCCTCGGTGTGGTTGTTCGCACTGGAATTTAGGTTGAAAAAATTGGTGGAAGCGTAGTGCGAGGTTGCGTTCGTCGCGTTGTTGTCCGTCAGCTTACCCCCGAGTGCTTCGATCAACGGCTTCATCAGGGCCATTTGCAGCCCCTCCAGCTGCACCGTCGTGTTATCCAAGGCGGATGTTTTGTTCGACCCGTGGAGAAATACCTCCAACATCTCGGCGTCGGAAAAGCTGGAAGCGGTGATGTTGTGCGATGTAGTCCCACCAGAAGCGGATCCCGGCGTGGTTGTATGATGTGTACTATCGTTGGACACTAGTGTCGTTATTACCCGGTCGGTCTGATTCGTACTCCACATCCAGGAACCGTACAAATCCCAGAGCAGTGGTGGGAGAAACGTCCAGAGGCCCATGCTGCCCTGCACACCGTGGACGCCGCCCCAGCTCCAGTTGGTGTAGAGGAAGGGCTTGAAGTGGAGGGTTCCTTCGACTTCAAAAACCCCATTCACGTGCGTTTTCGCGAAAAGCGGCATCGACGTTTCGAAAGAATTGTTACTGAAAGAGAACCCACTCGAGGACGCATTTGGTCGTGCCAACGTCGAAAGCGATCTGCATTTTCCTGCGGCCGACACGATTTCCCGTTCGTGCACGCACTCCGGGGCGGTACACTGGTTAAAGGATTCCTTCGAAAATACGCTGTCGTCCTTGGCTGTAAACGCGAGGGTCGCACAGGTTGTGTTCTGTAGTTCACCCTGCTCCTTTCGTAGAAGTTCTTCCCCATGGACGAGACGTTGTTGGCCAGTGGATATGAAAGAACTCGCTTGATTTGTGGTCTCTGCCTCCTTGTTTGCAATCGAACACCGCTCGCAATCTATGACGTCTGTGCCTTGGATCGCCGCGCTAGTGGTACTAGAGACGTTCTTCAGCCCTGCTACCACGTCAAGGGTCGGTGCGCACACTTCCGGAAACAAAAACACGTTCCAGTGCTTGCAGATCCAGTCCACACACTCGCTATCGGTAGACCACACGCATTCGGGTTTTGCCGTGCAGGTTACGCGGTCGTAGTAGTGAGACGCCGTTGTGGTCTCGCAGGTCGCAACTGCGGTGGTGTCCGCGTTGTCCTTGGCGTAGCAGTGGCAGGGGCTGCTGCTAGTACTAGTACCGGGTGCGACAACAGAACTCACCTGCGACACACGGTGCAGGCATCTGCTTTCACCGGAGCAGTGGAAGTGCTCGCACAAGTCACACATTGCCTGTTCGTTCGCGGTCAGGTTGTCCGGCTTCGGAATGCTGAACTCGTAGCCGGGGATTAAATGCGAATACAGCGTAATGCCTTTTTCGTCTTTTACAGTCGTCCTGAGCTTGCGCCGCCGCCTTTTCCCATGCTGCCGTGCCATCTTCTGGTTCTGCACCGAGCTCGTACTACTAGCTACCTCGTCGGTCTGCGAGAGTCTTGATGTTGTACTGTGCCTTTTCTCTTCCACGTAAGAGTCGTGAGATGAAGCGGATCCGGATGATGTAGTCTCGTCTCGGACACCTGCAAACTCCGCCCCCGACGCTAAACGCACTTCTTCTTCGCTCGTGTAGTGCGCCGCTGCATCCTGTCGTATTACCTCGGTTCCTATTTTCTTGGAAAAAATGGACTCTTCTTCTGCAGGAAAGACGCGGCGGATCGCGGATTGCCACTTTTTCGTTTCTGACGAGACACGAAGACACAGAGTGGAACGAAGCAGGCATCCAAAAAGATTCCTCTTCGATAAAAACGAATGGCTCATGCTGGAGCGCAGTTGTGCTGCCTTCGGGGTCATACCCACATCAAGGTGCTTTTTACAACATGGAACCTTCTTTGCGTTTGCGATGGTGCAAACGTAGTTGCTCTCTTGCAGAACGCCATCGCGAAACGCTGTGGCTACAAACTTCGGGAGTTGTGTGATTTGTGTAGTAAGTACGAGCAGCGAAACATATAGATCACACATGGATATGGCTTTGGCTGCCAGCACACGCATAAACAAACCTTGTGTCACACCTCTGCAGCTCCTCTCCCCATTTTCTAATCTTGCAGACCTATCCTCACTCGTAAAAAAAAAAACGATCATTTCCCTTTGAAGACAATAGCCTCTCGATCTTCACTCAAAGATGATGCAACCCAGAAAACCCCCAAAAATTCGCTTCTCGATCACCATCTGCTTCCGGCGTTGTTGTATCTTTTTAGCTTATCCCTTCAGCACGACACGAGCACGACCAAAAAAACGAGCGAGAATGAAAACGAAACAATCTCGCATTCTTGTCATGATTGATGGTCATCGTCATGGTGGCATTGGAGTGAGCAAAAAAAATTGTGGTCGAGAGCAGGATGCAGCGAAACGATATCTTTGATTGCAGATGCACGGAAATTTTTGCCAGAACCGGAGAGTTCAAACGTGGAACAACACATGAAGGCACGACGTCATGAAACTTTAGCGGGAGCTCAACCAGCGAAGAATCGGCAGCTGAAGAACCAACGCATCGATAAGATCAGAACCTCCAAAATGTGGATGCTTTTAGTTACACCAAACGCAATTCCAGTCCCGTTCAAGGAAGATATAATGGTATAGAGCAGAATGTTGAAAGGCTAGAAAAGCAGATCGCACTCTGTGTCTGTATCTTTTCGTTGTCTCAACAAATCATATCAATATCTAAAGGAAATGCCATATCAAGAACCTCTCGTAACGAATTGTTATTTGGATTGGATTGGAAATCTGATACAAGTCCGATTCGTTCGGTAGTATCCGCTCCACCGAGGTGGGTTCACTCAGTCTTTAGCCCAAAACGTGGCATTGAGAATGATGGAAGTGAGAAGTCAAAGACTAGACAACATAACATAAAAACTAGACTGTGTGCTCGAAAAATGATTCCGAGACGCGAAAGAAGAGCAACGATCACGAAAAGGTCAGTATACGGCACGAGGACGCCAGAAAGCGTGTAGGTATAGCCACATAAATCCTCAAAACATCAAAACATTATTGAACAATTTTTTCAAAACGAAAAGCAACTATCAGCGCTCCGTAGCATTTCCTAGAGGGATTTTTACTCCTGAATATTCACGTGAATTCGCTTGGTAATAGGTGACGCTATCAACAAATCAGTTCTAAAAGTAAAAAGCCCGGCGTGAGTTATTGCGACCACCAAAGTTTTCAGGAGATACACCTGTTCAGTGCTGCCCGTCGAATCTGTGAGTGCTTGCGCATTTTGGTAAGAATAATTACATTGGCCGCTTGGATGCACGCTTTAGCTCTTGGCGATGAGCTCTTAGCGATAGCCAATCGAGTAGGACAGACTCCAGTTTTCTACCGCATACTCACGAAAAAAAGATGACTCAAAAATACCAAGAGCAGCGTCCTTGGCCGTAGCAGGTCGCGCAATGCTTAAGCTGGTGCCATTCAGTTCATCAAATAAGTAGCATCTTTCTTGTGCAAGTCCTCTCGTCACAGAGGCTGAACTGCAATGGAGCCGAGCTCAAACTAGACCAGGGCTTTTCTAGAAGGTAACACTAACAGGGCATGGTGTGTTCGAAGTAAGGTAAAATCTCGATCGATCCCTTAGATAAACGACATTCTCATGGTAAACACGAAGACGAATCTACTCATCTGAAATAAGAAATCTGATTGCTATTTTCAAGAATTGTGAATACGGTACTTAGAATGGATAGTTAGCAAATGCTTTGGATATCTTTGTCGACACTGTGTGGCAAGAGAAATACTTTTACCGGTAGTCCTATCCTTGTATATACAATTGGCTTCAAGGACTCGTATTTTTATCTCAACAACTCCAACCCATAGTAACTATTCTCCTTCCCAAAAGATCAAAATCAACGTAGATAAAATTTGTGTTCCCGAAGAGCACACTCAGAGATCGTGTAAACGACGTACCTCCCTAATACGTACATCTAGCGAGACCACGGCAGTCTCGTCTAGTTGTAAGAAGGTGACGAATGTGATTCAATAATATACGGCCGCGCAAAGCTATTTTTCTGTTCTCTTTTTTCCGTATGAAGAGGCACACTTCATGTGCGAGCTTCGTTTTGCCTATCACTACACGGCTTGACAGCGCCGGGGTATGGAAGAATCGCCGCTGCGCGAAGCAACAAGAGATTTCCGATTCCGGAGTCGATCTATGATTATTCGTCGAGGGCGGGTGCCATGTGGTTTACGTTTTATCATTTTGCTTCAGAGCAGGAAAGGAACTAGAGACATCGATCGGAAGCCGCTACATTTGTGGAAATATCGAAGATTATCGTTTTACTGCGCAAGACTGATTTTGTATATTTCTACAAGAACAACTTTCTATCTAGCAGTATCGGCAAAGGACCAGAGCCAACAAGTGCAGGGTGAGTATGGAACTGCGCAGGAGAAGGTACGTATTCACGTGCGCAGTCTCCTTTAGTGCTGAAAGACGGTCTACCGTGTCTGGCAGAAGACATTTTTCAGCATCGCAGGCAGTCTGGAAGATGATGAACTACAGTACACTACTAACGAGTTGTAAACAAAAGCTCGTACAGGGTCTTTATATCTCAAATTAGCTCATTCGGCAGATTGCAGATCAGGAAGCTCCTTGAAGATTTTGTACAGCGAAATCCGATCTGAAGCTACGGTGCCTCGGCGGCTGACTGTGACAGTCAATCGAACTCGCAATCAAGATCGTCATGCCCTCCTGCTTCACTGACGGTCATCTCGATAGGGTTGTAATTCTCTTCCATGATGCTGGATGGTGGCTCGTCGGTACTCCCCATCGAGCACGCTGTCATGTCCTCCAGCTTTTGTCTCTTGCGCGCTTCGTATTTCTGCCTGGACTTCTCCACATATGACCGCACCTGTGGCAGTTTTGGTTACGTAAAGCGCAAAAGCCTCAGACTTGGCATCGATTATATACATATTTCTGTCGTCCATGACTAAAAACGTGATGCCATACCCGATGCCAGTACCCAACGAAAGAAACGTCATGCGAAAAAACACTCTCGCTTTACCTTGGCTTCGTAGGCTTTCGTGTCCTTCAAGTACAGGGCTGCGGCGTCGGAATTCAACGGGTCCTGCGGATTTGGGTAGGTAAGAAGCTGCGGCAGAAACACCTCAAAAACGTTCACCAAGCTGTACAGCGGCGTCCACGTCTGGTTTATTACCTGCGGATAGCGATTGGTTGTGAGGACAGTAAATTTTTTCAGTCGTGCCAGCAGTTTGAGTACCAACATATTTGTATGTTCGTGGTCAACGTCAATACTAACCTGATTGAACCGGAGACAACAATGTATGATGAAGCTGCTGGCGATACAGTCAGATGTTGAGTGACCCTAGATGCAAGAACAAATTAGCAAGTACATCCAAACACACGCTGCCGCTCTTCTCGTCCACATTTGGATGAAACATGGTGTTTGGCTCAAACCCTATGCCGGGACTTGCGAAGGGATACTGCTCAGGTAGCTCCACGTGCGCTCGATATATGGCCCCTGAGAGTTCATGGTTCATGGTTAGCTACATCGTATGCATAGTATTTCAGTCAGGAAGTTCAAAAGCCCCGGCGTGTCGTGCTCGTGGCGAGGCGCTGCATAGACAATTTTCAAAGTGGAGATACTTCGTATGACTTTCGGACGGACAAAAATCTCTCTCGACAACTTCTCCGTTCTTGTCCGTCCTCAACGGGCTGCAATTAGACATCAAGATCATAGTCATACACAAAGGGATGATCAAGCAGAATTTTTCTTTTCTATGTATAGAAAGATATACCCTCGTAAATTGTGTCTTTCGGTCCGTGAAAGACCACGTGGAAGTCTTGGGTGTTCCCGTCATTCAGTTCAACTTCGTACCCAGCCATGATGAGCCGGTGGAAAATATGCTGTGCAAAAACGTCCCGTCTCAAATTCGATGTCACGCAATTCTACATGCCCAAATTGTACGCAAGTATCTCATGTGCATCTCCACCGTGACAGGCATTCTCTAATGCTAGCCGCTTGTTTTTCAGGCTCGACTCCGGGTACAGACCACGATTACTGACGCGACTGCACGACCAGCTACCCAATACAACACTAGACACCCAGTTTTGTCATGCTAAACAGCCAAAAGTTCTCAGCTTGTGTCGCAACAGCTGCCATCTTGACTGTGGGGCGGGGACATCGTTTTTACACAGGATAAAAGTCGCACTGTCTTCTCGTGCTGGGCGATGACATTTTCTTTGTGCCGACTACAGCTTGACCAATTACCGCGGACTCCAAGTGATGCAACGGCGGTGCTGTGAGTCTTGCTCTCTCCTTGCTAAAAACGCGTGTAGAAAAACACTGGTGGTCGCGTTCTGCTTCCTGATGTGAGTCCCTTTATTTCCATATTGCTTCAGCTTCGTCGAAGAGGTGGTTGTCTTTTCGGCGCGAATCCTCTGCGTGATCAGCTCTTGGACTTGCCTTACTCTGTATCAATTGTGATGTGATTTCTCGGATCGGCGTTGCTTTTCGCGCTATTCTACTTCACCAGGGGAGCACAAGGGGGAATTTTTCGTATTATTCGTGTTCGAAGAAGATTCCGGCGATGGATGAAGAAAGTTTTCTTGGCGATACAAGGCTGCTACTCGCAAAGATTTTCCACTGGTGCTCCCGATCGGCGTGGGCTCTGTTCCAGTTCTTCAAAATCAAAATGGTGCTGCTGTCTCACCGTCGGTAGATGGCGCAACGATGTCAGTACATCCAAAGTCTGTGCCACCCTCGCGATATGTTCCGAAAAAAAAGCTTCCGCTTGACCTTTCGTTACAGAGGGGGGCGAGTTGAAGATGTTCCGTAATTTTGGTTACAAGGAAAAAGTCGGGCAGTGAAATTCGATGTATCGTTAGTTTCTCGATCGATTCTTTTTTTACAACCAGAGAAAGCCGGAAACGCTCCAAAAACTCTTCTCGCGTTTTTGTCGCGCGCTTCTCGTTTCGACGAGTAGGGCTGTAAGGTTTTCGAAATGCTCTCGTTGCGTGTGACGCAGTTGTGCTTCGGTGGTTGCGTCTTGCGTCTTGATGGTCGAAAGTGGACTATGTTACAATCTACTGCTGAAATTAGGTTTCTAGGGTTGGGAAATTAGCTGCTTTGCGTAAAAAGGGAAAGTTTAATTTTCTCGCACGAGAATAGCCTACAGCAAGTTGCTGAGGGTCGTATGTGGCTCTCCTATGTGATAAATCTTGTAAAAGTAAACGCTGTAAGTAGCCGGGGGATCAAGTTAACGACTTCGAAAGAAAATCGATACGTCTAAATTTATACTCACTTGTCTGAAATGGAATTTGTTCTCTGCGTCGAGTTTACAATGCGGGGAAATAAATAAATCTGTGCGAAGTTCAAAGTGCCTATTTTTCTTGTAAACTTTTAAATTCAAAACTATAATTTTTGCAAAATTAGCGAACGAAATTTCAAAACCAAAACAGCAAAACTTCGAGCATCAAAACTTACTAGCGGCTCAAGTGTTTTCGGGAAAAAGATATGCCCAAAAATTTCGTAGTGCATCGATTCATAAATAAGCGCTCAAAGGGTGCGGCACCCAAGATAGAGTGAGTGCTATGACACCATACTTACTAGTTGCATATCTGATAAATCGGTCTACTGCTCTGTTCATAGACAAGGTGCAGGACCTCTTCGAAAGCTCTTTATTTCCGATTATTTGTAGTTTCCAATCATGGACCAGATTTCAAGGTGACTCAGAAGAATCTCCCCTTTTTGACCTTTATGTCGTTTTGTCTATTATATTTTCTTCGTTTATAATTGTCCGAGTGTTGCATGCCAAACTTCGAAAAATTAATTGTAAAGAAAGTTGCGATTGGTGCAGGTGGTGGATTGGTGAGTGGTGCTGGGTCATCGCAAAAATTTGGCACGAACATCTGGTCCTGCGCGTGAAGAAGTTTGTATAAGATTTTATCGCCTTCGGTGCACTCGTTGATCAAAGTTCGGACGGCGACCCAGCCGTCTGCAGTGTGTTTCCGAATCCTGTTTTGTAAACACAACTTTTCCTCGTACTACTCGTACACATCCAACATGGGCAGACGATCTGTTTGGAAAGAACCGAAGATTATCGGATACCCATGCGCCACAAGCAGTTCTACTTGCTTTTGCCTCTCAGAGGGGAAAATGAATCCTGCTATTGCTTTAACTACTCTCTCGGTCGACGAGGTACCTAACAAATGCCCAAACACTCAGAAATTCAAATTTCATTTTTCAACCGATGACATTGCACAGCATTTTTTTTCATTTTCCAGTATGCCCTTGCTCGCTCGTTTGTTTCTATGTCAAACAGAATTCTTTGCAGCAAGGCGGGTCCGGGTGTGGGACCAAGAAGAAGATTGGACTTCCTGGGCTTCTTTGGGTAGATTTATCGCTCGATCGTGATTCAGTGAAGCAACCGCACTTAAAAGGACACGATAGAAACAGAAAGTAAGCGTACTCATACTTAATCAAAGACTGAAACTTTATGTTTACAGCAGAGCTTGAACTTGTACTTGAGCAAAATAATTTACTTACTTATACGTTCATGGGGGAAGGGGTAGTTGATGTACGGCGCAAATGTAGTAGAGCTAGCTACAGTGCCATACTCATATTTCAAAAATGAGAAAAAAATAGGCCGTCAAGCAGGAAAGACACTTCAAATTTCAAATGTATGAACCGCTATTCACTTCTTCCGTCTAAAAACAGCACAGAACCCTGGACCGCCGAGCCGGAGCCGCTGTCAGCAAAACTCCTTTCTTCGAAAAAACTCGGCTCTGCTCCCTCTGCAATCCCGCCGGCCGCTCATCCTCATGAGAGGAAGACGATGACAGACCTGATTGAATTGTGATTCACATTCTTTTTCTTTCTTCATTGCACAAAACAATTACTTACGAGCCGAAATGGCTCCGTACTCGTCCTTTGAGTAAGAATTGCAGACAGAGCTACGCATAGCACACAAAAGTATCCAAAAGTACCTCCTGATTCCTCGTTTCCCATGGTCGCCATCATGTGACACTCTTGTAGTTCCGCTTCGTCGCCGGGCGGCACATCAGCAAGGGAAACTTCTTGCGCCGCATGTTCATCCAGACACCCGGAAAGGTCCGCGTCAACGGCGTTCGACGTGACTGGATTGATTTGTCACAATAGTTCTTTGCAACTAGTCGTTCCAAAGAATGTAATTTGTTTGGTTAGAACGAATTCACCATGAGAAAACAAAATTTTTTCGTCTCATAGAACTGCATTTTTCGCTACTGCATGAAGACAGAGAGCAACTTGCTTTTTACTGAACTGACTCCGAATATTCCGACATGATCGGTGTTGCTGCACCTGAAACACACCGCACACGCAATGAAGATTTTTCATCGTACACATTAGTGAAGCTAAAACCAAGTACCTTTCTCCACCACGTCGGACATGAGGATCTCCGTGACCAACGTCTCCGCGGGGACAATGGGAGCAGCTTGCTCGGCATTAGCATCCTCACCCAGCGCAAGAACTTCGCCGGGCCCCTGGATTTGTTCAGCTTCAAGATCCTCCGACAAAGAACTTAGATCCAGTGGCACAACTTCTTGCGACAGCACAACTCCTTCTGTTTCTCCTTTTTCCAGTCGTGCCGCCCGACACGATTTCATCTCTGCACACAACTCAAACGCAGTAGAGCGTTGCTTGCTTCCTCGGGTTGTTGTTCCGTTTTCTGCTTCCACATCCTTCGCAATCCGCACCTCCGCGGGAAACCCCGGCACCACAAAGGGAAAACGTTCCGGAAAAAAGAGGTGCGCGAAAACGGACACGACGCAGCTAGACGCGAAGAAAACGACGGAACCAACCAGGACCAACAGCAGCAACACACCGGAAGCGACGAAAACGTCCCAAAAGAAAACTTCGTACTCCGGAACGGCCGTCTCCAGGACGGTATGCAGGCTGCAGCCGTGGCAAGAAGCGGAGACGCCTGACGGACGCTCTTTGGGTTCGACATCACTTTCACTCGTGGAGGCAGGAGCAATAAACGTTGCAGAAGAAGATGAACTGCTTTTAGAAGCCGCTGCTTCCACTTGGCCAGCCTGGTCGGAAGAGAACATCAGAGCCTCGTTGCCCTCATCTCCAATGCTAGGGTCTAGCACGTACAGGAAAGTGTCGTACAGCTCAGCCACGTTTTCCCACTGCTTCGCCACAAACGCGGGTAGGTTCGCTCGAAAGAGCGCGTACTCCAGCGCGAAGAGCTTCTCCGCCTTCTGCGCGACCATGCAAAGGCTCTCATCCAGAAACGAGGGACGGGAAAAATTCGTCGTGCTTTGCGTCGCCGTAGACGACCCCACACCGGGGTTGCTGCGAGATCCATCTTCTGTGAAATAAGCAGTGGCCGTGAAGACACTATCGCAGAAATACCCCGTCGTGAGGCTTGTCGCGTCGCGGTTCAGTCGGTCAAATGTCAGAGCTAATTCCTTCACGTCCGTCCGCCCAGTACGCAGAAACGCCTCCACAGACGTGGGGTGGAGGACGTTTTTCTGGCTACTGTTTTCGATCAACAGGCTCGTGACCTCCCGAATGTAATCCATGTGCGACTGGACAACCGCACTGGAGAACGCGGCAATCCAGGTAATCATTTTCGATCGCAAATTTCCACTTCGCGAGGAAAGAACAGGATTATGTTTATTGGATTTGTTTTGCGTCAGAGTCAGATGAAAACGACGTGTACACGAGGCACTTAGGCCATTTAAATCAGTGAATCACCGCAATTCTTAGGTGATAGCTGCAAAAATATTGGGAGGGAATTTTTTTGTGTTGCATACAGAAAAACAACTAAGCGCGCGAAAACGCTGAGACACGAACGGTTTTGCGGCAATAGACACGTTCAAGTTCTTTCAAAAAATTTGCTGCACGGGAAAGGAGTCTGTGACCCGGCACGAAGTTGTGAACGAAGAAATGTTGCGCAACAAGTGACAACGATTGAACGTGTTGCGATGGACGACAAGAACTATGACGCAACTGCTAGAGCGTAGAACTGTAGCAGGTCAGGTTCGACGCACGTGGACGAAAATCAAAATCATAAAAACGCACGAGCACGACGAGGACTATACGAATTTCATTTTCTTCTACCTTCACGACGATCATCTTGGAATTGAAAGAACGACGACGACGTACTAGAAACACATCGGCCCTTCTCCTGCAAATGGGAATGGGCAACCACACTCTTTTCCAAAGTAGCAAGCTGTGATTTTTCTTCTTTGCGTCCGTACAGAGGCCACTCGTGCTGACAGCATTTGATTTTCAAGCGAGTGTAAATAGCAGGAGGCTCTCCTGAGGGCGAAAGGAGGTGGGTGGTTTTGAGTCGTGGACAAATCTTTCAATCATTACTCTGCGTTTTGGGGCTCTTTGCAAGTTTGAATTCAGATTGGGATTCAAATCATTGGAGTCAACAGTTAAACATTGCCTGACTTTTGTCCTCCGAGCGATCGAGCGCGAGCACGGGTACATCAAGATTTCATTGGGATGAAAAAAGTAATTGTCGCTATATGTAAGCACCTCGTCCCGGGAAGAAACTGCTACTCGACGTCTATGCGGTCGTAGAAGAAGACACCAGTGCGCAGGACGATGTCGTGATTTTATTTCAAATTCGAGCGGGAGCTGCAGTCTCAGCAGCACGCACAGCCGGCACCACACTTCGCGATCATCAACCCCGACTCGTTTGTCTCCTCGGGGTTGAGCTGTTTGTCCAGCATTTCGGCAAACAGGCTGCTCTTCTCGAATCGAATGCGGCGCATGTTTTCCAGCAGAAAAAAGTCCTTCTGCTCCCCACGGTACTGCTGACTCACGTGCGGCGCCACGCGCGGAATCAACCCAACGCCCTGCGGCCGCATCTCTTCCGCAATGCGGCGTGCCAGGTCCGGGAGGAGAATGTGCATGTGGTCCGAGAGCAGCAACAAGTCCCGCAGATGCGGCGTGTTCACCTTCGTCTTGTCCTTGGCATCCTTGCTCATGTTCTCCTCTGACGTCACTATTTTCATGGTGTCGTCAATGAATTCCTGCCGTCGCTTCAACTTCGCCTCGATATCGATCAGCAGCTTGTTTTCCTGGTGGCCGCCGTTCGACGTCCCAAAGTGCGTTTCCCGCAGACCCTCCATCTTCCGCTCCAACCTGTCGGACCAGCTTTCCTCGTTCTCGACGACCGCACACGCCAGCGTGTCGTCTTCCGCCAGGGAGCTCTGTAGCACTCGCCGGAAGTTCGCCATCTTGCCGGAACCTGGGTTAAGTTTTCTCATAGATTTGTACTTCTTGTGTGATAAATTTCCAGCATAAAAAGACACCTCGAGCTCGAGCGCGACAAAAAAAAACGTAATTCTTTACCTTGTGTCTACTCGGTAAAAATCTCCTCAGTATCGAGATCTTTGATCTTGTTGTCATTGAGCGACCAAAAACACACTATATTAACGTACAACAATGAATCACAAACTCACCTCCGCCACCCAATGGTTTTGCGTTCACTTTTACTTCCGCTTCCTCCTCGACGAGGTTCTGAAACAAATCCCAGACCGCGTACATGTATTCTCGCTGCTCTTCGGTCCAGGAAAAGTCCACACCGCCCATGCCGCCGATCTTCGTCTCCCCCGCTTTGTTCACGCGCACGCCGCACCACTGCCGCACCAGCAGCGGGTCAAACTGTGCCTTGTTGACGCCGGTTTCCGCAGACCCGCTCACGAGCAGGTGTGCCTTCATCACGTTTTCCACCTGCATCCGGAATTTCGATACGATTTGGACCACTTTGGTCTGTCCAAGGTGCGGGCCGAGAGAAAACATCACCTGGTAGCGCCCAATTTTCTGGAAAAGAGACTTGTCAAAGGGCAGGAGTTTCTCCTCATCATCTATCTCCTGGTACAGCTGCGCCAACGAGATGGCCACCGGCCCGTCCGTGTGGTCGTCTTCGGCCACCATGGTTGAGGTTCAAGAACAACTCCGAAGAGCGGTCCTGCAGCGCACTACCTGCACCTAGGGATGCGGTTGATACGTCCTCGAGTAAGTAGTTCTACTTGATTTCGATTTTCTTGTCATGATCTCACAGATAACAGGCCCTGAAAAATTCCTTACGTACAACAACGACTTAGTTCAACGGCTGATTGTTTTGCGTGTGGTAGTTTCTGAGTGGACGAAAAAGGTCATGCGAAATGTTACCACGGTGGGAAATAATATAACGAGCATTCAAAGGAACAATCGGGTTGCTGTTTATTTCATGTCCTCACAGTGCTTGAAATGCGGCGCGATCTAGTACTTCGTCAGCTGTAATCGATATCCGATCGCTACGTGAGTGTCTCTGATCGAGGTGGTACTTTCTCAGGATTCCTCTCAGTATCGGTCTTCCCTCGACACCTCTCCTCTTCGTATGCTCTCTTAGTCAGATTCTACAGCTGTTGCACGCTCTTGAATCACATACACTTCTGCCGAAGGAACACATTCAACAAATGGAAAAATCACACTACTCGCGAACGAGCCTGACATCGCACAACAGTTCCTCTTTCCAAACGAAGCTCCGTCACAACTACATCGTTTTCTTTTTCTAAAACTTTTTTGCGTTACCGATTTTCGTTCAGGACGCCCAGAAACCAGACAGCGAGCAGTCTGTTACTGGGCGACCTCTTGTTCAGGACTGCAACGAGCCACCGCTGCCCAGAGGCTGCTGCTTTTCGTCCCGTTCGCGTTGACATATTACCGTAAAATAAAAGCTTAGCCGATAAGTTTGTTGATAAGTTGACAATAAACCGAATTTGGTGACATTCTTGGGCACAATTACACCTGGGGCACAGACTGAAGTAGTACCTAGGGCATAATTACAATAGAGGGAAAAACAACCCGGGCCATGGGAAGGCCGAAAGGTAAAGAAAGTACAAAAGTTCTATACTCTCTTCATCCGCCCGAGGCACCACGACATCAGTCCTCACTAAGGCCCGATACCAGCTGCTGGCACATGTTTTGCCAATTCGCCTCGCCCGCATGCTCTTTTTCGAGTTTTTCCTTGAGCACCGTCCCGACGTCGCGCACCTCTTTTTGAAAGTACACTTTGAATTCCTCATACACACTATTTCTTTTCCGAAACAGCGACTTGTGCACGTCGGTGCGAAAGCTTTCGATAGACGGGCTAATCCCGTGCTGCAGCAGCGAGTCGGCAGGAAACGGCTGGGGTTCGGGTTGCAACACGCTTCCCTCCTCCACAGGAGTAGTTGCGGCAGCGGAAAAAGAGGGCACCGCAATCTCAATCTGCTTCTCCGCGTCGGTGTAAGTCAAAGACGCGGGGGCACCTGCGAGGATCGAAGTCATACAACATGGGCAGAGAAATAGCGTGAGCGTCATCTATGTATGTGTATAAAACAAAAACCAGCATGTTGCGCAACGCGCGAGAGACTGGGTGTGACTGCAGGTGCAGACTGGCCCTGCATTTTGTGTTCAAGAAAGTCAAAAAGACCTACTCTGCTTCTGAATGTGCTTAGAGACTACTCAAGTATTTTTCTACCTGCTGGATCGCTTATCCTGGCCTGCAGAAACTCGTTCTCGACGGCAAAGAACTCCCCGTAGTCAAGTTGCCACAAATTGGTCGCAACCCCCTCCCATGTTCTCGGCGGGAGCTTCTCGTCGTCCACTTCTATGGGTCCCTCGTGTCCCGCGAACACCCGCCTTTTCCTCCGCTTGATGCTCATCCGTTCCTTCTGTACGTTCTCATCGCCCGGTAGGGGGTTGAAGTGCGTGGGCATTGGGACCGCATCCAGAACCCGCACCAGGGTTTGGAACAACAGAACCAGCTTGTGCAAAAAAGCCACGGCCTCCCGCTGCAGCGTGTTCGCGAACTCGAGTTTGAACCGGTTCAGCGCTGTGATTGTGGTAAGAAGAAATGATAATGATAAAGGAACGTGAATGTCAACGCAAGGAAAGGAAATTTGCGTTGTTTTCCATCGACAAGGTGGCGGGGCGCTTGCCAAAGCTGCTTTGTTCCGGCTAGCCGTGACAGCACCTGTCAAGCTAAAAAGATCAAAAATATAAACTTACATTCACACGCGTCCTTGTAGCGTAGCGCCTCGTCGTCCTTCAATTTTTGCAGTATTCGTGCGTTGTTCGGGTTTGCAAGGCTGGGCGTGAGTCTCTGTTCGTGTGAAAGTCTCCTTTCCTCCAACAATGCCGCCGCTTTGCCCATTTGTTTGGACAGTTTTATTATCGCCTGTTTGCAGCTCTCAAGTTGCCTCTCCAGCAAATCCCCGAACGCGCTGGGCCCGACTTGCAGTAGCACCTCGTCCCGCAGGAGGCGGCACTTTTCCCGGAGTTCTCGGCAGTTTTTCTGCCGGTGCGACTCGGTGGACACTTTCATATCGGCAAGAAATTTCGCCATAAAATCCGGCAGGCCAGACTTGTACCTAATGGCGATGATGATGTTGAAGATGTGTCATAATTTCTAAAATACAAATTCTGGGTTCACTGCCCTATAGGCGGCGGTGGCAGCATATACCTTCAAAAAAATCTTCTCTGTACGTCCCCTAGCTACTGAAATGTATACTTGCTTCGCTACTAGAAGGCAGGTTTTCATCATGGCGAAGAACAGCACAGAAGCGAGTACGCGTCTTTGCCCGCCTGGTCCACTTTCGCGATTCCCGGTGTGAACAGGTCCGAGGTCGGTATCGCGCCGAGCAGCTTCTCGCTGACCTCCACCATCAGCTGCTTTTCGTCCTCGGCCAGATCGGGCGCCGCTGCGCCCCCACCCGCGGCGTTCAGTATTCTTTCCTCGAGCTTCGAGAACTCCGTGACCGCCTTGTCGTCCTGATTGTTGTATTTGTCGTTGAATTTCGACTTGAAGGCCTCCAGGTGTTTCCCGAGCTTCAACATCCCCGTGACGATCACGAGGAAGCAGGCCTTCATCTCCGTGGACGGAGGCGGGAGCTTTTTCTTCCACACCTCCTGCTGTCGGAGCTGGAAATTGAGTGTGTGCGGCCCGGGCTCCTCCTTCTTGTCCATCACGTCCTTAAAGTATCGGAAGTACTGCCCCAACCCAAATAGCGTGGTGTCGGTGCGCGACATGATCGTCCGGCACGCCTCCTGCGCCCGCCGCCGCGGCGCCCCGTACACCGGCCCGAGACCCAGCTCTTGGGAAAGTTTGTCCACGGCGTCCGCATACGCTTGCAGAAATTTCTCGAGCGGATCCTGCTGTCTCTGCGGCAGCGCGGCCTTCTCCTCGTCGAGCCGGGACGTCCTGTTCATTCATTCGGGGGGCAGTCGTTTTTTAGCCGCACTGAATCTCAATCCCATCTCAGTCTTTTGCAAAAAAAAAATCTCATAGCTCCACATCCACCTACACAAGCATGCTTGACAACAACGTAAACTACCAAAACGCCCAGGAAAAAACCTCTCCATGATACCTGTCCGCCTTTTTCGTACTCAGCGCGTCGTTCAATATTGTCGTCTGCTCCTTGTAGTAGATGATCTCGCTTTTGGAGTAGTTGTCGCCCCCCGCCTTGCACATCCGCACGAAGTCCCGGTTGAGCAGGACTAAGGACTGAATCCCGTTAATCGCGAGCGTTTCCAGGGTTTCCACCTTGCTCCGACATACATCTACGAACTTCGCGCAGCAGTCCTTGCCCTTCCGCTCCACCGCCGTGAGGGCGGCCAGGTTCCGTGCCTCGGACAGCTTCCCGGTGAACATGGCGATGGTTTCGTGGTACACTGTCTCCGCCTCCACCACCTTCTCGTAGCAGATCACAGCCTCGTCCTCCTGGGCCGCGGACTTCTGCGCGATGGTGATCATGTGCCGCTCAAACCGGTTCTTGTGCTTCTCGATGATCGTGTACCGGGGGTTGTACCAGTCCACCTGCACCTCCCCCTTCCGGTTCGTGTGCCGCCGCAGCGTCTGGTCCAGCTCCATGTTGATCCGCTCGTCCTCCGCCTTCAGCACCGCCCGCGCGGTGTCGTCCAGCGTGGACTTGTGTTCGTGCAGGAACGCGAACAGCCGCTTCCGCATGGAGCGCAGCAGGTCCTCCACGAAGTGCGTCTTGAAGATCAGCTCCTCCAGCGTCCAGGTGCCCTCCGCGCACTTGGGCATGCGCACCACGCGGTTCAGCGAGTCGTCCAGCGCCAGCTCCTTTTTCACGTCCGCGGGCAGGCCGACGGTTTTCTCCTCTGGGTCGTCGGAGCTCGAGTGCTTTTCCTCACCCTCCTCGTCGATCTTCGGCACCAGCTGCAGCCGCCACAGGTCGTCCTCGACCTTTTTCAGCAGCGCAAACGAGAAGTTTTCCGGGGCGTCGCCCCAGAAGGGCTCCGTCTCCTCCTCCTCCCCCCCGGACTGCTTGGGGGACTGCGGCCTGGACCCGCCCTCCTCGTCCTCCTCCTCCTCGAGCTCGTCCTCCTCGGGCTTTCTTGTCAGCGCCATGTGCGGGATGAACAGGTCCGTTTGCAGGCGGAAGAAGGCGTGGATCTTCGGCTCGTAGGACCGGTGGATGTCCAGCAGGTTCTTCGCGAAATCGCGGTAGGACTGCGCGATCACGTCCAGCTTGTCGAACGTCTGCTGCAGCAGGACGTCGAGCCCCTCGATGTGCACCTCGTCGTCCATCAGCTCGTGGAAATTCACCATGTCCTGCTCGTTTCGCTTCTTCTCGTCCTCGTGGTCCTGGATGCAGTCGTCAATCTCGCCCTGGTGCTTCACCTTCAACTCCAGCAGCTGCTGCTTGAACTGCTCCAGGAGCGTCGCGATCTTGATGCTGAACGTGTTCAGGTTGAAGCAGGTGTGGTGCGCCCACTCGTCCAGCGTCTGCATCACGTTGGCCAGCTCCAAGCACAGGTTCTCGATCCAGTTCAGGCAGTTTCGCATGTGCGGCTTGATATCCCCGTCCACCAACGCCTTCACCGACTCGTAGTCGCCCCACTCGGTGCGGGCGTCGTACCTGTGGTCGTTGGATGGGTGGAAAAAGTGCTTTTCAGGAGGAGGAACTTCTTTCAAGAAACCCAGGATTAAGAGAAGCAAGAGATAAGTATTGGGTTTAGCTTTAGATGAAACAGCAGCACATCGACGACATTCATTGACAAACAGTGACCAAAATGAAGACGAAATAAACTGTGGCTGTGCTGAAAAAAAAAAATCGAATACATCTCCAATTCCGTCCTCAGCTGGTTCAGCATGCCCTCGCTTTTGTACTGCAGTGTGTCCTTCAGTTCTTTCAATTCCACTAGGAAGTTGTCGGTCTCCTCGCTGGTCCGATCGTTAATCGCAGTGATTTGCTCCTCGATCCCGCGCAGCTTGTTCGAGTTCAGACTGTCAATCTCCGTGGTGAACACCTGGACCAGCAGTTCCTTCCGCTGCTCAAACACGTCCCGCTGCTGGGCACGGATGCGCGCCAGCAGCGAAACCAACTCCGGGCAGGCGCGAAACTCCCGCGACTCGATGCGCTGCAGGACGTTCTCCACAGCGGTCTGGTGTCGCTTCCGCTTCCACCGCAGCAGCCCCTCGTACCAGCGGCGCCGGAAAACCTTGCTGTTCTCGTTGTTCTGCGCCTTCAGCCGGGTGAACACCTCGGTGGCCTTCTTGCAGTTCTCCAGCGTCAGCGAGTTGATCGTGTGCGATTTGGCGTCGCAAATCCGCTCTACCTCGCCGGGACTGCAGTGCGCCGCGGCGGTGCACTTGTTTACCATCGACGTCAGCTGGTCGAGGGCCTCTCGCTTGCGAAACTTCTCCAACTCCTGCAGGTTCTCGTGATATCACAAAGAAAAATCCCCCCTCCCCACACCAAAAGGAAGTTTCTGATGACTGATGCTGGGTTTGCATATACAAATCAGGTTTGTCTTGCAGTAGAGGACTGCAGGCTCCTGCCAAGCCTGAGTAGAGAGGCTTTGGCCTAGGCGCTAGCATGAGAAACGTCCATGCTGTAGGCCCAACAGCATCACAAACCGCGCGCATAATGCGGCAGAGGCTGTGGAGTTGTCTCCTTGCAAGACAGACGTGATTTGTGGTCTCAAATCAGCAACACAAATTCTCGGAAACATACCTTTTCGATATGGGGAGGGGGGACTTTTCCTCTCAATACGTGAAACTCTGTGATCTTCGTCTCGCGCTGGGCGATGCCTGTTTAGTATATTATACCATTTTTGCAGCGATAGTACAAGGCGTTGTTGGGACAACTCGTGTTGGCATCATGCGTAAAATAAATTTTTTCCTGCGCAACATGCAGATCAGCATCTCGGCCCTCAGAACTAAGTATATCGAAAACGACAGCGAAGAAACGGAGAGACGAGACGTAAGCCCTACCTCAAGCGAAGAAGATGCTGTGAACGATAATCCTCATTTTCTACCTTCCTCCAACTCTGTAAGTTTGTTCTGCACCCAGGCCTCGCTCTGCTCTCCGAGCTTATCCAGATCATTTTCCAGCGGTTCCAAAATCGCCTCTGCCTCGACATCCCGACTCTTGATGTAGGTTTTCATGTTTTTGGAGAAGTTTTGTAATTTCTCCGTGCAGCTGTCATGCAGCTTATCGATCTCCGCCTCGCAGTCGAGCACCGCGTCGTCGTGTCGCTTTTTTCGACTCTGCAGAAACTTCTCGCGCTTCTCTGATCGGTCAACAATGTCCTTCTCCGGGTCTTGCTCGACCACGTGCCGCTGCATCCGAGCGAGGTCCCCGATGAGTTCCTGGAGTTTTAGTATTTTTGAGTACACATGTCTTCATGCGCTTTGGAAGAAAATCATCCCGACTATTACTCCACATTTTTTCGTGCCCGCCAGAGCAAGATGATTCTTGGGAAACATACAAGTATCGAACCTGTTTTCTCTGTATTTCCTCCTTTGGCGGGCGCTCTGCCGCCGCGTAGGCGTCCATGTATTTGGCGGCATCGAGTTTGCTGATCTGGAGGTTGCCCGTCTTCTTGCCCCCCTCAACCTCCGCGACATGTGTCTGGTAGCTGTTTCCCAGCTGGCTGGGCGCCTTGAAAATGGCCTGGAACCCGGAACTCCGCGGCTCCTCCGCCGTCAGCAGCACCTTCTGCTTTTTCGGCGGTTGCGGAGGGTTCGGCATGGTCGCGGTGTGTCCTGGGCCTCGTGCAGGCTGCGGTTACCGTGCTAGTGCAAAAATGCAGTGGCACAACTTCAAGATGACTTATGCTCGAGAAGATGGCGGGACAGTACTCTGTAGGCCTTTTGTTGTTCTGGCCGATGAGGAAAACAAGCGGGTCTCCGTCATCGCCTACCGTCACTGGAGAGCCCCATCGTGCTCTTTGTCTGAAGAAATCCGCTGCCTACCAAAACCAAAACCAAATGTTGATGTTCGAAAAAAAAACCACTGACGCTCGTCCAAGTGTTTGAGTTTCAAGGCAGCCCTTCGCTGGGGAAATAATCGAACAAACCAAAATGTATACATTCATAAGTGTGCCTCTCACTCTCTCTCGTAACGTGGCGATAAATCGCTCGATCATTACTTCTCTCGAACGCCTTCTGACGACAACGAAACGTCGCAAAGACCACAAAAATTCTCGATAGTTCGAATCTGAGCTTCCTCTTCATCCTTTTATTTCCGGTGTGCAGCTACCACGACGCGTCACCAAGGTACTGCTGCTGATGACCAAAAGAGCGAACAAGCAAACACCATGACTATGACTTCCTTGCCCACTAGCTTGCCATCTTGTCCCGCAAAAAGCAAACACTTGCAACAAATATTCAAATTACACGTACGTACATTGCCGTCGATGGATAGGTACTGGGAAAAGAAAAGTTATCACCTCTATGTCTGCAAAACGAAACCAAGAATCGTGACCAGTTTCTACCTGTGCAGTCGTGTATCAACTTCAACACCAAATTTCACTTTTTTCTTCATGCGTCCTACAATCCCCTCCTCGGATTGAGCAATCGCACGGCTTTCCTTTTCTCCTCGACCTCAACCCGACTTCGTCCCTTTCCGCGGCCAGCCGCCAGGACTTCGAAATAGCGATGCAACATGTGCTTCTTTGTGGCAAAAGCCGTAAGCAGCGAGACTTTGTTTTCCTTGGATTCCCCGACCTCAACAAAGTCGTAGCCGCCCGTCTGCAGACACTTTTTGAAGCAGTACGTGATGCCCCCGATGACGCTCGGGTCCAGGCACAGCGGCAGTCCCCTGATGCACTGCAAAGGTGCGGCGTTGCAGTTCGCGGCCGATTGCTTCATCAAGTCTGCAATTTCCGAAAAGCCGGCAACGTAATTCGTGTACCTGGCGACCTTCTTCTCCGCGTACAGACACATGCCGGCATTGTTGTACGAAGAACTTGCAGCAGACGGGCTTTTCACCTGCTGCTTCATCTTCTCCGAGCAGTTCGCGAGCCATACCACCGGCGACTTCGCTTCGCGCACCTGGTCGGACTCCAGCTGCGCAACGCAGTCGGGGTGGTACCCCGCGTCCGGGGCTTTGCACTCCGCCAGTACCTGGGCGTAGGTGTCCTGGATCCTCTTCTCCTGGATCAGCAGTTTCGACAATTGCTTGGCCTGCACGTCTATTCAATCCAAACAAAGTGTCGGGCCGAGTAAGATTTGCAACGCAAAGTTTTCCGAAAGGAAAAGTGGAAGTTCGTTGTAATGCAGATCATTTTTCTCGGGACTGGCAATCGTCATGCATTTGCATGACTGCAATCAATACGCCCACGATACTTTTGCACAGGGTAACGTCTGCCTCAATGCACGGGTTGATTGACGCCGTGTCGAGAATCGATGGGTCGTTGTTCTCCCCGTGTCCCCATAGTTTTTGCTGCGCCGCTTGGAGATGGTTTTTGTCAACCGAGAATGTACCCCCGTCCTCTACCTTTTTCTCCGCCGATTCAACAAACCAAGAATCAAAGAAATGCGAGAGTCGAACGCCGGTGACAAGGGCCGGTGCAGAGCGAAGAAAGAAAACAACGGAAAGGATCTTCACGCGCCGCTGACAGCTGCGGGCGACCGACCCGACCGCCAACATGATGTCTCCTCCGAACGTTTCGTTGGTCGCTACATTCTTTCGAAATGCTGTTGAGCCATTGATGGCCGTGCAAGACCCAGAACTTCTACGAGAAAAAAGGATCCATCAATCGCTACGAAACGGTAAATTTGATGCAACGACATACGACATACGACGACTCCGATATAATTTGCGCCTCTAGTGTCCTCACCGACGATAGCAAGGTGATCCGTTACATCAGCTTCCGCCTGCTCGTTTGCAAGCACAGAAACTGGAGTTAAATCATGAAGAATGACGATGAACTTCTAACACAGTCACGCAACAGCAGTCGCCGTCCTTAGCTACTGGTGAGGCGTAGCTTGTTTAGCGCCGCCAGCCACAAATACTTTCTCTTTTAACGACACACTTCTGAGTCTGGCTCTGACGCTGCGCGTCGCGATTTGTACAAGCATAAAAGTTCTGTTTAGGATCATTATAGATATCGGTCCAAACTACGGCACAAACCTTGAAAATTTTGCTCGGGTTTCCCACAAAACGAAACATTCGGGCTCTTTGCATCTGAAAATTTGAAACGTTAGCTACATGCAGCGGTTAACATCGTGAGTACAACTACAAGTACAAACTAAAAGTGGAAACAAACAAATAAAATCTGACATTAATTTTCATATATATTTTTCCAAGCTTAGAAGAAGAGGCTCTTGTTGCTTTTGAGAAATACAACACAACTGCTGTGACTCCGAGAAGTTCGAGAAACATGTTTCTTCTTGTAGTTGAGAATTATACATTGTTTGACACCGACAAAAAATTCGAAAAGTAAAGCTTCACCTCGTACTACATATTCTTGCTCAAAGATCGTTGTAGGTAGGTGAGTTCACACTGCACATTAGTACATCGAAAAAGCAGAGGTGGCTTTTGCTTCCACTTCCATCTCCAGCTAGCTTGTACCATTTCCCTGGGAGGCTGTGCGATTCTTCTCAACGGCCTGGTCTTTAACGAACGCCTTCGAATTCGATGCCGCGACAGAACAAAAATTAAAGCTAAAAAAGCTACGACAGCTGAAGCCTTTGCACAAATGACTCTGCTTCCCGTGGATATCACGCCGTGGTATTTCCGGTGGTACTCCTCGACGTGGGTAAGAGCAGGGAGTTTTCCCCGACCCGTTCCACTTGTCGCACAGACTTGTCATCCAGCAGCAGGCCCGCGTGGCCGCCCCCCTTCTGCAGCCTCGGTGCCACCGTGATGGGGGTCTCCGCGAAGGAGCTGCCTTCCCGCAACGACGACTCGGCCGACGAATTCGTTGTGTTCACGCCAAATCGGTGCCGCTTGCTCTCCACCTTGGGCAGGCTCGCCACCGCGTCCGCGAATCGCAGAGTGGCCAGCGACTCCTCAAAACACAGCTCCGAGGGGGAAATGGTCGCGAGTAAGTAGATTTGCTTGGAGCTCAGCCAGTCTTGCAGCAAAAACGTCAGCTTGCTGTTGCGGAAGCAGGTCTTGGTGTCTTTTTTGCGCAAGCTCTGAATCGTCTCAGACAGGTGGAACAGCGATTTGTTGATAAACTTCAGCTCCAGCATGCGGAGCTGGTTGTGCGGAAAAGAGGTGGCTAAGGTGGAGGAAGTTGTAGCCGAGTGTTGTACAATTGCTCCTGATGTGCTGGCGCCGCTGGGGGTGTATCTGTTTCTCCGTCCGCTGCGAATCATGATCTCTTGCTGCTCGCGCACCCTCATCGCAGAAGTACTACCACCACTCGCTGCGCCCTTCTTCGACACCGAGCTGGGCGCAGACGCCCGCAGTGTTCCGTTGAGATGTTTTTTGCCATTTGGCGTGTGCTTCTGCGAGAAAGCCCCCTTCTTCAGTCGGTTGCTTGGCGTCGTGGTCGCAGTAGCCGGGAAGCTGACGTGGTCCGCCGGGGTCTGCGCGTTGGAGCAGGAAAGCCCCAGCGCATTGTTGAAGATGTGATCCGTTTTGCTGTTATTGTAACCTCCGGTACCACGACTTCCCCCGCGCGCCATCACGATTTCCGTCATTTTTGAAGACGCGTTGCTTCTGCAGCGAGACTGCAGTGTCGAGAAAACTCCTCCTCCTCGACTGTGTCCTCTATTACCCGGGTCTGCACGATGAAAAGCCGCGGTCGTGTGCGCCGACGCGGTGCTGCGACTCGCCGGCGAAAAAGTAAACCTATCGGAGGTTCCGTGCAAAGCATCTCCGTCTGGCGTAGTACCCTCCTCGTGACCACTGATGTCCTCGTTGTAGTTTCCGAGCAGATGATCATGATCTGTCATTTCCAAGTGATCGTCTTCCTCCTGGTCGTGGTCCAGCAAATGCTTTTCCAGCTTCCGTTTGACCAACTTATGCATGCTCGCCGACTTCTGCATCATCAGCTTCTTATTCTCTACGCCCGTCCGCTGCTCCGCGAGCTGTTGTGCGGAACACACCCCGATGGAACCGCTACTGTAGGATCGCTGCAAGAGGTAGTTGTGCGGCTGACTCTGCTCCCCGCGCAGACTGCGCAGGGATTTCCGCCGCTGCGTGTCCTCCATCACCTCGCGCAAACTGGTGATGCCCGCCTCGGTCTCCTTCCCTGCAAGATCCACGATGCACAGCGTCTCGCCGCGGTACTCCAGCAGAATTATCAAATGCCCTCGGGAGGACGTGGCGTTCAGTGCGGTTTTTGCCTGAAGAAAAAATGTGTATACAAGCGAGTTTCGAGATAGTGAAGACTCATCAGATTGTGTTCCCTTCTAGCAGCTGCGCTGCCACATGATCCACTGCCACATCACGGGAACGAACCCCTGCTCCAGCAGCAGGGAACACCAACTATTCATCAACTATACCTCTACTCTTTGCCGGTTCCCCTTTTCCACCGCTTTTATCGCTTGTGTGTAGTCCTTGCACGGCACCTTCACAACGCTACGCTTGATCGTCTGCGCCGAACTGCTGTAGCATTTCACGGGTTTCCGGTGGTTCAGGAGGTCGTGGATCTGCTCCCGGTAAATCTCCAGCACGCTTACCCCAAGACTCGGAAACGATTCGAAAAATCGCCACAAAATGCGCGGCAGGAGACCTGACCAAACGAGAAGAAAAAGCCTGCAAAAAGTAAAAGGAGCAAATAAGGAGAGGAAAAAATAAGCCTGCATATGTTGATAAATTTGAATTGACCACGTCATCGTAAATTTTTGTAAACAATAAACGAGACAGATTGTTGTTCGTCCGACCACACTAGCAGTAGCACCGCTCACCTGCATGTCCTCCTGCCTGTTTCGCACCCCTCGGCGCTCCCTGCCGCCCGGTGCTCGTGGAACAAGCAGGTCCTGCAGAACGATCCGCAATGTCTCCCACGATGCTGTAGGTTTTCCCCGTCGACGTCTGGCCGTGCGCGAAAAGGCAGCAGCTGACACCGTTGTAGGCCCAGGACTGGAAACAGGGCTCTCCGATGGCCTGGAAGACTTCTTCCTGGCTCGAGTTCTCCTTGAACACATTGTGGAACTTGAAGTCCCGCACGAAGTTCAGGTTACAGTTGTCCTTGATGGAAATCACCTTGTGGCAGTCGCCGGACACCAGCATTTCCGCGGCCGACTCGGACCGTGTCTTGACGCAGGACCGGGTTTTGCGCTCCCGCAGAAACAGTGGCCGAATCCGGCAAAACACGTGCGGTCGGAGCAGTGCCACGCGGGGTTCCTCCTGCTCCCGCCGGTGCATCACCATGTGTCCCTGAAGATGGTTCCCTCGTTGCTGTGGCTGCTGATACTGCGCTAGAACTTGGTGCTGCTGGTGAAAAATAAACTCGTCTGCGAAAAGCGGCAGATGGTACGGATCGTGGTTTATTCTTTGGGCAGCGGCATTCGATTTACTTCTTGACGAAACAGCGTAGGAGCTCTTATTGTTCCCGCCATGATGAAGAACGTGAGTTGCAGTCCCAACGGCCGCTCCTCCTCCGGCGTGCTCGGTTTCATCCCGTGTTCTTCGAAAGGGCGAAGCCGGCGACGCGGGTCGAGACCGTGACCGCCCGAGGTGGTCGGCGGTTTGCGAAAACAAACTGGTGACAGCTTTGCTGTTGCTCAACCCGCCGGCCCGCCCCGACGAGGAATGCGCGCGCGGAGCGGGCGCCAGCGCTTCGTGCGAGTGCAGCGCACTCGATAACGAGCTGCCGGCGTGCGGACTTCGGTACGCAGTGGTGGGGGAGCGCCTGTTTTGCCGAGGGTGTGGATGTGCCGCTCCTGAAGCCGAGTGCTCTGGAAGGATGTGAAAATTGCTGTCCTGCGTACTGCCGAATCCTGCCGTCTCAGCGGGGACCCGACGAAACGGACTGCTCGGCGACCGCGGCTTTTGCGTTTGCCGCGGGAAAAAAGCTTCGGGGAGCTGCACGCCCGCGCTGCTGCCGGACGGAGTGGTCGCGCTCCGTCCGCCGGTCGTCGCAAAACCCCGGCGACCCGCGTTGCTGAATGCGCCCCGACTGGCAACGGTGGAGGCCGTCGTGGTGGTGGACACGTTTCCCATAGACAGTGTCCGCTTCTGCATCCAGCTCTTGTCGTCAGCCGACGCCATCCGCATCTCCGCTTCGCGGTCCAGGGGCAGCGCGATTGGCGGCGGGTTCGGGTGCGGGTTTGTTGAGTCGAAATCATGGAAATCAACACAATCAGCGATATTCGTGTCTCCCATCGTTCCCTCGTCTAGCACTTGTTTCCGGAGAATAGCGGAGGAGGTAGCGTGCGGTCTACTTGCCCCCGTGCTGATGAGATCTGCGCTGCACGCATTTATTTCCGCTTTCTCGTCCCAACATCCGTCCCCGCCGATCTCGCCGTCTGTTCCAACCTCCGGCGAAGCCTCGACCACCTCGACCGGCACTGGCACGGCACACACCCTCGTTGTTGCGTTGATCACACGTGGGGCCGGCGCTTTGGGCTCGCAGACCACCGCGGTCTCGACGGTGGGTCCGGGGGGCCGGGTGTTGGTGCTACGGTTCACGCGCGGCATCTCCTCCTCTTCGGAAATGTACGGCGCGAAGGGCTGCGGTCTTTGACTGTGCTGCAGTTCGCGCCGCTGCGGCCCCTGCGGCGATCGGGACGGTGACCTCGAAGTGGACCGGTTTCTTCTACCGGGAGAACCCGACTGCTGTTCCTTCAGCGAACAGTCCGTCGCGGCCAGCACGCTTTTCAAAAGCCCATTTTTTTGATCCGCTTTCTGTCCGGACAAGGGGCCACCAGGAGCTGTGGGGGACTTCTTCCTCGCTGTCGCGTACACCGCGTTGCTCGCAGTAAGATTGCCTGCTGGACGAGTCCACGCGGAGGCAGGTCCACCCTGTCTTAGGGCCGGCGCGTTGTTGGTGTGTGACGCTACAGCTGCAGCTGTAGTTGAGTTCTGGTCGGGAATCTGAAGCTCACCCCGTGCATCAGGATTGCTTTTCGTGCACAAAACCGTTTGTTGCTCAGCAGAATTCTTCGCAGCCGCGGATCCTGGAGCTGTCAGCAGTCCTTGCTGCAGCAAATGACTTCTGCTCCCACTAGACTGCAGCTTCAGGTTCCAGGTTGTAGGCAGAATCGTACGTCCAGGCACTGCTGACACGGAATTGGCCGGAAGACCGCTTACGCTCGCTGGAGTATCGCTCCGACCTGCCCCACCGCCAACCAATCCTGATGGCGGGACGGTCACTATTCGAGCGGTAGTGCCTGCATTCGTGGACCCTGTGACGATTGTTCCCGTGCTGTTCTTACTAGATGTGCTGTTCGTCGCCGTTTTGCTAGCCGCAGCCCCAGCGTTCACGCCACGGACGTGAAGAAGATGGCCTCGGCCACCAGCCGACGTAGTTGAACAAGTAGACGCAGCCGTCAATAACGAAGCCCCTTGGGCGGGGTTTGCATTTCTTTCCAACCCCCCATTGACTTGGTAGAGGTTCTTCATGTGCAAGTTTGGGTCGTAGTTTCGGAGCAAGGACTTGGACCGAACGGACGACGCGGTTGTCGTTGCAGCGCTCTCGTTGCTCGGATTCTTGCCATCTGCTGCACCATCGTCGGTTGGTCGAGGCCTCGCCGCCCGAGGACCGTCAGTATCGCTCACCCCAGGAGCTGCATCCCCATCCCGTCCAGATGACACGTTCTCTCCTGCTGCAAAGCGCGAGTGAGATGAGGGAAACTTGGTCGTGTCTTCAAACCCGACTGGTCCTCCTGCGGGCGGCTCAGTCATGATCTGGTCCGCGATCGATTTCAGCAGCGTTTCGTTCTCGTTGCCCTGCTCCGACGCCGAACTGCTCCCGGAACTGTTGATCTTCGTCACGCTCACGCGCCGGCTCCGTCGCGTTTGGACGCTGCCCGCAACAAAGGTTCGCTGGTCACCGTAGAGCCTGCCCCGCTGCGCTCCTGCGCTGCCGCCTGCGGGCCGCCCTGGCTGCAGAAGCTGCTGGTGGTGCGTGCTGTAGGTGATGATGTTATTCACGACTACTGTTGTGGTATTGTTATTCCCGGTACTGCTGCCTCCATGGCCACCGCTCGACGAGGAAGATCGAACCAACTCATCCGTCGGTCCTGGTCGCGGAGACGCTGCTCGTTCGTCCTCGGATTTATTCTGGAGTTGCAATCTCGGCGCGACCTGGAGCGGCGTCTGTTGCTGGTGGAGGTAACCACCTTCCTCGCCGCTGCTGTCCATTGGTGTAAGGAGATGTGTAAAACGAAAATCTGGCCCCGATGTAAGAGCTTGTCTTCATGCAGAATCGAGAAAAAGAATAATTCACGGAATGACTTTTTATACAGCACGGTCTGTGCGATGGCAATGGTGTTGATGCCTTTGTCTTTGCATGCTTTGATCATGCGTCATAACCTAGGGCATGCCTGCTGACATGAGTGAACACCCGACTTGATTTTACGTTAATGTGTACGTGTAGCCACGTTCCGCATAACAAACTGAGTCGCCAGGTGATGCTGACGAGATGATAAACGGCCAAACTCACATTTTATAAGAGGCGGAACATGTGAAGAAACTGGCAACCGTGCCATTGGCCGGGAGACCCGATTGAAGCCTCTCATCTTGTGCCTTTTTCTTGACGAGAGAATCCCTCCCGTGTTCCCGTTTTTCTATCGATAGCACTTTTCGACATGCTTGCGGGTGAGCAGTAACACTTCAGATTAGCCTGCGACGAGCGACCCTGGACGAGGATGGCATGTCTCGACACGACTCTTGCTCTCCGACCACGCAAGCTACAATTCATCTCATTCACCTCCTCATAATCACATTCAAAACTACAACTAGTACAATCGAGAAACGCTGATATCTTTGTAGGTCTGACTCTAAGTGCTAATCTCAGTGAGTAATACGATTCACCGAGTCGTGTCAACATCCTCGACTGCAGACAGCCTTGTTTCAGCTCAGTCTCAGACAGAATCTGATACAAGTATTCGCACAAGTTGTTCCAGAAGTCATTTGAGTGGTTGTGTTGGCCGTAACTAGTGTACTTTGGAACTTGAAACGGATTCTTGGTCTGATATGTTTGTGCAATGATTTGAGAAACGCGCGGTCCTTCTGAAATTAAGAAACGAGAAACCGGAATCGAAGCGAAATCAGGTGCAGCGAAGTGCAAAGCTCCAGCTCCAGGTCCAGTCAGTACCTCCTTAAATGCGCAAAATGAAGTGCAAAGAGAACGTTAGTGGAGAAAGTCAGGACACAGCTGACACAAAATGCAGCATGTTGTGCGATTGCTGGTGTCGATACAGTAACTTTTGTGCTCCAACAGTTTCCTAATGCGAAGCTTCAAATTGATCACGCAACAAAGTATGACGGTTGCACCACACGCACAAATTCATATTCGTGCGCACACCGGAGTACGCTTTAAGTAAGTAGGTACGCATTCGCCCTCGGCACTCCGATGTTATGAGAAATACAGCAATAAGCATAGCAGAGTAAACTACAACAACAACACAACTAGCAAAACTAGAACTACAAGTCAATTTATACAAACAAGTTAATTCCTCCTAACTCCACTTTGCAGAAGCGACAGCGACAGCGAGAAGATACGAGTCTTACAATCCTGTCAGTAAAATGAGTTTGAAAAAGGCCCACTTCGGGATCTTCTTCTCGGCGACCTTCACAGTTCCATTGAGCACATTCAGAAAAATCCTGCCGTAGGTTTTCGCGTCGCAGGCCGGATCATCTACGTTTGGGCGTCTTATCTCGGTGCCATCCGACGTATTAATCCGTATAGGTCCCGCCTTTGGCCAGTAAAGCCCGCCACCAAGCTTGTTGAATATCAACACCTGCGTGGGTCTTCCGGAGAGTAGCTGTTCCCTGATAGCTGCGTCGATAACTCCGGTCACTGCTGCTTCCAATCCCTGCAGAAAGAATCCGAAATCCCCCTCGCCACCAAGAAACGAATCACTTGCCCGCTTGTTCAAAGTGCGAGCGGTACTACCTACAGGGGTCAGCCGCGATCCTGCGTTGGGCGCTGCCACAAAAAACAGCCCGCCAATTTTCATTCCCCACTCATTTGCGCCATCCATCGTCTGATATTGTTTCTCATCTTCATCTTCTGGCCCAATACGAGTATTGCGGACCACCCAACAATCTGAGTAGTCGACTGGATTCTCTGTCTTAACGTAGTTGACCCCTTGAAGGGTGCTGCACCACTCCTCACTCTCCTGATCCTGATTGTACAAACCCCTGATTATCGCAAGTGAATACCCCATCTGCATGGTAGGTACTGGTCTATCCTTTCTTAGGCGTAGTTATTTGTAGTAAGAGAACAAGAACAAATTTGCTAAGCGCCCAGCAGTGACACAATGTCACATGGAAGTGAGGTGTGGCTTCTACGCAATTGACAGCCACAGAGCGAGACGCCGGCGCCACGCTTGCCATGGCGCGGCTCGGCACCACTCCATTCTCCAACGCGACCGCGCGGAAGAATAGCCTGCCCTGTGGCGCCAACAAGCCGATGCACATTTACATACATCCAGGCAGGGCCCGCGTAAAAATTCGCGGCCCTTCTTTTACCTCGGGAGCCGGGACAGAAGTGGCAGCCAAAAGGCCCAATACGCACAGCACGCGGCGGCGACCTGCAGGCGGCCAGGGGCCGCTTTATTGCGCTGCTCCGGATCTTTTGCTTTTTCGCGCCCGCCCATTACGTCAAATATGACAGTGTCCCGTGTGGCAGGGTTGGCAATGGCGAAACGGCCACACATGTGGCATCTTTTGCGAATCAATTTGTCGCTCGCGCAAGCTAAATATTCCTCGGTGCATGGGCCCACTTTCGGCGCGTCCACGGCAGCGCCCTAAATGAGGCTAGCGCGAGGCATAGCCATTGCGCAATCACACGGCATGTCTCTCGTTTTGCCGTTTTACCTTTTTAATGTGGAAAGCCTTGGCCTTCGCGTTGCGAAGATTTTCAGCACTAGAAACTGCCGACGAGGCGATAACTTCCGCGGTCTGATGATGATGTTGGCAGTGTGCCCTTTAGGCGGTCCAGCCCGAGAGCAGCTGAGCGCCGATCTTCTATGACGAACAGTTGATCTATACCACATTATCTTCTGAAACCCCTTAAATAAACAGGTTCCCTACGTGTACCATCCATCAAGTATTGCTTATTGTTATTCTCTTAGGGTCGTGTTTCGGGCGGACTAAATAATGAGAGTGCCGAGAACAATGTGAATGTGGCGCGCGGCGAACTAGACACGTAAGGACGCTGATCTCCTTGCCGGATCGATTGCGTCGATCAGAGCATGATTCTGCACTGGGTGGAGACCTTGTGATCTACGAAAGCGAAGAATCACACAAGTAACAACGCGACTCCATCCGAGGCCCCTACAGTTCACCGATCAAATGCCACACTTTGGCCCTAACCTGTTCTGCCGTCATTAGGCGCGAGCACAAGAGCTGCTGACTCCCAGAGATAAAGTAAAACGCTCGGGCGGACCTGACTGCAAACAATCAAACTATCTGCCAGAACAAGGGAGTCAATAGTTTCCAGTACGCTGTACTCACTTTTACACTCATTCATGCAATTTCTGTCATTGTTCTTACAGCTGTTAAAAAAGGACTCGCGATGCAAAGGAGATATTCACGCAGGATATACTTGCCTCCGATCGTTCCCGCGTACAGGTTCCACATCACCCACTTATATGCATCGGCGGTCCCGGTGTTATGCAGCAAGGTTTCGCTGTTATGCAAGCCAAGTTCTACCCACATGCGGCTGCGCATACCTCTCTTTTAGTGTCGGCTCCAAGGCCTAAGACATATTCGCATCTATGCACAATAACATTTTTTTCATAACATAGGGGAAATAACACGCACCAGAAATAAAAACTGTGTGTGAGCAGTGTGAATCACATGCAAATCGAATTCAGAAACCGAAAAACCCCATCTAAAAAGCAATGCGCCTCAGGCTTCTTTGGCACTTGATATAAGCGCTGAGAAGGATCCCCGACCACCCGACAAACCAGCCACAAAACCCACCGCCCCTGGGTGATTTGAAAGCCGAACAGGAAAAGAAGTCCCCAAGCAAAGCCCGGCAGCTAGCTCTTTTGTGGATGCAGCAAAGCTAGCCAGAACGAAAGCGCCACCGAGCTTCGTGATCAGCGTGGGGCTATTCACACTTCGCCGCGGTCAACCTTTCGGTGGGACTCCTTTTTCGTTTTTCGAAGCCTAGAAGTTGCGCGCCGCCTTGTCTCTCTGTCGTGCTGGCTCTCTCTTTACTTTCTTTTCTGCACAGTCTGATTGCGGGTGCGGCGTGATTTTCTTTGGGTGAGCTTCGTTCCCTCGCTCTTGCTCTCTTTTTTTTTTGCGCCTTGTCCTCGTCTTTTCTACTTGGCTCTCTGCCAGTGCCATCTTCACTTTTTTGCATCTTTATCAGCACGCTCACATTGGCTGTAGTCTCCATTTAGCGCAAGCTCCTTTGGCACTATATGAGCTGCCGAGGTGAGCCAGAAACTGCTATCGTAACCCCTTAACTCTTCTGAATGTTGATTGTCTGCACTGGGTTGCACCGAGAGCCAGGCATCTCGGACGACGCAATGCCCCAAAAACGGGGGGCATTGCGTCGTCCGAGATGCCTGGCATGTGAAGGGAACTCACATTGAAGGGACTCCAATTGGGTTTCACTTCGCGCTACCACCCTCACACTCAGTGTTCAAAAGATGCAAAAACCCTAAGCGCTGGGGAGAATCTTTGACACCCGACAAAACAATATCCCGACCCGTCGCCTCATGAGAAGATTGTAAGTCGAACAGGAAAGTTAGGCACCAAGCTTTTAGGACCGGCGGCGAGCTTCTTGCAAGCGCAGTAAAGCAGGCCGGAAACAATAACAAAAGCGCCACCGAGGAGCTCAGAAGTAATCTCTAAAAACAAATCCCTCTATCTGGATCCGGGGTTTTTAGAATTTCTGTACTTTTTGTTTTTGCTGTTACGAGTACGGCTTTCGAATATACTTTCGCTTCTAGGCGTTGCGATCTTCTCCGCTTCTAGGCAATGCGCTAGGCGTTGCGTGCTTCTAGGCGTTCCGCCCATGGTGCAAAAAAACAATCCTTCTGAGTAGACGCCCATCTGCAGCTACTGGACAGGATAAACTGCGGGTGGTGTACAAACGCGGTGCGTCAGATGACGGCGAGTTTGTGCTATTTGCTGGCTTCTATTCAGGCCCGGGGGGAACCAAACTGCCTACTCCTAGTTGAAGAGCTCCATTATGGTTTAGTAAACAGAGTGCCGATTATCGAGTCGCTTCTAGTTCTACCTGTCGCTAGGTCATTATGAAAAATCTCTGTGGTTTCGTCACAACCTAGTGCCAACCTGTCAGTAAAGGTCTTCGTTAAAGGCCAGCGGCGTCGAGAATGTTGGAAGGGTCTGGGTTGTCTAGCTCTGGTGTTCCAGTCATGCTTGAAAATCGACACTAAAAAGTGATCACGCCAGGCAGCCATTTGCAGGCATGAACATCATTTATGACCTCATTTGGATAAAAGAACCACCTAGCTTCGTTCGTGATCCAGTTGCTGACAACGGACTCTTCCTGGCTTCCGTGAGAAGCATGGACCCTTTTGACGTCCAAGAGTTGCTCACCTTTCTTAGAAATCCAGGCTGTCCTCCCTCCTGGCAACCCACTGTTTCCTGCAATGACAATAGCGATTTCCTCTGGCGAAATATCCATCTCTCTCTCGCTCATGCGCTGCCCCAAGTAGTTCTTCCGGATTTGAACCTTGTCCTGGCTGAGACTGACGAGCTGGACCGCCACGTTTTGCCCCAACTGATACACAGGAAGTGGTTCCCAGGCAGGAGCACCTGTGTGCGGATCCTTGTTGATCTCGAGTTGGTTTTGAAAGCTAAACGGCGAATGAGCATCGGATGCCCTCAAACGGCCGGTGTCGCGGTTCGCATTTTTCTCCGCTTGTGCGAGAAGTTGTTGAGCTTTGCCTTTCGGTGCAGCAACGTTGGTGAGGTCTAGCAAATGAGGCACGAGGCCATTCGGGTTATGATCCGCATCGTCTCTTCGTGTGGTGGCATCCCGCCAGTCAGTGGGCCTCGAGTAATGGAAATACTGACAGCCTAGTGCGGGGTCCTTTGGCTTCGGTAGAGGCCACCTCCGAGATGCGGCATCGGCTTCGCCTCGTCCAAGAGGTGCAGGATCAGCAGCAGAGGTAGTGCGACCAGTATCTAAATCTGCTGCTGTTGCTGTTCCAGAAGCAGCATCCGACAAATGGGCATCGCCAGAAGAGGGACGCACAAAGCCATCAGCATCACCGCCGCCCGGAGCCTCTGCTGCGGACCAAGCAGCGGCAGCAGCAGCAGGGGCACTCGGAGTTGCGCCGCCGCCGGCAGCATCTTTCCCACCTGAGGCAGCTGCAGCATCAGAAGCAGCTTCAGAAGCTAAAGTAGCACTTGCACTTGGCGCGCCCGTTATACCAGCTACAGTAGTTTCTCCGGCTCTGCTGCCGTCAGGTCCAGCTCCAGGAATATCGCTTCCAGCATCAGCATCAGTTCTTCCACCCATGATAGCAGCCGCAGGAGTACGCGTAAGCACTGGCCTCATAGCCGAGAGACGCCGAAGAGCAGCAGCAGCAGCAGTGCCGGGTCGATGTGGAGCAGCAGCAGAATCAGCATGAGCAGCACCACCACCCTGCGGCGCCTGCACTTGCTGCGCCTGCGCTTGCTGTGCCTGCTGCAGCGCATCCGGGCTGGTTGGCGTTGTGGTGGATTGGGGTGGTGGTTGAACAGGACCGCCAGGATCCCGAAAGTCCAAAGGCTGCTGGCGGGCATCTACTGGTGACGCCGCACCGCCACCACCACCCACTTGCGAGGCATCTAGACCGGCACGACCACCAGGTGGCAAGGCGAGGGCCTTCGCTTTCGGTTGTGCAGCACCAGGAACAGCAGCACCACCACCACTGACACGACCGCCACTGCCCGGACTTGCAGGTGGCAAGCCGGCTGCCTTCGCTTTATTCTGTGAGGCATCAGGACCACCACCACCACCACCTTTCGGCAACGCAGCTTGACCACCACCACCACCACCGTTCGGCAACGGCGCTTGACCACCACCACCACCACCACCACCACCACCACCACCACCACCACCACCACCACCACCACCACCACCACCTTTCGGCAACGCCGCTTGACCACCACCACCACCACCTTTCGGCAACGACGCTTGACCATCACCACCACCGTTCGGCAACGGCGCTTGCGAACGAGGAGGTGGAGGTAAAATCAAGTTTATTCTGGTGGTCTGCTGTTGCGGTGGCGGCGCACCCGCGCTGCTTGCCTGCGCGCCGGGAGGAGGTGAAGTTGGAGCACCAGTTCGCGGTGCCGGAGGGGATTGGCGTGGTGGTGGAGCAGGAGCGTATCCCGATGAAGAAAAAGCATGCAATACCGCAGCCGCGTAAAGTTCAATTACACCTCGCAAGGCCTCCATGCATGCTTCCATCATAAAGCCATGAGTACCAATGAATAAATTTCTATTCTGTTACTACCAGGCGTGAAAGGAAGGTATCGTTTTACAATTTTACTTGTCTTACAGAAAATGCAAATCGAAGGCTTGAGCTTTACAAAATTTGGGCATCAAATTTCAATCTACTCCAAGTTGCCTCAACAGTGACCTTTGCAACGGGGAATCCACGTTCTACAGAGACAAACATTTTGTCTGACTTGCGGTATCGGAAGTTGCTTTTTCTTCATGATAAGTCACCTCCGCTTCCGGAACACGAAGATAAAAAGGAGCACTCCGGCTCGTCAACTTTGCGACTCTCTGCCTGGCCGCCCTCTTGCGCTCGCGGAAGATCATCTTCGTGCGCACGGAGTTCGTCTTTTTCGACTCGAGTTTCAATTGGCTCTTTCGCGACCGGAGTCCGGTCCTCTTGCACCGGTGGAGCCAGGAACTCCTCCTTGTAGCTCTGCCGACTTGCTGTCGGCTTCTCCGTCGACGAGGTCTGCAGGAAATCCGAGTTAGTGCTTTTCTTTGTAGTACCATCGTCCTCGCGCAGAGAACTCGCAGGTTCTTCACGAACGTCGTGCCGGTCCTCGCGCAGCTTTTTCAAGCCTGCGGATGGGACTGCAGTGGGCGACGTGCTGCCGCCCTTCACATCTATCAACTGCAAAAGCAAAAGTGTTTTCCAAATACATCATCCAAAATATCAAGGGTCCATCCCGTTTCACTTCTATGTATCATGTTCCTTTTCTAGTTCTGCTAGCAGACGTTGGCACGCGTCTTCGCCTAGCGCATTTACCAAATGGGAATAGCGATTTCCCCTGAACGTCGAAAACGAACGAGTCAAACGTTGTAAATACCGGCATTGCAGGAAATTGATGTAAGAGCAACGCGCACGCCGGTGCCGGTCCTGTGAAACTGCATAAAAAATGAAATGATGAGGTTATACTGCACAAGGATAAAAACTACACTTTTGCGCTTCATAGGCTTGCCCCTCTTCTCGTCCGCTCTTGTCTGCAAGAACTCGAACGGGTCCTCGGTACTGCGGTCCGCGCTTCGCCTTGTTCCAACAACACGTCCAGACACGCGTCGCTTGCGGTTCCTTCTCCTACGCAAGGCCCGGCCGTAGTTTTTGTTTTTCGTAGAAGGTTGAGCAGACATGCCGGTGCTGTTCCTGGTGTTTTGCTCGTGATCGTCAACAAAAGCAGAGATAGTGGGACGCTCACCTGTCCCTTTATGCGTATTCACCCCACGCTTATCATTCCGATTGTGCGTCTCCGCGGATGATTTTGGTTCTGGCACTTCGCCGCCATGGTTCTGATCTGTTTTCTCCAGAGACTCCGGAGCCACGTCTTCTCCCTTGCGCGTCGCATTCGCCCGCACCTCTTGAGCGGGTGCTTGAAGGTCTCCCTGTGTCCTCGTGTCCTTTGCTTCGTCGATCACCCTGGTGTCGCCTTCCTCGGTACGACCTTCACCAACATCCTTGTCTTTGCTCGAAGGCGTGGGTGCCTGCAATCCATTCGCCCCGCCGTCCTCTTGGTGAAGACCGGAACTCTCAGTAGCCGCCGCGCCCCCGTCCACTGCTGGGACTACGAGAGGTTGGCTTTTCTTCGCCTTTTTCCGCTCGTGCTGCCCCGCCCGCACTTTGTGCTTATGCCTGCCTCTGCGCCTTGTTTCGCCGTTCTTGTCGTGATGTTTGCGCCTGCCGGCGTGGTGTTTTCTCTTGGCAGTGGAGCTCCTCGACTTTTTCGACGTTGTCCGTACCACCTCCAGCGTCGACGACCCTTCGTTCTGCTGGGTTTGCCCACTTCCGCGACGAAACTCATCCCAGCTGTCCGTTCGACGCGTGGTGCTGTACCCCGCGGGTATCCACGCTTGCTCAAAGCGCTTGTTGCTGCTGCCTACTTTTGAGCGCAACCACTCCTCATCGTCGTCATCGTCGTACGGACCAAAGGTGTCGAACTTGAGCTCGAACTCTTGCAGCCCTGGATCCCAAACGGCATCCGCTGTGTGGTGCAACAGCTCCAGAGTGGTATTGTTGCACACGGTTCGCACAAAACAGTGCCAAAAGTGCAACACCCGGAACGCCTCTCTCGCGGCACGGAAAAGCCCCATCCTCGAGAGCCGACGAGGGGGGCAGAGAAACCTTTGGTGTCTAATGGACTTGGGGGGGCAAAAATGATCTGACGAAATGCGACGCACCTGTTATTTAATATTGCGATTCCTGGGCTGAGAATAATACGAGTTTTAGGTTTTTTGAAAAAGAGCAAAAGCAGATGTTACTAGCAACGGGGGTAAATCTGAATGGGGAACTGTTGTGGGGAAGTAGGTGCAAGGGAAGTTCTTGACTGGGTTCCTCGCATCATCACAGGGCAGTTGCATCTGCACAAAGCGCAAGCGGTGCAACAACGAATTTATTATTCTAGCACGAAAGCGCTAATTGGCATTTAGAAATTATGACGCACGACTCTGCTTGTGTACGATAATTCTAAAATAAAAATAGATATTTTTATTGCGCAGGAACGTCTACAAGCAGAAGTGGCTGAAGCAGCACGACAGACAGACGGACGGACGGACTGGCTACCGAACGATGCCGGAAGTCGCTTGACCGGAACGATGACGGAAGTCGCTTGACCGAACCTGTTTTGAGGCAGCATTTCCGAGTACTTCATTTTACACGAAGATGAGCGCTCTTCTACAATTACCATAAATGTCGCACAGCAAGAAGACGCTGACGAATGCACGCGATTGCAGGGACAGCATCACGAAACATGCGGCGTGGTCGAAAGCTGGTTCCGCAGAAACAGAGAAGTAGTTTAACGAGAAACACTTCGCTGAAGCTCACTAAGGTAAATGTGTTACTTCAGGCTTACTTCACGTTTTTCCTGTTCATGCTTCTAACATAATGCTGAGGAACGAGTGACTGCGCTTGCGGTGCGCCAACAATCATGCAGAATACTAATATAAACAATCATGTAGAGTAATATTCTTCGATGGTTTAGAAGGTGACCGTAACTAACAAACTATCGGGCTGAAAAAAAAAACACTCAAAAGAACATCTGGCGTACTATAACGTAAAAATCTCAACATCACAATAGAGCCTTGTAATTCTTACAGTGTGCGTAAAGACGAAGAAACAAGATAGGCGTCAAAACAGTGGCGCACCGTCGAAACATCGACGACAGTGACGTAAATCAACTACGGTACCTAAAGTTTACTGTCCGGGGTTAAAAACAGTCACAATCTTTCCTTGACCTTCTAGAGACCTGTCACTAGGATGTGGTCAAAGAAGAATTTCTTCTTCACCTCAAACGCTTCGCCCTCCATATTTATTCGCTGCACAGAGACCGTTCCGTCGAGAACATGAGTAAAAATGCGTTTGTAGGTCTCCAGGATTGGTTGAGGTCCTCTCACCTCCCGCTTTTTGGGATCTTTGGCTACTCTGTACCCGCTGTCATTCATGACAAATGCATCTCCTTGTCGCGGCCAGTAAAGTCCACCACCGAACGGGTTAAAAACTAGCACGGATATGGGTATACCGAAAAGCAACTGCTCTTTAATGGCTGCGTCAATGACTCCAGTAATTGCTGCTTCCAAACCCGCGAGAAAAAAAACCACGTCTTCTTTTACTGCTGGTCCTTCTCCCATGAGTTGCTTGTCGGTCGCCCGCAAATTCAAAGTTCGCGCAGTGCTGCCAAAATCTCCTCTCTGGCCGGCGGCGTTTGGCGCGGAAGCAAAGAAGAGGCCGCCGATCTTTTCTCCAACGTGCTTGTTGTCGGGCCCCGGCCTTTTATAGCCCGACTTCGATTTACCTTCGGGTGTTCTATATCGCTCTTCATCTCCAATGCGCGTGTTCCGGACGACCCAACAATCCGAAAAGTCAACGGGATTTTCTGTGGATCTATAGTTCACGCCTTGAATTGTTGTGTAGTCCGCCCAATGGTCGTTTTTCAGGCCCCACTCATTCTGGATAGTGGACGCGTACAGGTCACCCACCAAGATTCGAGGGTCTATCCACCTGGGACCTCGACTTCGATGGTCTCCACTATGAAACAGAAATGCCTGCTACCTGCCAACCGCAAGACATGCATCCCTCACGGTCCGTCATGGCATTGCTGGACCAAAAGGTACTCTTCGTGTGCAATAGCCGTCTGCGCTTCTCGCCCTATTTCTATCTTTTTTTTTGCAAGCCGAATAGAATCCCATTTCGAGTAGGACACACACCTGTACTGGGCGAAGGACAACTACAATGTTGCAGTCTAGCCGCTCACTGACGTAAAAATCTGTGCTTCTTCTTGCTTGCCCAGCATCTGCATTTCAGCATTACATCTACGAAGAATTATGATTGCCTTTACTAAGTAGAAGGAAGGTAGAGTTAGTTACATTTCGATAATTTTCGTACTCCACCTGGTAGTGAATCCAGTTGGAAACAAGCGACTCTTCCTGCGAGTCGTAATTAGCGTGGATGCCTCCCTGCTTCAGTTGAGCACCGTCAGGTCCAAGACCAGCTATTCCGCCCCCCGGTAGTCCGCTGTTCCCAGCAACTACAAGACCGATATTCTTCTATGCACTGCAAGTATGTCTGTGCGGTCTGGAAACATGTAAATACTGAATAAAATTATAGCGGGTGATTCAAATCTAAATACTATTTAGATTTCAATCACCGAAGATTGGAGCCAATGCATGACACGTTTTGACTACGCTTTCAGTTTCACTTTCTGGCACGGCATACTCCTTAGAACCAGATGTTGCGTTTTTGCATGGAAAAGAAAGCTGTGGCCCTCCTGGGCATGCAACACAGGTTTTACAGAAAAGCAACACGAGCATCACAAGCGCAAATTTTCCAGACCGAGAAATATGTGCAATGCATATCTCCGCAGGTATGCCAATATCAGGGGCGATTAGTTGAGACACTAGGTTTTGTGACTTGAAACCCTCGTCAAGTGCGTGTTTGTATTGTGCGGGCGGCCGTCCACCACCAGAATTCCAGGTTCGGGTACCCTTCCATTTGCTTTGGAATACCAGAGGATTATGTTTGTAGTTTTCCAATCGCTTGTCCACTGGTTTCAACAAATTGAGAGGATGAAGGTGAAGCGTTTCTTTCGTCAAATCTAGCGAATGAGGAAGTAAATGACGGGGAAAGTTTGGCCAGTCTGGATCTACGGGAAAATTGCGCCCCGTTTTGTGCCACTCTTCGTCTCTCCCATACCAGACGAACTCGCAGCCCAACTGGCCCGACACGCCTGTCTTTTCGTTTTTCGGACGAAAGCTCACTGTTGCAGACGGGTGCGCAACTCCTCCTGTCAACGCGGGATCTCCGCCCGCGGGATCTACTCCACTGGGCCGCGTGTTGCTAGTCCCGGGGTGCGCCGGCGGTAAAGTCAATTTTATCGTAGTGGTTGTCGGCCCCTGCGGCGTACCCGTGTTGCTTGACTGCGCGCCACCAAGAGGTGGAGTCGCAGCACCTGGGCGCGGTCCGGCCACAGCAGCCGGGCGTTGGGGAGGAGCAAGAGGAACATCGAAGTATACTTGTGGAGAAAGAACCTCTCGCCCCGCAGCCGAACGAAATGCACGCTGAACACGATGATCCCGCGGGTACTTAAAAACGCGGAACGCCTGCTACAAAAGTACCAGTAAGTGCAAATAAAAGACGCTCGCTAACGAAATTGAGCGCCGTGATATACTCAATATAGCTGCCCAAACAATGACTTTTTTTACCAGAATACAAGGGGAAACTAAACGTATCCAGAACCAAACCTTTCGTGCGACTTGCGGTATCGAGCTTTGCTTTTTCGTGATGATATGTCCCCCCCGGAACACGATAAAAAAGAACACTCGGGCCCTTCTGCTTTCCGACCCTTGACCTCGCCACCCTCTTGCAGCACTCGCGGAACCTCATCTTCGGCCACACGTAGTTCGTCTTCTTCAACCGGAATGCCAAGTGGTTCGTTTGCGACCGGAGTCCGGTCCTCCTGCTGCGTCGACGCCAAGAATTCTTCGTTGTCTCCCCCCGAACCGTTCTTCGTCGGCTTCCCGGACAGCGTCTGCAAGAAATCCGAGCTGCTGCTTCTGGCTGCACCATCCTCGCGCGTCACATCTGCAGGCTTGTCACGAACGTCGCCCCGGGCTCTTCCCAGCCTGTGGTCCAAGCCTGCGACCGGAGCGGGGGACGTGGCGGCTTTCATCTCTATCAACTGCAAAAGTGTTTTCCAAGTACCTCATACATTCATCATCAGGACATCAGCCCTTGCCTTTCATCAGTTTCACCTTTGCATATGCAGCATCAAGCTTCTGTTCTAAGCGCACACGTATAGTAGTTGTTCTTTTCGAATAACAGCGCAGCTGGACACATGTGCATCTGGCCACAAGTTTACGAATAAATCAGCCAGATCAAAAATAATTGCACTAGCGATTTCTCCTGGACGGCCAAGACGAACAGGCATCCAACGCAGTACTTAACCGCCGGATTCCCAAGAAGTTTATGTAAGAAAAAGCCGAGCGATGCCTGTTCCGTGAAACTGTATCCGTATCTTCAATGCAAGGCACGAGGACAACAACACTTCGGCGTCTCATAAGCTCGGCCTTCTTCTCGTCTGCCCTCGTCTGCAAGAATTCGAACCGGTCTCCCCGCCTTTCTCTGATCGAGGTAGGTCGGTCTTCCGCACCGCGGCCCCCGCTTCGCTTCCCGACACCACTCGCAGACGCGCCTCGCTTGCCGTGTCTTTTCTTGCGCGCGGCAGGGGCGTTTTTGTTTTTCAGAGCGAGTTGCGAAGACATGCCTCTGGTGCTGTTTTGTCCGGGACGATCGGATGCAGCGGCACCACCACGCTCAGCCCTACTTTTGTTCCGATTTTCACGCTCATCATCCTGTGTGTGCCTCATCTCCGCGGATGATTTTGGCGTTTCGCCGTCGTGCGACTGGGTTGTTTTCTCAAGAAGTTGGACATCCTTTTCTTTTCTCGACGTGGGCCGTGCCTGCTGCAATCCGTTCTTCTCACCACCAGCACCACCGGCGGCCCCGCCGCCTTCATGGGGACCCGAATTCTCGGTTGCATTTCTGCTCCCGTCGTCCACAGTCGGAACAACATGGTGGGTTTTCGTCGCCTTTTTCCGTTCTTGGTGCTCCGCATCTTGTTCTTTGTGGACATGCCTGCTTTTGCGCCTTTTGCTGCGCTTGTCGTGGTGATGTTTTTCTTTGCGCCTATCACTGTGGAGATGTCTTCCTCTGGAGGACGTCGCGGCTCTTTTCTTCGTCGTCTGTACCACCTCCAGCGTCGATGAACCTTCTGCGGGCCTTCCGTCGCGCGACGCGGCATGACGAAACTCGTCCCAGCTCTCCGTTCGCCGCGTGGTGCTGTACCCCGCGGGTATCCAGACTTGCGCAAAACCCCCGCTGCTCCCCTTTTCACGACGCTCCCATTCCGCATCGTCGTCCTCGTCGTAGGGCCCGAAGGTGTCGAAGTGCAACTCGAAATCCTGCATTTCTGGGTTCCAAGCGGCGTTTGCAACATGTTGCAACAGCTCCAGCGTGGTCTTATTGCACACAGTTCGCACTGCACAATGCAAAAGGTGCAACACCCGGAAAAGCTCCCTTGCGGAACGGAAAAGCCCCATCGCCAAGAACCCAAAGTGTGACTGAAACTGGCGCTGTCGGGCTTGCGCTGAGACTTCTACGGGTCTGACTCTGGCGGTATAATTTTCGTTAACGGTAAAGGAATTTTTTTCTTGCGCTGGCACCGGCTTCAGCCGGCGTGCAGACGCGCGACCCTCTTTCAGGTTGAACTGCGTCGGCGTCCGTTGATCATGTAGTCCTGCTCCTGCTTCAATAACAATCGGGTGTTATTTTCACCTTCCAGAATACTGGAAGGCGGGGGATGCGGCACCACAAAGTTTTACCTGTTGAACTTGATGTGGAAATGGTCGGAAGAATTCCGACGCAAAAGTTCCGTTCTTCGTGATAGATCTGCTAGTCGTAGATTCTTCGGCGCAGTGTAACTTTGTTTTTAAAAAAATTGGCAACTTACCTTTTCATGTTGTTCATGCAATAAATCAGTAGGGCGAAGCATTGAGAAAGCAAGAAACTAACAAGAACGTGGGGAAACAACAACGAGTTTGACTGTGCATGGCATGGGGAACTGTTGATATGGAAAATTAACTACACAGGTAAGCTCCTCGCTGAATCTGAAAGTACACATGGCAAATCAACAGACTGTTCTAACCTTCACGCAAACATGGATCGAGAAATGCGCAAGTGCGTACGAGAAAACAGTTCTACAGTACGAAACCGAGGAGCGCAATTACGGTACGAAAGTGGCGAAGCTCACACAACCGAGAGCATACGATACACGACGCAGAGAGAACGGATGGACCGAAATGTGGAAATGAATGTTCGCACGATTTTCTATTGATAAAGTAGAAACGAGAAAGTGCTCAACCGAGACGGTGCAAGTACGTCACTACGCACGAATGCTATGCGAACGACCACTGTTCGTTTGCAGCTACGTATGTACCGATGTCAGGATCATCGCTGACGTGGCTCATCGCGACAACCGCTCTAAACGTAGTTCATGTGCGGCGATGAGAATCAAAATTTCTGCTCGAGCACAGAACAGAAGTCAAAAATGTGGAACATCACAAGAACACCTTGAAGGATAATGAAAAAACGATCGCGCCCTCCTGCTCGCGTCTTCGCGCAAGAAACCGTGCGATGCCACCTCTGGTGATGCGAGTCAGTTTCTATGTGAGCGGATGCCGGTCTCGTCTCCCGCGATCGGGGCAGCAGAAGCACTCCATCACCTGCTGCTACGGGAACGAATGGAGTTCTCGTTATAGGGAGCAAATCAAAACGCAATTCATTGTATGGTCGTACGCTACAATTGCTCAAATAGTTCTTCCGGTCCAGTAGCTCCGGATTTGTGAAGAATTTTAGAAAATGGATTTGAGTAAAGCTTTCGGGTTAGGGTAGTTTTTCCAGAATCATACAAGCTCTAGGTTTAGGGTAGTTGTTGCAGAATCATACACGCAAATCCAACATTTCAACAGAGGACACGTGCTTTTACAAGGGGTCCCGCTATCTTACTTTTGTGCAATCCAAAACTTTAACATTCACATACAGTGTGCCTTTTCATATTACGGATCCAAAAACGAAATGGCTCTGCTTTCCCACTTCGAGGACACACACTGTTCAAAAAGTTGGGTAGCAAAGATGAGGAGAGAGATCAAATAAAAAAGTAAGTAGTTGCGCGATCGACCAATGCTGACAGTCCAATTTGTTTCAGCTGGCTACCAAAAAGGAATAACAGCAACGCCATCAGTTCTACTACTGCTTCTACACCAACGATAATAAGTAAGAGGACATTTCTAGCATCTTCATCCTATCTTTGTCTTTCGCCACGTAACCAAAACATCAAAACAATAAACGAAATGTTTTATGGAGGGCAGCAGTTCGTGACAGAAAAGACGGCCGCCACATCTTTCACTGTCCTAAGGGCTTTGGAGTTCTTCGGTGTTGTTCTTCTGCTTTTATCTTCACAAGCCGGTAAGTACAACGTCCTTGAAAAATTGGGCTTTCTTTAGCCGCTGCCCGCCGGGCGCCACTACTTCCGCCGCCAAGGCACGGAGAAAGATGCTTCGGTACGACACCTGGCCCGGCTGAGGGTCCTTCTTCGGGCCGTTCGGCAGCCACTGCTTGGGCCAGTAGAGGCCGCCGCCCAACTGGTTGAATACCAGGACAGTGGTCGCCTTCCCGAAAACAATCTGCTCCTGAATCGCGGCGTCCAGTACCGCGGTTACGGCGGCTTCCAAGCCGGCGAGAAAAAAGTCCATGTCCTGCTGCGCAAGGGAGTTGTTTGTGCGCGTACCGCTGCCCCAGGGCCCGCCTCGGGACACGTACCCCGCATTCGGCGCCGCCACCCAAAAAAGCCCGCCGATCTTGTGCCAAGCCAGCCAATCTTATCGCTTTAAAAACCTCCGCTAGTATCAATCATGCATCATATAAAGAAATGCCCCACAAATACTGAAAAGCAAAACTGTCATGCTCACTGCTCGTTGTATGTTGCACAGCTTTAAGAAGTACTATTGGATTGATTCTGTATCAAGGCGGCCGTTTTATTGGCGTTGAATCATGACAACAAGTTCTTGGGTGGCATGTTCAAAAATGATGCTCGATGGTACTCCTGCTCTCTACTGTGTCTTCGTATCATAAGTTCTTGTAGCGATTGTTCTCCTCTCGACCGATTTTCGTGTTGCGCACGACCCAGCAGTCGGAAAAATCAACGGGGTTGCGCGTGGTCACGTAGTCCACACCTTGGTAGGTGGCAAAGTCGTTTTCCAGGTTGGTTACCAGGCCCCACTTCGCTTGGATCGTCGACACATAGAGCTTGATCGCCTTCTGCGCGTACTGATTGAACCGGGCCTGAAACCGGCCCCGGACCTGCCCGCGATCTCTCGGCATGCCCCCGGCGGCATGCACGTACCAGTTGCTCACCACGGACTCCTCCTGTGTTTTGTGGGTCGACTTGATCTGAGTCACGTTGAGCCGGAACTTTGCCATCGGGTTGTTATTCGCTCGCCGGGGCGAGCGCAAGGCCGAGGTCCCGCCGCCCGGCAAACCGTGGTTCCCGGCTACGGCGATGCCGATCTCGTCGGCCCGGTAGGTGCCCCGACTCACCAGGTCGTCCACGAGGTTCTGTCCCAGCATTGGGTGCCTCTGGAACCGGAAGGGCTGGTGGGTGGTCGGATCCCGGTGCTCCGCATCGGCAACTGCACGCGGGTGAGGACCTCCACCCCCCAGGTTGGACAAGTCCAGAACGTGCGGCGTCAGTGTCTTGTTTCCTGGCGCCCGCTGCGCAAAGTCCCTTTCCTGTGTCCACCACGAGGGACTTCGCTTGTACTCGATGAATTCGCAGCCCAACTGGTCCGGCTCTCCCTTACGCTCGTTCTGCGGGCCCCCGCGCCAGTTGGCGACCGTTGGCCCGGGCTGGTGCCCATTGCCCCCGCCGCCGCCGTTGCCGCCGCCGTTGCCGCCACCGCCGCCACCGTTGCCCCCGCCGCCGCCACCGCCGTTGCCCCCGCCGCCACCACCGACAGCCATGTGGTTCTGCCCCATGTGATCCCGCAGGCCGAAGTACAGCCCGACACCCAGTCCCGCGAGCACCAGCACTGCGACGACAGAAACCACAATCGCGACGCAGCAGCAGCGCCCCCGTTGTTTGTCCCTTTGCTGCTGCTCCAAGTGGTCGCCCGAACCAGCTTCAACAAGGAGCTCACGTTCAGCAGAAGGAGTTACAACAACATGGTGCACTTGCGAGGACATCCTTTTCGATTGTATCTCCTCGATTTCTCGAGGTTTTGGTCTGTTGATCACCTTTACAAGAGTCCTTATGACCCGAAAGCAAAAAGTAAAAGCCTTGCCTCGATACAAAAAAAAATAAAAAATTTTCACGCAAATATCTTTTAGTTTTAGGGGCCTTGCTTTTTTCTCGAGCTCACAAGGCCAGGTGGAAAATTAAAATTGTAACTTCTTCTAGGGCGGACTGCATCACCCAGATCTAGAAATAAGGTGGAATAACGATAAAGTGATAAAGAACAATGATGATTTGAATGCGCTTAGGGGGCATAGCTCAAAACCTTCCTCACTGAAGACATAACAAACTAAGTAAAAGTTTTCTGTCTTCTCTCTTTCGAGTGCATCAACTCACAACATCTTACCCTACATTTCGTGGATCAATTTTGGCTATGATCAAAATTGAAAACATAGATCCACTTCCATTGATTTTTCATGTCCGAGATCGATCGGCTTCGGCAGGATCCAACTCGAAGATGCTTCCGTGAGAACGGCAATAAGTGGGTGAGCGATTTTATGCTCGTGCGGGCAGGAAGCTTCATCAACTCGATGAATTTCCGGACAGTATCAGGGATCGATTTCAATTTATTCAAAAACACGAAGATCGAGACCATACGAACCGAGCTGAAATTTTATCAGAGATGCCACAGAGATTTGCAAGTCGTAAATAACCCTGCACCTACTGCTGGGAGCGGACCGTTAAACTTTGATCCTACTTTCCGCGGTGCATCACCTTGATTTGCCGATCATGTCGCCCGTGCCGAAGCGACTGACAATGAATAAAGCATCGAGCTTATACAACCAACGCTTTCTCGCACAGCTTTTGCTCATCTCGATCTCGATAAAATACGTTTCGCAACTGATCGAAATAATCCTACTCACGACTCCTAGACAGTGACCTCGGCCCACTCGCCGTCGTTTGCGGCGCTCTGGTGGATCGCGTCCGTAATCAACTGCGCCCGTAGCCCGTCTTGAAACGTCGCCATGTTAAGGAGGGCATTTTTGTCGTCCTTTTCAAAAAACGCCCGCACGCGCTGCATCAGCGCCGGCGTCCCCACGTCCTGCCACGCGTTACCCTCGCCCTTTATTACCCGTTTCGTCTCCATCTCCTTCTCCATCGGCGTGGCGGTGTCCGGGGGAGGGTTTTTGTAAATCACCAGTTCCGAGGTGAGAAAATCAAACCTGATGGTAGCTTTTGGACTGCAGATCACCATTTCGTCCACTTCCTCAGGCAAGCCCGGGTTGAAGCCATTTATGGTCATTTGAATGGAAATCTTCTTCCGCCCCGTCACCAGCATGGCCTGGCACATACCATCCGCACTGGGAACGTATTACAATGAAAAATGCCCCCACCCCCGAACTTGCGAGCATTTGTATTGCAAACCTTTCCAAATGCAACATTCGCCCTCTTTCATTTATCAGCATCACAGGTTTCCGATGGTGAATAGCAAAAATTTGTATTGCAAAAGACCACAGCAAAAGCGGCGCTTGTCATGCAAGCGATGCGATACACCCCTAGACTCTGCATCAGAAAGATTCAAACTCCTTTCATGCATGACAAAAAGTTTTCATTCGGAGACTTCGCATCACAAATTTTTGCAATTTCAGGGGTGGAGGGGCACTTTTCACTGTAATAGAACGTCCCCGTTCTTCGCAACCACGATGCCGCGCATGGGCCGCTGGATTGCCGACACCTTTTGGATTTCCTCGGAAAACAAAAACCGCACCAAGTCCACATAGTGAATGCCGATTGCTGACCAACACCCGCCTCCAGTCTGGCGATAGTGCCAGTGACTAGCCTTCACGCCGGGCTGCATCCACGCGAAGTTGCGCAACGACGTGAAGGACACGGAAATGTTCACGTTGCCAATCAGGTTCGCCGTCAGAATCAGGTCTCGCAGCTCGCGCAAAGCTGGCACGCACCGCAGCTCAAAGTCCACCAGGCAGACTTATCGAAGTGAAAACGAGGACAATTTCTTTTATGCTCCTGAGAAAAGACTTTCACCTGATACCTTTGAGGGCAAAGGCATGGGCTTTGTCCAAGGACATGCGTTGAGCACAACGCGTGCCTGTCCTGTTCATCTCCTTCTTGAATTATAAAACTGACCATACAATATCGTTGTACATGTAATTGGGTGGCAAAACAAAATAGCATGCAGCAAAGGTGGAAACCGGACCTTACTACTGACTGACTTTTTTCACACGAGCAAGGAAATCTGTATACGAAACATCTCTTCGATGTGGTAAAACTTGCGTGTTGTTCAGCTCGCCTGTAATGGTCTGCACCCGCTTGGCAATCTCCTTGGCCTCGGGGTAGTTGCAGGCGATGGGCTTCTCGCAAAGAATGTGTTTCTCGGCCTGGAGCGCCTTGGAGACCGCGTGGCCTCGGCGGTGGGCCGGTCCCACGATAGACACCAAGTCGACATCGGGACAGGTGCAAATTTCCGTAGTATCATCACCAAAAAAAGCATGCCCGATTCCTTCTCGCGCACAAACCTCTTTCGCCTTCTCCTCGCCCCGACTCCAGAGCGCCGTCACCTCGAAGCCCTGCTCGCGAAACTTCGGGAGCTGCACCCGGGCCCCCCACCCGGCGCCAATAATACCCACTTTCGGGATCCGGCTCCTCTGCGCTGCGGGCGGCGATGCGGAGTCAGTGACCGGCGTGGCGGCCTGCATCTTGTGCTGCTACTCGTGTCTAGGAATAGAAAATACTTAATGATGCTTTAGATTTGCTGACATTTACAACTTCATTTGCAAATAAACCTAATACTTGAGCCTAGTTTTCCCCATCATGCTTTGCCACCGACGGCCTTACAAGAGTAAATCCAGCAAGAACTCAATCTTCAACAGAGGGATACGACTGAAGACTTGATTTACTTTATTGCAATTTAGAAGGACTCCAAAATCTACTTCCGCATGTGACAAAATGGGTAAGTGCTGCTTGTCATTTTTTGCCGTGAGAACTGTGTCAGTGTTCGGGTGGTCATGCAGCTTGTTCGCTTTGCGAAAAGTCAAATTTTCCATCTTGACGATTTCATTTGGATTTCCCATCTGGCGCTCGAACCATACTGCCAGGGTATGAATCTATCCGAGCCTTACGACGACGATAGTAACAAGAGCACGAAGATCATATCGGAATGCAAGTCGGAATTCAAAAATCTTGTCGTCGAGCGCTTGAATAATAGGCAACCGAACTCGTACCTCTGTTTCCGTCATGCAGAGAGATCTATTTCTTCGACGTTCACCTCAGATCAAGTCAATGGTGCTCAGGATCCCGATGCATCTAAATGGAACTCAATAAACCAGTCAAGTCGCGAAACCACGAGCCACACGTCAACCAGAGGACAGGATCTAGCTACTGAGCATCGATCGCAGCTTACCTGCTGAGACTGATGCTTTCCTAGTGCGGACAAAAACGCAAATCTCCAAATCTGGCACAACCGACAGAAGGGCAGATTCGAAAATCTGAAATCAAGAAAAACCAGCAAGAGGGCAAAACAGGAGTGCCCGGCAGAGCACAGACAACAGAACACCTCCTCGTTGTAGCACCAGGCGGAATTATGGCAGGTGAGTTCTGCGCGGCGTGCTCGCTTTTTCTGCGATCATATGTACGTATGGTTAGGTAGTGGTGGAAGATTTGGCTTTGTCGAGGTGGTGTCGTGAGATTTTGTCGAGAAGGAGAAACAAATATATTAGATACCATCAATCGGGTTAGTGTTTGCTTCCAGGGCGGCGGATATTTTCGATCGACTTTCTAAGGGAAATAAAAATGGGAAAAGCACATCTGCTATGGTCGTTCTTCGCCTCGTTATTTCCTGTCCATAAGATGTTTCTCTGCACAGAATGAGTGTAGTAAATCCGATGTTTTGCTTTGCGGTGTTGATCGTTTGCCATTGCGAGTCGTGGTTGGGCAAATTTGTGATGATGTGCTGAGCTTCGTATCGGTAATGTGCCGAGTCTGATTTCAAATTTGCTGTGGTGCAACGTCACTCGTGGCAAACTGTGCTGTGAATAAGAGTAAGCACCTCCCCCCTGCAAGTAGCCATCAACTCCTTCCCGACAGTGTCGCTAAAAAAAAGCGGAGTTATTGAAGCGGGAATGGAGTCGCCAATAAAATGCAGAAGGTAGCTACCACTCGGCCAATCTCATCTCAGTTGCGGGTGTGGTTCGTTGGGCTAAAGGTAAAAAGTGGACGATCATAAAAATGGTAGATAACAAAACTACGTCGTGTAATAAAAAAGAGTACATTAAATGTTTTCCGAAAAATTAGTAAATAAGCTTCAGCACCGACGGCAGAGCTATGGAACCCGCCTTGGATTGGGGTTCCTGTGTTCATGCCGCGTGTCAAAAGTCAAATTCTAATTTCATCGTAATAAATAACTATCGCAGCATAGATGTGGCTCTCTACTGCTTGTTCTGCTGTATTATCAGTCATCCCCTAAAAAGAATACTCAAACATCGCCTAATTGGTACAAGTTTTTGTGATAGAAAGAAACGTCGCAAAAGAAATTTCAACAACTTTGCCTAAGTAGATCACTGCGCAACCCCCTGCAACATCGAAACTCCTGTTAAACTTCATTAACCTTGCCTATATCAATTCAGAAGAGCCTAATCCTTCTATTTTGCCTATAATTCCGAAAAAAGATCAAGATCGGTGGTGTCATAACGTCATAGAAACGGTGTGATATTAGATCATGTGAAGTACAAGCTAAAAGCATTTATCTAGAAACCTGGTGTGATTAAAAACTCGTTCGAAACTATTCGCCTGCGAATCATAATTCCGTTGCTCATTGTCACTGACACTGAAACTTCTGCATCAGAAAATGTGAATATCAATATGCTCTGCATGATCGCCTTTCCTATCGGCATGGACGCGTTCCATCCTCTCTGGCAGGTTCGTGTCCGCGGTGTCTGCTTTTGCGCAAAAAACTCGCTTCAAGCACCAAACTATGAATTTCGTATTTCATGTAAAGCGACTTTCTGAAGCGACACACCTGCAGTAGCGTTTGCCGAAGGAGAAGGACGGATACTGCGTCTGCGATACACGCGTCTATTATGATCAATGCTGCCAGAAACCCTTTTTCTTTTCGATACAGGAGGCTCGAGTGTAGATATCGTATTCTAGTATACTGGTACGGGTTAATCATTATCATAGGAAAGCTGAAGACTCAATTGATCCCTAATTCTGGTGGCTCTTTAGATGTTCATGAATAGTTATAGTTATTTTTTTCCTTGCGATGCATTATTCGGACAACCGTAAATCTATGTGACAGAGGTGTTTTTTGCTGCTTTCCAAACGGACGCGGACACGGCCGCCAGAAGGACCAAACCTTCTTGATGCGGCGTGAGTCACGACTGGTCTGTGCAGCATAATTTTCATTTTTGTCGTTTACAAACGCCTGCTTCCCCCCAGCATCGAGCTTGTCACTACGGCATTTCATGTACGTGTGTGTTTTGTTTTTGTAGCTACAGCCATGTAGTACCCAAATAAAAAATTCTCGGTGTGCATATCATTAGCCAACATCAATTTTCTACTATATTCTCTTTAGTCAATAACAAGTTCAAAAATGATAAAATCGTATCAACAAAAGCCACAATGTAAGTCTCGTGATCCCGAGCTCCTATCGTATTCGTAAATTCGGACAACTATAACCGCCATTCGAACAGTTATCCGAAACCCAAAATATAACTGTGAAGCTACGTAGTAGAGAAAAATATAAGCAAGCGCTGCTAGACAACCCCCCGCACACGATAGATGCAGCCATAGCCTTGAGCAGCGAGTGACTCAGACCCCGGTTGACATCTACTGCATGCGCAGACTAGCAACCATCTGCTGCACCGAACAAACTTCGTCTGAATTTCATCAATTATCATATATCATGTCATTTTTCAAGTGCACTAGAAGTGATATTACCCCTATGCAAAAATAAATCTCAGCGAAAATAGAGGCAGTGCAAAAGTACGATAAATCCTTGCGATAGGACTGCGAGGCAGCCACGTAAGCAAACCAACTCCACATATGTATCGACAATGAGTTTATCGAAGAAGTAGAATATCAGTCATATCAACGTCAGCAGATAACACAACGACTCCACACCACCATCGGAAGTTTTTTTTTGATATTTCTATTACACACATCTATACATGCCACATTTACAGCCTCCTACTTCTAGGTGTCTCTGATACCTATTGGTCCTGCCTGATGAGACGTGACGAAACTCACGCCAGCCTAACCGACGTGTGTTCGAAACTATCTTCCGCATCTTTTCTGCAGGAAATTAGAAACTGACTCAGTGCGCTGCAGAAGATCATTTTGGGATTGTCTACCAGAAGATATGGAGCCAGCATCTGTGACAAGGAAGTGCGCACAGCACTCCAGGTTATGCATCGTACAGGGTATTCACCTGAAACCACCAGAATGTAATAGTAATGAGCCTCATTGATTCAGGGTCGAAATAGTTTCTTTAATTATTTCCGGCAAAGATTTTACAACAATGAAATCGTATAGACGCAGTTACTAAACCGCAAAGCTTTCAGTTTTAATCATTTGACTTTCATAGCATTAACATTGTACAGCATCGATAAAAATTTGTACCAATCTAAAATTTTCACATTTTCTAATTTTCGCAGAAGAATAGTCCCGTTGAATCACTCGATGAAGATGATCCTGTTCCTCACCTCTCGTCTTCTATCTAAGACTGTGTCAGTGACTGAGGCGGTATTGCAGGCCCTGCAGGAGAATTCGTGCGAGCGATTTTGCGACGTAGAGCGTGTCTCCGGGGTCGTCATCGTTGTTGCGACCAGAGAACGCGTGGCCCTTGCTGGGACAAAACCGGTCCCAGTTGTGTGCGTAGGCGACTAACAACTTCCGCAAGATGACGCGCGCCACCTTCTGCCCGAAGCACCGGCGCACCCCCGCTCCAAACGGCACCGCACGGAAGCGGCACTTCTTCTCGTCGTGCCACCGATTTGGATCAAACAGGGACGGGGTTTCTTCCTCGTATGCGTTCAATTCGGTTGCAGTAGGCAAAGATGATGTTGCATCTGCGGGTTTATTGCTGCTTCCACTTTCGCCGCCCTTACTCGTTTGATGCTCCTGCTGTGCCGCGAGGAAAGGGCACGCGGATGATCCCATCCCGCTGCTCGCCATCATACCACTCACCGGACAGGTGCTCTTCTCGCCCTGCACATACTGGTCGTACTCAATGAACACCTGGGTACCCTTCTTGAACCGGACGTCGCCCGTGGCCTCGTCAAACACGTCCTTCGTCACGGTCCGCTCCAGAATCGGGAACGGGTGCGCACACCGCATGCCCTCCAACACCACGCGGTCCGCCACCTCCTCGCTGGGGGTTCGCTCCCGCAGACCCAACTGGATGCCCGTGTTCGGGTGGGGCTGCGCGTTCGGGTCGGGGTTCTGTGAGTGTCGTGAAAAAGAAAAGTATTACGTGAATGTGTGTGATTTTTATATACTCAAACTCATGTTTCAGAAACAATAATGCTGCAGAAGAATACAACAAAATCCCCGATCTACTAGCAGTGCACTTGACGTTCAGACAGGCTGGCATTTGTTCCTATCTTTTTGGCGACGAGAAAGGTGGTACTTGTATTTCCCAGAAACGAGTTGACACAAGTCATGCTCAACAAAATCTTGGATACTAAAGCTGCACCTTTCAAAAACACTAAGTAGGTCATTTAGTTCACCATGTTTGTACTGTTTTTTACCTTCGAGAATTGCGTGGGATTGCAGATTTCTTCTCGCCAGTGGGGGTGTCGGTCTAGTATCTTTTTCAAGGAGCTGAACACGTCGGCAAAGTTGATCATGGGCGAAATTATCATGGGCTGCAGAATGCACGAGAGCGTTTGTATGTTGTCCCAATCGAAGTGGTAGTTGTCCGCCATCTTTTGCGTCTCGGACCGGGTCCTCCGCACCACCGGATTGGGCTGAGACGGGGCAAGCGCGTCGCGGTCCGCGGTCGTTGTACTGGACGTAGTTCTTGAGGTCCTCCCTAGCTGAACTCCGTCGTCGTGTGGTTCCGCTGCGCCAGGATCCTGCTCCCCGCTCTGGTTCCGGAAAAACGGACTTTCCTTCAGCGATTTCCGCATGAAGGCCAGAAACGCGAGTTTCAGCTCGCTGTCCGCGAGGCCCTTCATCGCGATCATCTTGCGCCACTCGTCCACCGCGCGGTGCGCCATGTCGCACTCTTCCGGCGTGGGGTACTTGTCCGTCAACAGCTTGTAGAAGATCTCGAACGAGTGCCGCGTCACGTCCGCGCACTTCACCTCGCACTCCTCCTTGCTCTTCGAAAACGAAAGCTTCTTCGTTTTGCTCGTCGTGGGCGACGGTCGGGACGACGAAGGCTCCTTGGGGCAGGCCCACGTGTTTGACGTTGCGGTCACTCCCCCCGTCTGCGATGCTGTCGTTGAAGTAGACTGCTGGTGTAGTTCTCGACAAGAAGTTGCACTAGTGGGCTGCGGCTCGAGATGATCTGATTTGTTCATGCTGGTACAGCCCGTCTGCGCGGCGGCGCCTATGTCGGCTGCAGTCCCCGTCAACTCCTCCAACGAGCACCCGGCCACATCGCTGCCGGTCCGCGGCCGGGAGCTAGCGGTGTCCACGTCCTGCGAGGAGGTTGAGTTCTTGTCCTTCTGGCAGTCGTGCACGTCCGTCGTGTTACTGCTGGCGCTGCTGTCGAACTTGCCCAGGGTCAACTTCATTTCGGATGAAGCAGGGGGCCCCGGTGCAGTGGAAGTAGTGGCACCTCCACCGACGTGCAGATGTTGTGCGGAAAACTCTTCCACGTCGCTCACCTCGCGGCTGCTGTCGTGGGTGGTGGAGGACTGCGCGGTGAGGGTCGAAGCCGTGGGCGTCATCGTGTGGATTGTGGTCGAGCTTGGGGTGGACAGGAAGTCGGGGCATTCCGTGGTCACCTCCGACACGTTCCGCTGCATGCGGCTGTTGGCCGTGCCGATCCGTAGGTTGGCGTCGCGCTCGATCACCTCATCGATCACCTTGTCGAGGCGGTCAAAGATGTCGATTCGCGCAAACACCATCCCCAGCGACTCCTTCATCTTAATCGCTTCCGGGTACGTCACCGATTCCACCGAACGGACCGGACTCCAAGCGGGGCAGGCGATCAGCTCTTCCACGAAGTGACCTGTGTGCGATAAAAACTCCATCAGGGGTGCGATCAGAGGTTGTAGATTGATAGCTATAAAATCGGGTGCCGTGTATTTCTAGTGTGGTAAGATAAAGTAGTACCTGCTATGTGGCCGCAAAAAACAAGTCATTCATAGCAATTCAATTGGTTGTTATACAGGAATCTCAACGGTTTCAACTCAACGAGTGCATCTCAACGGCCTGATAGGCCTCAACGACTTTCCGATGACCTCAACGACTGGTCTCAACGAAAAACACGGCCAAGAACTCACCGGCGCAAAAGACGGCAGCCCCATGGAAAAAGCAAAGCAACAGACCCACCGGGCGGGAAACGAAGGCCACGCAATTCGAAAAGCACAAGGCGCAACGGGAGCACGCGCGCCGGGAAGGCACAGCACAACGGCAGAAGAAGAGAATCGTCGGGCAGGGCAGCCGCCGCCGGCCGGCCGGCGGCGGCTGCCCTGCCCGACGACCCTAAACCCCAAGCCCTATTTTGTGTGCCGGCCGTTGAGGTATATTTCTCAACGTTGAGCTGTGAGGTCTCAACGTTGAGATCTAAGAGCGCAGTTGAGATTCCTGTAGTACAACCAATTCAATTGCGTTCTCGGAGCATCTCCTTGATGTACCAGCAGTTCACATCACTTATACTACCTTTGTTGCTTCCCTCCAGAACTTTCTCGATCAACTCTGGATCCTTGACCGGGTCTAGGAAATCTACTGGGGTTCCCTGCAAGAGAGCCAGGAGTTTCAAAAAAATCCGACGCTCACTCACCCCGCCGACGCCGTTCCCGCAGCGCACCCCACGCACCATCTCGCCAACGGGCTCCAACGCTTTGGTTAGGAAATTGAATTGCGTGGGAACGAGTCGCTGGTACTCGAGGTAGTTCGCGCGCAGCTCCTCCGACTTGAGCATCTCGCGCTCCTCGTCATTGGCACTGTAGCTGAAGATCTGCAGTGCGATCCCGAAGTGCAGCAGGGGGATCAGGACCATGAACAGCACAAGCTTGGTCCCCGACGCGGCATAGCTTTGGAGCGAGGCGAAGTGCCAGAAGCGGGATGCTGCTGTGGTCACCGTCGCTGCGGCCGCGAGGATGTCGGCTTCCTTGTTCCTGGAACCATTAGCAGCGTCCTCCGCGGTGACGGAACTGAATCCGCAGAAAAGCGCGACAACCGCGAAGGCAAGCGCGGTCGCGTGCAAGATGTGGGCGGCAAACCCGGGGTGGCGGCAGTAGCTGTAGATGCCGGCCATGGTTACCGTGCGCACGTCCTCCACTTCCTGAATAGTGGTACCGCTGTGCTTCTTCGTCTTCGGCTCCGACTTGCTCGACTTCCGGCCCGTGTTGGTCTCGTGCGTCTTTTTCATGTCGCTAAATTCCTCGTCCGGAAGCTGCAGACACCGCGCGGACGGAATCACAAAGAAAACAGCGAGCATGCAGCTGCCTACTCGTGTAAATACGGAGAAGATTTTTGATCTGTCATGGAAGATGAAAATGCATTTGAGTGAATACTGTATCCCAGGAATTTTTTTGATTTTTTTCGTGTGTTTCTACTTTCGCATTAACACGACACATATGCTTTGCTAGCTGTTTTCTGCCGGGGGATAGACCGGTCGTAGTGGTCACATTCGTCCATGCTGCGGTACCGCAAATAGCAGGCCGCCGCGGTGAGTAGTATGGACAACAGGAAGAGCAGGGCCTGCTGCACCGTCGATAAAATCTTCTGGTCGGCGGCTTGTTGCTGCTGCTGTTCAAGAACAGTTGTCCCACTCAAGGACGAAGAGAAAAAGCCGGCGCAATGCTGGAACAGCACTACGCCGAAGTAGCACACCACCATCGGCGCCCCCAGCGCCCATAAGTAGTGGACGCCCCACACGATATCAAGAAGAAAAATCCCCCCTCCCCATATCGAAAACGAAATTTCTGATGCAGTATTTGAGTACACAAATCGCATCTGTCTTGCTGGAGAGGACTGCAGACCCATATCAAGCCTGAATAGAGAGGCTTTGACTTAGGCGCTTAGCATGAAAAGCGTCCGCGATGTTGGCTCAACAGCATGACAAACCGGCTCCATAATGGGACGGAAGCTGCTGCCCTTGTCTTCTTGCAACACACACGTGATTTGTGACCTCAAATCAGCAACACAAATTTTCGAAAACCTACCTCTTCAATATGGGGAGGGGGGATTTTTCCTTGCGATACACGAGCCCGGCGCGCTTCCAGTCCTCCGCGGAACGCGGCGTACGGTAAATCTGCTCCGAACCGTATCAAATGCAAAAATGTCTGGGTCTGGAAGATTGCAACTTGTAATGCTGTCTGCGGATTCTAAAAATATCTGTGTTGCATGAGCACCAAGAGGAGCCAGCTCTTGGCACGCGAAGAGGGCACTTCTCATGCGTAATTAGCATCAAGAAGCTCTCAAAAAATCTGTGATGCTAGCACCAGCATCACAGACCTCACGGGTCATGCAAAATGTGCATGACAAGCCCCGACTCTTCCAGACCCAGACATTTTTGCAGTTGATAAACCGAGGGAGTAGGCAAAGTTGAGGAAGACGACGAGAAGGAACTGCAGAGCGAAGAAAAACCGGGTTTTGGTCGTCTGCGAGAAAAAAGCACCTGCCTCGGCATTGTGGTAATCAGCGCTGCTAGAAGTAGAACCACTCGAATTTAATATCTTCCCGGCGCCGCGGTAGGCCAAGTCGACCTGGCAGAGGAAAAAAACGGCCGCGATGCAGCAACAGCTGATCAGGGTCTGCGCGTAGTGGTTTTGCTTCGCTGTTTTCTTCAGCAGCGGGTCCTGTTCCTCGTCGCCTCCCGCCATCTTCAGCAGCTTATCGAGCACGTTATGCAGAAACCGCAGCAGAATGTTCTCCGCCGGTTTCTTTTCCCACTCCAGGCCCGCGACTTTCTGGTGCGTCACGAGGAGGTCGAGCACCTCTTTTCCATACAGAGAGCCGTACTTGAAACCGTAGCCGTCCAGCCCGGAAGCGAGAATCACCCGGTTGTCATAGTCCGGAATGAAATCCAAAATTGCCCCAAACTTCTCCTCGGAACCTGAAGAAGGAGTCGAGTGCGAGTACGTAGTCGCGCAGTTATTTTTTCACATAGAGAATCACGCGCGGCCACACGCTCTCTTCGATGATCGCAGTGACAAAAAGCGTTCCTTGGCTATTCTCAACAACAGAGAGGGGTTGCGGTAGAGTAAGAAGATGAAAAATAGACATAAGTTGCTCCACTAGGTAGTATGTTTCTTGTACCTACTTGTCATGACCACGGCAGAGCCTGCGGTCGTGAAGAGAGGATACGGACCACATCAGCTGCTCACAAACTATAAACAGTTAGTTGCATTGTTCTAGTTGTATACCGATTGACAATTGCGGGTATCGGCAGCTGTACTGCTGAGCCGGCTTTTTAGACACGAGCGCGTCCTCCCGAATGTAGTCCGTCAGAAACTGATCCACAGTGGCGATGTGGTCGTCCGAATGCGTTTGGTTCTCCGGATCCGCACACCACTTGGACGGGTAGTTGGGACGGATGGACATCACCTGTAGATATTTCGATCGCGTACACTTTCGCTTTGGATTTGGTGTTGCTCGTACTGCGACATGCAAATGAATTTACACTTCTGCAGTAGCCGTGGAATCGAATTGATGGCACACGCATGTTTAGCGAGATCGAGCCACATTCTTGCCCGTCAACAAGAAAGTCTAAAACTTTGCTGGTGAGCCACGCCTTCCAGACTTACGGTGTTAGTAGTAGCTTGTAGTAGAAATGATAGCAACTAAAATGACGCTCGAACAGAGAGGAGGAGACCGAGACGGAGATGAAAAAATACGAAATGAAACATCCAATACCTTATGCCCTTCGTGCGCGACTGCCATGGGGAACCCGTAGATTCTTGCACCCGGGAACGCAAAAAGCGGGCAGTGATTCTCCACCGACAGTGGCGGCGGCTGCGGGGAGGTGCTTGCTATGAAATGCAAAAATGTCTGGGTATGGAAACTTGTGATGCTAAAATGTGCATGATGAAAACACTTCCGAATGCAGTCCGGCATGACAACTTCCCAAAACGCTTTCTCATAGGCAATCCGCATGAGAAACTGCGACTTTGCATGACAAAAGAGGCTGCGACTTTTGTTCGTTATGCAATACAGATTTTCTAGGTATGGAAAGCTAGCATTACAAGTCCCAACCTTCCAGACCCAGACATTTTTACAATCGATACTTGCCTTCCGTCGCTTGTTTGGCGATGAAGGGGCTCCTGCTCCTATTACAGTGAAAAGTGCCCCCCTTCCCTGAAATCGCAAAAAGTTGTGATGCGAAGTTTCCGAAAGAAAACCCTTTGTCATGCATGAAAGGAGTATGAATCTTTCTGATGCAGGGTTTAGGCGTGTATCGCATCGCTTGCATGACAAGCGCCTCTCTTGCTGGGGTCTTTTGCAATACAAATTTTTGCTATTCACGATTGGAAACTTGTGATGCTGATAGATGCAAGAGGTCGAGTGTTTCATTTGGAAAGGTTTGCAATACAAATGCTGCCAAGTTCGGGGGTGGGGGCATTTTTCATTGTAATAGCTCCTGGGCTAGTTTCCGCGGAATTGTTGACATTCACATCGTAGCTGGGGCACGTGAAGACGCCGATCTTGGTCTTTGTCTTGAAACCCATGTTCTCGAGCAGCTCGCCGGTCCAACCGCCCCCCGCAATCACGACGTGCTTGGCACGCAGCTGGAAGGAGCTGTGTGTCGGATCCTGGCTGTCTGCGTCCTCGTCCTCGGCAGGTTTACTTATTCCGGTCGAGGATGTCGTTGTTGATCCGCCCGTCGTGTACTTTTCTTGCCTCACCACGTCCACGCAGTCTACAACGATTATCGTCTCGGTCGCGGTGGCGTTTTTGCTATGCCTATCGGGACTCTTACTTCTCACTTTCCGCACGTTGGTCACGCGGGTGTTCCCCCGAATAGCGAAATTACTATTTTCTGTTTTTTTACCACCATTGCAGCCGTCTACAAGAACTGGAGATTGATGTCCACCTTCTCCTGTCAAGGTTGCTTGCCCGGCGGGACCCTTAACATCGCTAGTGCAGCTGCTCTCCAAGGAAACGAAGTTTCCTTTTTTGTGGAAAAACGCCAAAATCTGCTTGGTGTACAGGGCCGCGGCGTCGCTGTAGTAGATGCCAAACACGTTCCAGGATTTGAACTGAAACGCGTTCTTCGGGAGCTTATTCAGCACCTGGGTGCGGTTCCACAGCAGTTCCAACCCCCGTGGCAGGGAGTCTGCGCCCGCGAAAACGCGGCGGAGCGTCCACCAGCACAGAAACGCGATCAGCAGCAACCAGCCGAAGGGGAAGATTGAAACGACGAGTACCTCCCCGATTACGTCAAACAGTGGCAGCGGTGGCTTTCTTTTTTGCCCGGTTGTTCTGCCCTCCTCCTCCTCTTCGATTTTCTCTATTTCCTTCAAATCGCACCAACTTGTCCACGCCTCCCGCACCCGGGTCCCGGGCGCCAGGTCCAACGTGCCAATCCTGCGCGGCCCGCCCCGGCTGCTGCCCATCGACTCCGAATTCGGGTCGTGCGCGCGCTTGTTTTCGTTGGCCACGTCCCACTGCTCGACCAAGCAAACCTTGGCCCCACGCTCGGCCAGCGTGTATGCGGTAGAAGACCCCGCAATCCCGGCACCAACGACGATCACATCGTACTCGCTGTTGTCGAGGGAGGAACTTGTGCTGCCCCCTTCCACGTCGGAATATCTGCGTGATTGTTTCGCGGATTTCGAGTCACGGACGTTCAAGTTTTAGTTTTATCAAACAGGAAAGTAAATAAAGCAGGAACCGCAAGAATGGCATTCAGCAGAAGTGGCGGTAATGGTTGCTCGTGGTTCAAGAAAAAATCGAAAGTCCTCGTCGAGTAACAATGCATGATAGAGGACATTTCTAGTCACTCATTTCAAACCAATTGGAGGAACTCCTGTAGTTTTTCACTCCCGTCATGCAAAGTAACAAACAACTGACAAACAAATTACCTGTGCAGCAGCCCGGTCCTCTTTTCTCTCCGTGCCAGATGTTTTCGTCGCCTCACTTCCGCGCTCATTTTATTTTCTTCCTTGGCAGCTTGACTCCCGCCGAACAGCTTCTCCCGCAAGAAGTAGTCCGCACCGAGGTTGCTCAACCTTCGCGGGCAGACGCCCGGCATAGGCTCGTAGCGACCTATCTTCGCACGGTAGTACGCCCAGTTGCTGTTGGTGGCCGTGGCTGCACCGCCGCCCTCGCGACAGGGGGCCGCGAACGTTTCGGCTTTCGGAAACGTCTTCTCCGTAAACAGCGGGGACGGCAGGTTGGTGAAAAAGTGCACGTTCGCAACCAGCTGCTCCAACGCGGTCGTGTATTTCAGTGACCACTGCAGCAATGCAAGCGCGGAGAAATTCGACGCGTGCTCCTCCTTAGTAGTTGCCGGTTTTATTATTTTCGATGTAGTTGCGTCTGTTCTACTACTCGGTGCAAAACTTCCTTTCATCGCGGTTACCGTCTGGTCGGTCTTCTTTGATGCTGGTGCGGTTTTTTTACCAGGAGAACTTTTCGCTGGAGTAGACGCTGTTTCTGTCGCCTTGTCCTGCGCGGCCCCGGCGTCGCGGCCGAACCCCTTGGTATTCCAGCTACCGATATCAAATGCAAAAATGTCTCGGTCTGGAAGATTGCCAGCTTTGTCATGCATATTTCTCATGATCCATGATGCCTGTAATGCATGACCTAGCCTCAAAGACTTTTAGAGGGCGTCCTGATGCATCTTCCGCATGAGAAATGCCCTGTCCGTGTAGCACAAACCGGACCCCTCTTGCTGGTCATGCAATACAAATTTTTTTAGAGTTCAAAAACAGCATGACAAATCTCGCAATCTTCCAGACCCAGACATTTTTGCATTTGATAACCGAACGCACCCTCGGTGATCAGCGAGGGATGGTAGGTGAGCTGGCGACTGGATCCCTTGGGCAGGAAATACGTGTAGGGCACCACTTCCTTGCTGTCGAACTTCAGCACGTACTGCATCAACTCCTTGGAAATCATGTATCCCCGCCCGCACAGATTTGAGCTGTGATACAGGTTCTCGGACAACGCGCCATGGATCTTGCAAATTCCCGTTTTATGGAACCGGATCACGTCCCATCCAGACTCGACCACCTGAAGGAGGTCCTGAATCACTGACGGCGTAAAGTGGCTGTTCACCTGAGAGAGATTCATTTTTTCGGTATGTCAGTACTTGTGTTGACGAGAGGCATTTGATGGATTTGATTTGAAATTTTACTTCAGTGGCTGCACTTCTGAATGCCTCATTCTGCAACTGAATCTGAAGTTATCTTCGCTATACAGTCCTTTCCTATTCCTATTCCTAGTACGCTTCTTGCATGTTCGCATAATCATTCTTCAACAGTAGGGCGACGGGAATTTCATTTGTACAACATCTTCATCTTGTTCAAAGCGCCTGTTTCCTGCTCATCCTAAATTATCGAAAAGGGGAATTATTCCACCGTACCTTCACGTCATCTTCGAAGATGATCGCCGCCTTCAGATTGGGGCTGCTCTCGACCGCTTTCTGGTACAAAGCCATGTGGCTTCGCGTGCAACCTAACACGCCACCTTCCGGATCCAGATCTGCAACGTGGTAGTGCACCTTACAGCCCATGAACTCATCGGCCTTGTCGGGACTTTGCGCGAATTTACCTGAAGATGCCAAAGATAAACCATTTTCGTTCTCATGCATATCGAACCCAAGAAGTGCACACGAGCATACAAGAAAATAATCCCACTTTCTTGCTATCCGTGGATAATTGCTAGGCCACCTACTCGCCAGGCGGATTCAAAATCGACGCCTCGTTGATAACGCAAAAACTTCAAATCATTCATACCGACTTGCTCCCGCCACCCATGTTCGAAAAACGCGCGTCGCTCTGGGCACGTTCGCAAGCTGATCATACCGATAAACAATTCGGCCGACACATCGCCCTCCGGTCCACCCGAGGTGACGGCCGGGCCGGTGTCTACTTTCTTCTGTGCCATTACCGGTGCCATGGTCCACTGATTTTCAAAATCTCAAAAACGACCGATTTCCTTACGGGCTTATTCCAGCGTCCCGTACCTTCAAAAAGTAATACGGGCCGACCATACAGTGACCGTAGCCCTGTCAATATCTTACACGACGAGCAGACAAGGGTGACTTTTTGCAAGCCAAGTTGTCTTGTTTCGTGATGGGAAATTGTTGTATCCGATTTTCTTTTATTCCTCGTCGCGTAAGTACTCAACTTCTACTTGACGACCGCCGTACAGCAGCCCTCACAATTGCCTTTCGCAAGCTCTAGCACCGAGCCACTGCTACTGCAGAAGGAGCGAATGCTCTTCTACAGTCAAAAAATAAATCCGCGTCTACTCTTGAAACAGAATAGGCGAGACCTATCAGTAGTGGTTTAGTGTAGCCGTGCGACAATTAATATCAGGCGCTGTGCCGCTCTCTGATGAAGTATTCAAACTCCTGCTCTCAGAATGATGAAGTTGATGAAGCTAACTATCGCAGGAGCTTCTTCTCCACTTAGAAGTCCTTCAGCTTTCCACCCGACGGATGAAAATGTGGAACGATGCCAGGTTTTTGAGAATGTTGAAAAAAAAGTAGTTGTAATGGAGTCTACTATTCCACGACTAGCAAGAAGCCACCCGGTGCCCCACCAAACAGGAGGGCACCACAGGCTTTTCCTTATCCAGAATAGTGTGAATGCTGATGTATGAGGCGATTGATATCAGGTGTATGTTTCCAAAAATCCAAGGGGAAATAGTCATGGGGCTCGCTATTACATCTAAAATGTCCTATACAGGTTTCTTCAAATATTATGCTTTGGGATTTCTATGAGTTTTATGAGTCAGGTGCTGGTCAGCAGGTAAGGTGCAAATGGTTTTTGCGTGTAGATCCTACTACTCAAAGAATCGATGGCCAACTAAAAGTCTACCACAGCTTTAAAAATCTCTCGCCCAAAGAAAAATTCAGATTTCTCTCGCAACCGTAAAAAAGCCATCTCTCTCGGACCTTTTACTTTCACTTACACATACAACTGGAGGCAGAGGCAAAAACAAAACAAAGGTGGGTGTCGAAAAAAAAATATAAAAACTCCAGTACTATTGAATCCGCATTTTACAGGCAGAAAAAAAGTAGATCGCCACGATCATGATTTACTTGCACTATGGACAAGTGTAGCACAAGACAGAAATTACCGAGAAAGCACCGAATGCATTTCCTCTTTACCGAAGATGAAAATCCAATTTTTGTCCGACTGCACAGATTTTTCACACCGAGCGGGCATCTCTACAAGAATTGAAATCATCGAGGGATGCAATCGAACACCGTCACGGACAAATTCAGAAGTGTCGGAAGTCCCTGCGCTCTTTCACCCCCTTGCGAAGCCGAAGGCAACAAGGTGTTCTTGCAGGTACGTTATTTGGCCTATATATTTTTTTTTTTTCAAACTCAGTTCAGTTTCGTTCTTCTTTTTCTTTGGCTGCTGTATTGAATATTCACTCTTCTAGTACTCTGCCTGTAAGAGGTCCATCCTCTCGAATCAAGACAATTTTTTTCTTCATCGCCGAACATTCGTGGTTCTTCGTGTTTCATATTCATCGCAAAATTCAGTTCTTTCTCAGTTTCAGTGCTGTTTCATTTTCGACTCCGTGGTGCTCACAGTTTTCTTCAACAAAAATCCTGGCCGCGAACGCGACGACCCACTTTCTTCCTGTCCATTCCCCCTCGTCCCAGGGTCGTTCGCCGACCCGCGGTGGTCCCTGCACCTGATAGAAGACGTTGGGAAGTTCATCCCGCTTGTTGGTACTAGGGCAAAATCTTCGTTTTGCTCAAACGCTGTCAAACCCGTGCGCTCCTGCTGCGGTTTCTCCAGAGCTGCTTCTTTCGTGCGCGAGGACGAGGAGGGAAAAAATGAGATTAAGTTCTCTGCTTCTTCCGTTTCATCCTCGATGCTACGCATCGCGTCTTGAATAATGTGTTGGACTTTCGACTGCGATTCTCCTCGAGTCTTCCGACACAACGCGGGTGCGGACTTCCCTTGACCAGTGCTTCGAAGATGCTGCTCATTTAACGACTTTATTCCGAATGGATTATCATTGAAGTTCCCATTGTTTTCGCGAAGTTGGAGGTGGTGATTCGAATTTGCAACTTCGCCCAAGACATAATTCCCGCAACTGAAGAAGCTGCTCAAGTCCTGGCCTCCTGCGGTGCTGCTCTCAGCGGTCATCTGTCCGGTCATCTGTCGACAAATCGGTGTCACAGTGCGGCTCACCGCGGGAAGATCGCTAGTACCCTCGTCAATGAGTTTGCCGCTGACTCTTCTTTGTGTGCTCTCATCGACGCTTGGCTTGCAAGGATAATTTGCGCGAGGTTTGGAACTGTGGTCCTTTTGTTGACGATGCATTTCACCCCCGGATTTCGCCTCTCGTCGATGTTCTTCCTGACTGCGCAAGGGGGTGGTCCTCAACGTGGAAGATAAAGATTTCAACATACTTCCTTTTTCGTCCATCCCAAGGGGATCCATCAGCAACATCTTCGGGTCATCCGCCTGCAAAGGATCACTTGAGCAGTCTTTGTCACTGCTCAGGGGGCCGCTGCTCGTGATGCTCCGGGGAATCGTGGAACTCACCGGAGCAGCGACTGCCTCCGGCGATTGCCAACTCTATGCATTGCGAATATGTGTGGGTCAGGAAGGGTGCAACTTGCGATGCTACTTACTAGGTGGATGCTAGTACAAAAAAACCTGTATTGCTGAACAGATCGCGCTAGCAATTCAGGATTAGTTTTGGTCCAGTTTTTGCTATGCGGGAGGGGCGTTCTTCCTCATGCGGTACTACAGGAAACATCAGGAAACCCTCGTCACAGAATCTGTGATGCATCGGGTCAGCTAAAAAAAAAGCGCACGACAATAAACATTGCGCTTTTCCAGACCCCGACATCTTTGCACTTGATAAACTCGTTGTCCGAACTACTTCGGGCAAAAGCAAATACCCTTGCTTCATCGGCCAACTGCTCGTGCGCACCACCTCGGGCAGAAACTTCGGGCGGGGGCCCTCGCTCGCCCCCGCGCTCTGCTGCTTAAAAACGCCGCCGCTAGTGGCACTGGAACTGCTCGTTCCCAGCGCCGACGCGGACGCGGTTTTGTGCAGCGGCAAAAAGCTAGTCAGGGTTTCCGCCGTTCGTTGTCGCCCGCCATGCTTTCCGACTTGTTGTCGGTGGACGGATGGGTCAGGACGTGCAGGAGGGTTGGTGATCGCGGCGAAACCAAAATGGCTAGTACTACTATTCTCGTGAAGATGTGGTCTGGTAGTCGACGCAGAAGATGAAGCAAACACTCCTACTTGCACGTTCGGATTCACATTTTCCTTATCGACATTGACGTTGGACGTCTTCTCCAGTGAAGGTCTAGGTCCTGTTGTCCTGCTTTTCACGACGAGATCATATTCCCCAGTGCCGCACTTCTTGCTCAAATTATTCGGAGCAGCTTCCAACGCAGAAAGAAGACACTCTGATTTATTTTCACCCGCCGCTGGAATATCTTGATTTTCATTTTCACCCGCGTCCTCAGTGCTGGGCGCATTGAATTCGAACTGTTTCCGGTCGTCCCTGGGAAACGACTGCAGCTGCGGCGGATACGAGAACTGTTTGAGGACTAACTGACCTGCTTTCTCGTTTTCGCCGGTGTCCGCACTGCTTTTCATCCTTACTGACGAAAAAACCAAATCGCAATCTTTCTGGTTACTGTGCGCGCTCCTTTGAACCTTATAGTCCTCGCCTTCCTCCGCCGGCACCGAACTGCATGCAGAGCTGCTACTTGCGTGAGAAGAGGACGAAAACCTCTCTACCTCCGCACCCAGATACTTTTGCTGTGCACTTTGATAAGCCCCCGGCCCGCTCCAGAAGCCTTCTTCTTCAAAACTGGGACTCCCGGCCCGTCCAGACAGCTGCTTCAGCTGCTCTTCATCGATGGACGTCAGAAGAAATTCCGGTACCGACGCCCTCTCGCTCGTGTGGCTCTGCGGCTGACCACCTCCTGTAGTTCCTGGAAAGGAACTACAATTACCTCCAGCCGCATGGCGAATCGGACCCCCAGGAGCACACGTCGGGATTTGGAACGTCTTCCGCCCAACTACGGGATCGAATACGTACCCACTGGTCGTCCCGTCGGCGTTGAAGAACACGGCCTCGTCCCCGCTTTCGGCGAAACTGGGCGGCTGCACAGGACCAGTCGCACATGATCGTTCTACCGGCGCTGCACCCCTGCGCTTCATTTCCTCAGAGGGCGGACTTCTTCGAGTCCAACTCCTGTGCGGAAATGAATGCCGATCTGCATTGTCACCGGTTCGAGCGAGATGTCGCCCATCTCGTCCAGGTGTCCCGGGCCTCCTGCCCGCGGCCCAGGTCCCCGCTACTAGTCGTGGTGTTCCCGCCCCCGGGTCGACCACAGCAGCGTCAAAGTTTTGCTGCCGACAATGACTGTCCTCGTGCCCACGACTTCTGTGTTTCAGCACAGCCTGACTCTTGTTTGGGCTGTCGAACCAAGCGGCGGCCACATGCGCCGCGACATTGCTGGGCACGACGAGAGAAGACGTCGTGCAAACGTTGCCAGGACGTGGTCCTGCGGAAGCACGGGAGACGAGGCCGTGGTGGTCATCGGGATTTGCGTTCTTCGTCTCCGCGCAAGAAATAGTTGCGCCACCATCATCTCTGAGCTTCTCCATGTTGATGCCCTTCTTTTTCATACCCGACCCACCGGAATTATCCGCATCGCGCTTCGTAATCTTATGCTCCTCCCCCATCTGTATGGGTGTGTCAGAGTTGAAATCGACAAAGTTGAAATAATTTGTCATGCATAAAATGGATGCCAGTTGGAACCCAGTTTCCAAGTGGCGCATGACAAATTTCGGTGGTCCCTAAATCCAGTTTGTCACGCTGTTTAGGCAAAGAAGAGCGATTTTCCCATGCTCCTTTAGCAGCTCGAGCTGTAACCCCAAACAGGCTTACAATCGGCCTCACTTGCCTGCTCTGCAACACACGTACCTCGGGTCATGCATTTTATGCATTACAGATTTTTTCAACTTTGACGATTTCAAACCTGACGCTTCCATAATCTGCCGCAAGACCGTATCCATGTTGTACGGCAGCTTCTTCATGTGAAGGCCCTAAAATATCCACCTTTTCGCCCATCTTTTCAAATTTTGCCCAGTTGATTGCTCGGCGCCCTCGCCGATTATCGCGTAGCGCCTCTTCGATGGCGGCTGCGCGTCCGCCTTTGCAAACGCGTCAAGCCGGGCTGCCCTATTTCTGCCCCGAGGCCCGGGGCAGAAACGCAAGCCAAACACCCCAAAGAGAAAAGCCACCCAAACGAGCCTCCCAATCATATGAGGCCATGGACCCTGAGCGCGCCTCTGCTTGCGCAGGTAAGGAAAGGCACCCGCAATAGCGACAAACGCGGAAAATGCCCCCGGCCAATTTACCCTCGACAAGGCGCAGACGAGCGAAAGGCTGCGCCTCCCCTCTTATCAGCCCCGGCCTGGCTTGAGCCTGATTCGCAAACAACGCCCGCCACATCTTCTGCGCAGCTTCCCAAACCCCTAGCGGTTCAGGACTTGGCGCGCACCCAGTAAAACGAGGACAGGCGGCGTAGGCTTGGAAAATTTGAAAAGATACTACTAGCGCATCTTTTCAAATTTCGACAGCCGCGGAAAGGGTGAGCAGCCTACTCTTCTGCGTGGCTTTCAAAATTCGCAAACTTGCTGAGGGGGCATCTTCGCAATCTTCGGAGCCACAAAAGAAGCAAGCAAACAAATGTCGCCAGAGGCACGGCTTTGCTTACCATCTGGCGACCCGCCAGCTGGAGCGCAAGTCAAAGCCTTGGACTTTGAGTGCCCGCCAAGCTGGCTCGCGTGAGTTGCCCTGATGGACCTCTTCAGGTTCGTTAGCGGTGGGTCCAAAGGCACTCAAGGCCCAGGGCTTCGATCCGAAAAACGCATCGCTGTCTCCATCGGAGCAGATTGGACGAGATCCAATGTTGAGTAATACATCTAACAAGAACCTCGACAAAAACTGCTCCGATGCGTTTTTTTCTGAAGCGAATCACGATGGAGAAAAATGCATCGGAGCAAAATGTCGGATACCCCATTCTTGAACCCCCAAGGACTACCCGCAGAGGCTATTTCCCGGGAGGCCGGCACTTGCCCTCATGGTTGCTCGGATGCAAATCCAAGACCTTTGGCTGGCCGTCAACGCATCGGGGCTCGCCGCACTCAAACGGCGCGTGAGGCTCCAAGCAGAATGAAAGCGCCGCCCCCAGAAAGAGGGCCGGGCGGAGAATGTCAGAGAGGCACTGGGGCAAAACACACTGAAACCAAGCGTAAGAGAAAAACCGGGGCCAGGGTAAAACACAGCCCAGCGTGATGCGCTCTAATTCTGGCGCCTAACCGCGAAGGCCAGCAATGCCGGCCACAGCGCTAGACTCAGGCCGGTTGAGGTGTCTTGCGGTCAGCCGTCCGAGACGCGCCACAAAAAACATTGCAAATTGGCCTGCAACAACCCCTGCAGAAACACCCTCGCACCCGGTCGGGCGACGGCGTGAGTACCATGCCCGCTGAGAAATTGGCGTCTAAGCACTCGAAGCTACGGACCACCAGGGCCGGGGATTTCTTGAAGCCAAGGTCCCGGAGGTCCGAAAACAACCGCAACATTGAAGTGCCACCCGTGCGTACTTTCAAGCGCTTCGGGAATCCGAGACACTACCTTTTGCACAGATGCCGACAGGAATGCATTTTTCAGAGGATTAAATCTTATGCTCCTCCCCCATCTGCCGCAAGACCGTATCCATGTTGTACGGCAGCTTCTTCATGCCCTTGCCCCTTCCGCCCTGTTGGTACCTGATCCATGATGTGATTTGGGTAGAATTTGCTATGTCGTGGCGCGAACACAAACTTCTTCCCAAATCCCCAAAGCGCTGGCGCCCCTCGACGGCTGCCAGCTTTTTTACTTCGTATGTTCTCAAAAGGTCACACCCTTCATACTGGTGCTGAACTCCGGCTCTGTATCAGTAAAGGCGTATCTGCGCTGCTTCGCAGCGTCTTGTGTACTACTAGATACAGCAGCGAGGCGTGCAGCAGGGACCGCGCCGCGACGTCCGCGCCACAGAGGTGGCTACGGGCGTCGCACTTGTCCGCCCACAGACGTGGGTCGAACCGTGCTCCAGCACTGCAACGAGAGGTCGCAGCGCCGGGTGCAACAGAAGCTGCAACAAGTCCCGAACCCTCCCCAACAGAGGTCGCTAGCGGGCAGTGGCGGGCCACTGCGTCGCCGGAGAGAGGGGCCACGAGCCCGCTAAATTATATATATTCGCGTCATAGACGTCAGGATGTGCCTTGCTAGTGTGTGAACATAAAATAAGATGAGTAACAAGCCGCGCGTGCTTCTCTAGCATGCGCGCGCCATCTTCGCCTCCCTCTCCAGATTGATTGCGCACCGACATCGGCGGGGGCATCGGCTGCGCGTCTCCTGTGCTCCCCCGGTGTCGTCCATTTTTGTAGGCAAGGGCTGGCCACGGGAGAACAAAAATGGGACCACAGAGGTGGTTAGCCCATTCCGGCCCTCACGAGGTTCGCGCTAAGTAATGCTGCGCGACCTAGTCCTACTTGTGATGCCTAGAATGTGATGTCTCGAGTTTGTTGTCTAGATTGGGAATGAATTAGGTACCTTGTGGGCGGCAGTACCTGCCGCAAGACCGTATCCATGTTGTACGGCAGCTTCTTCATGTATGGGGTCGTCAACATTGTATTTGCCTCCGACCGTAAAAAAAATTCTGCGCGCATTTTTTCGCGGCGCAAAGCTAGTAAACCTGTGCACGCTAGTGAGGGGCTGACTTGAACGCGGTTTGTTTTACCTAGCTTGTCAGCAGCAGTGCTCTAGTAGGTAATTGGGTAGTGACGCGAAGGGGGGCGGGGCGCTGGGGGTTCTTCTGTGGCTGATATTTTCACCTAGAAAACGCCGGCGCGCGCAATATTTTGCTCCGTTTTCCGGATTGCTCTCTCCGTGCAGCTATTTGCCGCTATGGCCTGGGTCAGCGTGTGAGGCTGGAAACGCCCCGCGAGATGTCTACACCCTCCCTGGCCTCGTCGTCTCTAGCGGGCACCACGCACATATGTTGGCCGCGAAGGCCGTTCCGGAGCCCTTCCAAAAAGGGGCGGCCGGAGGGGTTCCCGGAACCCGAAAAAAAAGCCTATTCCTTTTTCTTCGAATCACGATGGTGCTACCCCTCCCCAAAAGGGGTCCCGGAACCCCTCTGGGAACCCTTCCCGAAAGGCTCTCGGGCTTTTCGCGTTTTAAGTAAAGAGGCGCAAGGGCAAAAAGCGCGCGCGCCTGCCGGTACACGCGCGCACAGCTGCGCGACATTAGAGACAAGGGGAGGCGCAGCCGAGGCCGGTTCCGTTTGCGCCCTCGACTCCGACCGACTTGCACAGATTGAGGCCCATTGTCTAGCGGTTGGACTGCAAGAGGACCTGCCGCAGCACCTCCAGGCTGCAGGGGCGCTCCGAGGCAAGTCCGTGGAGCAGCAGCGCCGGATAGCTCCGTCTTTAGCCACTGTGAAGCGCTGCGAATGAGCTAGCTAGTTCATTAGGTGCGCAACATAGTGGGGGGCTATACGTGTGCAACGTGATGGATATCAAATACAAAAAAAGGCGCGCGGAAAATTTTTTACAGCTTGAGGCAAATACAAGATCCTCCCCCATCTGCCGCAAGACCGTATCCATGTTGTACGGCAGCTTCTTCATGCCCTTGCCCCTTCTGGTGGTGCCGTTCTTGCATTTGCTGTTCGTGCTCTTTGTCGTTCCATGCCCGCCTGCGGCAGGGCGATGCGTTGTATCGTGGTTGTTTTTATCGTCGTCCCCAGCACAACATCTCTCGTCCCCGCTAGTACCCCGCCCCGCAAGACCCTCGCCCCCGCTGCAAGAACCTCCTCCAGCTCCACCAGGAACATCATGGTCGTGACCCACCTCTACTAGGCGCTCGTGCTCACTGTCGCTGCCGCTGTCGTCTTGTCCGAAGCCCGGCTGGTCTCGTTCCGCGTAAAATTTTCTGTTCAGCACCCAGTCCTGCCACATCACCAAATTCGTCAGATCCCCCTGCTTGTCCAAAATGGTGTACTCGCGCAGCACTTTTAAGTCCGTCCGCTCCTCATCGCGGCGCCGGCGCAGGCGAATCTCCTCCTGCTTCCAGTCGTCTTCGTTCCTGTAGGCGCGAATCTCTCCCTTCAGCCCGAAGCTGCTCTCTCCGAAGTTGCGGAACTTGTCCTTGCGTGCCACGTAGTTGTGCAGCCGCTGGACGGTTGTACGCTGTGAGTGGAACGCGGCGACAAACTGGCTGTTCTTCTTCTTGTTGTAATCGCCATTAGCTGCTGTGTGCTGCAGCTCTCCGGCAGGTCGCGGAACAACAGCGACCTCGTCTCCTGTCGCCTTAGTTGTCATCGCGGTAGTCCCAAGCGTTGTCGTCGTCGTGGCGCGCGCTGGATACAGGAGTCCGGGAGGTGCAGCAAGAACTGCCGCAGCGGGGGCTCCGGCCGCGCTTCCGGGCGCCAAAAACGGCGTCTCCCCGCGGCGGTTGCGCTGGACCACCATCAGGTCGGCGGTTACGTCGAACTTCAGCTGCCCGTCCTCGATGTCCTGCAGCACGTGCTGGACCAGCTGCTGACCCTGTTTCCCGGTCATGAAACACTCGTCGCAGAGAGAGGAGCTCTTCAGGTAGTTGTAGCTCTTCTTCTTGTTATTCTTGCCGAGTAACGCGGTCCGCTGGATCGGCCGGTCGTCGCAGGGGCTGTAGTGAAACAAGTTGTACTGCGGGGGCTCACCACTCGCGTGCCCGGCGCTCCGTCCGCGCTTCTTGTTTTTCTTCTCCTCGCGGCCCGCAGCGATACGGGCAATTTCTTGCCGTAACGACACTTCCGCCTTGCCGTACCAGTGCCCGTGCCGAGCCATCACGGTTTGCATGTGGTCCAGAAAGTCCGCCTGCAAAAAGGTCCGCCCCTCGGAACTCGTGTAGCTCGAGGAAAACAGTTCGCGCGACGAAACCGTCAACTCCTCCTCTCTACTACTGTCGTACCGACCTGAAGCAACGTCGAACGTTTGCCGGGCCGATACCCGCGGCCGGGCGTTTTTCAAATCGTAGTCCCAGTTCTCAACACGCGTTACCCTGTACCTCTTCGCTTGCTTTAATCCACGGCGCGGGGTCTGGTGATCTTGTTCCTGGTTATGTTCTTTCTCAGACGCTGACGAAGACCTGGATGATGATGTTCGTCCACTACTCGTTCCACTCCGGTAGTGCTGTTCGACTTCCCAACCCTTTTCGCCGGCCCGATGCGTGAGCACAATCTGCTCCCTGCTGATATTTTTTTTCACTTTAATATTGCGACCTCCATGAGCTTCGTTCTTCTTTTTCTGACACTGTACACGTTGTTTCTCATGTTTTGACTTCTCGTCATCTTCACCGTCCTGGCAGCTCTTCAACCCGGCGACACGGCCTTTTGTGAGGGACCGTGGTTGGCAGGAACTTTCTGGAAGATTTTTACGACGGCGAAGTTTTCTTCCCTGAGACTCCTCCTTCTTTCGCAACCCTTGCTTCCGCGCCAGCTTCTGTGCCTTCTGTAACGCGGTGCGGTAAAATTGAGTCCGCTGCTTTTTCGAATACAAATTGCTGTGCAGCTTGTCTCGCGTGAGAAAATCATGGCGGCTGTCCACCTCCGAAGGATGATAATTTTCCTCATGAAGATCATGGTCTTCTTCGTTGTCCTGTTTCATGGTCGGACTTTCCGTGTAGTTCTTGCAAAAATTAGTTGCATTTCTGCCCTTCGTCCCAGCGCCCGCGTCGGAAAGAGCATCGGCCTCGGATGAAGTGGAAGTGCAGTCCCCGGCTTCTTCCTCCAAATACATCCGGGTAAACATGCGGTGCTCCGCTTGCCCAATCATGTCAATGCACGCCTCCAGTGCGTCGTTCAAATCGCGCTTGCTCCAAAAGGGATCTTTCCACGCCTCGCCGAACGCGTTGCTCAGCGGCGCGAGCCGCACTTGCTTGTCGTACTTGCCATTTGTCCACCAGGACCGCCCCACGCATCGCTTTTCCTCCTCGACGATAACTTGTGCGTCTATCGACTGCAAGAACTGCTTATCCACTGCACAAATCGGTATGGGTCTGTAATGCTAGTCGCAACATACAAAATGAGAAGTAACAGCATCTCTTCACGAGTTTTATTTTCAAGAAACACGATACGTTTTACTTTTAGTAAACATCAATAATGCGTGGTCAAGTAGCATGTCATGAGAAGTGGCGCTCGTGCGTGACAATTGACCGGGTTGTAGTTCCGTCGATCTGCTTCGAGCATCGCTGAGGTCGACTCTATCCAAAAAAAGAAAAACAATGCGCACACATAAATAGACCCGCATTCTTGTTCCAGGCCCAGATCGATAGTTGCAATGCTTACTGCTCGACGACCCGCTTCGTGTGGCTCGCGGCCGAAAAGGCCTCGCTCGGGGTACCCTGCTGGTTGTAAGGTTCCCTCTGCAGATCGAATGCATGGAACGTCGGCAGACCTGATTGTTGAAATGGCGGATGAACCCCTATCTGTGCAGCTGGCACGTGTAGCTGTTGTGACCACGTTCCCACCGATCCCGCAGGATGAGGCGAAAACGGCAGCGGTAGCAGGTGGTATTGCTGCTGCAGATGGAGCCCTTGATGTTGTAGGTGCGGCCCGGAAAGAATTGTACCGGAACAAGCGTTCTGCGGATAAGTTTGCAGGCCCGCTGCGGCAGCAGAAACGAACTCCAGCTGGCCGCTGGTGTGAGAAGTAGATGTCGCACAATTCACTGGCTGAGCTAGCTGTTGTTCCAGAGCAGGTCGTGCACCAGAAGTAGTTTCTTTACTGCCTGCATGTGCATCTCCTGTCCCAGCCGTGCCAGCTCCGGTTATACTTGCAGAAGGCTCCTGCGCCACTAAAGTTTTATCCACAACAACGGCGGCCGGTCTGAGTCCCCTGAAGCCTCCTGTGTCTGGCGGCGAAAGAAGGCCTGGCGCATTGGAATTTGACATGACACGGTGCAGCATGGGCTGGAAGGGAAGTTGTTCTACCAGTGACGGGTTAATCGACGAGGTCTTTCGCACCCCCCCGGCGCGGTCAGTGGATTCTTGCTGGTTCTTCCCGATCAGTCCGACGTAGTTTTTGTTGCCACTACTAGGTGGATCATTGGCCAATGCATCCTCTTCTCCAATCTGTCGCCGGTTTGCGTTCGCGGCCGGGGTGATTCGCGTCTCGCTGTTACCCCTCCGCAGTGAAAAAACCTTCGGGCGATTCGGCAGGAAAAAGCCGGACGCGTTCTTCTTTATTTCCGACTTCGCACCGACCGAACTATCCGGTCTGGCGCCTTGCGGCGCTCCTTCATTTGGTTCCTCACTCACAACTCTGTTCTTACGAGCAGGGCTGCTTGTTTTCGCCACTCTTTCAGCTACTTGCATCAGCAAGCGCTTCGTTTCGCTTATGGTCCCACTTCTGGTTACACCTTTCGACTGCTCGGGATCATCTTCAGAGCGGCCAAGAACATTTTCATGATTTACTATTTTGTGTTGATGATCACTCGCAAGAACCCCGTGTTCTTTTGTCTCTTGCTTGCTCCTCGCCGCAGCAGTCTTCTCGCCGACAACGCCGCCTCCCCAGTTGGTCCACTTTTTTCCCTTTGCCTCTGTGTGGTCCTCGCAAGTAGCATTCCCCCCGCTGTCCTTTCCTCCTGGTCGCGCCTGCGCCTCCTGCCGGACCTCTCGTCCTGTTTTTAGTGTAGTGGTCCCAGCCGCGGATGTTCCAACGGAGAGGTTCTTTGCAAGAACTTCGAGCCCGAGCTCTGCGCGCGAAAAGAGGGACTCGCCGAAGATGACATTTTTCTCGAGCTCCGTGGCCGCCGCGTCCAGTTCGACCTGTGTGAGGTCCCGTTTCTGAAAGTCCTTCTGCAGCAGGACCGCCGCGTCTCCCGAGCAGAGCACGCGCCCCGGGGGACAGATTTCCACGAGCTTCTTCGTCTTGCGCATCTCCTTGCCCCACAAGTGGTAGTCCATGCGGAACTTGCTGCGAATCAGGCCCCCCGCGAAGGGCCCGCTGTGAACGGCGATCTTCACATTCATCGGGTTCACCACCGAATCTACCCACTCGATTTCTTCGTCTGCTTTTCTCGCTGTAGCGGCTGCCTCAGCCTCGTCCGGCCGCGGCGCTTCTTCTGCGTCATTCCCGTCCTGGTCCTGTGCTGGAAGGTGGCTCCATGGTGGGGGTGGGACGGGTGCGTGGAACGGGCTCACCGCCGAAGTAGACTCGTCCAGTGCAATGTTTTTTGTGAACAAGTGAGATCCAGCACCACCTCCTGGCGCACAGGCGAACACTGCGCTCGTAGCTGGCCCATACTGATGCAGCTGCTGGTGCTGCTGCGTGGTCCCCGGGTGGTTGGCAAAGAAGAGCCCAGACTTGTGGTGGGGGTGCGCTGTCGCGTGTTGCATGTGCACCGCAGCACCTCCTGTTCTCATCAAGGTATTTGGATTGGCGTTGCCGAGCCGCGCTATACTGTCCCGTGCGGTTTTTTGCTTTACCACCCAAGTGCTCAAACCGGTCAAATTCGACAGCCCCATGGCGCGCTCGCTTGCGCGTGCTTGCAACTTCGTGCGGCGAGAGTCCAGCAACTGCTGCTGTCTGGCGCTGAACAGACTTTCCCGAGGACCACCTCCCGCTGGTGCTCCTCCTCCCGGTATAATACTGCTGCACTGGGGGGGCCAGGACATTTCCACGACCGGAGGGTGCTGGAGCACGTTGCCGCTTGCCTGCGCGACGGGAAGCGACTCTTCTTTGATGTGCCTTGCATCCCACCCAAAGGCGGGATGGATCGTGTTGCCGCATGCAAGCGCGGAGACAGTACTTCGATGCCGATGCAGAGTTTGCAGATGCGGCGCGGCGGCCATGGGCGGAGTGTAGATTTGCGTCATTGCTTCCCCGGAGGGTGCAAATGCACCCGTCACCCCCGTTGTGCCCAACTGGCCCGGAACGGGCACACGACTGGTGGACCGGTCCTGTCGAAACACATAACTTTGTGGCCTTCGTCCGGAGTGGGCGAGATCCGAAAAAGCATTGAGAGAAGGCACGGATTCGTTTTTAATGTTACTCGCATGCTCCTGCCCGCCGCCGCTACAAACTTGCGAGGCTAACGCAGCGCTCACCATGGGCTGGCCGGAGAGACGACTCGCCGAAGACACTAGGTCGGTGCCGCTACTTTCCAGCATCACCGGGCCGGGTGTATTTGCGCCTTTACCGGCAGACACCAATGAATCTGTTGGCACAAATTTTTTGGCCAGCGATTGCTGCGGAGGGAGATGCGCAGCTCCCGGTACTCGGGCCTCTTGGTCTGCACCTAGAAGAGGCGGCGCTCCTACGCAGCCTTGATATGGGAACTTCCCCGAGTCGTCCCGTTGCGCGTTAAAATCACCCTGCCGCCCCGGCTGCGAGTTCATTGTCGATAGCACGGGCCAAGTAATGGCGGCGGCATCATGATACGGTGGAGTAGTCAGGGTCTGGATTGCGTCCGAAGATGAGGCTACTGCCCCTGATACAGCGACCGCACTGTTTTTGTTTGCAACGACTCCTGGGCCGCGGTGGTGGAATACATTAGAAATAGAACAAGTCGCGGAGGTAATACTGTTGTTGATACCGCGCATTGTGTGATGTTGCTCGTAGAAAACCGGGTGCCCTGCTGCGGCCCCTCCAGCAAAACCGCCGGGGGTGGTGTTCAGAGTGCTGGCCGGCCCTCCCATCGGGGCTGCAAGGTGGCCACTTGTTCCGAGGTTTCCCATAGCTCGCCGATCCAATGTTTCTGTGCTGAACAGCGGGTCCGTGTCGCGCAAATGGTCGATTCGCTTCCGCGCATCCACCGCGAACCGCGCAATTGCCTGCGCGTGGTGGTCGTCTTCGTCGGGGATGCCCGCGGCCGCGATGTAGTAGACGCCGCTCGTCTGCACCCGGTCGATACCGTGTGTCTCGGTAATCAGGTCGAGCAACGAGAACACTTTGTCCAGGGCCTGCACGGCCTCTCGCGGCTGTTCCTGCTGCCACTTGTCACAGATGCAAACCTGCACCACGCAAACAGACACGCAGCGGTACTGCCGTGCGCGGGTGAATTGCCGCTCGTTGTCGAGCAACGCTGGGTTTTTCAACACATAGCGGTTCTGCTTTATACTCTCGTGCAGGTCCAGTCCGTGGGTGCTACTCACACTGGATGAGGTCGTCGAGGCGGATGATGTGCTCCTCGCACTCCCTCTTCTCCTCCGACGACTGGCACTCCCAGCACCACGTTGACCCCGCTGATCAGACTCTACATCTGATGTTGAAAATGTTCTTGATCCACCACTACCAGTAGCGGAACTACGCGCGCAAATCGGGGAGGAGCTGCTGGAAGACGTCGAAAGCTCGTTGTCTTTTCCCTTTCGGAATAGCTTATCCAAGAAGCCGGCGCAGGACTTCGACTTCCTCCCGTCACGCCGCGGATGACGTGATAAGTGTTGTTCTCGATGATGTAGTTGACCACGACCTCTTTCCTTTCGCCCACTTCTCGGCATCCTTTCCTGTCTTCTGCGGTTCTTCTGCCGCTCTAGCCTACTCCTTCTTCTACATGTTGGTGTCTTCATAGTACCCTCCAGTGTGCACGAGCTAGTACATGTCTGGTCTGCACCAGCATCGTCCCCGTCTTCGCTTCCGTAGAGGCTGGTGTCCCCGTCGACATCACGATCGTCGTCCCAAGGGCGTGACAATCCATCATCGCTCCCGGAAGAGGGGCTTCTGCTAGTCGAGTCGCGAAAGAACAAGTTCCGACGAGGACTTTCGTTGCGAGGAGGGCGAGCATCCCCAATGTTCACCACGTGATCTTCATTCTGCTGGAGGTCTCTCGTCCCCGCGCGACTTGCGCTACGACCGGAATGTTGACTCGTTGTTCCGTCGCAACTTCGGGAATTATTGCGGAGAAGTCGTCTCTCATCCGGGGAGGGAGACAAAAAGCCAAACGAATCTGGCACCTCAATCACGTTTTTGATGTTGTCAGGAGTGTATTTATCATCACGATCTTCCTTTCGCGATCTTTGTTCGTCGACACTGCTACCACACGAACTAAGACTTCGCCCCACCCTTCGGGAGATAATCATGCCACCTCGAACCGGGTCCGGCCGACAAACGTATTCGCTGCGCAGCGACACCATCTCGATCGCGCCTGACGAAGAACCCGTGTCGCCACGGGGCGTGGTACGTGGGGCCGCCGGGCGTGGCGTGTTGTAAGAACGGGAGGAATTGTAGTCATTTTCTTCATCTCTCCGTCCACCCGCCCCGAAGTAGAGATTACAACTAGCCCGCGTCTTTTCTTGCTCGCGGACAAGGCGCCGGTCCTGCTCCCTTGTTCTCAGAAAAGCCTCCATTCGCTTCTGGTCTTCAAAGATCTGCGTGCTGCATCCCCCGGGCAGGCAAGCCCGGATCTCCCGCCGGTAGTGCTCGATTTCTCGTTGCAGCCGCAGTCTCGCGGCCTGGGAGTATCTCGGATCGAGGCCGCGATCAGATGAAAATTCGTTTCTTATTTCCTGATGCGGAGTTGTTGGAAGTAGATCGTCGGAGTCGTCGTCTGTTGAAAAGTCAAGTTTGCGCTTGTTCCCAGTTGTAGCTCTTGCGAAACCAGCACAGTTCGAGGACCTTTCGGTGTTGTACTGACGCGCACGAGCAGTGGGTCGTCGGCAACGCGGGCGAGGGGAAAAGAAATAAAGGTCGTCGGGGTGCGATCTTCTCCTGCTGCAGAAGGTGTTGGCGTGCAACAAGGACGAGAATGTGTCAGAATTTCCATCCTCGCTCCGCCCGACATCTTCAAGAACAACTTCTCGATACAATAAATCATCTTCCTCTACATAAGGGCGAATCAGGACCCGATCGCGCTTCTGTTCCAGTGCGCCGCCAAAATAAAAATGGCTTTTATGTAGCTTCTGTGGGTCCACCTCGCGATTGGAACAATCATAATTGCCGGATGATGTGCTATGCGCGGTCAGACCTCCGAGCCCGGCTTCTTCCTCCATCACCACCTCCTTGTAGATCTCGTCGGCCATGGCCTTCGGCACCAAGTTCTGAATGATTTGATCGCCAATCTCCCGCTCCTGCTGCAGCTGGTGCGAATTCAAAAAATCCTTCCGCAACAGGATTTCCCGGGAGTAGACGAAGAGGAGGAGCAGCGACATGATGACGAAAAAGAGCAAGAAGTCGATGATGGGCAAAAACACCCAGAACAGGGGTTTGTCCAGCGGAAAGATGAACGCCCCCGATTGCCGCGGGTACCCGAACAAGGTGATCAGTTCCTTCTCCATCACCTCCCGGTCGTTCATCGCGATGAAGGGGAGCAGGCTCTCGCTAATCACTGCCCAGCTCTTGGCCGAGTGGTAGTAGCACAGGTAGTATCAACCGTAAAAGTGTCTGGGTCTGGAAGAATTCATGTTTGTCATGCTTGTCTGGCATGACTCTCAAATCTGTCATGCACGTTACCCAAGAGCTCCGCTTTTCTGTGATGCAGAAGCGCAGTTTGTCATGCAGAATAGGCAACACCTAGGAGCTCAGAAACTTGTCATGCTAAGCCAGCACCTGTAGCCTCATCTTGAGACGCCACCCAGCCTCACAAGTTTCCAGACCCAGACATTTTTACTTTTGATAGGTAGAGGCAGGAGTACCCCGGGATGACATCAAATGTAAAAGCGTCTGGGTCTGGAAGAATGCAAGTCTGTGTCTGTCATGCTTGTCTGGCATGACTCGAGAATTTGTGTTGCATAGGCACGAAAAAGCCCTCTGGCCTGTCATGCAAAAACGCAGTTTGCCATGCGGAATACGTAAGACATGGCAACCGAAAAATTTGTCATGCACAGCTGCGTACTCCAGTGCGTCTATCATTCACTTTTAGCATCACAAGTTTCCAGACCCAGACATTTTTGCAATCCATAGATGAACACGAGAAACAAGAAATACACAAACCGCAAGCGGAAGACGAACAGCGCCAGCATGTAGAAAATGATCAGGTTCCAGGTCGTCTGCAGCGGGAGCCGCACGCTGTTCGGGGTGTGGTCCCACTCGTCCTCCTCGCTCGTGTTCTCCGCGACAATGTTCAGATTGGTGGAGATCCCCGTGTGATCAACTGCAAGGCGATGTCTGGCTTTGGACGAAAGTTGTCATGCTTCTAACGCATGGATGATGAGCAGAGAGCACAATGGTAGACGGGCCGAGTCGTGCGAGAACAAATTCTTATTCGAAAGCTCTGTGTATTCGGTATTATTCCGCATGAGAAGTCAGAGTCACATTTTTTTTGCAAAACATAATAAAAGCCGCTTTTATTATGTTTTGCAAAAAACGAAAAATAGCGATGCTGCTTCACGCAAGTTGCATCCCAAACTCTACAGGAGCCATGTGGTCAGCGTCAGAGGACAAGTACTTAATACAAGTGTAGTTACCGCGAGAATCTTCGTCCAGACCCAGAGATTATGTTTGCAGTGCATACGTGCGGGCCTCCCACTCGTCCCTCTTTCGGTGGTAGTTTGGCAGGTAACAGGGCAAAACAAAAACGATAACCCAATTCAGATAGCAGTGATCCAGTATCAACTGTAAAAATGTCTGCGTCTGGAAACTTGTGATGCTGTGTGGCGTATCATGAGGAGACGACAATTGCTGGCTCAGCATGACAAGTTTCTGAGCATCTAGGTGTTGCCTATTCTGCATGACAAACTACGTTTCTGCATGACAGAAAAGTGGGGCTCTTTGGTAATGTGCATGACAGATTTAAGAGTCATGCCAGACAAGCATGACAAACTTGCATTCTTCCAGACCCAGACATTTTTACATTTGATATCCAGGAGGCAGAGAAGCGACCCCAGCAGTTGGTAGTGCTGCAGGAAAAACTCCCGACACCCGAGCAGCAACAGAAACCACTGCAGCATGTAGACGGGCGCGAGCCAGTTGATCGCGGAACAGATGAAGCCGTGCTCCAAGCACTGGAAAAAGGAGAACAGCAGTAAGACGCCGCCGATGCAGCACTGGAAATCCTCCGTGATCCCCTTGTTGCGGTGCATGTAGTCGAAGCAGAACGACTCTTCCATGATATCGTCCTTTTGCGACAGAAAGCCGCCGGTCGGGGCCCCCACCCCAGCCATCTGGTGCTCCATCCACCCTTGCAGCGTCATGGGATCCTTCTGCACGGGCACGCCGCACTCCTTTCCCTTGCCCCGCTTCAGTTTCTTCGTGCGCTTCCGACGCCTCCGCTTTTTTTTCTTCTGACCCGCTGGCGGTTCTTGCTGGTGCTGCTGCAAAACACCACCTTGTTGCGCGTTCATTGCGGACGTCGCGCTTGCAGTTGCGGTTGCGGATTCGGTTGCCCTGCCGGGGGCGGCATTTGTTCTGTTCTTCGCTGATTGATGGTGGTTGGCCATGTGGTCGTCCCTGTTGTGACGCAGAGTCGGGCTCCTGATCGGGTGTGTCGGCGTTGCAGTTACACCGGTGGTCGTATCATGGTGCGCAGGGGACCGCGATTGGTCGCGCGGCTGCTCTCGCACGATCGTTCCGTTCACAATCTTGCAGGACGGTTGTGGTGCGCAAGACCGGGGCTGGATTTTTTCGCTCGCACAGGGGTCCACCTCTTCCTCTTCCTCGTCGGTTACCCACTCAGAGTACTCTTCACTCGAAGAACTCGAGTTGTCCACTGCGGCGGCCGCGGCACTGCGGCCGCCCAGTGCCAGAGAACTTTTCCGTCCACTTTTTCGGTGTTTCTTTTGTAGCTTCTTCAATTTCTCTTCCGTAATTTCGCCAGGCTTCTCCCAGGCGTTTCGCGGGCTCCGGGGCTTGCTGTCTGTTTTCACCTTCTCCTCGTCCGTCGTCGATTCGAGCTCCTCCAGTTCTTTCAGCCGAAGCTGCGCTAGCTCCTGATCTTTGCGAGCGTTCGCGAACTCCAGGCTCACAAAATGCATCGGGCGTCCGTACTTCTGCCACAGCGCGCGCCGTCGTGTGCGTTGCGCCAGCGATTCGTGCCCGTATCGGTCTTCTGCTTGAAGATGGCTGCCATGTCCTCGCGTTATTCCGCCTGAGCGGAAGTAGTCTGCCCAACACGAACCTGTTGACCCATAATCTGCAGAATCCGCTCCTACCTTGTTTTTATTCCTTCTATGAGGAGGACAACGTACCCAAGAGGCAACTCACCCATGGGGGATCAAAAAAAAAGTTTCAATTAGTGCCGGACTGGCCGGCAAAATACCTATATAAAATAGTTAATTGCAATAGCTAGGTGATTAAGTAGTTAGATAAGACGTTTTTTAGGGGTTGTAGGGTGCTAGATCGCCAAGTCCAGCTCCACGGATTCGCCTCGGAACCCTAGCAAAAAACCGAGGAAGCGCCCCATGGTGTGGCGTCTGTCTACTGCCCGCGCTTTCCATTGTGCGTGGCCTGTGGGAGATTTGGCGCAGCTAGCCGCATCCAGCGGATGGCTGACGACAAGCCGGCACGGTAGACACAAAAAGCCGCGCGCCCTGGTTATGAGAGAAGGCGGAGCAGCGTGCCATCGGCTGCCGAGGGGGGTTTCGCCAAAAAGCACCCGCAAGCCAAGTGCAACATGGCCCGCAGGCCGCGGCCTGCAGGGCCGCAGGCGAGAGGCGGGGGCGCGAGGGGGGGCCGCGGGAGGGGGTCCACACAGGGCCTCCCATAGGGCATATTTTTACCCCTAGCCCCGACGCTGTGGTCGTTTTGTCCCTTGCCAAAAAGGGGGCATCTCGGAGGGGCATCGCGGACGGGGATCCCGGACTCTCGTGTTGTCCTTTGTGAGGTCAATCTGCCCAGGTAGGAACACAACGAAGCCGGGGCACTTTGGGTAGCCTCACAAAATGGCTCCCAAGCTCGGCGGAAAGTGGCAGCAAGGCACAAACAAAACACAGAAAACGGCGGCAAGGTGCGACACGGCCGTCGCAACTACGTCGTCCTGCTGCCTTGCCACAGAAGGCTGGCCGCCGATCCTCTGCCCCCTGCGAACCTTCGTGCCCTATCTGCGCCAGGCCCTCGTGTGCAGTATCCCGGCGCCCCTGCGTGGAGACAACCGAGGCGAAGCCGTGGAGCTGGATATCGGCGATCTAGCACCCTACAACCCTTTGAAAGCGTCTACTTTACATAGCTAATTCACATAAGGCAAGCTAGTGTATTTTAACTAGCGAAATTACTTATGTTCAATTCGTTTACTGTGAAAAAAAAAAAAATTATCCCCTTGGGTGCGTTGCCTGTTGGGCACGTTGTCCTCCTCATACCTTCCTTCGCCTGTGTATAATGTCTCCACAGGTTCGCGAAAGATATTTCTGTTCCTCTCACCTTCTTGCTCTATGCCGTATCCACGAAAACAGGCACGGAAAAAACTCCTCAGACAGTTAAAAACTGGCATCCGGCTGCATGTTCCACCTCCCTGCGAATTGGGCCGCCGCTTCTCCGCCATTCTTGTCGTACTGTGCTCATAGTGTCGGAGGTTGCTCTGATTGAGTGCGCCACGGCTTTGGATTTTCACCGTCCCTCCGAGCGACACGCCTCTTCGTTGTCGGGCATAAAAATCTTGATAGTACGAAGCATTGTGTTCGTTTCTTCTCGACGCACTGCACAACGAAGGACAGCAGCGTAGGAAGTTGTAGTGGAATAGCGGAAGTCCCTTCTTCCGTCGCTTGGCTTTTGTTGTTCGGCGCGCCCGCCGCCCGTCCCGGCACCCACACCGCGTGCTCCGGCACCAATGCAGAAAGACAATCAGGAACGATGGCCACCTCCGCGGGTTGAAACGACGCTGGCACTTCTGAAACCAGCGCCGGTGCTCCTCTCTCTGTGCGCGGGCCCCCGCATCTCCCCGGGCAGCCGAAAGTGTCGCTTTGTGTCTTCTCTTCTTCAATGTCAATATGCAATTTACAAATCAAGCACCCCCACCCACAGATCGTCAGTACGCAAGACGTGGTGCAACCACGAATCGGCCTCTGTAAAAATGCGACAACGGCAAAACCTTCTCGGATAGATAGGACAAAAGGCCCAGGTTTTTAAGCCAGTTAATTTTTGTTGCTGCATCAATCGATGATCCTGTCCATAAATATCTCGTCAGTGAACCATGATACATTTGATGGCGAGGGCACAAGGTCATTCTATACTCTTCCGCACGCTTCTCGTAATTTCATCTCGTGTCCTCGGCGAATCGTGCCTCAGGCGGTGGTGGTTCGCGTCAAAATTGCGCCCCCACACCCGCCCACGATTCGAACGGTGTCGTCCGCGATCGTGAAAGTTAGGCTCTTCGTCCGTACAACTCGCGTGCTGCTGCTGCTGCTGCTGCTGCCGTGCTACAGGGGTAACGATGCGATGTGCGGGAGTTACTAACGTGCCGCGGCGGTAATCGTGCCGCTGCTGGCTGCCTGGTTCCGTGCGGTCGCGCACCGGCTTTTTCTGCAATGCCGGAGCCACACCGTGGCCCTTCTTGAGCATCATCTTCTATCTTGTTTGAGGGACGCGGCCGCTCGCCCCCTGCATGGAAATTGTCGTCGCGTGGCGACGGACAACTACCTTTTCTTCGGTCGACGTCGACAATCTTTCCTCATCCTCGCTCTCGTTCGCTGCAAAAGATAAAGAGGTCGTCATCCTTATCACGAAGATAAGAGCGCTCGCAATCGAAACCGCCTCCCGGCTCGGCGTGGCCGTTGCCTTTGCCGGCAAGTTTTTCTCCTGCCTCACACGACAATGTACATCTTCTGCAACGACATTCTCCATCTTCGTTCATCCACCGTTGACGATCATAAGCGGAAACAAACTTCTTGAGCTTTCCAGCAGGTGAAGGTCACCTTCGGTGGAAAGCGAAGGTCCCCTAGCCCTACACCTTCGGTGCTGCACTATCATACTTAAAATACTACATATTCGCGATTAGAAGACTTTGCACATCACTTAGATCGCTACAGAACCTTCAAAAATGCATAGTGCCTACGCCTCTAGCAGAAGAAGAAAAATTTTCTCCCGAGTCGCAGTTGTCTCCAAAAGTGGCTCTTGATTTTGATCGCTACTCTCTCACATTAGTATTGGAACCATTGAGCCATTTCTTTGCGCTTCAACGACTTCAAGCACCAACCGATCTTCAGATCATCTTCGACGACTCTACAGGCAAAAACCACGACCCAATCCATTGGCGATCGAACGAGAAAAAAAGACATGCAAGCAAAAGATTCGCACGCGCGCTGCAAAACGATACCTGCATGCAGCATCAAATAAAATGAAATGTTGGTGATACAGCTGCTCCTCGCGGCACCACAGCAAAACCGACAATTTTCTTTCGGTGGGTCGGTGGATTTTCACGAAAAAAAAATTTTTGCCGTTGCACGACGAGGGGCAGTCGTACAATACAAGTCTTTTTGCCCCTCATTTTCCTGGTCCCTCTTGTCTCACCGGCGCGCAGCGTCTACTAGCTGTGGGATCTTCTACACCGCTCTCGTTCGTGTGAGCGACGCTTTTATCGGCGCAGGTCGTAAATCAATGTCGTGGTCTAAAGACCTGTCAGTCATGATCCAGTCTTCATCCATTCTGAGACGCCAAGTCCTAGGAGAACACAACGAGAAATCCCAGAAATGACAGATATTTTGCAGCAGTACGCAGCCTTAAGTGGACGAAGTCCCGGACTGCTAAGCAATAATCCATTGGGCTACTTCTGCTGGGAAAGACATTTTATCTTCCCAAAAATTCTATTCATATGTCACCCGTGAGGTTCTTTGATATGCTCTCAAATCCCACTTGTCTACGGCAGCAGGTCATAGCAGTCGTACTGAGTTTCTCAATCTTCGAAAGGAGGTTCGCAGCAAGCAGCAAAGCGGAATCTCGTCCGAGCATTGATCATTTATATGTAGTAGATTTACTAATCCTAGCGTGAAAACCAATCCACGAAAATTTCCCAAAAACACTTCTCATGAAAAATGTCGCCGGACAAAATAACAGGCTTCGCTTATCATGGCCACGACCAGCGCTTCCCGTCGTGCATCGAAGAACGAAGGTGGTTTGATGAAATCTGTGTCGCTATGATGTTTGCTCGACCGGCGGTGGCGGCGGCGGTTGCGCCGCGTCGCCTGCTGCAGCCGGGTTGCCGGCCATCGCCATGGGATTCATTCCGCTTTGCATCATTTGCTGCATCAGCTGCTGCTGTTGCATCATCATCTGCTGCATCATTTGCTGCTGCTGCGGGTCCAGGTTCTGCATTTGTGCGGCCATCATCATCGGGTTCCACGTATGCCAGAGAAAAAAGCCAGCATGGCATATTTGAAAAAAAAGGAAAACAAAGAGCGACAATACACAGGCAACATTTTTCGAGGCCCCGCCCAACATAGGAAGCTGTTTAGAATGAAGGCTATGGTGCAAGACAAACTGAAACTTATTGCCATGCCCATGTGTATATTTTTGCATGATCATTATCAAACATGGCAGGCTCGCTTTATTCTTTTCTGGGATACATAGCGCCCGGCTGCATGCCAGGAGGCCCCGGTTGTCCCCCTGCCATCGGGTTATTATTCATGTTCATGCCGGGCCCGCCAGGTCCCATGCCGGGGGCGCCCATCATCCCGCCACCACCTCCCATGGGTCCCCCCATGCCGCCGCCGCCACCGTGCCCTTGCGGAACCATATTTGGGTTGTTTGGGTCGCCATACTTTCCGCCGTAATTGTTGCCGTCCTTACTGTTGTTCCAACCGCCCTTTCCGCCGTCATTTTGGTTGTAGTTATTGCTCCAGCCTCCTTTGTTGTAGCCCTTGTTAAAGCTTTTACCCTGCGAAAAGAAGAATGAATATGAATTTTTTTTTCAGTGTCTCCTTTTCCACAACGACGAACGAATCGCGTGTCTGCGTGTCTTTTCCAACTTCATTTCATGAGGTCTAGTACTTTCATTTTGTCCAAACGTACTTACATTGTGTGTAAGTGTATTGAAAACTGTAATATATAACTTCTGGTAGTGGTGCCCAACATCTCCTACAAAAACTACTGATAGGTCGCGTTTGGAAGTAAGTACCTTTCCCTTGCCGCCATCGAACTTTCCTCCGCCTTTACTCATGTCGCGCATCTGCTCGCACTCTTTGACTCGCTCTTCGACAATCTTCGCGGCCACGGCCACCTGGTCGGGTGCGCCGGGTCCGACCTTCAACTTGCCGCAATTCACGGTCGGGTCGCGAGAGGGGTTCTGCGAAATAGACACCGACATCTGCGGTATCCCGGAAGCTGCAAAAGACGCTTTTAACCTTTCAATGCCACTCCCCTGCGATCCGATCATCTGCAATGGTTTTTGATGCGAGAATTTTCTGTATGCTGGTACAGTTTCGGTTTCCTATGATCTTCACGAAAAATAACATTAAGAGAATGAATACTCCCAGCCACAGAAAAATATTTTCGCGGCCGAAAGCAGCACCATGAGCGACGCCCATGACGCTTTCGCTTGCGAATGAACAACGCGGAACATGGGGTGATCTTTAGCTCATCGATAAAATGCGAATACCGCGCCCATCAGCTCTTTCGGCACTTCGACCTCGGCCACTTCCATGCCCGGAGGGCAGTAATCGCCCGCGCCGCTGTTGTATCCACCTTTCTTCCCGCCCTCGCCGCCACTGTATCCGCCTGCGCCCTTGTGTGACGCGGCGCCCGGGTCACCGCCGGCTGCCATCTGCTGAAAAGTAAGCGGGTTGGTCCGCGGCCGCTGCCCGAGCAGCTCCTCTGATTTCATCTGAATCAGTTCCTCGCACTTCGCAATAATGTCTGGCGGCGCGGGACCCACACGGAGCACGCCCTGCGGTCGTAATCGTATGGAGTTTTTTTATCAAGTAAGCACCCAAGCTTGCGTGGTGAGAGAGGTAGAGCCACCATCATTATTTTTGGAAGTATCCACAACAGCTTTCGATACCAGAACACACGAGAAGCGCTTCGAATGCGGTGCGCGGTTCTGATCATCAAGAAATATGAAAATGAATATCTACTTTGATCGCCACAAATAAAACATAGATACTTCTGACGCCGTCCCCACTTTGGGCTGCGAGGCAATTTCGATGCGGACTTTGGCCGCTTTTCGGATTTGTGCGAGCGTGCTTTGTCTTGGGCCGATAATTCCGCCCATCAAGGTCGCTGGAATGGTGAGTTCTTTTACTATGCCGCCCGGGTATGCCGGCCCCAGGTCCTGAAGTTCGGCCAATTGCGCTGCTGCGTCAATCTCCTTCGCGACGATGGCAACATACTCTCCCCTCTCGTCAAGCATGGTTGGTGGTATGTTCGCGGGTACGCCGGTCGCCTGTGCCTGCGCTTGTCCTGCAGAAGTTGTATTTTTAAGGTGGTCTTATTTTTTGACCAATGACTTGCAATTTGGGTTTATTGCTTGCATATACCGTACAAATACTTCATTTACCTGACCACGTGTGTGTCCTAAGCGCATTATTTCATCCTTTCTGCAATCACACTGATTCACAGCAGGTTCTCAACGAACAAGCAGAAAAGCTAGCAGCAACACCAAATCACATCAGCAGACAAGGCTGCATTTTTACAAGCTTCAGTACCTCTGGCAACGTAGTCGAGAAGTTTTTCGTTGACGAGCGTAACGCATTGATCGACACTCTCTAATGCGCCAGGACCTATCTGCAGTTTTCCAAAGGGCATCTGCGGGTTGCTTATTACCTGTGAACAATGAAGCATATTGTTATTGCGTATTGAAGATACCTGCCCGCAGGCGCTAGAGCACAAGCGAAAAATGGGATGGAAACAACATCATTCGAGTGGTCCGCTAATTTTGCTTTCCCGACTGTAATTATCTTCCATCGCGATTGACAACCAGCAACCACACTAAGAATGATTTGCAAAAGTACAGAAGCAGAGCCCGAAAGTGAGTCATACCTGCACGTGAACGCCTGTCGCTTGTCTGAATGTAGAAATTGTGGCTCCTTTTGGTCCTATTACGTGGCCCATCACAGCAGAGGGTATTTCCATTTCTTTGCTGATTCCGCTATTTGGCTTGCTATGTCCGCCTCCAGAAACACCCGCACGAAGTTGCTGTTGTGTATGAAGAAAGAAAAATTGACTCTTTTTAGCAGGAATTTTCGCACAAGCTACCAAAACTGTCTTATGCATTCATTGAGCATGTGGTCTGCGGGTGGTGGTCGACTTCTGCACACTCCCATCAGCTACAAATGTTTCGAAACATTCTAGAAGCCTTCAACAAGAATGGAGAGATGGCCAACAAGGACCACGACCAGCGCAACCCTGGCTGAGACTGGTCGTGACAGCATTAAGTTTATTGCATAGCACCAGAAACAAGTTCACACTGAAGTTGTACCTGTGGCGTTTGGGAAACCCCTCCGGAAGGTACTGAACCATACTGAGGCGCAGCCTTGAAGGTGTCGGTGACCCAATCCGGCACCTCGGCCGCAGCTTGATCGACGTTGTTCTCCTCGTCAGCATCGGCCCACTTGCTCTTTCTGGTTCGCCGCCGACTGCGGCTCCTTTTTCTGCTGTTTTCTTCCATCTCAACAACGGTGTTCGTTGTTGATTGATTTCTTTTTTTTGTTTGAAAAAGATGATGACTGTTTGATTCAAAATTATATTACTCGAGGACTTTTATTGTTGAAAGGATTTTATTTCCTTAGGTTTGGAAAGTGAATCTCTTATTTTTTCCGCATTCAGATGTTGAAAATGGAGGAAGCGACCGGAACTCTTGGATTGTGTCCGATTTGATCCGAGGTAACTTCAAAAACGACAAAGCCCAACATAGAGGAGGACTTCTGAACGTAAGTTAGTGATTCGTCACTTGTTTGGGGGAGTAAAACTCCTGTTCTCAATAGTGAATGGGGGAGATGGTATTGTGGGAAATCAGCTATATTCTTTTTCGTCAGCAACTTCTGCTTTAGTTTGTTTCGTTTCTGCTCGTCACGACACCTTCTTTCATCTTTTTTTTCATAATTCAACAGATAGATTGACACGACAGACAGTCTCCGGGATTCGCCTTCTTTTTGATGGGGAAAATAAAATCAACTTTGTCCAGGCTGTGCCGCAGCTTTATTTTCGCGATTTGTCAATAGAGCGTGCGAGCTATCATAATAGAAAAATGCTGACCCACATTTTCATTTCGGTTCTTGTCTAGAAGTGCAGGCTGCAAAATCATCTTTTGCAATATATTTTTGAACCGAAGATCGAAAAAAGAAACCACGACGATTTTGCAAAAAAAAAATTGTGCGCTCTGAGTGTCCGTGAAAAAATCTACATCATGTTATTGTAGTCGGCGTCTGCCTTCTTTGAAGAAGGTGGCACACACATCAAGATACGCCATCTGCATATCTTGTGGAGGTAATAAATCTAAATTATCCATACAGCAGCACTAGCGAATCTTCTTGTGGGCTGCAAACTAGATGAGCCGTCCAGTGCGATTTCGTTTCTCTCTTACGTATAATGGAGCTGAGATTTTTTTGGATCCAAATTTAACATATGTATTTTGCGCGATAGCGCTCTTCCATACTCAATTCTAGAACAGGTGGCGTGAAAGGAACTTCTTCAGCGCGGTACGGTTAGTTGTACTTAACTTTAGCATCCGGATCGATTTTTGCGTGCAAAATTGCCTTGTCCGTGTGCCTAAACTAAATTGCGCCAAAAAGAAAGGGACGGAACTACTGCCGTGGCAGTGGCCACGCAATTATTTCGAAAGTACAACTTAGAACAGCTGCGCACTCGTGTTGATTCCTTGCGCAACCGAGTCAAGCACTTCTGCGCAAGCGGGCGACCTGCCCACGCAAAGCCGCCCATGAGTTTGATTCAGGTATGCCGTTGTAGTGTACATGATTCGCCGACACGACATAGACGTAGCATCTTTATCTTCTACCAAAATGCATGAAACAGTAATAATGACAAGAGCGAAAGATTCTGAATCCTCGCTTGTTTATTTTACATGTGAGGCAACGGCAGAAAAAAATCACATCGACCTTTCGTGTTCAAAAATCCTAGAAAACTGCATGCATGACAACGTCATACTCTGTCGTTCTTCTGCTATTCAATTCTTAGTCACTATACACTTTCAGAAAAACGCAGTATAATTTTCATATCGCCAGGTTCGTTTCAAATAGGTGAATGATGGATAAACTTAAAGTTCGCTATGCCAGAAGAAAGAAAAATTATCGTGAAACAAGTAAAACGTCAAGATTTAGTGGCTAGTCGCACAGGTTGACATAAGATAGTCGATAGTAGTAGGAACAATAATATAAAATCATGACCGGATCGAACCCCGGCGTGTTCTTGTCTTGGTGCCCATTATTAACGCGTGGGACTTACGTCTTCTTGCACGCCGGGCTCGAGAAACGACGAAGCTCGCGTCTGGACCGCTTGTCTCTTCCCTTGCTCCTTTAGTTCGGTTTGATAGTCGGCTACTTTTGCTACTTGATCCGGAAAAAACCGCCGCGCCGCCTCCCTGCCCAAATTGTGTCGTCCGGTCTTCATCCCTGACCACCCAAGGACTCTTAGTTCTCGACTCAGGCCATTTCGCCACATGTTGATCCCGCGCTCCACGACTGCTGCTTTTCGTAACACCTCCTCCTTCCGGGCATCTGGGGCCCGCCAGCAGTGCGATCCGCCGAACACCGAGCCACTGGCATCGAGGAGAAAGACTGGGGAGCCGATATCCAACTGCACCCCTGCGTCCTCCTTGCCGGCAACGCACGACCGCACACCCATGCTCGTCTCCCCGGGTGCTTGTGCGACGGAGAGCAGGGACGCAAACCGCGCCGCTTCCTCGTTCGTAACAAACACGAAGACGTACTCAGTTTGTGGTGAAGAATCTAAATTCAGCAGTTGCTTCTCTTGAAGAAACGACGGCGCTTGTTGTATCGCGGCCAGTCTTTGCCGCTCCACTGCAGCGGCGGCCGACCTGGCCACCGCTGTCTCACCATCGGACTTGACATTCATCGAGGTTGTTGCAATCTCGGTTGTAGTAGCCATTTCAGTAGTGAAAGACGCATCAGATGCGGCCATACCATTACCGGTGGTCCCCTCCGCATCCTCCAGAAACGCCAGCTGCTCTTTGCTGTGCTCTAGTACTGAAGCCACATCCTCATTCATCTGCTCTTCGGGTCGTGCCACTAGCACTGCCTCCCCTGTATCAGACAGCGCTACCGCGGACGTCCCCTCACTCGTCTTTACGTTTGGGTTCGGTTCCCTTGGCGCGAGGAACTTCTTCGAGGGATCATGCGGGACCTTTCCGATATCTGCAATCATGTCGCCAAATGCGGACGCAAACTGTTGCAAGAAGCTAGAAAAAGAAAATCCACTGCTAGGCGTCGCACTTCCATCCCCCACAACAAGTGTGTCGCTTGCGTCTTGTTTTCCCTGACGGTGTTCACTCGTTGCTTGTTCACGACCTTCTACTTTCCCACTGCCCTCGATTATTTCGTCGCTGCTGTCGGAGTCGGACCGAGCTGCACTGTTCTGAGACTCTTGCATCAACTCATCAGATTTAGTTTCATACTGTAAAAGGGACCCCCTGTCTTCTTCTTCAGCTAATTTTGGGCTGTAGAAGTACTGCTCCGGGTGGTTCGTTGGTGCGCTCATGTGGACCCGGAGTGCGCGATCTTCTTGGAGAAACGACTTCAAGGCGCGGTCGGTACCGAAGTGCGCAGCAGCGGAGCTGCGCTCGCCGGCAGACTCGCTCTCGTCCTCGTCACCATGATCAACACCTTTCGGGAACTGAGTTTTTCCTGTGGTGAGTCCACCACCTTGGACAAAAGAGGAAGAGTGTGTTGCAATGCCCAATTCCGCTCCTCCGCGCGGAGGCATTTGAAGGAGTATCCCACGGGTAGGCAACTGCATTTTCGGCGAAAAAAACAATTTCTCCGGATCAATGCCGTCCCAGACGCTCGTGAGGTCATTGGAAACAAAGATCTGGTCGCCCCCCAACAGCAGGCCTTGTTGAATCGGCTGCTTCAGCCACTTCCACACGTCATCACCCTCGTCCCGTCCCTTTGCCAGCAACAGTTGTGCTGCGCTCCGTGCGTACTTTGGTAGGCTACTTGCGAGGCCTCGCAACAATTGCAGGCTGCTGCTTCTCGCTGCAGTAGCCCTCGCCCACGTCGCTTGGTGCGCTACCGCGTGCGTCCACGCGCTCGCTGCTAGCCCGTAGCTGATCGCGATCACGCCGGCCACAGCAGACACGTATCCACTGCAACTATGTCTAGGTCTGGAAACTTGTAATGCTAGGCTGTGAAAAATGAACGCTCTGCAATGCACAGCGAAGCATAAGAAATATTTGCCCAGCTACGTGACGCGCATCCCGCATGACGTTTTTGCATGACAAGCAAAATGGCCACTTCGTGGACACGACGCATCATACATACATAAGCTCTACAATAACAGTCATGACAAACCTAGCATTCTTCAAGAACCTGAAGACATCTTCTTTGCGTTTGATAACGAGGCACTCACCACCATCTCGGCACGTACGCTTCCCAGGGCACGTCGTTCCGGGTCCGTAGAAATTTGGGAGAGCTTCATCAGGTCCCCCTCCGCGCAAACGCCGTTAAACGGCATTTGAAACTCATCACGCCACATGTCGTGCACGGCCTCGCAATTCTTGAACCGGACTACGCCAAACCCGTGGGTCGGATTGGGCTTGATCTCGCCGTTCGACGTGTCCATCTCCTGCAAATATCACAAGGGAAAATCTCCTGAGACCCCCCCCCTACACAGTTCTATTCTCGAGCTGGACGATCATGATGCACTTGCAGAGATGGTAAGTCAGTAGCGCAGCAGGGTATTGTAAATTCAATAAGTTCTTGCACAACTACAGGCGGACGACCGGCCCGCACGTCCACCTCCTGGATACAAACTTTCTCTCTTGTAGTAGAAGCGCGCTATTTGTCTAGCATGCCAGCAGACGAGTTCTCGACGCCTGTAAATTCTCTTTATCCTAGGACTAGACTAGTAACTAGCAACAGAAACTAAAGTGCCCCTGCAATGAATGGGCCAGAAATAATGTCTCGCCGCATTTTTATTTTCTTACAAACATGGAACATGATTCGCGTGAGTGTGCCTGTGCCCAAATCACACAGAAGCAACTCTAGTTGTGTTGAGACGCGGCTTGGCGACGGGGATTTTTCCTCACGATATCTGCTGTTCTTGCTCCTGCTCTTGCTCCTGCTGTTGGTTTTGCTCCTGCTGTTGGTTTTGCTCCTGCTGTTGCTCGGCACTCGTCTCGGCGCCTTCGGTCGTGCCCGGAATATCGCTGCCTTGCCCGGTGGCCTCGCCCGGTGGCGTTACCGGGACGGGAAGTTTGGCCGGGAGCCGCTTCTCGGCGTGCCGCTCCGCGTGCTCCACGTACATCATCACGGCCCGATCCAGGGCGCGGAGCAGGCTTTCCGGAATGTAGGCGGCAAAGTTCCACTTCATGTTCTGCACGAAAGAGCTTGCGGCGCTGCGCACCACTTTCAGCGCGTCGGCAAATGTCGTGGGCCGCCCATGCTCCTCCCATAAGCCCTTCTCAAGCGTGACCACGAACCTCCGCGACTGCTCGTACAACGCCACAGCCACGTGGAGGGACGCGAAGGGAAGACCCTTACTGCTCAAGAATTCCTGCTTCTTCGTTCCTGCGGGGGCAGAAAAGGACGAGCCTCGGTCGCGCAAAATTCGGCTCACTTTCTTGAGGAAAATCCGGCCCAGAGACTTCAGCTGCATTCCGATGGCGGCAGGGAAATCCTTCCGTTCCGCCTCCTCTTCGTCAAACCAGGCATACGCCGTCACATCGCGCACTAAAAGGGAGCGTGCCGCGAACCAGGTGCTGTGGCGGGCCTGGTAATCAACAGCATCTCTCCACTTGTTTAACATGAAGTTCACAAAACCAAAGCTATTAGGGTCACCCTTACTCTCCTTGTCCAGCTCAAGCTCGATGCTTGAAAAAAAGTGGCGCTTGAGAGCAGCACACGCTCTGCCGTCCTTGTCGGTGTTCTCGCTACTTGTTGCTTCTCTTTCTTCAACACACGCACGGTAGTGGTCGTCCCGAAACTTGTAGATCTGCCGCGCGGACTCCGCGTCCAGGAAGATGGTCAAGTACTGCGTCTGTGGCAGCTTCATGAGACCCCGCATGCGCGCGTCTCCCTGGGCGGTTTGCTGGGCGTTCGTGACACCGAGCCGCAGGGCGCGGCTTCCGTCCGCGTGCGGCAGATCGGAACCCACCGTGTGTGGCTGGTCGAAGTAGTTAACGAGCGCCACTTTCAAATCCTCGACGCTTGCAAATCCAGCGGCCTCTGCAATTTTCACGTGCCGCGAACCAATTACGGGTACCGGTGGGGGCAGTTTTTTTGCATCACACTGCCGAGCAAGGAAGTCCGATTGTTGTTGTTCCGCCCCACCTCCCTTGGACAATGAATTTTGATTGAGTTGTAATACAGCCGGCGGAAAGAGCTTCTGAAACTCGTAAAGGAAAACGGCGCTTTCCCCCGGCTTCACGTCTACGTAAAACGCAATCCACGTTTTTTTCTCGTTGTACTTGTGCCAAACGTACAGCAGCCGGCAGGCCACCTCAAGCACGTTCATTCCGAGCGCCCCAAAGTACGCACCTGTGTCGATGACGGCGCTGAAATCTGCTGCCCTCACTGGAGCCACTTTTCCAAGTCCCGGAGTGTTTTCCGCCACGCTTGCAAACTTTTTCTGTTTCTTCCCGGTCACCGCATCCCGCTCGTAGTAGGGCAATTTTCCTAATACTGCTTTTTTGTACTTTGCCGCGTGGTCATCATCCTCGTCCACGCCTTCGAGTGCACCGAAAACTCGTTCTAGCACCAAATCGGGCAGCTTCCAAGCGACCGCGCCGGGCGCAGCCTTGTCGACAATCACCGTCGTGCGCCCGTTGTTCAGGATGTTGCGCAGATCGTCCGCGGTGTCATACTCATTCTCGTAGGTGACCAGGAGGCCGTTGGAAGTCGTGTCCCGACGCACGGGCTCCTGCCAACAGAGGGCCCAGGTCTCCTTGTTGAGCCGCGTGCCACTGTACCCAACGGTCGCCTGGGCGAAGTGCGCGAGGTCCATCGGGCTGGCCGCGGCTTGCACCGGGTACGTGGACAGCTGATTTTTGTCGTTGAACACGGCCTGTTCCAGGTACAGAAAGATCAGCTCCGCGGCTAACAGTTGTCGTTTTTCTTTCATTTTTTCATCTTGGCTACTAGCGCTCGTCCCGAGCCGCACGGACTCGACGGCGTTGCGCAGTGCCACGGTCGCCTCCACTTTGGGGAGCCTATTTCCTTCCTCGTCCTCGAAGTCCTCGTCCCACAGCTGCTCGGCGGCCGATCGCTCGTCGCGCGGCCGGGACTGGTAAAAAATTTCCCCCGACTGCAGCATTTTCAGCTCCTCGTCCAGCTGCTCTCTCAGCAAAGCGATATCGTTCTCTTCCAGAGTGGCAACTCCGCCCTCGTCGGATTGCGAAGCTGTCGTCTGCCCGCCGCGCGGCGTCAAACCAGCACCAAACCTCTCCCGGAGCAACAGGAGAAGCGCGCGCGTGATCGGGTGCACGATCGGGGCAAGGCGCGCGCGCGCTTCCTCGGAATAGGCCGCCAGATCGCGGGCCCGTTCGTCGACGTCGAAGGGGGTCGAGAGGAAGCTGAGGATGGCATAGAGGGCAAATGAGTGATCTTAGAGAGTGCTGCTACCCCTAAAGAAAATCGCAGCCTGTCATGCGGATTTGCTATTTCCTCCTGATTTGTCATGCAAAGAGCACACCAAAAGCAACGCCACTCCATGCGGTCCGGAATGATTTTTGGTGGGCGTTTTGCATCACAAAAAGAGCCATCTAGGCGAATCCGCATGACAGGCTGCCTTTTTTCTTAGGACTAGCAGCAGTCGGGAAGATCACTCATTTCCCCTCCATAGATGGTCTTGCTGATCGCCTCGAGCCCGTCCTTGAACAGCGAGCGCTCCGTATTGTGAGGAAAAATCTCCCCTCCCCATATTGAAAGCGCAGCAATCAAAAAATTTGCGATGCAGATTTGCGACCACAAATCGCGTCTGTCTTGCAAGAAGGCACGTTCAGGCTGTCCGGCACGTTATGCAGGAGGTTTGTAATGCTGTAGGGCCTACAGGGCAGCCGTCTACCATGCTAGGCGCCTACACCAAACGGCCCCAGCCTAGGCTTGCCATCTGCGTCCAGTGCTCTACTGCAACACAGATTTGATTTGTGTACTCAAATACAGCATCACAAGTTTCGTTTTCGATATGGGGAGGGGGGATTTTTCCTTTTGATACTCCGTCCGGCTACTCTCGGCCGGTGTTTCGGCCGCCTTGAACGGCATCGCAATCAGCAACGCCTTCCCCATCACGCGCGAAAACCCGAAGTGTACGTTGGTCGTCTTCGCAAGTGCCTCCCGCACCACACTCCCCAGCAGCGCCACCGCCGCCCCCACCCGCTCCCGCAGCTGTTTCAGGAGGCTCTGCTGCTGCTTCTGCGAAAGACCACTCGCTACACCAGCTGTGGTCTCCTGCTGGCCCCGTCCCGCGTTCAACGTTTCGAAAAAAAATTTGTGTCCAAGATGCTGTGTTGAACCGTCGGAGGCAACTTTTTGGCAGTCCTTTCTACTACGTGCTTGCTTTGCACCGCCGGCAGATTCGTCGTCTTGGAGCACCAACGCGAAGTAACATTGACACTCCCGCATAAACTCTGACGGAGCCCCCGCTGCTCCTGCTTCCGTCGGCGGCCGATACTGCTTCCACAGAATCTCCGCGCGTGCACAGACTTTGTCTGTGATGGTGCCGCCGAGCAGCTGTTTCAGTTCGTCCCGATTGACCTTCTGCGCGTGCTCGTTCGCTACGACAAGCGCCAGCAGGCTATTCTGCGCGAACCGAAACAAGTCCCGCCACACGTTAACCACTTCTTCGACCACGTAGGGGAGATAGGCCTGCTTTTCCCCGGTGGGCAGGTGCTGCAACAGCTTGGATCGGAGAATGGTGTCCCCCTCGTCAATCAGGACGACAAAATGCTTCGCGATCATTTCCGCGATTTGCCGCTGCACCTCCGCCTCCCGCCAGAGCAGCCCAACGCGCTTGCCAAGTTGGAAATGCTGCGCGAACTTCTCGTCCGCCTCCGTCCTCTGTTTCCCAGCCAGCGCGAATCAAAGAAAAAAGCACACTCATAAAAGAAAATCTGGGGCGCTGTTGAACTCGTGTCATATAATGCGGAGACCACAAAAGAGGCAGTCTCATGTCATGCAGAATGCAGTTTTTTTGTGCTGCGACTTGGCGAGTAGACAGGTCCTCGCGCTATATAAGCTTGTCCTCGCACTGTGTGGCCCTAAAATACGCAGTAGGAGTTCTTGGTATGTGTGTACTTACTTTTCTGCCGGATAGCGCGTCCAGCAGTTCTTGCGGAGCCTCTTCCGGGTCTAACTCTTCCAACGTTACGCCGGACGCGACAAACCTCCAGTTCTTAATCTCCACCTCCATCAAGAAGTCGTCCAATTCCTTGGATCCCCAGGCGTCAGCGGTGGATCGCACCTCCACAAAGCTGTTCGACTTTATCGTGGGAAAAAATCGTGTTTCCCTTTACTCAAAACGGGTGGAATCTGTGATGCTAATAAATTTGCGCCCACAACTAGCGTCTGTCGTGCAACAAGAAAAAAATGCCAGAGGTGTTCGCCGCATGGCGCGAACGATTTCTGATGCCGTTGCGCTTGAAACTTCATCGAGGCACACGCTCCTCTTCAGGATTGCAACCTACTGACTGTCTGCGATGGCTTACTGCAGGACAAACATGATTTGTGTACACAAAACCAGCGAACAGAAATTGCGTTTTGAATCAATATGGGGACAGGGGATTTTTCAGTTTAATAGACTCGCTGACCTCTTCCGACGCGCCGGACCCGGAAGACATCGGTCCCAGCGGCGCCTGCTCCAGAAAACTTGAGCTTCTGGCAGAGTGACTCCGTCCGTTTGGCTGACGTGGGCGGCCGCGCGGGCTCAGATTCAGACGGTCCTCAGTTGTGTGCTGTGGTTCTCTTGGGGTCGGGACTCCGCCTCCTGTCTGCCGAGCGTGATACACCCTGTTATTGTCGTATCCTAGGGGGGCCAGTCGGTCGAGCCTTTCGTCTTCTCTGAGATCGTACCGGTTTTTGACTTCCTTCCAGCGCTCGATCAACTCCTCGTGGATATTGAAGCCCTGCCCTTGCATTCGCAGCAACTGCGATTCTACGTTCGAACCCTTAAGAAAGTCGCCTTCTATCTGCCGAAGTTTTTCCTTCAGGTCTTCCTCTTTGCTGGTCAGCCGCTTGGTCGACTCCTTGTGAAGCAATCGAAGAAGCCGCTGACCGGCATGCAGTGTGTCTTTCTTCCGTGCCTCTATTAGTGCCTCTTTTTCCTGTTCCGTCACCGCAAACACCAAGTGCCTCTTGTTCCTCGCGTCAGCTTCCATCGACTCCAGCTTCATCTTGAAGAAGGGATACTCGTCACTGGGGAAGACCGCCACGACCCGGAATTTGCCGCCCGCGCCAGCGTGTTTTGCTTTTGGGTCTTTATGTTCCACCTCCGCCCCGACGACGAACGCCGTCGAGGGAAAGGACACGCCGGGAAAAAACCAGCATCCTTTTTCGTCCCTAGTGGCCTGCGTCTCTTCCACTCGACCGTTGCCGTCACGGTATTCGTCGAGAAGCTGCGCTTTAGTCCTGCATGGAGGACGCAGTGAAGACGGCGCTGGGCGGTGCACTCGGCGTTTTTGGTGGGGCGGGCTCTGTCGTTGCTCGAGGGTCTGCTTGTGATGTTGCGTCTTCTTCTTTTCGTGTGCGGGTTGTCTTCCCATGTCTCTGTAGTCCTTCTCATGCTTCTCCGCCTCCATTTCTCCTTCTCCTGGTCCCTGCTGCTCCATGTCACGCTCTTCGTCCTCCTCCTGCTGGTCCATGTTGTCCAGCTTTTCCTGCTCTTCGGTTTCCCCGTCTCGCGGACTCGACTCCTCCGCCTCCTTGTCAAACTTAAAATCAAAATACGGCGGTTCCTTTTTTGGAAACACCTCGGTGACGAAGTATTTTCCCTTCGCCTGCTTATGGCCTGGGGGTTGCACCTGTTCCCCGACGGCGAAAGCGGTGGAGGGAAGCGACACCCCTGGAATGAACCAGCACCCGTTTTTGTCTTTCTCGGGTTCACCTTCTGCATTCGCCTGTGGGTCCGCCATGCCTCTGCGTCTGCACCACTTGTTCTGTTTTTTCGGCTCTGCCTTTTGTTTTTTGACGCGGCTTTTTGGTTTTGGTTCCTGTTTTGCCCTCTCCTCTTCTCCGGCGGGTTGTTCATCAGGATGTTGATCATGTCCTGGCAGCAGGTCGCCTGTTGATGGGCGTTCTTCTTCTTCTTCTTCTTTCATCTGCATCCCTGCATCAGCAGAATGAGTTTGCTGATCGTCTCCGAATCCTTCGCTTCTGCCTCCGCCGCCTTCGCCCTGATCGCTGGCTTCATCTTGTTCTTCCTGCTCCTCCTCTTGCTCCTCGTCTTGCTCCTCGTCCTCCTGCTCCTCCTCCTGCTCCTCCTCCTGCTCCTCCTCCTGCTCCTCCTCCTGCTCCTCGTCCTCCTCCTCCTGCTCCTCTGCCCTGCCCTCTGAGGTTGCAACCACCCGCGTCCACTCCTCCTCCTCCTCGCCGTGCCCCGCGAGCCCCTGGATTGGTTGCGCGGGCCCCGCTAAGCTCCAGTCCTGCACGCTGGTGGTGATTTGGAGGAGGTGTGCATGCAGGCGATCGTGGTCCTCCCCGTCGGTCGCGTGCTGGATTACGCGCTTCAGCAGGTCTGCGAACCTTTCTTTCCCCACCAAAACAACCTCCACTGGGCGGTGGTCTGCACTTTCTTCTCCCCGCCGCGACTGTTCCGCTTTCTCGGCGCTTTTCCGCACCACCAACTGGGATTCACACGCGGCTTCAACCAGCAACTCGAGCCAAGCAGCGCCGCGAGGATTCTTGCTCTCTGCAGAAGCAGCAGCGCCTTCTGGCGTTTCGTCTTTGCCCAGCCTGGCTGGAACACTTTTGTCGCCTCCGTCCGGGACGGATGCGTCGGACGTCCCCAACCTCGAAGTGGACAGCAGGACCTCGAGGGCTTTGCGTCTTCTTCGGACCGCGGCTACTTCATCCTGTCGCTTGTATTGCAGGGGTTTGCCGACTGGAAACTGGACCTGATCTATCGTCTTTTTTCCTTCGTTTGTGCTAGGGTAGCCGACGAAGACGAGGTTTCCGTCATGCTGCACAATGTCGACTGTCGTTGACGTTTCCCTCTGAGTGGCCGGCGTCGTTGTCATGTCCAATACCGTGACAAAGACTTCGCACTCCACAACTCGCCGCTCCTTATTCTCACGACAGCCGCGCGCTTTTCCGTCCATGACGAGGCGAGCATTATTCCTATTCCGATCTGGCGGGCCATACACTTTTACGTCGACCTCGTCGCCTTTCTCAGCCTTGTCAAGCCCATTTAACTGGTTCTCCAACTTCTCCCACCATTCCGGCGACAGATTAAACGGCCACTCCTCGCTGTGCGCTGGATGATCGCAAACTGCCCCCTCCCCTGTAGCCTTACCCGAATCGAGATTCGCCATCAGGTAGTCCTTCTGATGCGTCCCTTGCGGAGAGGTCTTTGCCCCTTCAGCCGCGTAATCCAGAACGGGAGGTAGACGGAGGCTCCGCTCCTGCCCGTAGAGCCCCGCTTCAACTTTCAGTGCGAGCTTCCCCTCCGGTTCCTTCATGATCGCCTCCACACCGTCCTGAAAACTGGACAAGACGCTGGGACTTCTCCTCCCCGAAACACCGTCGTCCGATGCGGGACGAGCGGCGGTACCTCCAGACTGCTTCGCCAGGCGGTCTTTCGCCGAGAGCAGACCCTGCAAATCCGCCGCTGCGCTGAAGGAAAGCCAGTGCCGGTACAGCGCGAGATCGTCGGCTTCTGCAGATGTTGTCCCGGCGCTCGCCTCTCCGCCGGACGCCGCCGCGCGTCTCTGCGCATTTAAGTGCGCCGCGAAGTCGAAAGGCGGGTCCGGGGGATTTCCGTCCGAGGCGGGGAGCGCTGTATTACAATGAAAAATACCCCCACCCCCGAACTTGGGAGCATTTGTATTGCAAACCGTTCCAAATGGAACGCTCGCCCTCTTGCATCTACCAGCATCACAGGTTTCCAATCGTGAATAGCAAATAAAATTTGTATTGCAAAAGACCCCAGCAAGAGCGGCGCTTATCATGCAAGCGATGCGATACACGCCTACACTCTGCATCAGAAAGATTCATACTCCTTTCATGCATGACAAAAAGTTTTCATTGGGAAACTTCGGATCACAAATTTTTGCAATTTCAGGGGTGGGGGGCACTTTTCACTGCAATAGAGCGGCCCCGCGGTCCTGTGCTGTTCCAGCCCGTCCGCGAAGAAGTGCTCCAGCAGACCCATGCGCACCTTTTCCGCGATCAGATCCGCTAGGGCGTTCAGGGTCTGCGCATCCTTCGACTTGCACGTGAACACCAGGTCGCGATCCCGCATGGCGTCCCGGAGCGCCTCGCGCAGCGTCACCAGCGCCGCAAAGTTATTGGAGGCCTCAACGGAGAACTGCAGGACCTTCACCCGTTTCCCGAAGGACTGCTGCAGGGAATTCCCCAAGTCCGCCGTGTTGGAACGGTGCAGTGCGTCCGTGAACACCACGATCGGAATGCGACCGTGCGTCGCGAACTGTGCCGTGTATCACACAGAAAAAAACTGGCAGGTCATATTAGTAATGCAAAAACAAATACACAAAAAAATCTGTCATGGGCGGCCTCATAGCATGCTGATTGGGGTAAGTGATTTGTGTCTTTGTTTTTGCATTACAAATATGCCCTGCCAGCTTTTTTCTGTGTGATACCGTGGTCACGGGAGTCAGGAAGAAACTCTTTCCCTGGCCCATAAACAGCTGCTCCGACATACTCGCGACGTTCAGGAACCGCGGCAGGCGCAGCGCGGGGGCCGGTGCAGACGCGTAGAGCGCTAAGCATGCTTTGGTGGAGCCACATTGCCGCATCTTACCGTCATCTCCGAACACCTGCAGCGCGCCCGGCGAAGCTGGACCGCGATCCACAACTGTGCCTTCCTGCGTCCCGCCCGTTGGTGGAAGTTTCGGTACTACACGGTCTCCGGGACGGAAATAGTCGAGTTCTTTTTCATTGAACAATTGGGTGAACAAGACCCAGCCACTCGTCTCATTTTCTGTCCGCACTTCCAGCCAGCGGATATCCGATCCCACGGATATGATCGTGACGATTTGTTCCGGGGTCGTGCTATCTGGGTTCTTTCCCGACACTTGTGATATGAAACGGCTGCTCAGCAGAGGTGCCTCCCGAATGCCTGGCACGCGCAGTTCTAACACGTCGCCGACCTGAATTCGGTGCACCTCGCGGTCAACAAGCTTCTGCAGGGACCGTACCTGCTTCCGCCAGGGCATAATCTCCTGCCGCACGACGAACCCCAGCTGCTCGGGGAATGTCAGAGGCGGGAAAAGCTGGCAGGCGGTCACGGCGTTGTAGAAATCGGCAGCCCCGGCGCGCCCCGGTTTTTCCAGTGCCAGTAGAGCCACCTTGCCCTGTGACAGCCGGATTTGTTTCAGCAGGTACGCAAAAGTCAGCACCCGGAGCTTGTCCAGATCTTCAAAGCTAAGAGGGTACGCTAGTGACGCTGCGCCGTCGGGTCCTGCCTCGCCAGCATCAGATGGCGGTGGTGTTCCCGCCACCCCGGGCCCTTTCTTGGCGCGCCGGATAGCAAACAGCCTTTTGTTGCCAACGTAAAAATCCCGCGAAAGACCCAGCAACGGATCATCGAGCACTGCCGCAATGAGGTCGCGCATACTTGGAATCGCCCGTGTGCCGTCAAGAAAATGCAAAAACTTCCCGTGCATCCAGTCGCACGTGTACTGCCCCCCCTGCGGTGCGCTTCCTGATGTCCCACCCTCTCTTCCATGGTTCTTTTCCCAAGCTAGCGACAGGGCCCGCAGCGCTTCCTTTTCGAATGCTCGCGCTGCTTTGAAGTCTGTTTGCATTGCGTTTTGGAGAACCGACCTCGGATCAGCACTTGCCCCGGCGGCGGCAGACTGCAAAACATCGGCAAAGACGCGTTTTTGCGCTCCGTGCTTCTTGATTGTCTCCACAGCATCCAGCACCACCTTCTGTTTGTCAGCGGCCTTAGCCTCGGTCTCCGCCCGCGACGGACCAACGGATACGCTCACTGAGCGGTGCGCTGCCCGCAAATACGCTTGGACCTCTCGCTCGTGCGGCTGCGTATTGCTAGGATCAAAGCTACTACGTGCACGACCAGTCCCGGTCGTGCGGCCACTCAGTCCAGCCACGGGAAATACACCCTCCAGCCGCGACCAGTTCACCTGGCTCGCGTCCACCTGCCAGGAGCCCTTGAGCCGGTCCCGTCCCTTGGCGTGTTCGCTGTAGTCCCCGAGCGCGCAGGCAAACTTCGTGTTCGTTTTGGTTTGATCGAAGGCCCACTGTGGGCAGTCGACGCGATTCATGTCTCCGTGCTGCAACCACGTCGCCCACAACTCTGCGGCCCCCTTCGACTCTAGAGCGACCTCCGGCTGGTTCGCGACTCCAGTATATCCGATCGAGGGCGGGAGGTTGGCAATGGAATTGGCGCCACGACTGTTAGGCGGCATCTGCCAGCCGAGGTCCCCCAGGTTGTGCAGCATGATCACGCACGCGACTTTCAAGAACCTCGCGCGCAACAAGTAGTCGCCCTGCTCGTCCTCCTCGAGGAACATCAGCTGTCGCTCGTCGCCAACGTTAGCTTGCGGCCGCCCTTGCAGAGCGTCTCCAAGCGTTTGGAAGGTTACCACAAGGTGGGAATAAAACCGCCACAGCTGGCCAACCGCAAGTGTCCGACGAAGAGGGTCTTGTTGGTTCGCGCCTTGAATGTACCAAAAATACATCCAGTCGTAGATGTTGCGCAATTGGCAGCCAGCGAGGCCGGCCGCGGGACCCGCTCGAGGCACCGTCAAAAACGGACTGGGCTCCCAGTGCCCCAAGTCGGGGCGGGCCTGAAAATCGCGCTGGCCGCTGCTGTCAAAGGCCTCCCCTTGCGCCGCGAAAAAAACCTTTCGAATATGGTTCCCCTGGTTCTCCTTTTGGTTGCTGCCGGGCCCGCCGAGTAGATTCACCACTCTATCACTAACGCCCGGCCCACTAGGCCGATCGACGCTAGGTTTGCTGTCATGAATGTGCGTTTTTACTTGCGGATTCCCCCGCGTGCTCCAGAAGTTTCCGACGTCGTGAAACCGTACTCTCTCGTATTCAACAGACTCATCAGAGAAAGTCTTCGTGCTCGTCTCGTCGGCGTGGTACTTCGCGAGTCTCTCCACGGCTTGTAGGAACGGCCGGTCGGGCTCTCCTCCCGCATTGGATCGAAGCCAGTGTAGCAGGTACTGTAACTCCCCGGGCGAAAATGCCGACGCGGCGACGTTGTTGTTCTGCAGGGGTACGTTGCCCACCACCACGTTATCCAGTAAAACCGCGACCACCTTGGCCAAGTGGACCTTTTTCGCGAGAAACCACTCCCGCTGCGGTCCCGGCACGCGGCCGGGGAAAGACCGAAAGTTCTCCAGGATCTTCAGAAGCGCCAGCATACGACACTGCAGCGCGCTTGTGTGGTACTTTTCTTGATGCCACTCTTCAGAATGTTTTTCACTTTCCACGATCCACTCCAGCACCTGCAGGTCCGGTAACGACCAAACCGCCACGTGACTGTCCCCGATTTGCCGGAGCTGTTCTACGCACTGCTGGCTGCGGCCGTCCAGAGACAGCAAGGACAGGTAGGCCAAGTACAGCTGCGTCGTCTGTTGTACCGCTAGCGACCCGGAAAACGCCGCCGCTAAATCAGCCTGAACTGCGGGAACTCCCGGCTGGGAATCAGCGTGTGAAGAAAACATGTCCGCGGCCGTGTAAACGGCGTCTACCGGTACGAGGGACCGCAGATTTTCCGGCTCCCCGAAGTACACCCGTGTCAGCACGTGCTCGTCTGCGCGCGTCAGCGGAAGCCGCATTCGTAACATGAGCAGCCGCGTCTTCTTCGGTATCATCTCGAGGTTGGCGTGTTCCCGCGCCGTCGGAGTCGTTTCGCTCAGCACGAGCAAGTGCCGCAGGCTCGGACGATTGAAGACAACCTGCTGCGGATGCAGCCGCCATTTGGCATCTGTGGCCAGGAGCCAGTGGCCAGCACTCCCACTTGCAGCTTCCACATGTTTCCCTTCCGCGATGAAGGTTAACCACGACGAGCTTGTTTCCCCGTTGTCCGCATTTTCTTCCGCCTGCGACACTAGGGGAAACTGCACTGCGTACAGAGCCCCGGAAGCCTGTTCCTGGCCGGGCGAGACACTAGTGCTACTCCACCCGCGCCACAGCATGAGATTTTTGTGCACCGTGCCCAGCTGGGAGAGCGCGACCTCAAAGTCCAGATTTGGCTTACTCCCCCCTTGCGCGGGGATCAGGTCCCACCTCAGCCCAACGTAATTGTTGCCAGCTGGTGCGGTCGCCGCGGTTCCGGCCGCAAACCAGTTTTCGGGAAGAGCGTTGCGGGAGGCGA